GGCTATTTGCCATGGTTACATATTCATGCTGGTCACGTTATGGATCCAGGGAGGTATGTCTGCTGCTAATTGTGGCTCTTTAGAGAGCGCACACGAACGGAGAGGATCTCTATGGTGTATTCGAGGACCAGTGGCACAAACGATAAACCCTCTGCAAAGTATGCCAGGACATGAGCAAGGCATTCTTACGCACACAGCATACGGAGCATCCGACAATACGCGTTATGAGGCGGCACTCCCATCCCCACTAGGCAGTTTGTCTTGGCTTCAAGATCGAGCCCCGTCTTATATGTCCGCCAATACTCTTCAGTCAAGTCGTCAGCCGATGGAAAGTATTCCGCCCGCGGCAGAAGCGAGAAACCCTGTATCAGAGGACAAAGCCATTGATGTGACTACTGCTAAAGCATGCGGTAGCTCCCTATTGACTCTGTTACAACTGCGGCCCAACGTTCCATCCACAACAAAATTTGCTGTCCTAAAGCTGAGCAACATAGCATGGAATCTCAGCATTTCTGACGTGGTTGCGTATTTTGCACCGTTCAAGGTAGGTTATATGCTACCCTCTCATTGGTCGACATCTGCTGAAGTGAATTCATGGCTGCGTAAGGTCCCTGTATCTCACCTATCTCCGCACTATACTCAAGGCGTTCATATTATAATGAACCGTGCCACTGGGAAGACCCAAAGCGATTGCTTTGTGGAATTTCCTAGTTATACTGAAGCCCAGCGATCTTTAGATTTGCATGCCCGAGGGATCCTGAAGGGTCGTATCGTCGTTGCGCAGTGGAGCAGCCAAGCGGAGCTGATGGATGCCTTGTTTCCGCATCGGTCTTCTGGGCTCCAGACTGATACACAGGGGAATCCGTCCGTTGAGACCTCGGCGCTACAGGGAACGATGGACAAGAGATGCAATGACACCTTCCAATCTCGACGGGCCGTTGGAAGTGGACTTGTGTACGGTCAATCATCGTCTTCGCAACTGAAAGAAGGCGTTTATCTGCTACGCGAAGAGATTAATGCTCTGCTGCTTGTTTGCAGAAACTACAAGGTTTGGATGCAACCTGTCACTTTCATGCCAATGCCTTTATCCACTGATTACAAACCCCATCATCAGCTTCATTTCTCCCGCAAGTGCGCGGAAAGGCCTTTTGAAAATATTATCTCAATTATTTGCAAGATACCCTGGCATGAACCACATTTAGTGTCGACATCTCATAGGGACCATGTATTTGAAATGCTCAAACGTATGTACTGCTGCTTTTTCGTGATGTCTGCGGCAAAGTTCACTCAACGTGTAATCTCGCAAAGTGTCGCTGGAGTCTCTCAGTATTCATCTATCCCGCCACGACCACCATATTGATGGCAGCTTGATGATGCGGATGGTACGAGCCGGTCTGTGCGTTCCGCTGTTTACAGAGCGACAGAAAGTAACCCTTTTAAACGTGGCTGTAAGGATATGGTTGAGAATGTATTATAAACCGAGCAATCTACCTAACTGGCTTACATTCTCCTCAGGGTTTACCATGTCCCAAAGATCTTGCACCATTTGTGTACAATCCACCACAAGTGCAACCGTCTCGGTCTCCCGATGCGAAGGATCGTGCGAGGTCCGCGACCCCATCAAACCTCGGCGAGTCCTCTTTACAGGATCTATCATCGACCTCATCCACGTCCACTACCTTTTACAACACGGTATCAACTTTGGAAGAAATGACTTGCCACATCGAAGAACTCACTATGGACGATGAGGTTTGGTACCAGTATTGTTCGGTGATTGTGAAGAGAGCGTCTGAAATTGCGTCCAAAATTCAAACAGCCTGCTCAGTCTACTCCTGTCGCCAAGACCTCGAATCAAGGTGCTGTTCAGAAGACTTTTAGCCAAGCTGTCTCTCGTTCGGCTGATCTCTACCCGTCTCCGCCAGATGCAGATGGTGAGCTCTCACTGCTTGGAGAATATGTGCCTATGAAGGATAGAACTGACGTCTTGTTGGCTGCCCAGGATCTGGGACATCCCATTGTGTCGCTACTGCGACCCCTAATCCTTTTTCTGAGCCGGACCAACGACTTGATGTAGTCACCACTCCTGCCATGACTCTAAGTCTCTATGCTGCCCGCATCCGCATGCTTGAGCAAGCCCTTCGACAAAGTGAAACCCGATATGAAGAGTTACGAAGGCGGCACGAAGCATCTGTCACTCGCAGCCAAGTTGAGCAGCAAGAACTCATCAACGCCAAACTGCGTACCGAAGGTCAATGTCGGGACCTGGAGAGTTTAGTGGGTAATCTAGAAAAAGCCAACGCGGAACTTGAACGCCGCTGCTCCAAGCTTCAGCAATTGCTCTCAGCGAATTTGAGACAAGAAGATATTCAAGGAACTCGCAGGAGACATTCTGCTACTCAAAGTACCGGGAACAGCAACTATGAGCGCCAAAGGTCTCAAGTTGGTTATTTGACTGGAACTTCCATCACTTCAGAAAGTGTCAAGAGTATTTGGAAGTAATGTACATGATCACCTTTGATGGATCTACTTTATCACAGGTCTTGCGTTCGGACACAGCAAATCTCAGCTTACGACACGATAATTCAGCCTACACAGTTGAAATTGGAAAAGGACACTCCCTATTATCTGCGCCGAACGTGGGTATTACTGTGGAAATTACTGCATAATTGCACATGAACGTTATAGATTGTCAAACACGCCAAAATATGCTTGTCATGATGTTTCGCGGGACACTAATATATATTGCAAAGTGAATTTGAGAGCAATCGAATAATGAGATGTAAAATGTAGATAGACTACGAGCATTGATGCAGAGTTTGTTCCTCCGTCTTGAATTTTCGCCAAATGCAAAAGCTTCCTATGTGTGCCCTCTGAATATAGATTACAACAATACTTGAGCTCCGTAACTAGTTACGATGGGGAAATTTCATACTACCGATTAATATTTCGACCGTCCAAGACGAACAAGAGAGCTAAACTACTGTTCGTCCCGCTATCACTGCAGTCTATATCCTTTGTAAAGCTAAAGGTCTCGTGTTCATTCCACGAAGGGTGCAGAGACAGGGGCTATGATGGAGCCAAGATTCGGTCGTGGGAGGAATTCAGCGAATATTGGTCAATATATTACGGTCAAAGACCTACTAAGTGGATAAACTACAGTTCAACTGCCAACTACTGTCGTCTATCCTATTCCTAGTCTTTTCGGTCGATATCTTCTCTCGCAGACAGGCACCCGGCGTGATCTCTGGGAACCACGAGCAATAAATCTCTCGTGCTCCTTTCGTGGAATGAACTATACTCTTTGTAAATCTAAAGGTCTCGTATTCATTCGTATTATTGTTGGTTTTTCACTTTTATATTTTTTGGTGAATATCCAAGTCCTACTTCCGTATGTCTCGTCCGTTGACAGCGTATAATCGATAGCTAAAGACAATTACAGCTTCCTGTCTTGTGCTCGTGACAGATCAGGCCTCTCTGAATCCCAGTGCGTACCCTGTTATACCGCCTGTCGTTATCCGTACAGTGTAGTCGCTCTACACTGGTTGACGTTGCTGCCGTATGATCCCCACCCCCCCACCCCCCACCCCGCCGTTACTAGCTTACTGGGCCTGCCCTTTTATCTCTCTACCTTTGGGCTGTGTTTTTCTCTTTTTCAGCCGCATTTGCTGAGCAGGTAAGAGCCCAATTTACCTGCAATAATTGCATATTGCGGCAAGGAGTCTTGGGGGGTAAGCTGCTGCGTTGCAAATGTCAAAAGTCGGCAGTCCCAGCATATCTGCAACATGCGTGATCCGTAACTTGTCGTCTGAACTAATGATTACTGAAATACAAAAGTTCTAGCTATTTAGCCAAACGACGGGCATTCATGTGTCGCCCAGAGCAGAAACTATTGTCTCTTCAGTTCTCAGTATGTTTTCCCCGCTGGACAAAACATTCTACCACATCCGTTGGTTTCCTTGTAGAGCACCTGCAACTCATCATGAGGGGATATGCTTCCATGTGAAGGAGCCTATATTTCCATGTTTGTTTTGAATTTACATTGTTTTCTCGGTTAGTATTTCATATTCCGGCAGTCATTGCCAACGACATGCGTGGATGGGTATTTCAAGTGTTCCATTTTGAGTATAATGAAATCGTATTACATAATCGACCGATCAAGTTCCCACGCTCTCGCATCATGTTTCTTACTTTCCTTTTACGCTGCTGACCCGTTGATTGACTGACTTTGCATCGGCAAACTCTAGCGCCGATCATTTATTTCTTTTCAGGTGCAGAAGATGCAAAGTTCAAAGCGCTGCTTTCTAAACAAAAACTACCATTGCGACTTGATACTTCATATGAGTCTGTTGGACCTCCCGCCCGAGGTTCTGTTTGCAATTCTACGCTATCTAGACGGTAAGATTCATAGGCTCATCGTTCACTGTCTTGTTTTCATGTAATTCCTACACTTGTCACTTTGGGTACTCATCTTTCTAACAATATCAGGAAGATCCCTCTCGCGTGCCGAGCAGGTCTGCAGATCGCTATCTGGCCTTATATCATCCTCAGGACTTTTATGGAAGGAGCTTTATTTCAAGCTCATATACTTTGTGGCTATTACCGACGTTGAACATGAGACTGAGGGATTACTTGCCGTGGGGACTTCGAATGCGCTCAATTTTCCACATGTTCGGGCCGGATCTTTGCTTGGAGCAGAGGGACGAGGTGCCATGGTATTACACTCTCTCAGGGACAAGGAATGGAAAGTATGTACTTGAATTATGTGCCATACCTGGTGACAATATTAACATGACTAAATATTCTCTGTAGATCCAGGTACGGATTGGTTCATGGTGTCATCTTACATCGTTTCGGATCGTGTTTTGACATTCCTACGGTTTTCCAGTATCGCGAAAGCTTTCTTTATTACCAGAGGCCACATTTATGTGCATGTTGTTATCGGGAAGATGCCTCTGTTTTCGCCATTTCACAATGGAATGTACGGCTTTGCCCATGTGCCTTATTTCAGCTGCTTACACCCAAAAGTGCACGAAGAGAATTTCTGCTCAAGGAAGAAGACTTGCAGATGTTACGGGTACATAGTGCATTTCGTTATTCTATTCGTTGAAAGTAAGATGCTGATTAGCGTGTGTTCTTCATGTAGCCTTGGACCACTATGGTTCAAGAGTCATCACATCTTGTGCCAACCACCTTCTATTACCGCCCGCAGTGCTTGCGGCTGGCGCATCAGAAACATGGTGGCAAAGAGGGATATGAGGCGGCCCTTACAGCATACAGGCAAAAAGAAGCAGAACGCGCTAAGCGAAGAGCTGTAGTTAAACAGAATCAGTACTGTACTCGGGTACTATGGACAGAACGAAAACTTGCCCGGTTGGGGTGTCCGATGAAAATACAAGACCTTGTGCTGGAGCCGGCTATTACATTGAACATGCGGAATGAACTGGAAGAATTCTTGAACGGGGATAATACAGCACCCTCTCATGCTCCAGTGGACAGCTCTGATAGCTCTGACACATCAGAGGACGAGCTAACATCTTGGAGTCGGAACATCATAGGTCGGCCAATCTCGTACTTACTTGAAGATATCTCAAGTGCATTGCTTTATGGAAAGCGAAAAGGTCTGTTGATGGATCGAATCGAGAAAATATACAGCCCGGAAGTTCTCGACCCTACTGACCGGGAATGGATCGAAAGGTGCACATCTTTCGAACGCTTTGCTACCGCTCTAGAGCGGGACTGCCTTCCAGTTGAGGAAGCGGAAAAGGAGGTCCATGACTGTGCGATAGGTATTCTTCGACAATTAAGGGAAGAAACACAAGTTCGTCTGGCAGTTACGCAGGGCTTACAGACTGCCTGGCATCAACGTCCAATTGTGGAAGGATTGCATTGGGACGACCAGAATGCCTTCATAGAGAGCGGGCTAAAGTGGACTTACACAACTGGAGCATTGTCGAAATCCAAGTCCTTGCACAGTCGTATTCAAAAAGCCGGCAAGGCTGGTTCGGAGTACTTGTTACACGTTCAAAGCAGTTCGTAGAATGTCATTGCGGCATGCCCTGGTAAACGCCCCTCTAACCAATCGCCCTCTGCAGAGCACAAAGATTGTCAAGAACAGCAGGCTGCAAGAGATGCAAGTGATCAAAAGAGAATCGAAGAGTGGACGCAAAGACTAAATCAGGCTTTGACGGAGCACCCTCGCTGCGTCGGGCTCCGCCTACTTCCCATTACCCAAGACACGGACCCCGGAATATTTCAATTGTTTCAGGAATTCATCAATCCAAAAACAATTTGCCAGCACCATACTGAACTCTGTTTGCAAATGACGGTATGTCTGGAGAATTCTGCAAATTTTGATGACACGCCCTTGAATATTTCATACAGGTCAACGATATAATTGCTCGTTACCATACCCTGAAAAGCGTGAAAGTTATAGATGAGGAACTCAGCAAATGGATGGTGAACTATAATAGCAAGACTTCTCTAGAGAATACCCAGGCTTTGGAAATCTATAATAATTTCGTTATCCTTGGTATATCCCCACTCGCAACGCTCGTCATCACGATATTCTTGACATTCTTATCTGGGGCAACAGGTGGAACGTCGCCCTGCAGCAGCATAGATGAGGCAAAATCGGAGGCAGCCATAAAGATTTACCGAGCGGAACTTCTCGGACGAGCCCTTAAGACAGTGGTCCCGAGTTTTAAAGAAAGTACCGCATTGCCCGAAGCTCTTGCATGTTACAAAAACTTCATCGCCACTCCGAGTGGAGATTCTCCGGCATCCGGACCTTTGGACGTAACTGCCGTAGAGACCTATCACGTATTCCTTCCAGCAGACTCATTTCTCGAGGACACTGTGTCCAAGATATTTAATTTTGAATGCATACGCCAAAGTCGCGTACACCTTGTGGACATGTACGTGAGCAAAAGCGGTCTTGAGGGGTACTGGTGCAAAGAGTGGGTTGTAAGACCACATTCCTCCAACTTTCTCGAACTGAAGGAAGATTACTTGTCGGTTGAGGAGGAGCTGTGCCCAGAGTTTCAGCTATTAGTAAGATTCCTTTCCAATTTTTACCTACTGTTAACACCTACTGAGAACACATTCCCATCGACAGTTGAACCACTGGATATATGTAAGACAAGGCAAATCCCACTTCCTGCATGAAATCTCTGACTTTCAGAATTCTAGGATGAAAGCTTTCACAAGTTGGAGAGCCTGGAGGAGGTGATCCAACTTGGGATTCGCCGCAAACACACAGATTATCGCAAGAAACTCATCTCGGAGCGTGTCCGGAACCATCCTGCTTATCAAGACTTATTCAACGATGCTTACGAACGCCATGACTTTCTTAACGGGCCAATGATGAAGTCTGCGTACACGTACGATGATGCCCACATGAAACCGTTCATTTTTCACGCTAATAACACGGTCGTTTCCATCAGATGTTGCCACCAGTATCAAAGGTATATTTATTCATACCCCGAAATCCCACCAGTAAACGAGAGTCAAGTCGTCAATGCCCTAGTAGACATTGTTTGTCGTATCTTTGACGGCACTATTCCTCGCGAAGCCTGTTACGTCGTTCAAAATTATTTCTGAAGCGTTTCTACCTATTAGTTTTTTTTATACATAGCATTAATGAGGTTATTAGTAAAAACAACTTTGACATTATTGGAGTACTGAGACAAATGTAATGTAGACAAGAATACAAGAATAGAAAAGGTCGTTGGGTAATTCCTTGATGACTAATGAGAAATAGTTGCGCCACATCCACGCACACATCGAAACGCACTGCATCCATCGTTCATTTGCTTCCCTGCACCTTCAACATGGCCACACGCATCCCCCTCATCATCTTGGGACGAAAACGTGCAGTCGGCGAAACGATTGCCTCGTTCCTATCCCCCACATACCACGTCGTCGACATCATCCATACCCTTCCGGACATTCCACGCTCCCTCCAAGCTGCAAGCACGCGTCCAAAAGGTTTTGTCATTGGCGGCGGCTTTGACGATACATCCGCCAAAGAAGCGGAACAGCTAGCAAAAGCTTTTGACAAAGCGATTCAGGTTGTCCGCGTTCCGCAGGGGTACATGCAAAAAGTGGGACCTGATGGAGTTGCGACGTGGATAAAACAGCAGTTGGATGGGTGTAATTGGAAGCTGTAGAGATGTATTTGGAAGCGATGACTGGATTGCATATGCCAGGGTAGATTACGAGGGCCAATTTCTTAAGTATGGCAGCGGCGTGGAATAATACTTTACGATATAGTACTCGGACATTCTGGCCAATGACTGTGAAAGTGTTTTGTGATTTTAAATACCACTGGCTTTCAGTCAGCCGTCTACCAAGTTCCTCCTTCTTACAACCAGTTGCCAAAAGCATATACCCAAAAGGGGCTTATAAATTGGAATCGGATTCAGATAATGCCAAATATCTTCGATAACTCCATGCAGGAAAGGGCCCTTTGATCAGTAGAAACATCTCAACCGCTTCTCGGGCTTCGTAGCAGCTTGGCATAGAAGGGCCGCGAATCAAAACACATTTGGCCATTTGGCCAGGACAGCAGACAAACGTGGGGTAAGCAAGGATGTGAGTGGTATCGTTCTTTGTTCACACAGGTGCGCCATTGGGTTTCCTGGGCGTTCGCGATGACTGCAACTGCAAGGAGCTTGACCATGGTGGTTGATCCGAAATTGTTTGAAGCTGTTGAAAGACGATATCGTGTCGTGAGCTGCATTCTTTCTACTTATTTAGGCTACCCCTCCCAATATCCAGATCCCTATGAGACATCTATTGCAGAAGTAGGTTACTGGCCCGCCCGTCGTTACAATTCGACCCGGAACAGGTATAGACCGTCTGAACGAGTTCCCATGCTTTTGCGACACGCGACTAAGCCAATCCAGGTTTGGAAACCGGCAATCCCTCATTTGAACCGTACGACCATATTTCTTTTTGATTATCAAGGACGTTGCTAGTTCGCTCGCGGTTTCCCGGTTTTTCCTACTGGAAACATGACTACTGACGAGGAACGTCCTGGTTTCGGCCATGTCTCCTTTGCAGAGTCACATATGGCAAAGTTTGGGTGGGAGAAAGGACAAGGGCTAGGGAAGAATAGAGGTGAGGACGACTTTACGGTGAATTTGCTTGAATTGGTGGTTGACGCATTCTGGTTCGCAGACGGTATTAGCCGAGCGGTATCAGTTGGGTTCAAAAATGACACTCAGGGGGTGAGTTCTGCGATCTTCTCTTTTGGCTTTGCAGAAGCAATTTTGCTGATTGGTTTCAATTCCATTCAGCTGGGCGCCAAAGCCGACGAATGGTCTTTTGCGTGGTGGGACCACGTTTTCAACAAAACCTCAGCGTCCATCCAAATCTCCAAGGACGAAACTTCCGAAACGATTCAAGTCAGTGCCCAAGTCAACAAAAAGGCAGAAAAAGCCCTATTATACGGATCGTTTGTTAAAGCCACACCTGAAAACGTGGTCAGCGAGGATAAGGACTATACAATCAAGGTGACGGACGAGGAGCTCTTGAAGGCGTGTGAGGGGAGGACAGCGAGGAAGGGCGCTAGGGCGCATCAACCTGGCAAGCTGGCCAGAGCGGGTATGGAGGAACTGACGGGTTCTGTGTCGGATGAGGAAAGACAGGTTGGGTTGAAGAGGAAGACAGTGTCGGAGGATGGAGATGAAGGCGATACCGTGGAGAAAAAGAAACGAAAAAAGGAGAAAAAGGAGAAGAGACGTAAGGAGAGAACGAACGAAGAGGAAGATAAAAAGAGCAAAAAGCGGGAAAAGAAGAATCGGGACAAGAAGGCTGAGAAGAAGGCCAAGACAAAGCGCCTATCCAAGTGTGATACTCCGCCAAGCACTGAGGATGACTCTGAACCTGCCAAACCCGACACCGCTACACAAGAGAGAAATCATCAAGCAAATGACACAAAAGAGGACTTGTGCACCACCCTTGCCCCATCAGACCCCATTCCCTCAGACAACCAAATAGAAATAAAAGACAAGAAGAAAAAGAAGCGACGAGAAACATCACCACCATCCGAGACTGCCGACGACGAAACGGCGCCACCAAAGGCGAAAAAGGAAAAAAAGAAAAAGACCAAAACAAAGACGACGACAGCGGATGCAGACAGCCAGGACAGGACTGTGCAAAAGAAGAAAAAGAAGCGAAAGGGCATGGATGCATAAATAAAGAGCGCCGCATATATAGGCAATGGATTTTTTGCTACACAGATATACATTGTACATAGTAATGATAACTGTCAGTTACATACGCTGTATCTATATACAGCCATACAGGGGTCTAATCAAGTGTTGGAGGGGGCTAATCGAAGAATACTAGTTACGCCAGTATGATCTGCCAGAGAAGGAGAGATCAATAATGAATACAAATGTCCTGGCACAAAAATTGTGGACACTAACCTGACAACTGATTGAACGGTCGATCTTGGACTCTAAAAGGTCTCAGACCCGTCTCATTGACAGAGACGCTCACATGTCCATGGTGAGCGTCTCGCGGCCTCCACTGTAAAATATAATCGAGGCGTTTTCCAGCCTGCTTATGATCATCCTCTGTCCCTTTCAGACACTGCTTCCATGGTTTCCATGTCTGAGGCTGTTGACCCGTCGCTTCCCTCAATGCGTCCAACACCTCTGCATCACGAGATGTCAAGGTTTGCAACATGCGCAAGTACTCTTTGCCATCTCTCTGCGGCTCCCCTCCGAATCGCGCTCCAGGGACATTAAAGTCCCCCGCGAGAACAACAGCGTCGTTCACGGGGTCGTATGCCGATGCTTCTAGGACGGAATCTATAAAAGAGCGCATTTGAATGAATTGATCGTACCGAATCGAGGATGCTGGCCCGGTTAGGTCGTCGCCGTCGTCGGGGTCATCTGGGAGGTAGGATGCTTGAAGGTGGGATGTAAAGAGGTGAAGACGGGTTTTGCGGTCGGGGGTATCGTCGAGAAGGATTTGAGTATACAAGACCCCTTTGGCTGCATACCTAACCAAAAATATGTCTCAATTTCGTGAAATTGGTGATAGAGAATGTTGACTTACCTATCAGGACCGTACGCTCCTTGATACAATATGGTTTCGGTTTTAATGATGGGAAACCGACTCAACACCAACAACCCACTATCCACAAATGTTCCCTTCCACCAATTCCGTTCGTTCCCATGCGCCCAATAGCGTAAGCCCCGTTCCGCAGCAGCATCCACCAACCGTTCCCGCCGTGAATTAAACGTCCCAAAAGTCTCCGACAATGCCATAATATCAAACTCATTGATCGCAGTCTCGATAAAAAGGTTTAACCGATCTTCTTTGTAGTCACGCCCAATGGATTCAATCGGCGGGGGACGGAGATAAAAGTTGTATGCGAGCATGCGGATGCCGGTTGAGGGGAAGGAAGGGGGTGGGGTATCTGGAGTGGCCAGAGGAGGTGTCCGAGCGAATAAGGGTCTTGCTAAATTGTAGAATTGTCAAAAAGAGGTATACATTTATTGACACTCATCAGCAAACCATTCTTACCAAGTAACGCAAAAAGTCCTAATAAAACCACTAGAAAGCCGAATAGATATAACCCCAGTTTCCCCAAAACACGTTTCGTAGAGTGATTGGAGCGCAATCTCCGAAACCACCCTTCATCCGCCCGTCCACCATGCCCATCCTCAACATCCTCAGACCGTCCAAGAAGCGGTTCACGCTCATCCTGATGCAGTGGGGCATCTACAGCATCCATATTCCCATCCATCCTGTAAGATCACTAATACAAAAACCACGTACTGGTTGGCGTACGTCATCACCCGCCCGCTCAATCCATAGCTGCATCCATGGCAACAAACCACATCACGTGAAAGTGGGAAATGGAAGGGAGATTAGCGTGAGGTGAACGGAACTGAACGGACATCTTTACGAGTTTTTTCAATAAAAGCCCATCATTTTAATTTACCATCCACTTTTATTACGCTATGGGATTCGTTCGTGCTCTTGTTCGTCCTGCTGAGAATGGTACGTAGCGGACTGGAATAGAGTGTGTCATCTGCAAGTTGCTCTAATGACGGGAATACTGAATTGTGATTCCCACAGTTATTCGCCCACGCGAGGTGGCGAGTCGTATTTTCTGGCAGGTAAAGTACATTAGTAGAAACTAAAAAGTAGGACATTATCAAACAAAAAGTTTTTTAGAAACCCTCCCACATTCCAACCTACATTCGCGGAAAGGGCGATGCGCTTTGGTATGCTGTAACGGTTGCGGGTATCACTGTTGGACTCGGGACCGCTCTCATTGAAGCCAACCAGTTGATCAAGGGGGTATGTAGATTGCGGGGTTCCTCTGTATTTGTGAATGGGTACTAACTGGGTTGATGGTTTATAGAAGCAGTAAAGGGTTAGTTAGATGTGCATGGTGTAGAGTGTAGAGGGGAAGCTGCAAGGAAATCAAACAGAGGTTGCTTTATTGGTGTATTGACGAGACCTCATACCCACTGAACCCCCCGTCTGAGCCGTGTTGTTTTGTGTATGTTTTCTCTGTTGCATTTCTGTCATGATGCACGACACGGATCCAAAAGCCCTTGAATGATGCACTGAAACGATCCATCTTTCTATATGCACAAAAGAAACTATACAAAAATGCACCACTAATAAACATGCTAAAATGTTGGTTGCCGACACAAGGGACATGTAGACTGATTACTCGTGCGGAACCACTACATAATACCATGATGAGTGTCCACCAAATGTGGTCAAGAACAAGTAAACGAGAAAATAACTTTACCTTGTAAAGACAGGAGGAATGAAAGAGGTGTTTACACGTTTTACATTGTTTGGTGGGGAGAGTCCGATCAATGACGCCAATAACCGAGTAACAGATAGCACAATCCTCAACACCTAGACAAAACCAAAAAAACACAATAAACAAACAAAAAACATCAACCAAAACAAAACGAAAACAACACACAAAAAAAACACCATACCTTGAAAATGCAACCCCAAATTCCTCCCAAACAATTTAACAGCCTCCAAAACACTCCCGCTCAAACTCCCAATAACAGCAGAAGCACCCAACAACCAAGCCCTCCACCTCGCTTCACTAATCCCAGCAGAACGCCCACCAGCCCCACCTTCCACATCAACCAATTTCAAAGGAAAGGATCTCGGAATCCGAATCACCATTTCCAAAACCGCATCTTCAATAGCAAAACAAGCGACCACTTCACACCCCGTTTTATTGACACGCACAGAAAGGTCCGGGTACGCACTCAAATCAGCGTTCAGAATCTGAGACAATTCCGTTGAGATCAGGAGCGGTGAAAAGTACTTTTCAGTGTAGGATTCGACAGAGAGGGTTGTTTGTCGGTTTTTGCATTCTGACCACCAGATGCGGAGGAGGGTTGGTGTGTGGGTTAGTGTGCGGTAATAGAGGTGTGCGGAGAGGAGGGAAAATGAGAGAGGTGTCATATCAAAACCTAAAACATCACAAAATGAATACATGTCATCAAGGTGTTTGGATTCAACATCAAACAACAAGACATTACCTTGCAATTCAAAACTTTCGACATCCCATCGGGAACAATCAAACATTTTGGATCCCAACCCCAACAATCCAAACAAATCATCCAAAAACGTTGGTAGCAGGTCCAACCTCCTCAAATGCGACACATATTGGGATTTAAGATCAAACGTCTGCACATGACGATTTTAGCACAAACAAAAAACAAAAAAAAAGAAACACGTTTACATACAGCATCTTGAAAATGATCAAAAAGAATCATCCAAGAAAGGAGGTACCCGAACGTTGAATGCGGATCATCCATCCCACGCTTTCGCACACTGTTTACAACATCCACAGGAATCTCTTCCACATCTTCTTCTTTTCGCATCTCAACTCGAAGGCTCGCATCCGCAACATGGCGTACAACATGCTTGTGTATTAATCCATAGGCTGTTGTTTGAACCTGGTTGATAGGGACGTACAAGAGGTCGTAGAGCTATGACATGCGTTTTTTAATAAAATGCGTGTTGAAATGAGAATGGTAGATTGGTCACGTACCGTGGACCCAGGCACCGAAAACAAGATGGAATCCGGAACAGAGCTCACGAAATCCGCAATACGTGTCCAAATATCCTGTTCTGGGTCCGATACACCCTCTGGACCTATACAACAGTTTAGCCCAATCTCCAAAAGTGGCATAGATAACATACACGTACTCGTGTTGACAAAAATGTCTAGTACCGTGCTATAAATCTCTTGTGCACGGTCTGTAAGGGTTGGATAGGTATCAGGGAACACTTGCGCGGCATCTTGAAGAGCACTGAATAACCCGAGTCCATAAAACAAGAGGACGCGAGATTCAGGTGTAGATTGGATACCCCCCTACATTCTCACATCATTAACCAATACCCCTATAAATACTAAAAAACAAATAAAAACGCTGTCAAACCTACCTGAATCCACTTTTGACACACCTCCAAAACCCACTGTCCAACATGTATCCCAACATCAACATGTCGTACCACACTCTCCAAAAAGATGGCAACATGTCGATTCAAATCCAATCCAACAGGTTCGGTATACCACCCCCGAATCGCACGGACAAGATTCAAGAGTTTCGAGGTATCTACAAGTGTCGTCGAGTCTTTTTGTAGTAGCGCAACAAGAAGCCAGAGTCTCGTAATCGCCGTTTCAGATCCAGTCGTCCGTACGACCTTTCGTTCCATATCCAGTAATCGAGAAACAAGGGTCCGGATCCCTCTATCCCGATGCTCAGCAAGTAAATCCAAAACCCAATCATTCCAAATCCCGCGTACAAATCGACACTCGACAGATAAACCAAAGTCCATCCATAGGACCGCATCCGTGTGGTGCAGGCCCACTTTTGGGAAGACCTTGTCAAGAGCCGTGTGTAGCGCCCGAGCATGCAAATTCGAGTCTAATGCAGAGCGTAGGAGCGAACAAAGCATGTCTGAAAGGAGATCAGGTGGTTGGACGGAGACATTTGAACCGTTCACAACGTCGCGAAATAAGGTTGCAAGGCGGGTATGGAAATCCGGGTCAACGTGAATGGAATCCACCACGGTCTCCAACACGTTATTCAACTCTGATGGGATATTCCACTCTACGACTTTGGTTTCATGTTCATGGAGAGAGGTTAAGTCGTTCCAAAGGACGCCCCATACAACCACTTGACCCAACATCCATCCCCGGTCCTCGAAAAACGATGCATTCCGGGCAAAGGAGAGAATAATGCCAATCCACCGGACTAGTACACTGTTCCCGTACACGTCTGTCTCATGCGTTGGGAGCGGGTGTGCGTCGTCAGTCAAGGGGATCAGGGGGTCTGTGAGTGCTAGGTAGGGTGTATACACATGATAAGTCGAATAAAGGGACTGCCAGAAGCTTGGGGTGTGAATGAGACGGGCGGTAAGAGAGTCAGAGACTTTGGATTGGATAGACTTGAATTGAGAGACAAATGTATCGATGCTTTATCAAACAGAGAAAAACAGTCAGCACCACGTAAATAAAGCAACATGAAGCAAAAAAAAAAAAAAAATGACATTACCTCCCACGGTACTCCACATTCCCCACATTCGCTTCCCACCTCTTCACCAACACATCAGAATCCACACACACATACCCCTCCCAAAGCCTTTTAGCCACCCCAAGCGCCTCACGCACATCCCCAGTCTCATCTTCTCCATCCACAAACGCCAGATCCAAAATATCCGGAATCATGGAAGCCATGATAGGCGTATTCGAGAGGTGTTGGAGAATATGGAGGACAGTGAATGCTCGACCGGTATGAGTTGCGTCATGGTACCCAATGACGAGATCAGTGGTAAAGTTTGAGAGAACGGTTTGGAGGATTGTTGTGATATACTGGACCGTTTCGGGAGTCAAGACAGGGGATTCTAAAAAAACCCGGGAAATCTTCAAACATACTGCACACTCGATGACAACATACAATATACATACCAGGTCCAAACCGCAAACATGTTGCAACAACCACTTCGACACTCGACACATCCTCACCCCTCTCCAACCGATTTGTCGCACATTCTGTCACGAGGGCATCGATCCGGGGGTCCGTTAAATCCGCTTGTACGGTATCAAGAACGAGGGTCATCAAGTTTGCAAAACATGGTATAACGTTGTCCATCCCAAACACGAAATCAAGAACTTGGGTCCATACACTACGGACAGCGGTGGAAGGGAGAACCGAAAGGTAAATGACAAGCATGGAGAGTATATTTGATGCGGGTTTGGGGTGGGTTGTCAATGATTTGAGGCGGGTTAAAAAGGTGGTAAGAAGTGTGTGGGTTTCAGGACATGTCAAGATGGATGAAAAGGACGTGGACAAGGTTGCGAGGAGATGGGCGTGCCCAGAGAGACGTTCTAATCCATATACGTTTAGAGGGTTGAAATTCACAATAAAAAAAGAATCATGACTGTTACTCACCGTTGGGTGATATCACATCAAGTATCCGACAAAACAACCGTGTCGCAATCCGTTCAACAGAATCCTACACAAACATTTTGCATTGATACCAACATTCTACACTCGATATCAGACAAACGGTACTTACCCGCACGCTCCCACCCTGCTCAGCAAGACACGCTAAAAGCTCTCCACAGCGCACAGACATGCTCTCAAATTCGGGTCCAATGGCTGCCTCATCCGGATACACACCCCGCACAATCGCACCCTCCAACACGCGTTCCAGCGTCTTCATAAAGCAGTCCACAAGAGAAGCTATGGCACAACATCCAGAATCAATCCGTCAGTATACGTATATGCAATATGAACTACGTGACAAGATACGAACTAGGTATCTGCGAGCTCGTGCTCAATTTATAGACATATTTGGCCGTGATCGTTGACACGTTCCGTGGTTTAAGCCGTTTAGACACATCATACTAAAGGAACTGTCAACACAACAAAAAACCACAAAATACAAAAACACAGACGCAAACCTTTTCCGGAAACAAATATACAAAAACAGGTCGAAAGAGGTCCCCCTCCACTCGTTCTTGAGCTGTATCCTGCCCTCTGCATGGTTCATGAGTCATGGTCCAAAGTTAACAGACACCCAAATAATCCATCCAAGCACACTCTTACCCAGACTGGACAATCAAAAACAGGGTACACTCGAACCAAGATTCCAAGAAGATATGATCGTTTGTTTTGTCAATGGAACCACTCTCTAACCCTTGCCAAAAGTTTGATAAAAACTCGGGTGCAAATGTCTCCTTCGATAGAATCTACGCCAATATGCGGAGTATGCCCAAACATTAACATCCCGTCATGTCACAATTGCTTTCGAGACTTTTACGTACCTCTGGAGGGAGACAAGCAAGCAACGCCAATAAACTCGGATAAGAAACACCAACCGAACCAAACGCTCCATGCCGTAGAAACCCAAACAACTTCTGAAGAGGTGGACGTTTAGAAGGGAGGAGCCAAGATTCCGGACAAGCCTTCGTGAAAAACACAAGGGATTCCCAGAGTTCGCTGTGCGTGGACGGGTCCTTGTCTGAAAAGACCTTTCCTGGGAAGATGGGAACAAGAATGTCCAGCCGCTTTTTAAGAATCTCTTTGGAATATGTATCAGTGTCTGTTGATATTTCATGTAGGGGGACCTACGCACCAGGTTCAACGCGACTGATCGTCTTGATCAAGGCATAACTTGCTCGTCGGATCGGGGCAAGGGGGTGCGTACACATGTTCCAAAAAGTCGGATTATCAAAGAGTGTGTCATATTTGGATATCGATTTTGTGATCTCGGAAAGGGGGAGTTGGTCTATAGAGTGTACGTTAGCCATTAGCAATAATAGTGATACTTGACAATACATACCAAAGAGATAGGCAAGCATGTAAAAGCAGCTCGATACCACCCGCGCGTATTTGGACATGACATCTTCCGGAGTGGTGAACCGTGGGTCGCCTAATGGTGGATTTGTGGTCAAAGGAGCCTTCCCAACCCGGCAAAGCAAAATAGACGCATACTCATTGTTTCTGGAGTCTGATGCAAAAGGGTGTCGATAACAAAATCCAGAATCTCCGATTGACAATACACGAGGACCTCGACTTGCTTGCTCGGAAACGCCGTCTACGACACACATTTAGTTATGTGCAGTATACCAAGACTCATTGCACATCTTACCTGAAAGGCCTCGCCAGCAATCCTCGCAACCTCTTTATTCGCATCAAACCGCGCACAAAACCAAGACCCAATAACTTGCTTCAAGTACGGCGCAAACTGTTTACGAACTTGACGGACCAACCCCAACTGGACCGTGACCGTCATTTCACGAACACGCCGATCCGCGTCAATGACGAGCCGGTTAAAGGATTTAGACTAGAGTGCACATTGATACTTGATCAGCTTTCTCATTTTTTGCGTGGGTGATTTGGTGAAAGGGGACCAAGAGGGGACGTACCCGATACGCACCCATGCCGGTAAAATATCTTTAACAGTCTCAGAGGGTTCGGAAGAGACATATGCAGAGAGGTCTTCAAGGGCCTTAATACGGGTAACTGTATCCCGTTTTGAAAGGCGCTTGAATAGGACCTATCGGAAGGTGACGCAAAGTGTGAATAGTTTTCAAAAACCATTTTAGACTTTAAAGTCATGTACGCACCTTGACATCCCCATGCAAATCTCCCAACTCCCATTCAGCACCAGCACCAAACGCAGGTGCACCCAAACCAACCGTAAGGCCTCCAAACCCCTCCGTCAAGAGCTCGGCCGCACGACTAGAAAAAAAAGGTTGCTCAAACAAAAATATTACGGTTCCAATTGACCAAAGGAAACGTACCTGCTTGCGGCGGGTTGAATATTGCCCTTGACTCTTCGTTCCTTTTCCCTACCCATGCCAGGCACTAACACTAACAAGGTACAATTTGCAAATTGCAAACTGGACATTTGGTAACTTGCGTCGATCTTGCTTATGTGACTCATCCGCATTACCACGGCAACAGCGACTTGTGGTATAACCAAAATACAGTACACTGCGCGGATGGAATCAACTTTAGCCATCATGTTTGAACCGCAAAAATGTGATCAACTGGGCACAGTCAACGATGATACTAATTTGGTTGTTTCATGCTTCCATATTTGGCTAAATCGTTTATGTTAAGTTTTATATTTGGTTGAAACTTGCTTGTTATGAGACACTCAGCCACATTGATTTCGCTTTTCTTTAAGACCCTGCCTGCCCAGTTTGCTGTTGATTCCTGCCATATTCTTTGCACCATGTCAGCAATCACCGACAAGATATTCTTTCGTTTGGCCATTGCCAAGTCAGACGGAACAATGACCACCGACAAGATTATTCCATTCCCACATAGCAATGGTATTGTGAATATGCGTGAAGTCCAGGAAGCATTCGGCCTGCAGAGTGTCGAAAGAGTCGGTTCCACCCTTGCGGATACGCAACCCATTTACACCGATGCCAGAGGTGGAAACTTGGTTCCGTTTATGCCTGGAGAAATTGTGTTGATAACGGGACCAGAAGGTTTGGAAAACAAAAAACAAACATTCCAGCTTGTCATGAATATCAATGGAAGTATTTCTTCTAGGTGTAGAACGAAAGCAACCTTTTGGCCAAACTACATGGTCGCATGTCCTAGAGGCTACCGGCTGCAAGTATAATGGAGAGGAATGGGAAATCAGAGCTGAAATGGAAATGATTGAAGAACCGGACGAATGGTTATGTAAGTTTGGTATCACTCCGTGCATTGTACCTCAGATTTGCCAAAACTCTTTTATGTTATTAGTACAATCCCTTCAACGGTATATTTCCATATGGCCTCTGACCAGTGAACACGCACGGCGGGCCATTATAGATCTCATTCTCACTGCAGTGCTTAGCCGCGCTGAATTTAAGAAGCAGTTACGGCCCTACACTGAAAAAACCATGGGAATTTCTCAGCTCACTCCTAGTGGTATGCGTACGCTGTCCGGTCGTCCTGATTACCTCATCGGTCACGGTAATCTTGTGCCCATAACTGTACCGGATCCACAACACGAATCCCATCTGGTAGTCTTGGAAGCCAAACTTGCATGGGACGAGGAACAAGATATACTGCAATGTGTAGCGGGTGCAGCTGTAGTACATGCAAAAAGGCGGGAAGCTAACAAAAGTAACCGGAAAACGTGGGGTGTGCTAACCAATGCACGTATCTGGACAGGATGTGCAATTGACGATAACGGTGAAATTAGCATCGCGGGGGATCCGTTCATTCTGTTCTATTATAGAACGAGAAGAGATCTCGTATGGGCAGATATCAAAGACGTGTATTCCTTTATTGTTCATATTATGAGGCTCTCCTATGAGGCTTCTCCGACGACAACACCATGTACATCGGTAGAATCAATGGAAGGTTAATTTTATTTAATTAGTATCAGGGGTTGAGTTGATCACATTCGATTCCATCCGCGCACTTGCTTTCCTTTTATGGCACATACCAAACCAATTCATCTGGATACAATGCACAAGCACTGCAGCCTATCTGCCAAGCGCATAGCTTGCCTATTCACATTAGCCAAAACATGCCAAAAACCGAGCCGGAAACCGAGGACCCGCCACCGCACAACTTTGAGCAAGACCCATACGACCCACCACCACCCTACGAAGCCCCCTCAACACATCCCATCGTCGACGCCCTCCGCATCCAACTCGCATCCCTCGGACTCGACACACGCGGACGAAAACGGGATCTACAAAAACGGCTCCGAAGCGCTCGTAAAAAGGTTGAGCGGGCAAATGAGGACAGTGGGTGGAGTGTACCGATTGAGCATTTGGATACGACGACGAGACCCAAGGAGGATCTTTATGCATGGTTGGACGAAAAGCGACCAGACGGGTAATTAATTATACAAAAACAACATGACCTCCATAGGTAATGACCTTTTCTCTTGATAGTGCCCAACCGTTTGACTATTACTGCGTACTAGACGTGGAAGCCACATGCGATGCAGACTCGAATTGGGACTATCCGAATGAGATTATCGAGTTTCCTGTTGTGGTGATTGATGGGAGGCGGATGGAGGTTATTGGGGAGTTTCAAGAGTATGTCCGGCCGTTGGTATTTCCGAATGTGTCGGCGTTTTGTACAGAGTTGACTGGGATTACTCAGGTGGGTAGAATCAAGGGGGCAAAAGAGTGAAGTAGCTGAGGGAAGGGAATGGAAGGGATTGCAGCAAACCGCTTATGAGTCAATCCACCAAGCGACGAGTTTAGGCATAAAGGGGAATGCCGCGTATATCCGTGTTATAAACGTCATATCTGATATCTTTCTTTTCACCATCTCTCCCACTCTCTATCTCTCGGTTCTCGTTATTCCCTGCTCTCTCTCTCTCTCGTCGCCCGTCACTCTTGTCTCTCTCGCCCATCACTCTTGTCTCTCTCGCACATGACTCACTGACATTCGTGATGACGTTCGTGATGAGGATAGTCTATTGTGGACGCAGCGGACCCGTTCCCGACCGTCTTGAGCAAATTCGAGCAATGGCTGACGCAATACACACGATATCCCTTTTCCAACACACTCTTTATCAGCGACGGACCATGGGACATTCGCGACTTTATCCGCAAGCAATGCGCGCACTCGATCATGGAGCGACCAGCGTATTTGCAACGGTTTGTGGATTTGCGACGCCTGTATACAGATTTTTATGGACGAGAGCGACAGAATCTGAATGGGATGCTGCATGGACTTGGGATGACGTTTGAGGGGCGACCCCATTGTGGGATGGATGATGCGAGGAATATAGCGAGGATTGTGGTGAGGATGATGAAGGACGGGTGTGTGTTTGTGTGGAATCGGGAAGTAGTGGCGAGTAAAAGAGGGCGGAACAAGGCGTCCCGCTAGTTTGCCCCTTGCCAATTGTTGAGATTGTCTGCATAAAAAGAATAGCATTTTTTGGAATGAATGCAGAGGTGTGCAAGTGTTAGCGTTGCATAAAGAACGAGTTGTAATTATGTGTTGAAGAAGAAGAAGAAGACTCTTGAATGAATACAATGTGATAAAAAGAGAGAGAGAGAGAAGCACTTTTGCAATCATGAAGGGATAAATTCAATCTTTACATAGTTATTTCTAATATTTCTATTGAATTTCACACTCTCCCTCTCTCTCACATTAGACAATTCTCTCTCACATTCACACACACTCTCTCTCTCTCTCTCTCTCACAAACCATTAGTGCCCATTCCAACATCTCATCTCTCTCTCCCTCTCTCTCTCACGTGATATTCACACTAGAACGTGTATTCATTCTCACATTTGATTGGTTCATTTTCATATAATCATAATGGATATTCTCACACGGGTTATTATTTCTCATGCTTCTTTGTAGGTTGGCTTTTGCTTGTTCATTCCCTCTTTCCAATCTCATTCTCATCTCATTCCCCCATTAGAGAATCATCTACACACACGCACACAGCAATGGAAAAGGACATGTTTCTCTACTCGTCTTCTCTCTTGGACTCTTTTCAACAGAGCATGGATAGTACAGATTATTCACTCCACTCTCACGAGGATATGGACGTTGCTTTTCCTTCTCTCTCGCATATCGTCTCATCAGCATACAAGGGGGATGCCATTTATTCTCCCTATGTTCAACCAACCACCACAAACAACGAGGATGACGAGGTCCTTCTCACGCCCCTCATTTCGCCCGCAATGACGCCCAGCACAGACTTTTCACGCATGACCATATCACAACACAATCAGCTCTTTAGTCCCCTCACTTCCCCTGCTCTCCATCCCCAAGACTCGATTGACTCAATATCCCTTGGATTCTCCTTTTCCTCTCTTGCAAACCTTGACTCGATATCGGCGTCCGTCTCGGCTTCCCCCTCGCTTCCTCCCATGTGCGCCATTAATGCCGCCCTGTCTTCTCCCGCCCTCCCACCTTCAAAGCCTTTCCAAACGCCCCATGTCGGCGCTTCCCCTGCTCTCCCACCACAGAATTTGGAAATGTCTTCGCCTGCTCTCGTGGGGATGCAGTCGCCCGCCCTAAATGGCATGGCATCCCCAGGGCTGGCTGGTCTCCGAGAACGCCCCAAAAAGACACCTCTGGCCTCTCCCTACATTGTTCCCCGCAAAGGCGCGCTCGTATCACCCGCTCTCAAACCCTTGCGTGCCCGTTCCACCCATTCCCCAGAGGCAACAAGTAGTACAACCACGACAACAACAACAACAACCACAACGTCGTCGTCGTCGACAGCTCCCGTGTTTAAAACCCCCTTTCCCGTCCTCCCCGTCACCGCTACCTCGTCGCAACAACAACAACATGCGGCAGCGGCAGCGACCCTCATTTCACCCGCCCTGACACCCCAACTGGCTCCCTCCCTCCATGGCCTAGATCTGGCTCCCATCACACCGGCCCAGTTGATGAAATTGGACGGATTGGCCTCTCCTGATGGCACAGAACCAGCACCCAATGTCCTCAATGCGCTGGTATCGCCCTGTCTCAAGCCCCTCCTGCCCAATGGTAACGTCACGGCTGGGTTGCCTACAGCACTCGCAAACGTTGAATTCATCCATTATTCATTTAGGATCTGCAAATAATATGGACGCTGCTCTTCGTCTCACGCAAAAGAGCAATTATCAAAACATTAAAGAGGGGCACACAGAGTACGTTTGTGTTGTGTTGTCCCTTGATCACTTGCTATTGCTCATCTCTGTACCCAATTTAGACAACTCGGTCTCAAATACAACAAGGACGTGACGGCGTCCGTCGAAGCCCGCCGAGACTGCCACAAGCAAGCCGAACAACGTCGTCGCGACTCGCTCAAACAGTGTTTTGACGAACTCCGACGGGTCTTGCCTCCCATCCACGAAAAGAATCCAAGCAAAGTGGTTGTACTCAAGAAGTGTAGGTTTTACCCTTTTGGACTTTCCGTTGCTCTCGTGATTTACTGTATTGAAATAGGTTGTGAGTACATTGCGGATTTGCAATTGCGTGAACAAGAAACAGAGCGTGTGCTGGCTGAACTGCGTCGAGAGTTGGCTGTTGCCAAGGGGAATGCTTGATGGATACCCATTTATTTAGAGTTGCGGAAAAGCATGTGGGGTTCTTTTTTTTTTTTTTTTTTCTTTCATCCTATCCCTCTAATTGCAAAGATTACTACCAATGTGATACATCTTGGCTTTGCTTCGCACCCGCAATATATCATTCCCTTGGCACGTCATGTATGAGACCTTTTCCCAACATTCTTGCCCACCCGCCACCAAACATGCCCGACCTCCCGCTTGGCCATTTCCCAAACTCTGGACAATGGTCGGCCCTCCATCCAACCCGCTATCCGAAATACTCTTTCATAGGTTACTATTGTTGCTAGCTGCCCTTTGCTTTATTGCACTCGCCACAAAAATCATTTAAATATAACATTTACAGTCAATACCCCATGATGCTCAGTCCATCTGTATCTACACCCTCACATGAACCACACACGCTCACTCGACTACTAATAACGATATCCCACAGGACCTCTCAACATGCCCCCACCTCCCGCTCAACAATATCCCAAACCCTCTTGACATGCTCCCCCCAATCCCTCTTAAATTCCACCCGTTTTCCAACCCTCTTTCCAACACTCTTTGCAACATGACTCAATAATTCTTTATCTACACCCTCATAAGGACCATACACATTCACTCGATTCGTAATAACGATATCCCGTACAGGGAGATCCAAATCATTCAACATGTGTCGAATGCGTTTAATGAGTCTGCCGTGGTGTTTTGTTTGTTTATTGGTGGTGTTGCGGTTGTCGGGGTTGGATGGTGATGAGATGGTTGATTCGAGTTGTTGTTGTTGTTGTGATTGTTGTGGGGTGCGTCGGAAATGGGACTGGTATTTTTGGGGAATGTAATGCGTTGCGTGGATATCATCATGTGTTGACGTGCTTGGTGGGATGGGTGTGATTGGGATGGCGGAACGTGAGGAGGGAGGTACGTGACATAACAACTCTGCAAACTCTTTAAAAGATCGTTGGGATATGGTGGATACCATGCGTGAGGAAACCATTCTTGTTAGATGCATTGGTTTGCTTTCGTCAAATGGGATTCCTAACCTCATCGGCAGGCGTTTTCCTTTGATATCACGTGATGTGCATGATTAATGAGTGGGGGGTGGCTTGCTGTGGGATCTGACTAGATGAGCATGAATGTTTTTTAAAAAAATGGGTAATATAATCTCATTGAGCAGAATGGTATTTTGGATATATTCATCCAGAGGCATTTGATGTGTTTGTATTCAATCAACTGTGGTAAAAGCATATACATCCAATACGTATTTTTTGTTTAGATCGCGCACTGTAGGCGGCTCGTAAATGCCAAGTATAGTGACCTTCTGTCTTTAGGAAATGTATGATTGTGGACAAGATTATATCAAAGCTTTTGGGTACCGCTGCTCATCAAAAAACAGTTATTTGAATAAAAGTGATTGAGTGGCAGTATATGAAATTACATTTATATTATTGTTTTTACTTGATTATGGCATACATTAGAGGTACGACTGTTTCTCTTATCATACATGAATGGTAAACTATAGTCATTGGTTATACTTTTGCATGGCTGGCTATCGTATCATCCTTATAATACGGGCCAAGTCGTCGTGATCCCAGCACAGTCCAAAAAAAGGGGAAAGAATAACAGGACAGAAGAAACAGCCATTACACAAGTAAAAAAGTGTCACTGTATGCTCTTTGTTAAATAATCAATGGTATGCTCATGGTGTTTAATTGTTTTTTACGCCCGCTCAATCTCTTTCTGCTTGGCGCTCAACGCCTCATCAACTTGACCCATACACTTGTCAGTAACAACTTGAATCTACGAAACCCCACAACATTAACAAAGCACATACACCCCACAAAACCCAAAAAAAGCACACACAAACCTGTTTCTCCAATCCCCGCACCGTATCCGACGGAACACTTTTCAATTTCTTCAATTCCGCTCTCGCATCCGCACGAACAGTCCGTACATGATTCCGCGTCTTTTCCGCTAATTGTGCAGCTTGTTTTAATAGTGTATCTTTGTAGGCTTGTGTTAGTTTTGGGATGGGGATACGGAGGACGGTTGCGTCGTGTTTTTGGGGGTTGAGTCCGAGATCGGCATTTCGGATTGCTTTATCGACGATAGGGACGAGCTAATATTTTATAGAATATCAGCCAGAATGAAACCCTTGATTGAAAAAAGTGCACTACAGCGTTTTACCTCCTCGTCATTGACAATCACCATCAATGTATTCGCATCCTTGACATTCACTTGGGCAATAGCAGATAAGGCCACACGACTCGATTTATGCGCCACGACAACCGAATCCAATAAACTAGGTACAGCCCTCCCGAGACGGATCGACCCGACATCTTCTCTAAACCGCGTGACGCCTCGGTGCATATCAGAAGCATACTTTTCAATATTGAATGCAATATCGGGAGTCGGTGTCAATATGGGTTCTTTGGTGGTGGGTTTCCCCTTTTTTTTGGCGTAGGTTCTTGTTTGGATGTGGGGGCTTATTGGTGGGCGTGGTGGGAGGATGCGGTACAAGGGTGGTGCAAGGCGGATGGCATGGAGGAGGGTACGCCTTGAACAGAACATGATTGTGGGGATTGGAAAATGACTAGGTTTTTGGAACAGTCTGTTTTGATGAGTGACTATGTGGCTTTTGTGGCTTTTCATCCGATCCGATGCGTGTTACTATCTAGTGTGTAAAGTTACCTCTCCGAGAATTAAAGAACAGTTTTGAGCAACCAAGACAATGGACATTGTGGATGACGACAACAAGGCGCAAACGACACCCCGTATCCCCATTACTGTCTTTACAGGGTTTCTAGGTAACCTTTCCAAACATGCCATTGTTGCCATTCATTTCTGATTATTCTCATGTACATTAGGTGCCGGCAAAACAACCCTCATCCTCTCACTCATCCAACGTCTACCCAAGGGATACAATGTCGTATTGCTCAAAAACGAATTTGGAGACGTCAAAGGTATGTGTGTGTATACTTTGTTGGCGTGGGTTTCCATGTTTTTGCATTATCCGTTTACGCATCTATTCTAGTTGATAGTGAATTGGCAAGGGAATCTAATGTCAAGGTTACTGAGATGCTGAATGGATGCATGTGTTGTGTCCTTGTTGGACAAATGAAGAATGCACTTGAAGAAATCCGAGGTACCAACACACACACCACTGTCAGCACCCAGACAAGGTATACTCACATGATTCTAGATACAATGTCCCCCTCCCGTATCATCATAGAAACCTCCGGCTCAGCCTTCCCCGCCCCAATCGCCTGGCAAATCCGTTCCCTCCCCTCCTTCTCCCTCGACGCGATCATAACCGTAATAGACTGCCTAAATTTCAAAGGCTACGAAGACACATCCTACACGGCAAAACTCCAAGCCCAATACACAGACCTTCTCCTGTTAAATAAATACGAATTAGCATCAGAGCGACAATTGGAAGACGTCCTTGACCGCGTGAACGATTTGAATACGGATACACCCAAAGTACCCGCCCTGAACGGCTCCGTGAACCCGGATTTGGTATTTGGAATTGATACGAGTTTATTTGGACTTGATACAAAGGAAGCTGATACCAAAACCTGGGCGGGACTGGTTGATCCCCATCACATGGACAATGAAGTCGATGTCGTCTGCCTTGAATCATCCACTTTTGATTATACACTGAATCGAGTGGAGCTGGATAAACTGTTGGGTTCTATTCCTTCTGATGTAATTTATCGTATCAAGGGGTTGATCCTCCTCTCTGATCCGGATGGATTATTTATTTTGAATTGGGCTTTTGGGAGGTATGAATTGACGCCTGTTACGAGGGAGATTGTGGGGGTGCGAGTCAAGGTGACGGTGATGGGAGTGGATATGCAGCGGTGGGTTGAAACGTTGCGAGTTGGGTTGGGAATCGGTGTATAGAATGAGATGTGGAAGAATACAATATTTATTGTATTAAGAGATTGATTTTCTCCTCCTCTAATCCGGTGCCTCGATGTTTTATTTTGAATTGGGCTTTTGGGGGTTTGAATTGACGGTTTTGTTACGAGGGATATGCCACAGCGATGGGTTGAAACGTTGCGAGCTGGACTGGAAATCAGTGTATGAAAGGTGGTTGTGAAAATGTTGAGAAACTCCTTGGACAAGACGGGCCAATGTCGCTTTGTGGGGACTATCCAGTGATGGGTCATTCTAACAATCAAACTTGAAAAGCGCATATCCAATCCGAACAAATCAACAATACATGTTGAAAGAATAATAAAGGACGCACATGTTGCGCACTGCAGACTATGTACAATGATATATAAACAAGGTTTTCCCAAACGTTGACGTTTCTTTGAAAAACTACCAAACCAAAAACTATATATAAAAAAAAGGAATGTTCCCTTTTTGCATGAAATGCAAATGAAAAACAAAAAGTGTTTTGTCTGTACAATGAAGCGTTCCCTTGCAAACTTTTCAAACCAACCGTTCAAGATGCATCACAAAACTCTTGACACTCTCTTCCTTTCCAACATCCGGCGCACTCGCCCTCCGTCCCCTCGGCAACGCCTTTGTGGAGGCTTTTTCCAATTTCCGAACATGGCCTCTGTAATGCTGTAACATGTTATCATGCCTCGAGAACCGTGATGAACAGGTCGGGATTGGGCATGCGTGGGGTTTGGATCCTGTGTGAAGGCGGCGGTGTCGGGATAAATGTCCAGATGTGCTAAAATCTTTATGAAAACAGTCAATATAAACGATATGTATAAAATGTGTATGATTTTTCTATTCACTTACTTTTTCCACATCCTTCGACTTCACATACATATCTCCGTCTCGGCAACGAAGACGCCCTTCGTCGCTCCACTTTCTGCGTCACGGACAACCGAGCGGGAAGTGAGTTGCGCCGATTGGAATGAAGGAGGGGTTCAATGGGTGGTAAATGGATACTGTTGATAGGGTTAAGGAGACTTGCGATGAGCATTTTGGGGGATTGGGCGGGAGGTGTAGGTGAGCGGGTGCTAGTAGGTGATTGAGACATTTTTGAAAAGGTTTGCGGGGGAGGGGATGTTTGTTGAAGGCCGAGTTCAAATAACTAGAAGTGGACCTTTTGTTCACCACTCTGCGCACGGGGAGGAGCGGGGGGTTCTTTGCTGAAAGGTTCCGAAATACCCTTTTTTTTAATGGAAAACTTGTTTAGCGCAAACTCCCAAAACCTGGTTTACTTGACCTCTTTATTACCCTTATAAAGTTCTATAAACTTTCACTTGAAGAACGCAGGGGACCCTCAACAGCCGTCGACGTAAAAAGAAAAAAAGCAAAAAAGCTCCGTTAAAGGTTTAAAGTAACTTTTGAGGGGCGGCGAGTAATTCAAAAGACGACGGGGCCCAACAAAGAGTATCCCTTTTTTAACTGTAAGTGCCAGTAACGAAATGGGAGCGGATGTGGGTCTTCCCTCCCCTTTTTTTGTATCTTGACTCCATGGATAGAACAAAACTCGCTTCAAAGGAACATTATCTTGAAGTTGTGTTCTTTTCACCTGGACGTTTGGCGTCCTTTAAAAGGTGGCATAAATACTGCGAGTCCTTGGTCTGGGAACAAAACTTGAGATCCGTGATTCTCAAGGGGAATGGCTGTGATGGGTCATAGCATCCATTTTCTTACGGGGAGAGGCGGGGGGGAATGAGTAGACTTTTTTTAAAAACGCCGTCGTAGAAAGCACGGTGGAGAATATCCCGAGTTAATAGTCGCGTCTTAAAACTCTCAAGTGTGAAATAATCAATAAAACGTGACTAGGGGGAAAAGAGTCAAGATCTGGGGAGGAGCGAACTAGTTGGGTTATTTAACAGATAAAAATAAGTAAAAAGAATACATGCATAAATCTTTTTATTATTTGGAATTTAATTACTCTCCACTCTCCAAGTATAAAATACTCTTTATAAACGCTCTTGTTTGTTTGTCAAGATTTGTTTAAAGAAAAACATACTTGTGATCTACCTAGCATACACGGACCCGAACCCAACATAAATGTTTGGGTGCGAGAACTTGTGGATATTGTCCTCGAGTTCCTTCAGCTGCTGCTCCATGTTGACTTTTCTGTATGTATGTTTCAACAAGAAGCATGTGTTAGCAAAAGTAAGACTCCAATTTACAGGAAACCCAAAACAAAAACAAAACAAGAACCAACTCTTCAGACTCGCAAGAGAACACACAAACTAGAGTGACAACCCAAAATCCACACACACACACACAGACACATCACATCACATACACACACACACACACACACATACGCACACACACACACACACACACAAGGGAACGGGAGTAGTTATATACCTACCTAGCAATCTTTGGCACAGTATCCACCGTCAGACTCAGCTTTTGATAATCGGAATTCAACTTTTGCCAATTCTTTTGTAAACCATCCAAAATCTCCAATCGCTCTGTTTCGGGTAACCTCACCAACCCCTCCTCTTGTTGAGCACGTTGTTGCCTCTCATTTGCAAGCTGCTCAAGAATCGTTTGGTTTCGAGTCCGTGTATCCGATTTGGAGTGGGATTGGGCATGGAGGGTTTGCGATGGATGCGGGACGGGGTCATCTTGCCGGAGATACGGTGGGACTTGGCCGTACGTCTTTTTGGTGAGGTATGAAGCTGGTGGGCTAGGTGGTTTTTTTGCCACTGTTATGCAACGAATGAGAAAAACAGAGGATTTAGTCGTAAAAAACGTGGAGTCTTTACCAGAGTTGATATTGTCTAGAGCGTTCGTCCGGACAAAGTCTTTTGTGGACGTTGACGGGAGGCGTCCGGGCTCTTTGGGTAAGTCGGCTTTGCGAACTGTTCTATCAGGGTGCTGAGGAGGAGCTGTTGCATACAAAGAAAGAAAAAAAGCAAGACGTTAAACGGCTACTACAGTTTTTGCAAAACTATTTTTTTTAAACTCACCACGTCCAGCTCCATTCTCTCTCTCCCCTTTTTTCAAAAACTCTTTTGGATCCGGTACAGGAACTTTGAGGGGACCCATACTGGCAGCACTCTTCTTTCCCTTTTTAAACTCTTCGTGAGCCATTCCTGAGAACCTGCTCTTGTACCGCTCGGCCTTTGGAGGCACTGGTTCTTCAACTGGGATCAATTTATAAACGCTTTCACTGAACGGATCAGAGGGCACATCTTTTTTGGATGGTTTGACCAGTGCGCTTGGATGAGGGACGGCTGCATCGATCCCTTTTTCACGGACGGCGCTGGGCGCTGTGATGGTCACTGCGGCTTTGGTCGTAGCGTCCGATGGGAGCGCTGCGGGACGGGGACCGACGGACGGGCCTGTCATGGCTGCCTCCGGGTGGTCTACTCGACCTGGTAGAGACGCAGAGGCATGATGAGCAGGCCCCGGACCAGTACTGACAGGCATCGTTTAAAAAAAAAGCAATCTGGGAGCAGAAGCAATCGTCCTCTGATAAGAAACACTTGACAGAAATTTCAAAAAGAGGATTATATAATGATCTGGATGGACAAAACTCCGCTCCTATGTAAATTTCTCCCCGTTTTAATGCCCATATCCCTTTAATCCCCCCTATTTTTTTTTGTGGATATCGGAGAATTTATTATAGATGATGATTTTTGGATGCCGACTGTTTTACTGACATTTTTGTCGTTGATATAAAGCTCCTTCGTCTGGCAAAGATGCTGCCTGGCTATTGATTTCATGCCATTCCCCAATGGCATATCCATCAAATGCTTGCTGGGACATCTTTCGTGTTGACGAGAGCATTCGGGCACGTGCCAGCATCAAGCCTCTGATTACGCAATCCATCGCAACCCCAGGGACCTTGCTTACTCATGTGATCATCTTCCCCCGTGTGTGCTGTCCCGTCCGTTTTGTTGGCTCATCATTACTCTTTAGTTGTCCATTGTTCAAGATGAGCTTCCAGGATCACAACTACATGGACCCGTCGACAAGTAGCACGGATCGGCAATCCCACTCGTTGACGACAGAAGAAATGTTTGGCTTTTCAATGTCTGATCCTACACTCATGTCACCCGCGTCCATGGTCAGCCACGGCTCAACTCTTTGTGAAGGCCAGCACATGATCGACCCACTTTTGGAACAAGCTTATGACAAAGTCCAGTTGGTATGTCGGGTGAATCTTTTTGTGCTTGTCATGATTGGATCCTGACATGATCTTGCCAAACAGGATGCATCCACACTGGCTGCCCAGTCCAATATTCTTCAGGTTATTAATCAGTTTTGTGCGCATGTTCTTGATAATGCGTTCCTCCCGCGCCCTCTCTCCGCCTTTGATGATCTACCCCCCCTTCCAGACGCATACGTATTGAATGAAATTCTTTGCATCTATTTCGAAAAACTGCCTCCAACCATTGCAATCATCCACGAAGATGCCTTTTATAAATCCGCGTCATTGCCTCCCAACCAGGATACTACTCCCATGCGTCCACCCTATCATCATAATCCCCCGCGACTCGGGTTGAGTCCTGTACTGCTGTACTCTATGATGGCGTGCGCCGCGCGATATCATCCACAATATGAGGGCAACTCGGATATTGTCCGACAAGTCTTTTATGAAAGGGGCAAACGGTTGATGTTGGAAAATCTCGGCAAACCGGATTTGAACCTTCTCAAAGCCCTGTTGCATTTGACGCTGTTTGGTGTAGAGCATTCCTTGTGGATGGAGGCGTACATGTGGCTTGGTAACTCTGTGGCCATGGGCAGATTTTTGGGACTGTACAAAGAGATACCTGTTATTCCTATGGGGCCTGGTGGGAACGGCGGCATTGGTGCCGAAGAAGATCTGATAGGCGGCTTGTCACTGCAGCAAATCACTGCCGAAGAATCACGCCGATGTTGGTGGTGGATGCGCAACTATGATGCATCTGGATCTGCCGCATCAAAACGTCCCCAAATGATATCGGACGCAGAATACGCATCGACCCTTCTCCTTCCTTGCCCAGATTCGCTCTTTTACGCCACGCGATATGGACTGAAACCGGACACACCCGTCATCCCGCGTACACAAACATTGGATGAATTCTACAGTGAATTATTCTCGGCGGATTTGACTCACTCCTCTATTGGTCCGAATGGATACATTGCTGCCCTGACCGCCCTATTCAATCGCGTCACCCGATTCCGGCAGCAATGCAATAATGATAATATTTTGCCCTTTTGTCCAGGTCCTGGTACGCATACCCAATTACTACGTGAATTGGAAAGGCATCAAGCGGAGCTGGATATGTGGTATGGTAAATTACCGCAATGGGTGCAAGTCTTAAATAGTGGCGTGAGGGATCCGAATGATCCCATTGTCGGGGGTGGCATGTGCTGGGAGGAACAATGGGTGAGGGAGACCTATGAATGGGGTATTGCTCTGGTATGAATACACCGTGTTCCTGAAATGGTCGTGCTGTTCTTCTCACTTTTGTGTTCTAAAGGTGATTTGGCACGCGACGGTGGCAACGCTTCATGGTAAGCACCATCCCTTGCTGACTTTTGCACGATCTCTAACACTGTCCCGTAGGCCCTGACTACAATATGATGACGATGGGCTCACAGATTGTAGGATCGCTCCAATCTATGGCAGGAACCCAGAGGCCCCCCTCTCACATCACTGCCGGGTTCATGACAGCCGCGCGACTGGACGAAGTCCTGGCAGCCTGGCAAAACAGTCCGAGCTTTGGAAAAGCCATTGAGCATGCTGCTGTTGGCAGTCGGTTGTTGGAAGAGATGGCCGCCAGGGTTGAGGCGAAAAAGAGGAGAGACACGCCCTTTTTTGGGTATTGCGTCTGTCAGCTGGTGAGTGCCATGCATTTACATTTGTCGGGCGTGATCTGTACTCTAATGGATTTCCAGGGCCTCCTCAACCTTATTGCAGCCCGTCAACTAGCTCTCATGCAGCGCACCGCAAACCCAGATGAAACGGTAGCGTCCGTCCTCAAACACCGCGCCACGAGTAGTATTTCCATCCTTTACCACCAGTCCCAGGTCTTTAGCGCCAGTAAAACCGGCATGCAGCTTTTGGAACGGGTCATGACAGAGATTGCTGGTGGGGAGGTTACCATGCGGGTTATGGGCGAGCTTGCTCGAGAAGGACGATCGGGCACAGAGGATGCGGCGGTGAAGGAGATGCTAGTAAGGAAGGCTATGGGGCAGACGGCTCAAAAGGTCTTGGAGGAGCCGGGCCAGTGTGCAGGCACGATGGGGATGGGAGGACAAAAGTTTGGGACTTTGCTTTGACAGCGTATCCGATTTATATCTTTGTTGAGGGATTTTACCGAGTTGGGATTAGCAAATATTGCGTTGATGACGTACGGCGAAACAAAACTATTTTTGTAGATATTGTCTTTTTATATATACACTTGAAATTATGCGGTAACAATGGTAGCAGTAGATGAAGAATATGTATTCGTCACATCTAGCAAAGCTACCTAGCAAACCCATACTTTTTCGCGGCCATCCCGTCCACGAACCCTGGCACAAAGTTTCTCAAAACAACGCCCACCCAATACTTGCTTGGGATATAAACCTCGGTTTTCCTCAGATCCCCCGCACGGATAATCTCCCTAGCACACGTCTCAGGGTCCAATTTGGATTCACCATCCTTCTTTCCACCACCACCAGTAGCATCCACAGCACTCTCTCTTAACCCCGTGTCCACACTCGCGGGTAAACAAATACACACTGATACGCCATACTGCTGAACCTCTATTCTCAACGAATTAAAAAACCCATTTACGGCGTGCTTACTTGCTGCGTAGAGTGATCTCGTTGGTGCCGGGAGGGATCCAGCCAGCGAAGACACAACAATAAACTTTCCTCGAGATTGCTTTAAAAGGGGCATAAAGTGTTTTGCAATGTAGATTGGAGCCAGAGTGTTTGTTTCAAATAAGGGTTGTATAATCCTTGTCGTATCCTTCTCACACACTTGCTCAAATGGGAGGATAGATAGTATCCCCGCATTGATGACTACTGTATCGCATCCGTCTAATTGGTCTTTTGTAGCGGCAACAATTCCAAGTAGATCTGCTTCTTGAGTAATGTCGCCCACAATATACGAGGCCTGTTTGCATGTTGGAAAAGAGAGGCAGCCCGAGGTGACGGATTCTAGAAGAGCTTCCCGCCGAGCGACCAAGACAAGACGTGCGCCCCGCCGAGCATATTGTAGAGCCAGTTGTTCGCCGATACCTATCTAAAAGGTTAATGGGGCCATGTAGCATTACCACATTTGGATAATTAACCAACCGGATGAGGCACCGAAAATGACAACCTATACGCTCAGTGAATAACATGATTCGCGTGGGGTGCTTACAATAGACATTGACATACCCGCTCGCCCGTATGGTCTTTAAAAGTCACCGCAGTATTTCGTCTACGATATGCACGACTTAGCCAGAAACATAGCCCTGCAATAATGAGGTACGATAGCATCATTGTTTTCATTCCAGCAGCGCAACTGGATGCTTCCTGTTCGCTGATGCTTGTCCACGTGAGGATACAGCATAAGCAGCACTCGAACCATAAATCGAGGCTGGAGCCAGCTGGCGAGGCTAAGCCACTAGATACTAAAATCACATGATTGACAAGCACATGACCAAGCTGAGGCAAGATTGCGTAAATATCCGAATGTTGCCATGTCAACTTGATTGTAAAGCCACAACCCCTTATTTATTAAGTAAGCAATTACTAAGAATGGAATAATTGCAATCTGAGTTGCGGCTAATAATAAGCCAAAAGGTCAATTTTAGATTTCACATTGAAAATATGGCTGCTGCGCTGGCAAGGGGAAAGTGTGGCGGTAGGCTCATAGCACAGGTGAGCGCTTTCTCCAACAATTTCCCGATCTGTTCATCATCATCATGTCCAACACGGCTCGGTTCATAATCGCAGCAGTCTTTATCATCAGCACCAGTTTCTTTGTGCTGTTCTCGTTCTCTGATACTCCCGTACCCTTTATTCGAAGTGAACCTACTGATACCAAGATAACAGCCCTTGAGAATCAATTGGCTGAGCTGAAACTGGGACGGAACGACCAAGTGGATGCCTATGTCAAGTGTTTGACCAAGCCGGAAGGGCATGAAACCTTTTACAATGTTCAACGGTGTTTGGCAGATATCAAACAGTGGGTGATTTGATCAAGTAAACAAAGGATCGAATGTGAGCTTCACGTAAAAACTTTTGTTTATTAGCAAGCACATTATGAAAGTCGTGGATGTCATTGAAAAGCTTCCGGCAGAGGAGCTGCAGCGATTTGCTGGCCAGGGGGGCTGGGATTCCGTTCCCAAATGGATTGTATTTGACCTCTTTCAACCAACGTACGAATGCAACGCCATGGATTTCATTCGGTATGCATGTTGTGCTTAAGCTTTTTGGTGGATTGTGATTAATGGTTTGGTCCGACAGTATTGGGGCGCCATCCAAAACCGGGGATACAGGTAAATGGATCTGTACAGATAAACTGGACTTTGGCCCCCAAAAGAAATGCGTCATCTATTCCTTGGGATCGAACAACCAGTTTGACTTTGAGCAGGATATGCATCGCTTGTTTCCCGAGTGCAAGGTATGCCGCGTCGTTTTCCTTATTGAGATGAACCAAACCTGAGATCTTTTTTTTTTTTTCTTTTAGATCCATACACTTGACTGTACGGGCAACTGGGCCGACCCTTCGACAACCTTTCACTCGTGGTGTGTAGGGGGTGAGGACAAGACGGATGATAAGGGTCGGCAATACAAGCGCTTGTCAACCGTTTCCAAGGAGTTGGGTGTGGACACCATCTCCTTACTAAAGATGGATATAGAAAAGTACGTGTGGTAATGCCTTTGCTACTGTGGGACGCTATACTCACGATTTATCTTTATGAAACAGCTTTGAATGGCCCTTCTTCATTGACCTCCTAAACGAACCAGTCGATCACCGCCCAATGCAGATTCTCGTTGAATTCCACGCCGGCATGCCATCTGGCAGCGTCCCCCGTCCACACGAAATTGCGCCAACACTCTTTGAGGGATGGAACAAAAACTGGGCTATACCTATGGTGAAAATGTTGAAATTGTTTGACCAGTTGGGGTACCGAATTGCTTGGCAGGAGAGGAACCGGTGGGGAGAGTTTGCTACTGAGATTATTCTAATTCACGAGCGGGCGTTATGAATAGTTAGATATATTTAATTTGGTGGAAGATTACCGTATTTTATGTAGAATAGTTTGGACAAGATAGGTATATCTTAGGTTTCTGGTCATTATCAAAATAATAGCGTGGTACAGGGTTCCAATAAAGCAATAAACTTCATCTACCGTATAGAAATCTAAAGAAAACTCATTGCAAGGAGTATTTTGAAAATTGCCAATTCACAAGGTTGGGCTTTTGATGTCATTAAGAGGAGCGCTGGATGGGCAACGAACAAGGGCTTGTTCAGGTCACGTGTTGTCATTGAGCTTGAAATGGGTTAAATGGCAAGACTAGCAAGCAACTCAACCGCCATCTCCATCATGTCGCAATCTTTTGATTTTGCAGACTATTCACATAGACGGTATGAAGTATCTGCCCCGACGGCGTAAATAGAACCCCACCTCATGCTCTGAAATCAGGTGGAATCCTTTAACGGACTCTTGGGTAATGTGCTCCCCACACCGCTCGAAGCGACCCTGGCACGGTATGGAACGTTTGCAGCATGCACAAAAACCGTGAACAGACGCCCTCAAAAGTAGAATGCAGGCGAACAGGGAGGTGATTCATTGGGACAGAAGCCCGCATATGACCCGACCTGTTATTTATGGTACAGCCCCTTGAGCGGAATTGGGACCGTACTGCCGGTGCTCATGATACTAGTCCTTCAAATTCTCGGGCAGGAGGAAAAGAAATGAACCCTTCCTATACGAGTACTTTTGTCTTTCCCAATGATTTTCCCGCGGTTCAGGAAACGCAACCCGTGTACTCGTGGAGCATTCCTGCTACTAGTACGGACAACTTGCAAAGCGTCGCAAACACGGAAAACATGCAAAGTATTGCACATAGCCTCTTAAAAGCCGAAATCGTTCGCGGGCAATGCAGGGTGGTGTGCTTCTCACCCCGACACGATTTAACCATGGCTGAAATGGACATTGATGAGATCCTAGCCGTCGTCAAAACCTGGACGCGCGAGTACATTGAACTTTCAGCCAAAGAGTACATCAACTATATCCAGATATTTGAAAATAAGGGATCCATGATGGGATGCTCCAACCCTCACCCACATGGTCAAATGTGGGCTTTAGGAGACATACCCCAAGAACCATCTAGAGAGCTCTCTTCCATGAAAAAGTACTATGAAGAACACTCTAGATGTCTGCTTTGCGATTATGTTGCGCTGGAGACGAGAGATGGTGCACGCATCGTGTGTGAGAATGATTCTTTTGTGTGCCTAGTTCCGTTTTGGGCTGTTTGGCCTTTTGAGACATTGGTGGTTAGTAAACACCATTTGGGGTCTTTGGTCGATTTGAATCCTGTGCAGCAAAAGGATTTGGCGGATGTGATGAGGAGGGTGGCGTGCCGATACGACAATGTCTTTGAGAGTTCGTTCCCGTACTCCATGGGTAAGGTTTATCGTTGCTGGACATTGACGAAACATGACTGATCAGAGTTGTTTAGGTATTCATGGAGCACCATGTGATGGTCAACCCCACGCAAATGACTGTCATCTCCATCTTCATTTTTATCCACCCCTCCTGCGAAGTGCTACGATTAAAAAGTTTCTGGTTGGGTGAGTGAGAGCTAATGTCACCAAGTTTTGAAAAACGGGGAGAATGGTGAGGTAACAATACGGTGTCAATTAGGTTTGAAATGATGGCGGAACCACAGAGGGATTTGACTCCGGAACAAGCAGCGGAGCGGTTGCGGGGGTGTTCAGAGATACATTATAAAATGACAAACACTCTTTAGATAGACATGTAAAACCTGTACTTGGATTATAATGTGATCATTGCATAATGTCATTGGCATCCTGCTCCGATGTCGATTTACACTGTCAGTTTTCCACCTATCCTTTAGTAACCACAACCTCCATCCCCTATAAAGTGCTGTTAGCTGGCCTTCTGTTCATCTAATGCTTTGCTTCCGTGGTGTGAAGATTGAGACGCGACGCTAAGCCACCGCGGTAGTGAATTTCACCGCCGGGAAGATGGACAAGCTTTTAAAGTTTCAACCACCCATCTTTCAACAACCGCACCAACTCGCTCAAGATGACAGACATTGCTACCTCATACGCTGAATTTCAAACACTGAGAATCACATCTCCAAGCGAGCATGTCCTTCACGTGGAACTCAACAGGCCAAAACAAATGAACAGCATGAATCACCAGTAAGCGTTTATATCGTGGACGGTTGGGCCAACACTCTAGTTAAAACGAAACGCATGTATAGATTCTGGCATGACATGCGGGACGTGTTCAGACGTATTCGTGCTGATACCAATGTCCGTGCTGTAGTCATCTCTGGGGGAGAATGCAGGATGTTTACAGCTGGGCTTGACCGTAAGGAACTTTCCGTTTTTGCTTGACCAGAGTGTCCTTGCTGAGAGATATACTGTAGTCAAGGCCTTTGGGTCCACCTTTACTACCGGCGACGAAGATCCAGCACGTAAAGCGCTCAACTTCTTGCCCCTCGTTCACGACATGCAGGAATCTTTTACGGCAATCGAAAACTGTATGCGGCCGGTTATTGTTGCTGTGCATGGAGCTTGTATTGGCGGAGGTTTGTCAGTATCGTTTCAAAGTTGTCAGCATGTGTTTTTGACGGGCGTTTTAGGAATTGATTTGATTACGGCTTGTGATATACGGTTTGCCACCAAGGATGCCTTTTTCTCGATCAAGGAGGTCGATATTGGTCTCGCTGCAGATATTGGCACCTTGCAGAGACTGCCGAAAGTTGGTGAGTTGTCGTAATACGTGTCTGTGAAATCACGAACTGGATCTTTATACCCTGTATTCCTAGTTGGCAACGACAGTTGGGTCCGAGAACTGGCGTTCACTGGCCGTAACTTTGGTGTTGCCGAAGCCCTCCAATTCGGTCTGGTCAGCAAAATAGTTGAAAATAAGCAAGATCTCGTGGGTATGTATCAGTATTTATCCACACACTGAACTTTACTGACAATACCCATAGCGGAGGCCATTAAAACAGCTACATTCATCGCCACCAAATCGCCCATAGCCGTTGTAGGAACAAAGCAAGTTCTAAACTATTCACGGGATCATACAACAGCAGAGGGACTGCAGTATGTTGGACTGTGGAATGCGGCTATGACGAACACCCAGGTGAGAAATTGCATTTCGACGTTTGATGTCATGTGTCCATTTTGGATTGACCCCCAAATGGCTGGTGGTTAGGATATTCCTATTGCAATTCAAGCGAATCTGGCCAAGACGAAGCCTGTTTTCCCGAAATTGTAGAATGTAGGCTTTATACAGATCTGTAGAAATTACTGCAGAATATTAGGAGCATGCGTAGAATACGCGATGAAGAACGCTGTCAGTATCATTGGGCAGCTTGAGGAATTAAGAGTACGGTCAATGGGTAGACGTGTCCATGATATACCGCCCAAATGGCGAAATCACCAATCTGGAAAAATTGCTGCCTCACATCAACAGTGGCCCGCGTAAGGAAGAAATTCATCAACAGGTCTCCATAAAACTCTTAGACAAAACGGTCTATTCTGCTTTTTATACAAGGACACATTTTCAAAAAACCACATTTGCTAAAACTGCCACTATTTGCGAAACGCGGTAGGTACCCGTTCCTCTGAGAAATGAGCACGATCATGAGGCGTCAACGCCAAATATTTTCCTCCATTTTCCATATCATCCAACGTGGTTATTTCTCGCAGGTTCTGGTCGACAATGACTTTGGGTATGCCTGGAGGAATGAGCGTTGCGGCGTGTTCGCGGAGCTGCCGTGGATTCAATGTGTAGAATGTTAATAGCCATTAATTGTCCGCAGAATAAATGGATGGGCCATATACCTTGTCTATGGAAGGATATGACTTGTTGAGAACGATATCCTCACCGTGGGAGTATCGCTCAGCATATTCAAAAATCTTGATTTTCTTTGCGGTAACTCCAATATCCGATTCACGAGATTTGGATCGAACAATGGGCTTTTCCCTCTACAAAAAAAAAAAAGTCCAAAAACGTACATCAACATCCTCACTCTATTTTCAATCCTTGACCCAATCAAAAACATACATCAACCCTCTCCCTCAAATCTTGATCACTTCCAAAAGGTACGTGACCACGATGCGCAGAGGTAGTGTTTCCATCGTACTCGACAAGATCCTTCCGGCCCGCCATTCCACGTCCATGGCCTTCCTCGTCAAATCTTTGTTTATGCGTACCCTACAGAACATTCAATAAAGAACCAATGTGGGTTCGTGTTCATCAAAGTTGTGAACGTACTGTGTAGGTTCGAGGATCCGTCAAGCGGGCAGTCACATCCGCTGCGCGAGGTGCAAGGTGCTCAGTGCTCATATCTGGAAAATTGTATAATTGGTTTGTACTAACAAAGAGCGGGAAGGAAAATAAACTCTTGCTTTTTATGCCTTTTGTTTAGCTGCCAATGACGACATGTTTGTTTCAGCAAGTGGGTATTAACAATCGACCGAATTTTTGGGGGATGTCACATCACGAGATGTGGATAAGGGGTTGTGAGGTCATGTTGATGTGTGTTTGTCCAATGCTTGTATTGGATGTTTGCTATATGCATTTTCGTTGGGGGTGATGGTGTTGAACATGCTCCCAGCATAGCGCTGGTGGACAGTAAAAGTTATCCTGTAATTACAGCACTGTCCAAAATGGAATGCTATGGCAGGCTCCTTGCGATATCTACAAGACACGATTTTAGATTTAGATAGATCAGATTCGACAAAGCCTTGCTCTGTAGATCTCAGCAGCAAAACCTATCAGTTCCTGATTAGCATCGTTACAGTTTGCAAGAGAGCTGTTCAATGTCGCATACCTGCGACAGCTCTGGTCGGAGCCGTCGGAGTCCATCATGTATGATGACATAAGCCGCAAAATGGTTCACGTGGAGGGTAGGTTCAGAGAACTCTTATTTCGATCTGCCTTTGGAGGTCGTATCATTGCAATTGCTGTGTCAATCATATTGATTTAATCAATGGTTTGTTAGGGTGACATGCAGTAGCGACGATGTAAAGGTTGGATCTAGTTATGCAGATAAGCATTCGTAATTGTTATCGTTATTCGCCGCATGGTCTGCGTCCACAAGTACTGGAACTACTCATGCTGCACCACAACATGTGCCTTATGTACCGCTTGAGCTTGGAAATGGGCAGGGAACAATAACGCAAGGAATATAATAACATGCAATTCACGAAGCAATGGCTCAAAGATACTAGTAGGAAGGCTGAATCAATTGCATGTACAGTATAGTAACATCTAGGCGTGGCTTTGTTTGTGGCTTGTCTTTGATTAGTGCGCCACAGTGTTTGGATGCAGCTATTTGAGATTCCGCTGTCTTTACACAATTCCAAGTAATGCTCTCTAAGCGTCCATATGATCAATTGCGAAAGCAGTTTGTTCAAGGTATGTTTGCACCGCTGTCCCACTTTAGCCTCACCCACCGACATTTCAAATCCCAAATAGGGTCGTTACCGGACCTTCTCCGGGACAAGGTGGTGTCGGTCTCAGAGTGGGATCGATCGCAATTGGCAGCTTTAAAGCAGGTAGTAGAGGAGAATGTCCCTGTTGAGAAGGTCGTTCCCGCGGTTTATGTTGGGAGTGAGGAGGGTGAGTAGGCCTAGAAACACTCTTTAAATATCTTGGGTCAGGTGAATCGTTGGTTGGGAAGTTGTTGGGTCAAAATGTTTAGTGCACACTTTTTTTTTTTTTGCAGTCCGGACGTGTCCCGACAATCAGGCTTCTGGACCTTTTCATGGAGTATCACTGGAAATTAACAGTCATCTATTATGCGGATTCGTTCATGTAGCTCCTTGTCGCACGCTACATCAAGCAACACCAATTACAATTATGAATGCTCGCCTGCCGAACTAGATCCAATCATTACATGGCAGCTACTGCATGTCATGGTAACAATGCATTTATCAAATTGCGGCTGCTTCTATTATGGTCGAATTCCTAGAGCACCCAGAAACGGAAACGGGAAAGCATAGAAAGGGTGTTAGGGTTTACGGTTGTCGGGAGAGAATGGATGGAATGGTATCCTTCACAAATTAAGCTACTTTATAATTAAGCAGGAATTATGATCGTCTCAAATTCTCATTGCAGCAATGGAGGCTGTTGCTTTACGTGCAATCCGGCCTCGCGATCTGCCATCCATTGTCGCCTCTTTTCACCTTTTCTGCTTACTCAACCAGATCATTTGTTGAGGGTAAAAATAGTAGCAATGCGTTTTGAAATGAATTTAGTTCCAATTTGATGAACGTACGCTCAAGTAGTAAGCGAACAATGAAAATGGCCACACTGACTACGACCAAATAGTTATTTTCTGCCTATTTTGTGTTCATGCCCAGTAAACTCTCCCCACCGGTTTCCCCGTCCACGACAACAGTCTCTCGCGGTCGCACCATCTCCAAACTCATGCCGAAAACAGAGACGAGAGAAAAGACTGACATGGCTCCCTCAGCAGTCAAGAAACCACAAAATGAAACAGGCGACACTGTGGTGCGACAGCGTCGTAAGCAACAAGACTCGTCGCCGCCTGATTCACCGCCTGATTCACCGTCATCCTCAACCCCCGCATCACCAACATCACTACCAAAAGTTCCGCTTCTACGTCGCATGTCTTCCTCACTCCTCCATCCCACCTCCCGCGAAAAGGGAATTTTCCTCATTGGACTCGCGATTGTGATTGCTGTGCTGCTATTTTGGGTATTGGACAAAGAGGAGGGTGGAGTTTATAGGGTAGTAAGAGGGCGTGCAAGTGCTGTGGAGGTTAGAAGGTGGGATTGCGATGGGGACTCTTGCGATAACTGAGGGTTTTGGTGATAAGATGGGTAGATTAGTACACTGCCCTTGTTTGATTTTTTTGATATGAATGTTGAATGATAACACTGCCTGGCATGATCCGACAAGGATGATACCCAATACATTATCATTGCATGTAGTAGTAGGTGATATTAAGCAATTCATGCAAAACAGGACTCGCTAAATTTGTCGCCGTCTCGAGAGAAGCGACTGGAGCGACAAATGAGGACGACTGATTGTAAAAAGCAGAGTCCACAATATCAAAGACAGAATAAAAAGCAATGAATATGGCATGTTTGCTCTGGCCATGACCAGCAAGACATTAACAAAAAGAAAAAAAAAACGCAAAAAGAGAAGCTATCCATAAACGCACCCACACATATCGGAGGCAAGACTCAGTTTTACATGCGAGCAGGAATATACATAGTGAACAACAAAAAAAAGCCCGCTAAACCTTACTCCCAACGCACTTTTCTCCCAACAATCTCTTTTCAAGCACACCAACGGCATTCTTCTTACAACCTTCCATTCCTGGGCACTGATGCGCCTCAGGCAACCGGTGCTTTGCACAGAATTTCGCTTGGCACCACCGGCAATCACCAACTATTTTGACAGCGGGAGCACCGCATGAGAGGGAGCAAGGTGTGGGACGGTTGCGTTTGGGTGTAGGTGTCGTGGCGGTTGGAGTTGAGTTGGTGGTTGATTCTGGCGTTGTGGTGGTCGTGGCGGTAGAGGACATTCTTTCAGAGACGGTGTATTCGAGTGTTTGTTTTGCAATTGGGGAGTAAACTGTCTGCGAGTACAGCAATGTACGGTGGTGGACTCTCTCTAAGTGAGTGCGTTCAGAAACAAGAGCTCTAGTCAAAAGTAAATGTAAAAAAACAAAAGATGAGGAAGGAAGGGCTTTATATAAAAAGTGTTCCGCCCCCCAAATTCCGCAGTTCCTTTTGCTTAGAGCGCGTCGTCACACTTCTCTCCCCTCCCTCTCCTTTTGAACCGTCACGCCGCGTTTTGTCTCAAGAATAACGCCACTATCAGTAAATAAAGCGGAAACTTGCATCTGCTTTTAGGATGAGGGTTAATGGGGGTCTTGCAGGAAATGGACCCGCAAATCAGCCCCCATTTGAATTGGATTTCAGTAGCCAACCCTTGAATTGGAGCATCCTTGCAACAATGGATGGTATAGGGACCATAGCATTGAGCTCCTCCACTGGATTCAACGGTCATTGGGGAAACATGGCTATAGCTAACTAACCAGAGAGTGGTTGCAAAACAGAGACAGGGTGTGAGATATGTCAGAGGGGGTAAACACGGCGCGCCCTGTGGCAAAAGGCAGGGCGGGTGGGGATTGGGATTTAAGGCACTATGGAAAGAGGTCGGGGGAAAATGGGCAAGGCTTGCTGAAATCAGGCAGAGCCATAAAGTCTTGTTACAACAGCACACTCCTCCTGCACAAGCGAAGAATGACCACAAATATTTGTACAAATGTCGACGGCCCAAACACGCAGAGCCCCAATGCAATGCATCAATGACTCCTGTGCTTTTGTTGAATACCATGTTGGCTAAAAAAAACAGACATGGGTCGTCAAAAATATTGGATGTTTAAGCATACCATGTCGTTATCGTTGGGTAGAGCCTGGCGTTAACAGGAGCCCCAGTTGAACGCTTAGTCACGTGCGACTAGCAGAGTCGCACGTTCGATCCCTTCTCCAGGTCATAACTCGCTTCGAGCCTGGCACCACAGTGTATTTTTTTTCTGTATCGACATATGGCGAACAGCTTCTTGGGGAGTCTTGACTGATGCAGTTACGGACACGGAGCGAAGCGAGCCAACCTACATATGCAAACGAGAGTCCAAATGGAGAGCTCAACGGGAGCGATCTGGCGATTTTGAACGCGACGACCAACGCAACGCCAATGGAGCACTATACTACTGTCCAAGGTCTCAACACCGCTGACCAACCACAAGCGGTTGCATCCTCTAATATCTTGGGCACCAGTACCCCGAGGGGGCGAGGCAGGGGCCGAGGCAGAGGGAGAGGTGCAAGTAGTGCTCAAAGATCTAGAAAGGACGACACGGCCACTCTGGACAATGACACTGGACTAGTGACGTTCTTAGCTACCGCCCCTATCAGCAATGCAGAATTTCCACTTCAACAGCAGTCTGGCGGGCCCTCCACGACGACCCAAGTCAAAGAAAAGCGGGCACGGAAGCGAAATGCTGACCAAGACGGGGACGAGTCAGACTTTGCAGTGTCCGACATTTCAGAGCCTGAAGAGGACGGCGACTCTGAGGAAGACTATGTCGAGGGCGACGAGGATGATGACGTGGTACAATCAACGGCTCCCGTCCCTGCTCGTACCCCAAGAAGACGTCGGCGGGGAGAGGATAGTCCAACTGTCGGCACGCCCACTGATGCTAATAGAACAGAGAACGCAGAAGAGGACTCGGCGGATTATTCAAACCATCCTGGTTTACTTGAACTCCGGCTGAAGATTACGGAAGCGCTGGAGAAGTATGTGCTGGTGGATTTGACCCAGTCTCTACTGGAGATGAACAGGGCCAACGAACCGGCGAGTCAGACATCTTCTCCTCGAGAGCGACGCGGTCGGCCGGCTAAAGGCGGAAAGCGGGGAAAGGCTGCTGACGAGTTAATTGACACAGAGGCGAGAGACGGGTCTTCTGTGGACGTTAATATGCAAAATGTGTTTAGCGTCGCGGCAGCTGCAGCGTCATCGTCTGAAGCACCAGATGAGATCGCTGGCATGAAACGCAAAGCAGGAGAAGATACATCTCAAATACCCAAAATCCCAAGAACGGAGCAAAGTGAGCTCAGCGGAGAGCCCAAGGTTTGGAAAATCGATATGGAAGCAGGGCGCTATAAATGCTTCCTGCCTTTGTGCAATAAAGACTTCCTTAATGTCCAAGGTCTTAGATATCATTCGACAAAGCACGTTCATGAGGTTTTGGACTTTTTGAGTTGGGCGTATCCACGAGAACAGACCACTGAAACGGGCAACTCATCAGAGTCGAAGTCAACTATCGTACACGAACCTGGTGTTGCCATTCCTGCTACTAGTGAAACGTCTCAAACAAATCCCGAACTTGACAAATCGCGTAACTCCATTCGCCCTGACATTCTGGCATTGTACGATCAGTTACCATTTGATGCATGGCCATTGGCCATCGAAGAGTACGATGCTCTTATTCCCGGCATTGCCAAGCCTAGCAAAAATACATTCCTGATTGGGTATGGCAAAGAGCGCGAAGTTGCGGAACGACGACGGCTCAAGGCGTTGCATGATCAGCAAGTTAAGGAAGCCAAGCAGCGAGCTCGCGAAGAAAAGAAAAAGGGAAAAGACGATGAGTCGAAGAAAAATCCTCGTAGCAGTGCGCCGGGTACACCAAAGTCTACCCCTTCGAAGCCGAGACGACCAGTGGATAGGAATGCAATGTCCATAGTGCCGCTTCCGACTTTAGTTTCAGCAGATGAAGATGGAAATGGTAGCTACACTGTTTCCGATTGCGCACGCCCGAAGCTCGAGGATTTTGAGGCTGTCCCAATAGCGTAAGTACGTGGACAGCGCTTTGCTCGATTCAGCTAACTTACACAGAGTTGGACCTAGTGAGGCGGTATCATACTTCCCGCTCCAATCCACGTGTATGGTGTCAAATGGAAACGAAAGCACATCCAATTGGAGTCAACCTGTGAATCTTTTTAGCTCATGTGCATTGCGTATGTCCATTCTGGCGTGAACCTCTCCATCAATCTGTTCATTGTCTGATTTGAGTCCTTCTTGGCAACTAAGCGGACATTGGTACCAAGAAACGCAGGCGGTTTGTACTCAGTGCTGGAGGTTCCATATGGGGTCTGGACTGGTGTCCAATGCGAGGGGAAAATGGTGAGGCCAGATAACCGCTTCCTGATCTGGCGCGTTATTGATCATCTATACACCGTAGATGGAAGCCAATACCTGGCCGTTGCAGGCTACAAGAGCACGATAGATGAACATCACGTCATTGGCGTGCGTCAGCAGCCTGCTGGAGACAATATGAAGGGATGTATTCAGATATGGAATTTGGGGAATTTGAATGATGCAAAAAAGAATGTTGGCGGAGATCAACAACCTTCGCTGGCACTCTGTCTTTTGCATGAATTTGGATGTGTTTTTGATGTCAAGTGGGCACCATGCGGATTCTATGAGAAGAAGGACCAGGTACAGCTTTGGATTGTCACTTTGGTGCGTGCGTTTGCATTCAGTGTCGTTAACTTGGTCCCTCTCTATCCGCTAGCAAACTAATCCAGGCGAGATACGGAGACTAGGCCTACTGGCAGCAACATTCGGAGATGGGAGCATGCGGGTGTTTAATATACCCCATCCGCAAGAATTGAGCATACGATTTCAAGTAGAAAATGGTCCGCTGTTCGGTAAGGCATACAATATCATGGTAGTTCATATCATTTTCATATCATTTCTTGTTGACATTTATTTTGTGTGCGTAGTAAAAGCGAAAAATCCACTGTTTGAGGTGTCACTGCCTGACACCATGCTATGGAAGGTCGCGTGGGGAGGATGCGATCTAATCGCGACAGGATGCACGAATGGTGCGCGACGTTTTTCAAGGACTCCTTAATCCCATGTTTATTGTGAGCTCCTTGCCTGATAGGTAGTGTGGCCGTTTGGAGTTTGACCCAGGCTGTAGATTCGCGTCAGCCGCAAGCGAAGCAGGGTGATGTGGATGAGCCTGATCATGAAGGTATTGTCCGTAATGTCCCTTTATACCCAACATGTGGTATGCTAACATGAGCACACTAGCGCAAGACCCTTTGCTCTATTTTCCCGCCCACGACTCGTGTGTTCGGGATCTATGCTGGACAGGATCTCGTTTGCACGCATGCCCCGAATCCATTCCGACCACTCTCTTGACAACTGGCAATGATGGGCGGCTTCTTGTAAGAGATATTCGGGATCCATTGATGGCAGGGACTCTGTACCGTATTAGAGGTAACATATTCGTCATTATTGTGTGATGAACTGTTTTAACATTCCCACTTTGCTCTCTGATACTCTCAGCCTTTATGACGTGCACAACTTGGATCCCTTCCATATCAGGACTGGTATTCACTGATTCAGATAACGGCGCACGGTTTGTGAGACCGGGCGACGAAGATCCTAAAGGGCGCTCAAGGGTTGATGATGACGAAAGTGGGGGGATGCATTTCGTGCAAAAGACAACCGGTATTGCCATGCACAGAGCGTGTATTTGGGTGCGTTGAGCTTTTCATTTGTTGGCTGCATCAACGATCTGGCTAAAGAACCTGACCTTGAACGCAGAGCGCGGACGTGTCACCATATTTTGATTTTCTGGCTACCGGCAGCGCGGATGGGACTGTGAAGATCTCCAATCTCAAGCGAATGAATCAGCGCAGCTTTGTGAGTCTTCATTCTTTGAAGATCCTTTTTAGAGTATTGGAATGTGATTCATTTACATCGGTTTTGTATAGAAACCAACTCAAATTAACCTATACCGACTTGAATGGGATTTCCAAACGCAAGTATTCAAATTTGTGGAAAATACGAAACCCGAGGTAACCATGATCATTTCTGATTACTATAGCCATTCAGTTTTGTCTGACTTTGCATTTTCTTGGTTTAGGAATTGGCGCAAATGGTTCCTAGAGGTAGCGAAAGCATATTGACAATGTTTTACCCTCCCGAAGTGGCCATTCAAAAGGTGCGTGGGGGTTTCATCCATTCCTTGTGCACAAACCCCGCTGATCCACTATGCTGTAGGTGGTCTGGAATCCTAATCGATGTGCGGCATCTTGGATTGCCTCGGGTGGTACCGGTGGGATTGTGAGGGTTGAGACGACTTTTGGAATGTGAGATGGAGTTGTGGGTTAGGAATGGGATGTGTTCACTGCAGCGTTTTGTACAGTATTTAAAGACTACAGGAGAACTCTAATGCACGGGGATACCTTTTTTGTCAAACATGAGCAAGCACACTATAACTGTATACGCCCAAAAATTCCAACCTCGCTCACTACTACCATTACATCCAAACCCCCATTCTGATCTACTCCACAGCTGCCGGTAACGCCCCTGCCTGAGCTTCTGCCCTCAATGGTCTGAACATCTCCGCCCTCGGCGTCTGGTCGTCCGCTTCCACACCCCATTCCTTGGGTGGGGTGGGAAGCGGGAGGTTCCGCGGACGCATCGAAGCCGGAGAAGCCGAGGTGATTAGCGGCGGCTGAACGGAGGTCCGAATGCTTTCTTCGGGATGCATCACTCCTTCTCCTACTTGTACCGCGACGTCTGCAGGTGTATGCATGCTTTCTTCTGTGGGTATTCGCCCGTGTGAGTGTGCCTGTACGGCGGAGTTGATGAGTGGGTGATGGGCACCGGCGGTATTTTCTAACATGTTGCCTGCAACGTGCAAGGCTGTATCTCCAATAGATCCATCATGCCGGCCCCCTGTAAGAGCTTCTTCTGTTCGGCGTCCGCTGTGTGGATGATGGGCGCTAGGGGTTCTTCCTAACATGTTGCCTGCAAGGTTTACTGCTGTATCTCCAACAGATTCATCATGCCGGCCTCCTGTAAGAGCTTCTTCTGTTCGACGGCCGCTGTGTGGATGATGGGCGCTAGCGGTTCTTCCTAGCATGTCGCCTGCAAGGTTTAATGCTGTATCTCCAACAGATCCATCATGCCGGCCTCCAGTAAGAGCTTCTTCTGTTCGGCGCCCGCTGTGTGGATGATGGGCGCTAGCGGTTTTTCCTAGCATGTTGCCTGCAAAATTCAAGGCTGTGTCTCCAGCAGATTCATCATGCAAGCGTCCCGGAACTTCCTCTTCTGTTCGACGTCGGACAAGTTCAGCAGAAAGTTGTTGTGGCGAACGGAAGATGGGAGCTGGGGGTCCAGCGGGAAGGTACGACCTTAAAAAAGAAATGACCAATCAAGTTAAAGCTAGAGGTCAAAGTGAACTGGATCTACATCAATACTTACTCAATCTTCCTATTGAGCACCGAAATCCAATCCAACATTTCCTCCTCGCTTGCGGCCTTCAATTCCACCTCTGATCCACTGTTCCGGAACAGCTTTCCAGTCTTACGCCGATCCATGCTAATTGTAAAGACGTGCTGGTGGAGCTTCCGTTCGTTGGGGGCAATGTTAATCCGAGGTGAAGCCAGGTTGATACTGAACGGCTTGAAGGGCGTTGGAAGGGGTGTGGATGTCAAAGGCAGGAGTGAGTTGGGTATCTGGGATGCCGAAGAGGTCTCCGAAGTGGCCCTTGATCGAATACGCTCGTCTTCATGCATATGATGGGACCCAATATGGACTCCCCCAACACTGGTAGCCCTCCTCGTAAGTCGACTCAATTTAGTATCAAAACAATGAACCCAACCACTTTCAGTCAGCACTGCCACAACCGGTTTCCAATGTCCTTTTCGGACTGTTCCAGGACGATACAGTATTCCTTGTTTCTCAATCCGGATCGCACGAAGAGGGTATGGAAAGTCTTCCAACTTCCTTTCCGTTGTGAAAACGGGAGCGGTAAGAACTTCAAATGTTTCAGAGAAACGGGCAAACGGTCCAAAACAGTCAGTGTTGTTTAAGAGTGACCGCAGCGAAGATCCATGAGTCGCGGCTGCCGAGCCTTGCATCCCAATCGTGGTGAGGTATTGATCGATGGTTTGGCGGAGAGTATCAAATATCCCAGCATCGATTTGAGCAATCTCTCGATGAAAGTGCAGGATACGTTCTTGAAAAATGTTTTCGCCTTCAATCATTTTACGCAGCTGGGCTTGGATTCGAAGGTAGATTAACCAAGGGTCAACATTGTCTTTGGTGGGAGGAAGAATTGGCTCAGCAGCCATGACGGTTGGCCCAGTGTGCGAAACGGCCGAAGAAGATGTGCCGGTACGTCTTGACGTGCGATCATGCTTTCCCAAAATACCAATCGTGTCATGTCTACTGGTGGTAACGTCCCTAACCAGCTGACCAAAAGTATGCTGATAATGTCGGCGCTGCTCATGAACTTGCTGTTTAAGCGATTTGAGGCGCCGAATGACCCTCTCGTGAATGTACGTGGCTGTCGCTTTATGCGCTGCAGCCATATCTTGAATCTGGTTCTGGACCGGTTGCATGAGGTTGCTAGGAAAAACGAATATTTCTTGCATGGCTGCTCCGTCCGGTGCACAGAGCACGTCGTTAAACTTGCTAAACTCGTCAGCGTACGCCGTCTCGAGCTTTCGAATGCTCTCAAAGAACCGGATGAGTTGCTACAGGAGCCAATAGGGATTAGACATGAATGTCTTACACCTTTTTGCCTCCCGTCTATCCCACCCCACACAGAATGGATTCTTACATTAAATATAACCTTCCACCCTCTAAACCGCTCAAGAACAATTGGCAAACGTTCACATTGCTCTCGGGCGTACGGCCACAGCTCCAAATGATCACGGGGTATTTTGCGTCCACTTTTGGCCATCAGTGATTCTAAGCGGGCTGTGGGAAGACTTGCGTGCGTGGCCATTCCCGGTGGCCCCATCGCTGGTAACGGCGTTTGCCTGCGTAACGGCAGGATCTTCATGCTTGTCTTGTATTGTAGATAACGATCGTAGGTTGGGTTGAAGAATCAGATTTGATATCGATAATGGTTAAGTTGCAAGAGGGGAAACTTGGGTCTGCGGATCTGGAGTAACAGTCAAGCGGGCAGACGTTGAGTCCAGCCCATATATAGACGATCAAAACGCGAGCTCACCATTAGGTCATCTTTGAGGGTATCGAACGCGAGTTCAAGACACATGGTAGCGCGCACCATATAAACACTTGATCGTTTGTGACTAGTGAACGGTCTCATTGGACAAAAAATAGTAAACAAAGCTTTTCATCTGTTTGAAAAACCTGTTCCAAAGTACGCGAGATGCCCTTTGTGTCTTTGCATGCGTCACAACACATCTTGCGCGTCTCGCCAAACTGAACATGAGACATCATGCCACGGTATTCCAAACAAGAATGCCACAGAAGCATTCTTTATTGGTCATCTTTTTCATTTTACATTGCTTTGAATATGTGGTTTGATTAGATTGAAGTCATCAACACAGTATTTTTGACTCTACAGACGTCATTGGAGGTTCTTCGCGGTACGTCTAAGGCAAGAAACGTGGGTATATACTCAATAACCGGGAGCAGCTCGGCTGTCCTTCTCTTCTAGCGCGATATACTCCAACTCAAAATTCACAGCCCTTGCATTGGAACAAAGTCCTTGACTTGCGAGCGACATTCAATGACATTTGCATGACCCTTTGCCAGACCTATGCATGTGAAAGTTCTGACACAGCCTATTAATGATGGGTTGGTGATTCTGAAGCAAGTGCCAGCCGAGGGTACTGACCCGTAGATCATCGTCCTAACCCCTCCGATGATCACATAAGCGAGACATCAGGGGCTTAGTTGCGTGACAGTCGCCATGGTAATCCAAGACATTTAAAAGCTCAAGAAAATCAAAGTCTTGCTTTCATCCTCGTTTCTCTTTCGACATTATTTTTTGTTGCTGGGAAAGCAACGACTCTGAGGTGCCCGTCGGCTTTTCAGACTCTTTCTTTCCGCGCAAGGAAGTTCTTGTGGATCACGACTTCCCCCTGGCTTTGGTTGACTTGCACACTAGGAGGTTGGGGAGCATTATGTTTTCCTTCCTCCACATGTGTAGTATAGCTTTCTTCACTTACAGGGAAGATGGATGCATGTCGGCGTAAGCTGACATGCGGCGCTCTGGGCAAATTGAAGGTGACTTAATATCTGAACCTTTGATAATCAATGAGCGGAGATTTTCCACATGCAGAGTAGACCTGTTACTACTCCCATCAATCATGCGTCCAAGACAAAGCATTCGATCATGACATATGCTATCAACTCGACGCTGCCATCGTGCGCGTCAGTAATGAACAATTCTTCATCGCAGCCGATCCAATCTCAACTCTTATTATGGCGTTTAGCCACAGATTATGTACAACTCTTATTATGGCGTTTAGCCACAGATTATGTACACTTTGCGTTCTTGCATGGATATCCTACTCTGTGAACCGTCCATACTATCCGCTAGAACCAGACAAAACCACTGTGATTCCTTTGCATGCCACGGCCCAAATCTTTCTGTCGCCGTTGATCCTCTCCTAGCCCATGTATCGCTCCAAATTCTGTATGCCAAAGTCCACGAAGATGACGTTCTTCACGACTTTCTTGGTATCTCATATGCGATGTCTCGGATTTCGGCTCCCTACAAGCTTCAAAGTACCGCCATCTTTAGCCACCTCCTGGAAGAGAGGCCGCTTTGAACGAGAAGGTTGGTTCTGAGAAGTCCTTTGCGAATGTTGCGCCCTTCGATTTTCGTATGAAACGATACGTATTTCTGTGACAGCATTCGAATATGCCGCCATGTATTTTGCCGCTTCTTCCTTGGTTTGTGCCATCTGCGCCTTGAGCCAAGTCATATCTATATGCTCCAAAAGTTGCCGCAGTCTGAGTTGACGTGCAGGACTTTGTGATTCATCTAATCGTAGGCCAGGGAGTTTGTTCGCCCCGAACTGCCCGTTATCGGTTGGTCGTGCATCTGCATTCATCATTTGGGAAATTTCTGATATCGAATTCAGTTCCGAGCCGTATAGACTAGTCCGTCCGGATTCCTCTTTCCATTTCTTGATTTCATGTGCAATGCCGTAGATGTCCAAAGACCGGCCAAGTTTGACTGGTGTCTGGTTGGAAGGTGTCAAGCACTCCATATCCACTTCTTTCCGCAGACAATGATCAATATCGATTGACGAGAAGAAAGCAACGTTCTGCGCAAAAAACTATAAGTTATCACCACAAGACAGAACGTTCCACGTCATTGTAACCCTTACAGCTGGTAAATCACTAATCCCAACGCTCTCAGCAAACATCGCTCTGACCCAGAGATTAGCAATCTGCAAGGCCAGTGCTGCTAGAATCTGATGTTCTTCCTTAACAAGAAACCGAACTTCGTCGTGAATGGACAACATAAAGCGACCGTCGATCTTCATTCGTCTCATTAAGTAGTCCATGGCAACGAGGAGAAGGTGGAGATAGTCAACTCCCGATGATTGCACTACCCAGTTAACCCTACTAGTCATAAACTAAAAACGCGGTCGGTAAGGAAGGGACCACGAACGTATTGCCAGATATGAGCTTACCTCTCGTCCGACATGTTCCGGTTTCAATGAATCTGGAATTTCACATCGCAGCACGGGTGTTTGAGGCGTCACATCCAACGCAACACCTTCCAGCTTATTAAACATGTAACTTTCGCTTCCACCGTACCAGAATGTTAGCTGCTGCTTTTCCTTCCACGGATGTGGACATGTATGCCTTTGTCCTTTGGTCTTCCTGTACAGTTCGCTAACCTTCGCCATGGCGTCGTCTCTTGCAATCCCCGGCGAGTGCTTTAATAGTAGTTGGACAGCATACTTCATACCAGCTCCATAAATTCGGCTATAGTTGAAGATTTTCGCTTGATCGCGTGATATCCCAAGGATTCTACCAGTGACCGTATGCAAATCCGTACCAGCTTTCTTTGTACCTTGCAAAGTCATGAAGCTTATGGCTGACGCTCCGTGAATCCGAAATTGTGCGTCCCCAAACAACGAAGCGATCCACAACTCTTCGCTATCCACGTCCGCCCCCAGAATTTTGTAACCTACAGGTGCCTGCACCTGAGACTTCAGCTCAGACCCGATACGATTCTTCTTTGCATTTGCAGCGGTCATCCAAGTCGACTCCACAGCCCGTCTTGTTACGGTTCCCATCGCTACAGACTGCGGTAGAATGACCCCATATTCTTTCCCCGCTGTCACCTCGACATCATTTCCGATCTCGTTGTCCCAAACGATAAACTGATGTCCCACTCTCTGCTTGGCGCTCGCCCAATACGTACATTGCGCATTCCGTTCCAAAATGTGCTTGGCAGCTTTGTATTGAGACGTCAACGTACCATCTTCAAAGGCAGATATAAACGACTTGGAAAGAGGTGACCCGCAGTTCTTGCCTTCTCCATCGGGATGGGGAATACGATAATAAGCATTCTCAATATCGTTGGACGCGCGAGAGTCGTAGGTCTTCTCTGAGGGGTCTTGGCTGAACTTCAAACCTGGAGCGATGAGCAATTCAGGCGATTCAGGCTTCGGCATATAATAGGTCCAACCAAACCCCTTCGTGTAATAAACCGGATGCTGCTTCCATTGTAATCTCAACAAATACGGAGTGACCCGCTTACTTAGAGTAATACGAAGCTTGCCCTCCGTTTTATCCCACAATTCCAAATACCATTTGGGCTTCCCGATAGGTGTATTAGACTGGTTTTTGTGGAGACGAGGGGGTGTGATCTGCCCATTCTTTCTAACTACTTGCTTGGTCATTCGAGGTGCAGGTTTCTCCCAGTCCAGGTTTCTCAGCCATGGATCATTTTTCCACCTTCCATCCCCAAAGTTGTCAACCGCATCCTCGGCCAGCAACGCCAATCGAGAACAAATATCTTCCTGGTACTCGTCAAATTTCGTCTGGGAGTTACTCACGTATTTATTCCAGTCGTTCGATACAGGCAGATACCCCTTTCCCATGTGGAGCATCCCTGCAAACGAGGCGGGATGTGGACATTTCTGTCGAAACCTTGAGAAGAGCTTCCCAAATAGTTCGTGGGTGATGGCGACATCTTTAGCACAGTAAGTGAGGAGCTCCTGAAAATGACTACGGACTGCCGCGATATCGGTACCGTCAAATTCTGAACGCATTGATTTGTCGATTTCCTTCTGCAGGTACAGCTCAGCGACGTCTTTTAGACTGTTCATCGAGCTAACCTGATACCATGATCGATGTTCATCCGGCTGGTATCGTGGGGGGACATCCTTTGATGCGGATGATGTGGAACGTTTTGGATTATTTTGTTGTGCATCGAGGGAACGGCTGTCAGTGGACGCCATGAGTGCATCATGCTCATCCCACCATCGTTGCTCGGCTTCCTGTATCCGCCGTTCCTCTTTCTTATACTTGCGCCAGGCAGGCCTCTGCTGCGACGACAATCCTCCTACAGCACAATGCAAACTCATTGTATCAAGGAAGGCATACCGCGTTGGACGCAATCGGTATTCTTCGCGAATTCGAGCTCGATCGTAGGAAACATGATGACCGATAAACACGCGGTCATCGTCCGGACGACCTAAAGGTATTAGCTGATTGGGTATAAAAGGGGTCTGGGTTTCGTTCGAAAAAAGTCCTGGTGCTACCCAGGAGTACCAATGCGTTTTGGACACCGCAACAGCAATTACAGGGTATGGACTGATATTATACACGACCTCCACGTCGAAGACCAAAGCGTCTTCTGGAGGATATGCTACTGAAGTGGGAATTGCTTTATCATTTTTCCAGTCGTACCGGATCCAGTTCTCGCGGCCATATGCCCATTCTGAGGGCATACGCGGTAACTGAGCGGTTGCCATTGCATGAGCCTTCTGCAAATAGGGCAGCGACTGTTCCTCTCCGAGTACTCGAAAATGTTCACGAATGGAACCAGTGGTGAGGTCAGGAAGTTCGATATCAACATCGGGAAGGGGTTCCTGGGACTTGCCAATCAAATCCCATTCTTTCAGGTGGCTCGTGGCTAACTCGATTTGTTGTGCAGTGGGCTCAACCCCAGTATTCGGGAAAACCTTCCGATGAATAGCAGGAGACAGCATTTGGATGCCGATGTGATTTTTTCGTGGGCCATGCTCTAGTTGGTACCACTCAGGTTAATATCTGCGTCCTGATACAAAATAGGCCAAGGCACTAACCTTCGTTCTGGTCCGCGGGAATGCTGGCATATAACCTATGTACATTGCGAGGTGCGATCGGCAGTGAGACGACATGACGGACGAGTGATCTACGCGCTTGGCAGGATGGACATCGGCTGAAGATCATGGACCTTGGGATTCGCCATCTGGCAGACATTTTAGACCACGTTCAGGGCCAACGTTCTTTTGAGTTGGGTAATGTGCGGTCCAGATCCTCTTGTCAACACTGTGATCTGGAAATGACTCAAAAGGAGCGTGTAGTAGCAAGGGATATCGCAGTGAAGAATGCCTTGGGCAAGAAATCTCTAGCCAAAGGCTGGTTTCATGCGTACAAGAATGGTGCAAAGTGCCAGCACCATCGTAAAAATGTTGTCGGGACCAAAATACCCAAAATATCGCAACAAGGACTGCCTGCAAGCTACTGTAATTTTATCTGCACAGTCATCCCACCCAACCGAACGCGCGGTTTCAACTGACTTTGACAGATATTCAACTAGATGCTCAACTATGACCATCATATCTTTGCAAGTGTTCTTTTTACTGCATATGCCGTTACGCTGTGTTCAAAGGATGATATTGTTATTTTACATAATAGTGTCGAATCGCATTTGTACATGCCATCTACTCAGATTTTAAAAAAAATGCCACACCCGCCAAGAGCCAGCCGTCACCTTGTCCCTCACAGGGTACGCTGACTCTGCACACTCCTTTTTCCCTTGTTGCTTCCAGATAAACTGGAACTTCTATAACGGCTTTGTACACGGGAGGTGTGCTTTTCGGTGCCCAAGCCAAATTACATATGGGTGCTTGGACAAACGTAGGCTCTTCGGCGCGGGCTTCAGATAAGCGGTTGCCATCAAATGTGCAGCCTTGGAGAAGCAGGCCAGTAATTGATATGGAAACGGGAACAGAGGGAAGCGGGGTAGTGGACCAGGTTGTTACGAGTTTTAAGTCGTCCATCGGAACGCGAACTGCTCAAATCGGTCAGCTACTGGACGTTCCTCTGCTAGATGATGCACACCGCACTTACTTATTCGTGATGTATGCTGCCTCAAAGCATTCAAGAATGTCACCGGATTGAATAGTCCAGCCATTCTCAACGAGCTTTTGAACAAGGTACCCGCATTACTTTTCTCTCGCCATTGGTCGACCTCCAATCCATTTGACATGGCTTCGCGAATAAACAGTTGTGGGGTCTCTGGTCCTTCCCAGAGCAATAGCCAGCTATATCGAAATGCATTTGGTCAATGCCTGAAGTATTGTAAGCACGATAATCGATTATGGCAGACAGACCTTTGCGGAGTTACTCCCTCCAAGAGACATTTCGCAACTGCCATAATATCGTTGGTAAGCAGCATGGATCCGCGTAGGACTTTGGATATGGCAGCCAGGTCGGCGTCAATCCGGCGAAGGAGAGTCAGGGCATTTACCAGTTCCTTAGAGAGCGTCAAGTTCAGCATGTGAATTACCACAAGATTAAGTCGGAAAAGCACCTTACCAAAGCCAGGAAAGAACTAATTGGGTTTGCTTCGGGGTCCTGGCTCACCTTCCGCTGCATCAACTCATTACCAGTATTGAACTAGGTGATACAGGTAAACAAGTTACAATGAAGGACCACCGATGACGTTTCCATTCCGGTGCGACCCACCTTTTTCCATAACTGCAAAAACGGTGTCAAGTCTCTAGCCCACTTTTCCTTTTCAAATCGCAAACCTTGGATATCAGCTTGACGCTGAAAGCCAATCATTTTAGGTACTGGCAACCATTTCAACATCACACTACGGCCTACCAGGACTTTCAGCTGCCCAATAACAGACTGACTACTATATCTCTGTAACGCCCGATCAATGTTGGCAGGCAGACCGAATGTCGTGACATTGTCGACTTCGGGTAGGTCGGCAATCAATGCTTGATATGATGTATGATCGGCAATGTTTGGCAAGTCTAGATGTGATGGTAAGAGTGTGTCAGACATGTGAACTCCCGCCCGAAACAAGATTTACAACGGGCACTTACTCATGCCTTTGGCGAGCCTTCGAGTTGGAGATCGACCGGCAATCATAAAGACATCTATAGAATGACGTAAAATGTTAGCATGGGGCTACGAATCAAACTAGGCGTAGATTTCCGCCTTTCTCACCGTCATTGAAGTACTGGGCAAGGTACGTATTCAGCTTCATGGCGTCGTTCACATCATCAATCCTTCCGCCGTAGATGGCATTCTCCAACAACCCATGCAGAACAGACCACTGGGGCGGCCTGTTCGATACGCACATGGTCTATAATTGAAAGTAACGTCCGATGAGTATCAATCGCAAAGTCAACGAAACATACAAATCCCTACACTAATTAGGTCTGCACTCGAGCGCAAATCTGCTGCGGAGAATTCATAGAACTTGTTCCAACCTTGTGGGATATATGTTCGACGCTCCTGAATGACCGCATGAAACCATGCGAGGGCAAACAGAGCTTGTGCCCTATGCACAGGGCCACTGGAAATGAAAGAAGGACTCCATGCTTCGTAAGTTCGTTGAAGATTTTTCTTTACCCCTACAATGTTGTTGGTTGGATAGAGTACTCAGGCGAAGCAATTATTAGACACAAACCTGGTGGTGCTTCCACAGTAATCTTCAAACTATTCTGAAGCAGGTTTGTTGGAAACTTTGCGTGGGCTTCCGATGTCATCCATAAGCGGAAGCCTTCATGCGGTTTTATCGATGACAGCTCCTTTTCCAACTGCGGCAGCCACCCAGTGACAAGATGAACATTTTGAAGACATAACCAACCGCCACTCATAGCAGCTTCCCGAAGAAGGGATATAGCCAGCTCCCCTTGACCTTGACCCATGGCCACCTAAGGGAAACCGAGTTATTGTTACAGTTAAAGACACTTGAGCGCACCCGGATAAGTCTTACCTGTTGGTATTTGTCTGCGCCTACATGTTGTATTGCGAAATCTTTCAGCTCCTGGGATGGATCGGCGCCTGCCGTAGTGATGAAGAGGATAGGTTCGCGAGCTGTGGTTTCTTCTGCGTGAAGTCTGCTCATATTTAAAGGTAGAGGAGCCAAGCTCTCGATGCCGATAACATTACAACAGAATTTGTTCACTGTAAAAAGGTCAATTCACAGTCATAAAATGCAGTCCGGTATTTTGCGAACTCACTTGTAGTCATCAATCTGTCGGGACGCAGAGCTTGAACAACCAGCAATTTTTGGAAGCCACTAAAAATAGGAGTAATTAGATTACTGCTTGGCACTCGCATCGTTGAGACTCCCTACCTCGTTTTGGGGTTAGGCAGTTCAACTTCGCAGCTGGGATCTTTCATCCATCGGCTCCAACTTTCTGTATCGCTGAAGTTAAGTAGCTGACTCAGATTTGGCAAAATGGCCTACAAGTTCGCGTTAAAGTTTAGTGACCGCCAATACCGTCTCAGTTGTTAGACATTGGCTACCTGCAGCTGCTTCAGCATCGGTCTTCGTTCGGCTGGTACCCATGCAGGAGGTTCAGGACCACCTTCCTCCTCCGCTGTCACAAGTTGACCACTGAAGAGCTCCCATTCATTGGGCTCAAAGATGCTTCCATGTAGCTGATGAACAAGATGCAACGCAAACATCTGGCGGTCGGCTTTGAAGAGAGATCGCGAAATGTAGTTGTAAGTCAACTTCTCCAAAATGTTCATGAGAAGCTTTATGCGGAGTTCCGTGCCATCTTTTGCAGCAGATCCTTCAGCTCGCAGAGACTTCTCAAAGAGGTGCAAAAATGAAGCGAGCGAGAATTGGTACATGTTATTAAGTTTTCGCAAATCACTGACGACGAAGAAGAGGGCACTGCCGAAATCAGAAAAGGGGGCAAACTTGTCTCGCTCTGCGTCCAGGGAAGCTTGGAGCTTTTGCGACTCTTGCAAACTGGTCGCAATGATTGTACTCTTGTCGCGCGTTTCATTCAGTGAATCTATCAGGCTCTTATTCTCCAGGATATTTCCTTGAGAGCTTGCAAGTTCCTTCAACAACGACTCTTCCAGATCCACCAACTGTATCTTGAGCTCATCTTCTCTTTTCAGAAGTTCGATTTTTTCCAACTCAAGCTCGGGTTTCTCATGCTTTAATGTCACGCCGAGTAATTGGCCAGCTAAACCTGCACGAGTTACCGTGAAATTGATTTCTTGGACATAAGCCATCGCATCCGATGGAATCTGGAAAGTCGATTTAGAAGTAATCAGGTACAATCGGAAGTCTTCATTGTAGTCCACGGTTTTGTCCCCAAGCTGAACAACGAACCGAGGGCCGTGTTTCTGCAAATTTTTCCGTAAGATGGGATACAGGAACGACTCTAATTCGTTGAGCTCTTGAATAACGAGTGCTTTCCCAAAGCGTACTGCCAGTTCCACGGCCCTAACGAAGTTGTCGTCATGCTGGTTAATCACTTCAGGCTTTTTATCAGCCAGATGCGTCTTCAACCAGAGGACCGCCTGACCGGATGGGTCCACAATCAACGGAGTGACAGCGCTGGACAAAATAGCTATCGCATTTTCCTGGGATAGACCATCGGATGGCAATCCTTGTGATTTCCAAACCAGCTGCTCACTTTCTGTGCTCATAACTTTTCGAAAGAAGAATTCATCAACGCCGGTAATTTTTTTCCATTCTTGAACAATATCGTATCGGGTATCCTCCGATGCACCAGTCAAGTACGTCATGAACGCCGATGCAAGCAAAGCATTTTTCGGTAAGCTGGACAGGGATTCATTTATGTCGTTCACCTGACTAGCCCATCGCTTCCCTTCTCCAGATAACTTCCCTAGAAGACCTTGTGCGGTTTGGATCGTGGCCGTTGCTTTTTCCAGATTAGTACGCAAAGTTTCAGCTTCTCTTGTTTTGCCCGAGAAGTCATCCTTCAGGGCCGCCACTTTCTGATCCACTACTGCCAGCCCCTCTTTCAGGGTCTGGACTCGCTCACGAGATGCATCCAATGATTTAGTTAGGCGAGCCAAATCTGTCTCAAGAGGAGCAATTTTCTCCAGAATAACTGAGTACTGCAAGTTTGCCTTCACCCAGCTAGCCAGCGGAGCGGCAGCAAGTGATACGCGTTTAATATTCGCCTCTTCAAAAGATTCTCTCTTCTGTTGCAATAACTCGCCGACTGATTCTCGCACTTGTTTATTTATATTTCGTGCGTCGAAATTCATGATCTCGTCTTTAACTGTTCGTTTTCCCAGAAATGATTTCATGCTGTTCCATGACATATCTAGAATACCCATTATGCGCAAAACACCTTCCAGGACATCACGGATCGCAGGAGGTGGAGCACGCAATGACCTAATTTCCGACAGGCTATCTGAGCGGATCTCCCCAACTGCAGCCTTTGCCGCTCGAATGGTTGGCTCCACCTCTGCCAGCTCTTGTTCGATCACTTGCTTCCTTTTCATGAGGGTCTCTTCTTCTTCTCTCAGATGCACGGAGAGCTCTTCCATCTCTTTCTTCTGTTCTGACGCGCGCACCATACTGTCTGTGATCTGCTTCAGAGCGGCATCAGCTTCCTTCTGCTTCGCTATCAGCTCTTCCCCTTGTTTCTTTGCCTCTACTGATAACTTATCAACGTAATTTGCTGCCTCGTTCATTTTGGACAGACCGCCTTCAAGGTATTTCTGCTTCTTATGGAAGGAATCCCTCTGTTTGCAGTAGATGCGCTCGTACGCGGAAACGTAGTCGTTGAAATGTTTTGGTGTAGCTCCGCGGGACGCACATGTTGAATGAATTGACATCATCTGTTTAATTAACTGATCCTGGTCTTTAAGTTCGGCCAGAGCTGGATTAGTAGTGAACACCTCCTGGGCATATCTACTCATAGTATCCGGAGACCAGCTGTCCATCCATGCGATGTGGCAACGAGTATACAACGCTGGATTGGCTTCGCAGTTGTGTATAAAGTTGGGCGACGATGAGTCCAGAATCAGTACAATATGCAGATATCTCCGGACACGGGAGACGAAGTATTCAAAGAGGGTGCCTCTGTAGCCTTCTTCCGAATGCTTGTCCTTGAGGGAGCCCAGCAGGGAATCAAACTCATCCTGAGTATACAGACCAGGCACCTCGCCTCCGCTTAGAAGACTATTCACGCTTTCCAGAAAGGCTGGATTCGTCAGCTGATGATCCTCCAGTAATAGCACGGCTTCTTCGCCTGCCACAGCCGTCTGTAAAATCTGCTTCAAATCTGCGCTGAATCCTTTCATTCCATAATTCCGTCCCACACTCGGAGAGAATACTTTCAGACGAAGCATGTGCGAGACAATGAGTACAGCACCTAGGCGTCCTACGCCTGGCCTTCCAGCAAATAAAAGCGATCCTGCTGGTTGTCCAAGAACTCTCTCCACCAAGGCAATTTGCTCGAGAGTTTCGGGGAACAGATGCACATTCAAGTCCCGATAATCGCGTTCGTAGATCTTTAGAGCTGTAATGATGCTTTGCTGGTACTGGTCCACGGCAACTCTTGTCAGACTCCTCCCTATCGTTAGGTTCGTAGTCGAAGTTGCTCCCATTGTGCTTGTGTAAACGAAGCCCTGGAGATTGATCTCATGGTTCCAGTCGTTGCGCAGGACAGTTGACAGCGTAGTTTGGAATTTCTGTCGCGCACTTGTGGTCACCAGTCGGTCTTGAAACAAGCGTAGCGCCTCGTATGCAACAACATTAAGTAGTTCACCCTGTTCTTGATCCGTGTATTGATACTGTGCAATGCCCAAGATCCATCGAGACAAGTCCCGTGGGGTGTAGAGATAGTGTGAGCGGACATCCGGCGTAAAACGTTGTGTGGTTTGGTCGTAAATGGAGATCATAGATGTGGCCAGCTTTTGAACATTACGCGATACACTCCAGACCTTGTGAGATGGAAGAGATCGATTGAGCAATGGCTGAGCAAGAATTCTATAAACTACTTGGAGCTGCTCGCGATCAGGGTAGGACATATAGAATTGGCGAATAACGGATGTGAATCGGGTTGAGAGTTCGTGCCGTCCCATCGTTGACGAAGGGTTCATAGAAGCCACGATTTGAATGTTTTCGATCCCCACCCATTCAAGATTATGATCGTAAAATCCTTGATACGTCAGTAATTGCTGCAGGAACTGTACTAGTTCAACAGTTTCGTATTTGTCCGGCTTAGGAAGGTTGATGTCCTTTAGGTAAACGATAAGTCGTTCAGCATCTCTGGGTCTCAGGACGCGGCCAGTGGTAGTCTGTGCCCCACTACACGATTGATACAATCTTTGGAGAATGTGGGAAGACCGGGTCTGAGCACTGCAATGAATCATTGCAATCGCAGTTGACTTCAATTCGGAGAAACAGTGCCGGAGTAGCATGTGCTTTCCGGCCCCCTCGGGACCCACCAAAAGAAATGGCTGGCTGTCTGCAAACCAGGGCATGACCACATCAATCGCTTTCTTCACGTCCACCGTTTCGATAACAGGTAGACCATCCAGCTCTTCGATGTTGGAGAAGTTTAGACTGTCTGGATCGGTTAGTTGATATGTCTCAAGGCGTCCGCTCTTTCCTACAAAGTAGTCCAATGTGCGCTTCGAATCAGGTGAAGGTTCTCCAGCCCATTGAAGTAGCTCATTGGCAAACGCCAAGCGGGCCTCCACATAGAGATTGGCACCCAGACCGCGAATCAGACTGTAAAGGAACTCTGTGCGGCTGGTTACGCCCACTAGATGTGACAATCCGTTCGTAATCAGCCCAACACGAGTTGTCTCTACAACCATGTCGCTGTTTTGCAGAATCCAGTCAACGCTCTTGTAGAAGAAGCCATCGATCCACTCTGCGAATTTTCCTCTGCGAGACTCAGGCTGCCTTGTAATCCAAGCTTGCACTAAAGCTCGTGGGTCGAGAGTCTCATCCGAAAGGTAGATCATTCCCATACGACTAACGGTAGCTGGCGACGCAAATTTCAAGTTGTGGGTTTCGAATATAAAATTAACATTAGGTCCGAATTGGATCCGCTCGCCATTGGGCATTGTTAGTAACCGATTATCATCAAGAACAGAATTGAGTGATTCCACCCATTCCGGATCGATGTCCCCGTCAGATATAATCCAACTGTGGACATCGCCAGGCTCCTTTACTGCCTGCCGCGATGCCGAAGTTAGGACTCCGTCAAACCATTCTCGCGTATCCATATCCATGTGTCCCAACAAAGCATTGCGGTCAATAGCTTTAGGATTTACACTGTGCTGGCGAAGTTTTTGGCCAACTTTTTGCCACGCCACTCTTAACACTCGCCATAATGTACTTTTGCCGGATCCAGAAGGCCCCACTAGCACTACGCCCATTCGTTGCCGACACGCTTGGTAGAACTGGAATATCTTTTCAACCTGTGATTCGATGTACACTAAGTTGAGCTCATCGTACGTCTCCTTCACAGCCTTAGCTAGCTCTTCATAAGTGACATCTTCTGGAGAAACGTCAGGGAAAATGTCGTTCATCAATGCATCGAAACGTTGCCCGTCGGCAAATGTCAGCTTCGAGAGGGTGTTAACTCGTAGAGCTTTGACAATGATGGCCGCTTCCCGCTTACTATCAACCACCTGTCGTCGCTTCTCCTCGTGCAGCAAATGACCAGCAAATGCCAGAACAGCTTTTAACGGTCGAAGACCCCAGTCGTAATGTTGCTGACGCGAAAGTAGTTGCTTACACAGAGTGAAAACAGAAACAACTTTGCTACCAAGCTCTTGGCCCCGTTTAAACCCTTCCGAGAAGAGTATGACTTCAGAAATCAGCTCGTTATCGGGATGCGTCATAGCAATTGAGCGGAAGAGTTGCTTCAAGTTGTCCGGCAGCTTTTGCCGCCCACCGTAACCCTTTCCGGCTGGGTTTAGCGTTACAAAGATACCTGAATTGGCGTCCAAGCCGATCGTCTTTCCTAGTAAGTCAACTGTATCTTTCTTCGCTTTCAGTGCAGCCTGGATCACTTGAATCTGCTGGGACACAGCCGAAAGCACCGCCTCTTCCAGTCGATTGAACTCATCAAAACAGCCCCATGCACCGCACTTCACTAGTCCAACAAAGATTCTTCCCATGCTTTTATAGTCAATTCCTTCATCGCAGTTAAAAACAAGCACCTGACGTCCAAAAAGTACGCCCAAAGCTTTAACTGATTCAGTCTTTCCTGTGCCCGCAGGACCAAAAGGATTTCCACCAAATCCGCTTGCCATGGCCTGCGTAAGCGTTAAATAACACTTATCAGTCAAAGGCGTATGCACCAATTTAGGCGGATTTCCCTGATACTCGTACGTATAAAGGAACTCAGCATCACTCATCCGAATCGTACATATGTTGTCAGAGTTCATGTAGAAGCGTAGCTGGCGCTGCCAGACCCAATCCGTCACAGAGGTTACGTTTGCATTTTGTAGCTGATTGACGACGTCAATCAGATGGATGATATCCAAAATCAGCGACTTGATTTTGAGCTCTACAACGTGACGATCTGTGGTATCTTCGATGGATGTTGTATCAAAGTTTGTATATTCGTCAAGGTGATTTTTCAGATCATGTGCGAGCTGCATGAAACTTCCACCCTGAGCAATGGCCGTCTCGACATTCGCCGTGAAGTGAAGATACTCTGCTAGAGTTAGAAGCTGTGAAGGGTACTTGAAGATGTCGGTAACAGATAAGCATTGCGTCAGCAATGTCTGTAGGGTCGACTTCATTTCTCTTGCAAAGTCTTCTAGCCAGCCCTCAACCTCGTCCGTGATTTTCACTGGCTTGCGCAATGAAACGACTTCGCCATCAATGCTTCTCATTGCGACAATCGCTTTCATGCTGTCGTCAAACTGAACAGTATGCACGCCTGCAAAGAGCTTTTTCAAATGTGCTTGAATCACATTTGGGTTCTTAGCCTGCCCTAGAATCTCGAGCAGATCCTCATCACCAATAAAGTAGAAACGTGCAAACTTTGCCCGCTTCTGCTCCAAGAATTCATTGAGAGCCTTTTGACATCTTTCCAGCTGATCGACAAGAGTGATCAATACATCTTTAATATTCGGATATGATAAGATGGACACAACCCTTGCATCTTTGGCGATGCTCGCCATAACACTTCGAAAATCGTCATCGATTCGACTGAATCGATGCTGCTCGTTTGGAAGTGCCCCGCGGCTGAAAATGGGTTCGAGATATACCCATTTTCGCTGGATCGTATTCAGATTTCGTAGATATTCATCCAGCTCCACCAATTTCTTTTCCCAAATTGCTCCCTTATCAGCAAAGTACTTGTAGTACGGTGAATCCTTGAGAGATTGTAAGAGGGATTGATTATCTCCAACTTGCGTCAATGTTTCCTTCCAGTCTTTGATGAGCTGCACACTTATTTCTTTGGCGTCCTGATATTCAGTTAGAGCAAACATGGCTCCAGCACCCCACATGTCAAGCTCTTGAATGGCTTCTCTAATGGTAATTTCTCCCTGTGCTCGATTGTTCAATTCTTTGACTTCATTGATACGTTGGAGGACGGTCTCTTTCGTTCCCAAAATATGGCCAAATGTCAAATCAGACAAGGTCACTCCTTTTGGGATACCTGTTATGCGGAAGAGGTCACCCCAGTGTTCAGTAGTCCAGTTATCCCCTCGCATGAACTTGAGAACAGGTGTTATTTCGCGATAGGAATCAATGTCACGCTGTATATGAACGCATATAGCGTCCATCTGACGTCCCCGGATCTTTTCTGCCCATTTCGCAAGCAGATCCTCAAAGGAGTGTACTTTATTGCGAAACGAGATCCAATCCTCTTTCTTCAAGGCGTCCAAGTTCTCGCTATACTGCTCGTACATTCCCCACATCTCTTCATGGGATGTAATATCCTCGCTCAATTCATCTAGTTCTTGAAATTCCGGAGGATCCACCCCAAACTGGGCGCAATCGTCCCTAATCTGCGCAGCCGTTCTCCGTAGCTCGTCAAACTCAGCGCGACGGTCTTTCACGAACTGTACGGATTGAGCAGCGATATCGGGCTTCCCGGCATCTAATGCCTTTGGTTTCAACTGATGCCATCGGGCTCCAAACTTTTCAAGCTCTTTTAGGAAAGACTGCCTTCGCCCCTCTATTTGGGATCGCAGGACGTCCACCTGTTCTTTGATCATCAACTCATGGCTTTCCAGCATAATCTCCAATTTCGTCCAACGAGCATGGACTGGTGTGACGTCTATACCACCGCCAGCAACTGATTTGAGTAACTTGTTCTTTACCTCAGCCGCTTCAAAGTTCCAGCGGATTGACGCTTGACCGGCAGCCAGCTCCTCATGTCTAGCATTTGCTTCGCCAACTTCTGCCATGCTCTGGGGCCTCTTGGACAGAATATCCGTTCCTTTGGTAACAAAATCATCAACCGCTGACATATGTCGATTGATGGATTTTCGTAGGGTGCTCAGCATTGAGTCAAAAAGTCGTTGCAGGTGGTCGTCAATGGTGGCTTTCACTGATGCAGTGGACACCGTTATGCAGTCCACCTTGACTTCCATAGGTAGCTGCTCTGCTTCTTTGCCTTTTGTTTTTAATGATCGAAGGTTTGCTTCATAATCACTGACATCTGCCAATGCCTCCTCAACAAATTCATCCAGATCTACAGTTCCCAAAATGACCCAATCTTTGAAAAGGTCTTGGACCTTATAAAGGTTTTGGAAGAGCGTATCGGCCTTCTGATAAACTGTTGAAAGTGAGGTGGCATTGTTGTCAATCATGTGCCTGAAGACATCCGTTTCACCCAGTCCACGGAAAGCAGCAGGAATATTGATGAATTTCTTCATCTCTCTGTAGTATTTGGCTCTGATTTCCTCGAACGCGGGCCGAAACTGGAGCTTCTGCTGCTTGAAAATAAGGTCCACTTTGATTTCTGGCAAGCTCTCATTCAGGTTCTCCAAGCCCATTTGGTACTGATGTTCTAGTGCCTTGTAAAGTTGATAGTCCCAGTGATTTCTCCAGGTTAATGTCTCCTCCATCCGAATGCCGCCTTCTTGGACCAACCCGATTACTCCCCTAATAGTATTTAACGTTTCCTTCCACTTGCCCTGGCTTTTTACCAGGTCAAGGTTCATCAGCGAAATCACATGGTCGCAAATAACCGAATGAAATTTTCTCAATTTTCGATTACTGGATGTCAACCTGTCACCAGACGCTTGAATTTGGGAAATGTACATCTCAAGCTCATGAGGGCTGTCCCATGTTATGCTGCTCGCAGCCCGGCCTCCCCTTACATCGGAATCACCCCTAGGATTCTTGATAAGTCGTTCAAAAGCTAACGCCTTATCCAAAAGCATTGCTTGCTGAGATGGAAGCATTTGCTGATCAATGGTGTTATAAAAGTGTGCCACTTGCTTCAGCACAACACCATGTCGGTAATACTTTTGCGCGTTATCGGTCACTTGCTGAATCTTTGCAGGAACCGCAAAACCCATTGCAAGTAACTGTCGGACCTCTCTGATAAGTGTCACGAGTTCATCGCTATAATTCACTCGCAGCTTTCCGTCGCTAAAGTCCAGCTCCATGAGTCGTCCAGTTCGCTTAAGACTCATTATTCCACCTGGATCTTCCATTGCGTCTTCGGTATCGGCCACCCATTCTGCAAATTGTTCTTTCTCATATTTCCGCAAATCCTCATATATTTCGCTGGAAACCTGATGATATGATGCCATTGGGCCGATGCAAGTTTCTACAAACCTGTCGGTTTCTTCGATCTGTAGCAGGTTCATATTAGAGAAATCGTATCTAAGCGCTCAGGGCGGTTCCATTTACGATGCTCTTCAGCCCTACCTTCATGATGGTTTGTCTCGCCCAGACTATATTATTGACCGCGGTAGGGAAGTTTTTCCCCTTTAAACCCTGAAATATGCATCCGTATTAATAGCTTGTTCGCCCCAAAGAGCATAAAACTTTCAGACAGCACCCACTTTTGCTTCTTGAACCCAATCCTGAAACTCGTTTTTGATAGCCTTAAGCCCCGAAATCAATTGATCCACCAAGGTATCACGCTCAGAAGCTAAGTACGAAAAGATGTCAATTGTTCCTTGCGACCTCCAACATTGATGCAAGTCTAAGAGCTGGTGGTACCTAGCTGTCGTGCGATGGATTCTCGTTTAATCAGATCTCCATACTTCTGAAATTCACGTAGCAGCTGACTAGGGGAAGTCTGCAGGCTGCCGAATATGGAACGTAGCCGCGAGATTGCCTTATCCTCGACGGGTTCCAATATCTTAAAATATTGGACTACAGCACTCTACAAATATGAAGTTACAAAAATAAAACATGTCAGATAGTCCGTGAGAGCAACCCGTTACGTGGGAACGGTTGGAAAACACACATTGTTTATACCCGACCTTCCAACTCGGCTCTGTGTACTTGTTCACATGAAGCGGATTTACGGCACTGAACACCGCGAGCGTGTCTTCTACATGAAGCTCGAGTTGCTCTTCGGACGGTAACAGTTGCGTTAAGAGATCATGTGTCATACGTAGGGAGCGAATCTAGCAATAATGCCGTTCAAGTTTAGCATCCAATCGGGACAGGTAGTTGAAGATGGTGAGTAATACCTCGCGTAATCGGGCGGTGAATGCGGACAGTTGACTATTTGTGAAGGGCGGCCCAGTCCACTGATGAGAAGCATAGTATGGCCATAACCGCTCTGTTAGAGTTAGTGCAGTAGATTCCCAAGCATCGCAAACAGAAATTGCGGCATGCAAGTGTTCTTTGATCTATTAGGGATATCAGGTTTATATTTGACAGTGCAAAGTAAGACTTAACTAGACCTACTAATGAAAACCCCTCCAGCATGACGTTGTACTCGGAGAGCTTGTCCTGTATGCAACCAATCAATTCCTCTGTGAGGACATCTAGCAAATGCCTCATGCGACTTTCAGGATAGTCAGGAAATTCTCCTTGTCTCCTAAAAGGAGTGGTAAGCTCACGTAGTAATGTAAGGGTCCCATAGCCGAACCTCATTTACCAGAGATCATCCAAAACATCCTGTGTTTTCTCCACTATTTCCGCAAAGTCCACCATATTCATGGAGCTACGAAACTGGTATCAGAACCAAGGATCGGCAAGCTCACATCAGGATATTTTGTCGTCAGCTCACCTCATCTTATCATACTCAATCTTGAGCGGTTGTAGCAGACTTTTGAAAAGTTCCGCACGTGCTTTAGCTTTCTGTACCGCAAATCTGAATACTTATCGATTTAAGGAAAACCAGTTGTCTACTAACCTTGGAGGTCGCGTAATCCGTTCCTTGCTCCACCCAATACAAGAACTCATCATCAAGGGTGAATATAGATCTGAAATCCAACTCGTTCGCTGAAAATAAATATGAGCATTGGGCCAAAAGTTCTCTCCTGAATGACCTCCTCTTACCGGCAAACTTTTCCGCCGTATCAGATCCACTGCGAACTGAGCTCGCTAGGCTCATGTCAAGTTCGCTAATCAAGTTTTGCAGCTTTGCGGTAATCCCCCATTTGGAATTCCTGCCACATGTGAAACATTAATTTCCGATATACTGCTTGTGCATGTATCTGGCTAGACACATACTTGAGTAAGACTGGTGCGAAAACTGTATGTACGGCTTGGTATAAACTGTTGGCGGGCGATCTCCATAACGGTGTTATTTGAAGAACTTCAGATACATTCTCTGGGGTTATTTGTGTTGGCTTGGTTTTTGAAAGGGCTACGCATCGCAACGTTCCGTCCAAGCTATCCGGTTCTGAAGCTAGGCGAATGTCCTGGGTCTGATGGTATGAATTTACGTCAATCTTTTGTGAATAGAGGAAACTCTGCCAGAACAAAGTACCACCTGCTCATCATAGGTAACAAATAGTAGCTGGTTGTTTCTATTTGCGAGGAAGTTTTCCAGAATCGGTTCTCTCAAATATTCCTCAGCGGTCGTTTCGCTCAATCCGAGATGAAGTCCCACAACCTTCTGTATCCAATCCCTCGCCTCCATACTTTAGCTGCCGTGTTTGAGGAAAGCACACCAATTTTTCCCACAAGTATCTGCAGCTTCCTGAGATTGTGTTAGGACCTTGCAGCACCGTTTAGCCATCAGGTTTTGGCACTACAAGGACCAAGTTCGTCTGGTCAGACGTCGGACGCGTCGCTATACGACGGTTACGTCAGCTGTTTAGTGCTGGTTAAGACCTTGTGGCACAGCACCATCAGGTAACATTCACAAAAAGCAATGAACGATGCCCTTTCATTGTCCTCCATTCCAACATGTGGAAGAGAAAGGAAATTGCTGTTAACTCCTCCTCGGTAAGTCAATACTAGTCTATCGTTCAGAGATGATTACCCTACTCAAACGTTCTTATCTGTGGCCTTCAGGTTGTTGATCTAAAAGCCGAATTATTCAGAAAGAAGGAAGAATTTGAAAGAGAAAAGTTGCGAACGGGATCCTCCACTTTGCGAGCAGTTTCGAATAAGCCTATCAAGGTGAGCATAATAGTACTGTCAATCATACGAGCTTGGCATTAATCTGTGTAACTCACACCGATGTCTTGCACCTGAATGGAAGTAGAAGCCGCCAAAAAATAAAGGCGTCGAGCAAAGAGCACGTCAAGATGAAGAGGAGATTCAGACCTTGAGTTCGACCTTGGAGTCAAGTTGGGTGGCGCTTCAGCGGAAGGCAAAATTATATGACAAATTGGTAGATGAAGGGGGCACGGGAGAGGGTGGGTTCCGACAAATGAGATATGCGGACAGACCTCGGCCATCTCATCACTGCTACAATGCGCTGGTTTAATATAGATGAAAAGGATGAAGAAGCACTCGTAGATTTTCTACAGAAAAGTTTGACGGATTCAGTAAGTGGTGGACGCTCGCTCCTATTAATAAATGTCTTTGGTGTACGATACCATTGTCTTTACAACTGAGTGGTTGTTCAACAGGATCTCCCTGCTCCTTCACCAGATATAGAAGATGTGGGCGAAGATACCTGGGTCGAGGCCGTAGACGAGTTTGGGCGAACGCGGATTGTCCGAAAAGACGACGTATCAAAACTAGGGCTTCGGTATGATTGCCTGGGGCAGGCCCGCGAATGGGAATGCTGATGCACTAAAACAGATCTCGACCTTCATAAAGATTCATAAAAGAAGGGGAAGCGGGGGGGAACGGAGAAAACGAACAGGGGCCGTCCTTAGTATCCGATGATATGAGACGAGAGATGGAAAGGGAGCAATGGGAAAAAGAAGCCAGAGAAGCGCTGGGTATGATATTTCAAATCTTTTGAAGTTGCATCACTTATTAACGATACTATAGCAAGCGGCCACTATGACTCTCGTAGAGAGAACCGGACGATGGGCGTTGGATTCTATCAGTTTTCACAGGATGATGAGGAAAGAAGAAAACAAATGGAAGAGCTCAAGGACATGAGGAACGAAACTCTCGAAAGTCGAACACGAGCTGCGAGAATGAAAGATGCGAGAAAGGATAAGTTGGATGAACGTAAACGTTTACTGAAGGAGAGGGCTGCTAAACGGCGAAAGGTCATTAACGGGGAATCGGAAGGAGCGGGCGCCCTGGCTGGAGATAATGATGGCAGCGAGAAAGGGGATGGTGATGAGCTGAGGGATGTTGTCAGCGACTTCTTGCAGGGGATACGCAAACAATTGGAATAACCTCGGATATCCCGGCCAATTTTTATATATCTTATTGTTAATTACCAGCTGATGCAGCAAAATGAAAATCCATATTTAAGCGCTTTATTCATCTTCATCGGTCATTAAAAAAAGTTAAGCCTTAAACAATTTTGTCCCTCACGCCAACAACAAAATCGCGGCAGCGACCGCAGAAAGCGTAATCGCTAGTGCCCTGCCACTTGGCATTCCAGGTGCTGCATTGCCCGGGCCCGTGCCCGTTCCGTCCCCATTCCAGGCAACCTTCTGACCAGCGCACACGGCAGGTGCCACGAGAACCTTCGAAAGATCGTCAGTCGAGCAATCTGTGCTCGGGTTCAACTTAAGCTGTTCCTCATTAGCGTCCAAATCACGCAGGAACACGCGACTGTACCCAACTAGGGCAGTTGGTTGGATTACTTTCACCAAATCTGCCAGAACAACGTTCTCCCATGCAACCGCCTGCTCAAACCAAGAATTCGCCGAGGCAAGGTTGTTGGTCACGCGGTTCATATTCCAAAGGGCACCGTTCACTTTCCACGGGTATGTGTTGTTTGTAGAAGTTGCAGTAAGACTGGAAATGTTCAAATTGGTGTAGAACGCGTCCAAAGTAATATCGCCGGTATAAACAATATTGCTTGTGTTCTGTAGCAGTGTGATGAATGCCGATTGAGTGGAATAGTCAAAGGTTTGAGCGGCTGTTGTGTTTGCTGGTGCAGCGTTACCACCCGCATCGGAAACGTAAGCACGGGTGTATGCGCTTCCCAGAGTCCAGGTTCCGGAATAGTAGTTCGCGAACACAGTGGCCGGTTGGCTGAGGCTCGTAGCAGCAGCTGTGGCCGCCTTTTGCTTGATGCAGTTGTAATCGTCCGCAATCGTAGCGGCCACAGTGTTAGCGCGGTCTTCCTTGTTGAAGAATGCTCCTAGGAAATGAATCCATTGGTATCGTTGAAGGCTTGTGGTACTTGAGGTGGCAGGAAAGCGAACAATCTTCGTGCTGTTGACGTTCGGTGTACGCCATGAGAAGGTAACATTGACGTTGCTCATTTCGGCGTCCGTAGGAGTGCTCGAAAACTGGGGAATATTGAGCTTGCGAATACAAGGCGATGTGATAAAACCAGGATCTGTAGTGTACTTGATGGTCTGGCGCACTCCAAGCATCTCAAGGAAAGTCAAAGAGGCGGTATCTTCCGTACCAACATGAGTAACCGGAATCGAAATGATGGCGGCAGCATTGGGGTTGACAGGCGCCGGTGTACCGCACATGTAGAGAACGTAGGTAAGATTGTTTTTAACATCCGTCAAAGTTTTGTAGTTGTTGTTGTATGTTATGGTAAACACGCTAGTATCGGTATGGTTGGCTTTGACGGGAAAGTAATCTGTGTTCCCATTATAGGTCGTAACGCAGCTTTGAGGGTTCTGTGTTTGAGCAGAAACCCACATCGGCATGCTAGCCAGAGCAATCGCCGAGGTAATGAAGTTTAAACCAAGCATCTTGACTGTCCTCTTAGCTGACTACACAATTCACGACTTGAGATAGGCACCTAAAATGGACGGGGGAGTGTTTAATGGACGCTATTTATGCTAGTCTCGAAGAAAGACACACTGGCCCATGTCGGAGTTGCTTACATGATCCATAATAGGCCTCAGATCTCGGTGGAGGCGTTTCTTCAGTGGGCGTTCGGCCCAGGTGCATGCTCAATACGGCCCCGTCTGGGCAAATTGGAATGGGATCATCCCAATGATGCCAATGGTCCAGACGCTCGTATTGCGCACGTTTTGGATTCAATCTGCTCCACATTATTGGATACGCGGCTTAGGTACTTGACGAGGTGCAGTGGGTTAATGAGTGTGCAAAGCATGCATGCATACAGGATAACTATTTATTATCGAAAACTTAGGAAAAAGGTTGATAGCCTAAAACTATGAACACAATGTGAATTTCAAGAGGTCACATTCGGATTGTGCCGCAGCAAGCGAATCTAGAAAGTTAATCAACACACCGTTCGGAAACCCCTCCATCTGAAGTAGCTGCAGTTGAGGTAACCCCTGACTAAAAGGGACGTAATACCAGCTTTTGATTAAGGCAGAACTTAGAAAGAACAACTGACATTCACCACAAGACTGGACCACGGTTGGTGCATCAAAAGCCTATTGGAGGTTCTCAGAAGAAAATTTCTGGTCTTCCCGCATCACATCTACATACTGATCTTTAGCTCTTGGTCATGATATCTTGATGATGTTCGATATTGTCCATATAATTAGTGGGCAGATCGTCTTCTGCCTCATAGAAGACATTTGATTGAAACCCTTTACGTCTATGAAGTCGCTTATTACAGTGACTATCCAGATATACACAGCTTTGGTGTTCCATTCTATTGACTAGTATTACCATTGGAACCTCATTGGTACCTCTGTACGCTGTCAAGATGAGATCTCTCATTCGCCATTTCGAGTGGCCAAACAGTCAATCTTTTCATACAGCACATCCCAATCTATGCCGTCATCGGAAGGATAAAGATCATCATATTCGCATGCAGCACTTGACATCATGATATCACCTGCAAAATCCGATGCTGACGGGCAGGGCATCGCGATTCTGTAGCTCTCTGATTTCTGAACTGGTGGGTGGAGGCCAATTTTTGACGCCAAAGATGCACTCATGTTCGACTGCAAGATCCCCTCTCCCTTGCCCCGGTGTCCCACCGCTGGTGTCGCATACCTTTATAATGTCCTGTAGTGTCCCGTTGTCGTTGGGGTTGGTATGACTGTTGAGTTCGCTGTCATTCAGTTTCTCATGGGAGCCTAAACAAGACTGAGCGCATTCGATGGAGACGCACTCCCTGGAGGCCGGAGGTACAGCCATACTAGGTAAGTCAACTGTATCCTTCCCTTTTCTCTCGATATTGTTTACAACGCAGGATTGATGGGAAGTACTGTAACTACGGACATCCACTTTGGTTCTCTCGCAGATGGTGGCATTTTCATTGGAAAGGGATGCCCCATCCAATGTAGTGCATCTTTTGTCGATGTGAAGGGATCCGGTCATTTTCTTTTTTACTCGCGTCCGTTTGTACCGCACAGCCTGCGTTCGAGCGGGACTGCTTCGCTTGTCGTCCATGCATATTGGGTTTTGAACAACTGAACCCTTATCAGAAGAGGCATCTTCCTGAACGTGGGAACTAGCGGTTGTGGCAGACTGATCGTCGCCAAAGTAATCGTCGGAGGATGCTTTGTTAACCCTTCTGCGCTTTTCCTCAAGGTCTATCTCTAGTTCATCTTGCCGTGCTTCTCTTTGTAAAATGTCAGCCATTCCGCCCAGCTGCATCGGCAACTGATCCTCATTTGCAAGACCCGACCGCAGCTTCATTAAGGCATTATAAACTGTAAATCTGGTAAGTCACACAAATTCACTCATGCCTTGCGATGCAGCATGACTTTACCTTTGTACGCTGCATACGCGTCATTTGCCGCATACTCTCTTTGTGCTTCGGACAAGACCAGTGCTTCCCAGTTTCCCGTTCGAATGCTGCTTGTCTTATCCAAATGGGCATGTAACTTTACTAGCAATCAGCAACGTGTTTTACATATGCTGCTATTGGGGGAGGGCCCTACCAGCTTCTCAACCAGCGCCTGCAACGTGCGCCTTTCTGAGGCTACTGCTACTTCCTTTGCAAGGGTACCAAGTTCGAGCCAGCCAGCCATTTGTATCCCAAAATCGCGGTGAAGCTTGCGGGCATCCCCCTGGATGTTTAAACCCAGTTTAACAATCGACGCATCCTCAAGAATCTCCCTGAGTGGCGGCGGGAACTTTACGACATGACAAATATGGAGTACTTACACAAGATGCAAGGTTATTATATGGCCCTTTAATACCTTGAACACTAGTTACCACCTACGTCCGATATAACGCTCGTTGCACAACTGGATTAGAGCTGTTGGTCGCTGTGCTTCCCCTCTTACAAAAGTTGGCTTCCACTCCATATCAAAGCCAATGACATCTCCTCTAGCGAAAATCAGACCATCATATGCGTTAGACGGAACTGAGACGATGTAATCATGTTTGGCTAACCTGCACTTGTTTACTGCTTCGTTTATTGCCCGCGTTGACCTCGCATACACAACTTCATAATTAACCTTGTCTGAGCGATAATCAAGTTTCGGCAAAGCGGGTCCTTTGTCGGCTTGTTTTGGTGGTGAGACCCATATGTTCGGCAATTGCCTTTTGTGCACAGGTTCCTTGCTTGCTTTGACAGTCCAAGGTAGCCTGTAAAGCAATCATTGCAGGAAATTAAGGGCTGTCTCTTGGTGCACCTTACGCTGAGAAGTAGTACGTACACCCTACGGGTAGTGTTCTCAACGCCGGCCACAGTTGACATATTTTGTCGAAATAACAGTTGAGCTACTGTGCGAGCGAAGAGCTCGACCTGCCTATACATTTCATCGCCAGGTATCTATTAACTTGATAACAGTGGAGAAGCGATGAACAGTTGAGGAGCCGACCCGTTTGACGCTTGCAGGACGGGATGTTCAATGGTGAACAGCTCATGTCATCGTTTCATTTAACCTTTTTTGGGTGTCCGACATTCACCCTTTGTTTTTCACGCGATCCTTCCACTGACATAAGCGCAACGCCGACAAGGTCGCCTGCAATGGTCCGGCTAGTTCTTTTAGTGTTCTTGTTTCCATTGCTCGCATTGCAGCTGTACAATCATCGTGAAGCGGCCTGTCGTGTTATTGATTCTTACATAGAGTCTTCGCCCCTGCTTACTTTCGTAGCACACTCATCTTTTGCTCACTGGATCGCTCCCTGCTTGGCCCCGGGTTTCGTGAAAGGACCTAAACAGTACCTATCTAGCCAATCATCGCGACACCATTCACCAGACCCAGATCAGGCACAGTTGGGCGGTGCCGACCAAGAGGATTGCATTCCGTGCTCACAGCTCCAGGATCCGTATTCACGAGGCAAGCCATCTCAAAAAGATATGAGTGCACACGCAAAGAGAGTCGAGCTTCAAGGCACCATTTCAGTAACAACTGACGCGGAATGGGAAGCCCTATTATCAAAGCCGGGTCTGACAGGTTTGAAAAACTGAATCATCTTTTTTGTTCTGACTGAGCTGAACGTGTGCTAAACGCGGTCAATTACATCAACTCGGTTAGTTGTTGATGTCTACGGTAAGACGATCTTGCGGCTGTACAGCGACTAAGGCCCGATGCTGACTCTTTTTAATGGTGTGTCGTTTGCAGCAAAATGGGCTGGACCCTGTGAACCCATGCAGAACATCTTTAAGCGACTGAAACTGGACTTTGGAGACGAGGTCACTTTTGTAATGGTATATCGAAACGGCCTAAAGAGCTTTTCTTATCGAGAGTGTTCACTGATTACATGTATCTGCTGTAGGCGCAAACCGACGCAATTGACGTACTGTCGAAATTTCGCGATAAGTCCTGCCCATTGTTCCTATTCTTCTTTGTGCGTAGCTACAACGTTGATTGATCACCGCATAAACAATCTTCTGACTGATGCTCTTTGCATGCTAGAATGGAGTACTGGTGAAAATGGTCAAGGGTGCAAATGCACCTATGGTCGAGAAAGTTATTAAAGACCAACTTGAACTCGAGGAGAAAAGAATGCCACATATACCTGTAAGTGCCAAGGCTACAGTAAATCAGACGTAAGGCCAGTCCTACACACTGAATTTTGCGAGCATAGCTCGTTTTGGACGATCTACCGAATGCTCTGACCATCTCAAATATGGAGACCGAAAGCCCCATCAGTGTAACGTCACAAGATGCCTTATCCCCGACATCCGTAGTATCTCCGACCACCGGACCATCGGAACAGACCCTTGCTATTATCAAACCGGAGGCAATGGCACCAGGAATTGTCAGCTCAATACTAGACATCATCCGCCGTAATCGTTTCGATATTGTGAAGAAAAAGAAATGCTGGCTTACCCCTGAACAGGTGGAAGAATTGTATAGAGAGCATGAGAAAGCGCCCTACTTTCAAGGGGTGCTTACACATATGTCAACGTAAGGGCCAGCCAAACCCGGTAAATCATAGCGTTCACATTCTGATCCTTTCTGATTCAGAGCACCTGTGTTAGCCCTCGTCCTTGCCAAAGACAATGCGGTACAGGAATGGCGGAAAATTATGGGACCGGCCAACTCCGGTCGCGCGCGAGACGATGCACCCTCCAGGTAAATTGAAAATCCAATGGTGTCGCGTTTTGTAAATATAGGTGATACATCTAGGAATTCTCGTTTTTTTCTGCAGTATTCGTGCCCTTCACGGTACGGATAATCGTCTCAATGCAGTATATGGATCTGAGACTCCCGAAGCTGCTCAGAACGAGATCGAGTTGCTCTTCGGCTCGGCAAGCGCCGTGTTTGAGATCCCTCTCACGGATCGGGATATTACGCCAACATCCGGTCAGCCTGAAAAGACCCTCGCCATTATTAAACCTGACATGATTGATGGCGAGAAAGTTGATGCGATTGTTGAGCGTATCGTTTGCCGAGGATATCAGGTCTTGAAACGAGAGAATGTACACTTATCACCAGACGAGGCAGCCGAATTGTACTCACATCAGAAAGAGATGCCCTACTTTAATGATGCCGTCGCTTTTATGGCAAGGTTAGCTTTTGTTCAGGCTGCTATTTTCCCCGACTTGTGATTTACAAACTGTTTGCAGCGGCCCTGTTGTGGCCTTGGTCCTAAAGGGTGACGATGTCATTCGCGGATGGAGAGAGATGATTGGACCGACGGACCCCGAAATAGCAAGGCGGGAGATGCCAATGAGGTAACTGCTAGCAGCGACTATTGCGTACCCTGAATAATTGCTGATTCTACTTTTCAAAAGTATTCGCGCGGTGTTTGGCACTGATCCTGTCCGTAATGCTGTACACGGGGCAGAGTCTGCCGACGGTGCGGTTCGGGAAATTGGTCAACTCTTTCCTAACGTTCTCATGCGGACAGAATCGGCCATCTTTGGCACGAGACCAAGTACAGGAGCTGGCGCATCTCGTCCAGATCTTGCCGCCGACGCAGCAGCAAAAACTACCGAGCACTCTACATCTCAGAATGACATTACCAGTAGGACAGAGCGAACATGTGCACTGATTAAACCGGATGCGTACGCCGCTGGAAAAAAGGACGAGATAGTTGAGAAGATTAAGCTTGCCGGTTTTGCGATAGTTGCCGAGAAGGAAGTGGAGATGGCACGAGAAATGGCGGAAGAGTTCTACAAAGAGCATCACGGAAAACCTTTCTATGACGAGCTCGTTGCTTGGATGAGTAGTACTCCTATTTACGCAATGGTCCTAGAGAATGACACCGCCATCACAGCCTGGAGAGAATTAGCAGGACCTACAAATTCTATCAAAGCTAAGGAGATTGCCCCAGAGAGGTGAGTGCCAGATATTTGCGCCCCTTATATCCAAAATTCAAGGAATCCTGAATGCTGATCATAATGCGTCCCAGCATACGTGCTTTATATGGTACAGATGGCTCGCACAATGCAGTTCATGGCTCGGATTCGCCAGGATCCGCAGAACGCGAAATTCGCATTATCTTTGGAGATTCAGTCCGTCCTTTCCCGGCCGTAAATCTTGCTTCTAAAACTCATCTAGCCACACGGCCACTTGTAGAGCGCACCTTGGCCCTGATTAAGCCGGATGCTTTCGGATCTGGCAAAAAAGATGAGATTGTAAATAGAATAAAAGAACAGGGATTTGCCATTGTGAGGGAGTCGGAAGTCCAATGGACGGAGGACAAAGCAAAGGAGTTTTATAAAGAGCATGAGGGTAAAGGATTCTATGACCAGTTGGTTGGGTGGATGAGCAGGTGAGTTTGCGACAACTTTTAGCTCGTCAACGAGACACTGATCATGCAAATTTCAGCGCGCCTATATATGCTATAGTGTTGGAGAAAGAAGGAGCAATCGCTGGATGGCGGGAACTTGCTGGTCCAACAAATTCTGAGCGTGCCCGAGAGATGGCTCCTAACAGGTTCGTTGGCAATGTTTAGCCGGGAATGCTACGACCCCAGGATCTGCTCACTCTTCCCTTCCCCAGCATCCGTGCTTTGTACGGCAAAGACGGGTCTCACAACGCGGTGCACGGATCCGATTCACCTCAATCAGCAGAGCGGGAGATTCGTATCGTGTTCGGAGATACTGTATCGCCTTTCCCGTCTGTTCAGGGTGCAAAGCCGGCAGTCGCAGCAAGCGGCTCTGTCTCTGTTCTCGCTCACACCGGACCAGAAACGCAGGACCCTATCCAACCGGTCAACGCGCAATTAAATGGTGATGTCCGCCGTCTTGAGCGCACACTGGCACTCATCAAGCCCGATGCCCACAGCCTGCACAAAGAAGCTATATTGACTCGCGTGCAGGAAGCTGGGTTCATCATTGTGAAAGAAAGCGAGATACAATTCTCCCCGGATATGGCAAAAGAGTTTTACAAGGAGCATGCAGGAAAGGGCTTTTATGAATCGTTGGTAGAGTGGATGAGCAGCGCTCCAGTTTACGCCATGGTCTTGGAGCGCGAAGATGCCATACAAGCGTGGAGAGATTTGGCCGGACCAACCAATGCTGAGAAAGCTAGGGAAATTGCTCCGAACAGGTAAACATTCTGGCGACCTGTGGTTGGGACGTTTGCCAGTGTGCTTACTATTATAATTTCAGTATTCGAGCCCTGTTCGGCACCGATGGCTCCAAAAACGCCGTCCACGGATCTGATTCGCCTTCTTCAGCCGCACGCGAGATCCATGTCATATTTGGGGACGCTGTGAGCCCATACCCATCCGGGCGGCCAACCCTTGAGCGCACCCTGGCCCTTCTGAAACCCGACGTTGCCTCCACAACCCACAAGGACGAAATTATTTCGCGTATACGGCAACAAGGTTTCACCATTTTGCATGAGAAGGAAGTCCTCTTGAGTAGGCAACGGGCGATGGAGTTTTATAAGGAGCATGATGGAAAACCTTTTTACAATGAGCTGGTGGAATGGATGTCCAGGTGTGTACTATTTCTGGTATCCAGACAGGGCGTCAAATTTTGACTAATGAGAATCCAATGTAGTGCTCCTATTTATGCAATGGTTCTCGAGCGGGAAGGCGCTGTTCTGAAATGGAGAGAATTGGCAGGCGCGACGGATCCTGCTAAAGCCAAGGAAACGGCTCCTAATAGGTCAGTATTCAAAGGATGTCCAGCTAGCCTTGAAGGATATTGACCCGCATCTTTACAATTACAGCATTCGCGCCCTATACGGCAGCAGCCAAACGCACAATGCTGTGCACGGATCAGACTCTTTGGCGTCATCCGCTCGCGAGATCTCTATCCTATTCCCCGAACTCGGAGCGTCACCATCTGAACCAGAACCGTCCGATAGTTCCGCAACAAATCAAAACGCAAAGCAGACCATAGTCACGCCACGCCCGCCGGCAACAACCAAGCCAACCGCCAGCTCGCCCTCTCGAGCATCATCCACCACGAACATCACCCGCAAAAGCACCGCAACACTAGCCACACGCGCCGCATCCCAAAAGTCCTTGGCCGGGACAAACAGTAAACCTGGCTCTCGGGTAGGCAGCACCACAGCACTCGACGCATCAAGGAAAGCCGCAGTATCCAAGCCTGCCTCCCGGGCTGCTTCTAAACCCTCGTCGCGGGTAGCGTCCAAACAAGACCTGGCAGGGGACGCGAAGAAGACTCGTGCATCGGGTTTGAGATCGAGTACTGTTGCTATGGACGCTGAGCAAGATAAAGGAGGAGAAAAGGATGCACTAGCAGCTGCGTTTGAACCTGCTGGGCATGTTACCACACATCCCGGCGAAGGTATGGATAAGGTTCCTGTGGAGGGAGATGCTGGGCCTGGGATCATGGAGGACCCGACAAATGTTACCGTTTGAACTTGTATCAAAGTCTGGGATGACTTCTTAGAAGGCAGCATATAGAATTTCCTTTCAAACAAATGTTATTTAATCCGAGACAAGTATTGATCCGAAAAAAAACTCGCTCTGCATAAAATGGCTTCGAACAGGACAGGGAGACGCTTATCAGAGTAATATATTTGCAAAAATAGAAAAAAAGAAATGCAGGAAAAAAGAAGCAAATCACGCGAAACGACAACGCTCTCTACACCTACATCACCCAACCGTCTTCCCCAGCCCATCGACTAGAGAAAAACAGTTGCAAGGAAATGGACCATTGCCCATTGCCCTATCCCCACACTTATCCACCATCTGCTGCACACCAAGTATATACAATTACGTCCACTCTCGTTGGGAAAGTCGAGAACAGTGGCTGACTTTGGTGCCAGTGCGTGGATGCCTTTGCTGAGCTACAAGATATGCAACCCAGGTGCCGCACCTTAGCCAAAGGATTAAGGTATATAGAGTAGGGGAAAACAAATCCTGCCGGGTTAGATACGAGCTCGCTTGACTTCACCTGCATTATCACAATACGTGACATTAGCCCAAAGAGATCCACTAATCCATTCAGAAGGAGAACAAAAACCAACCTTCGTATCCAGAATCCTCAGATAATCGCTTATTCGTTCTTGTTGGCGATGAGCCATTGGATGTGCTGTTAGTTTGGTTGATACCAGCGTTCCCTTGATTTTCCGTATCTGCAACAACCATTTTCAATGCCAACCCTTTCTCTCAAAAAGCGCCACATCTGACATACCATTTAAGCTGGTCGGTGTCGCCAGACCAGGTTGCGCGTCAAATACCCGTTCTTGATCGGAGCCACTTACTTGGCTGTCATCAATGCGAAAAGTCTCCTCTTCCAAAGTTTCATCAGCGCGTTGGTAGTTTTCGCTTTGAATCCCGTCGCCAGATGTGGTGTCATCAAGCTCATCGAAAGTAGCTGGAAAGCCAGCTATTTTGTGATAGTGGGTAAGTAACCATGACAAAGCAGCACAAGGAAGGAGAGAACACCGACCTTCGGCTGCTAATGCGACAAGATCCGAAAGTCGCTGTTCTAGTGAATAGCCGTGCTCGATAAGATTAACTTTAAACGGCTTTTCGGGGAACATTGGCTCGCCGCGCTGAGCCAGAGATGCCATGTAAAACTCGTACAGTCTATTCAGTGATAATGTCTGTGCGTAGTTCATTTCCTATGAAGCACATCCCGGTAAGCGACTCACATATCCAGATAGAACGACTCATAGAAGGTGATATCATACCTCATGCAAAGTCAGATCCAAGGCAGGGATCTCTAGACTGATGTCCGATTCGATTTCAAAATGGTGCTTCAATTCTGTAATAAATGAAGTTAGCTGACTCTCAAACAAAATTGGACCTTGTTGTTCGTCGTCAAAGATCGGCTTGAGATCGAGATCGTCCTGATACACATTGAATAGGGCGTGGACTTCCCCACGATATGACAAAAGCACGCACGGAAGGGGGGCATACTCGAATGCGTCTGAGCTTTGGGCCTCGCCTTCAAGGACATCCTCTGTAACCTTGGGTGTGTCACCGGATTGGTGCTCATCCTCATTCTCCTCGTCGTCCTCTTCAACATACTCAATCAAATCACTTTCACCGCTTCCATCACCAAGCCCTGAACCAAACCCTTGGAAACCATTGTCAGTCGTCGACCCTGTATCACCCCGTGCATCATCTGGTCTCCCAATACTAGCTTGGTGGACAATCTGAGCATCCCCTTCTTGTATTGGTTCCGTCAATAGCAACCCTTTAGGCTCAATGGAAGTATGCGCATCTATGACGGCCGCCATTTTTCCTTCCGCACCGTTCTGTGACAGTGACTGAGCGTCGCCTACTGCGAGAGATTTACCCATATCGAGTGGGAGGGACGTACACTCTGCGCCACCAGTTACGGCCACACTCTCTTCAAACTCAATCAAGCTTTCAGAGGGGGTGTCAGGTTCAGCTACAGGCCCATCTACAGCGAACGCCGAGGTTGCGAATTCCGGTACGGCGGAGGGAGCGGGAGACATCAGAGGAGTGTTATCATGGACGCCTGCAACTGCATTACCAGAAGCACTACTTTTTGAGGAAGATGCAAGAACCCTTTGGATGTTAAAATCCACGTCGTCCTCTACGTCCTTCAGCAAACCTAGGTCATCTGTCATGTCGTCGTTGAAAAATGGATTTCCAGAGTCTTTGATGGGAGACTCACGCACGTCGTTGATTGCAAAAGCTTCGTCAAGAAACTGGCTATCGAAACGACCGCTGGTATAATGATTGGTAATAAATCCCACTTGAGGTTGAATATCGAAAAGGTTCATGCTTCAAAAACGGGGCAAAAAGGGATGTTAAAGTGACAGTGGTTTACTGTAGGAATTTATGGTACAGGCTCGGTTGCGTTCGAATATCCGCGTTCGCTTGAAGCTGGAAGGAACGAGGTGCACGGCCAGAGGGATGGCAAACGTCACGAAAGTTGGACTGCGCAGGAGTAGCGGGGTTTCAAACCTGACCAAAAAAAGTTTCACGCGAGTTGCCCGATTACCCGTTGAGGCCTCGTTCACGTTGCCGATGAATGAAAAGTACCAACTACAGAAATGCGAAAGGATGGAGCTAAAATCCGTGTGAGAAAGTCTGTTGGAAGAAACGAGCAGAAAAACATCGAAAGGGGGGGCGAAGAGCTTGTTGGCCCTTTTTATCCCAAAAACTGGCCCTTTTAGTTAGATTGCGTAATAAATGACACGTGATGTCGGCAGCAGAAGACCTGAAGCTTCCCGTCAAAAGTATCAACTTTCACCCGATTTTTGCTACAGTTTTACAGTTTACTACGAAAGAAAAGTTTATTCCAGAGTAGGTTAATACTCTGTGGGTTTGCCTACAGTATCTGGTAGATTACAGGAGAAAAAAGCAAGAGAAACTAGAGTATAAATAGAGCGTGATCATGACGAGTGCTGCGATGGAAGGGTTTGTAGACCAAGAGGACAAGCAATGAAATGTTACAGATCTTGGCTGTTCTCCATTTTCCAGCAAGAAAGTAGGCCACAGCATGCAACACAGTTCGTATATTTAGATCGATGACTGGACGTGGTGACCATCCCAAGCACGATGATTAAGTAATCAATCACTTCACACCTCCGATCACTTGCGCTCACTAGCGAGCGCACTACAGTGTACCAACCAATCCATAAAACATAGTCGCACGGGCAATGTCTTCCGCCCAAAATGCTCCAAGAGAAAAGAATTTTACCCTCAAGCAGCAGGCCAACACTCAAAGTCCGCCATACGCGATTGTCGCCAATGGCCCTCCGCGGAAGCCAAGCAATGCCGCCATGAACCCGGCTCCTCGAAAACGAACAGGACGAGAAGATCGCGAGGCGGAACAAAAGCGCTTGCAGAGAGCTCTTGCTCTATTTGAGTATATTGACCGTATGAAGGAGAAGGAAGACGCCTTGAAACGTATGATGCTTGCTGATCGAATATCACAGCAAAAGGAACAATTGGATAGAACGCAGATAAAATTACAACGACAACAACAAGAGAGAGCTCTTGCAGAAGAGGCCAAAAGGAAGCAGTTTCTGATCGAGGTATGTTTCATTCCTGCGTTACTTGTCCTGAGGTTCGCCCAGATTTTGTACTCAGCCAGGCCCTTTTTGTTTACATCAAAACAGCGTCGAAAAAAATTGTATTCAACATCGCGCCTCAACCCACCTATACGACAGTCTCTTGAGCATCCGCATTATCAAGTTATAGAAAAACCTGATCGGCTCTACCAACCCCATCTTGTTACCATGACCCAGGACACAGTACGAGCGTCTCAACAGTCCATCCAACCGGGTGCCTTAGTATCATCACCAAGCCAGCCTTCTGCCAAATTGGGATCGTTGGTAACATCCAACTTGAATCTCGGAGGTAATCAGCAGCATCAGAGGAGTATCAGCGCCTCCATACCACTGCACATTGGATCCAGTAGGGATGTCGATGCCCCATATCGTGCCGGCCGATTACCTTCTCTAACTGCGTCGCAAATTCCGCGGTATTGCCTAGAGGATAAGGAGAAACTAGCCGACATACCGACCAAACGACTGTACAGAGGTCAGGTCTACCGGCATCAGGCCGCCGACGTTAAACTTCTCCGTAACGTCCTCAACGAACAGCCCCTGCCCATCGCGAAACGCTATAAATTCACACGAACGGGTCTTCGGCATCTCAATCTCCAAAACATTCGGCCGAGAATAGACGCTCGGCGGCCGCGAATGGGTAGCCGTGCAGCAAAGCGGTATAGAAGATTCTCGCGACGAAAGAGTAGCATAGGAGGGGCAGTCCACCGAGAAAGAGAAGCGGCTATCCAAGCGTCCTTCAAGACAGCGGAGATGTACAATGCTTTTATGCGAAGGTACGAAGAACCTCCTGTCATAGTGCGGGCATCAGATGCGGTGAGATTTAAATCTGCTCTACGAAGTAGCTGATAGGAGACTGTGTACTAACCAGTCTCGGCGTTCTGCTAGGAAACAAAGCCTCCGCGCACCGCGCCTTACGTTGACCGCCTCGCAGCCAAGCGCATGATGTACAACACAGCTACCAGGAATCGTCAACGAACACTTATTTTCGCCCAAAGCGGCGGTACAACTGGAGGAGCCAGCACCATGCCTGCGACGAACACAATACTCTCGACCATACCGACATATTCCACAGTCAGTAGAGGCCTCGAGGCTTTTGCCCCACTCCTATTGCATGTGGTAACAGATGCAGATGTGGAAATGCCGGACATCGACAACGAAGAGGACGATGAAGCCGATTGCGCCGACGCTGCTGATGACTCCCGCCCAGCAACCCTCTCAAGTGCGGCACGATCATCAACTCCTCTACAAGCCGCATACGTGTCCCAGGCACCTCAAAGACGGCCAACACTTGAATCTACCTACAAACATCGCAACTCAATGACACTCCAGTCACGGCCGCCGTCCGCTCTGGCCTTTGGGTCGCCGGCAGAACAGCGTCGCCGATCGATCATATCCGCCTCTCGACATACCTTGCGGGAGTCACCGTCGCATTCTCGACGCTCCTCAATCTCACAACAACAGATCATGGCACTAGCAACGGAACGGATGTCAGCCGGAAGAAGGGGACCTGCGTCAGTCCGACGAGAGCCCGTTGCTGGCGAAGCCGATAAAACGTCGGACAAAACAGGCGAGAAACAGAACGGTGATATAAAAACATTTGCGCGGACCGACACCAACACACCCAATCCTGAAGCTGTATCAATTTCAAGGCCGTTGTCCTCATCCCAGCAGAAATCTGCTCGGCCGGCATCCAGCAGACGTGTTTCGATTGCGGCTCCTCCTACCAGCTTATCACGAAGAGGTACATTAACAGGGAAAATTTCCAATTTTTCTGCTCTTGTGAAGGCAGCCCTTGATGCACGCGAGAAGGATAGCCTCGCAGAAAAGACGGCCAAAGCTGAGATGGAAATGCTACGAGAAACCCCGAATATCGACGATGATGCAGAAGATGTTATCGAGGAGGAACCGACGGCGATCGTCGAACCTTGCCCAATACAACCTGAGGCGAATATTCCCGACACCCTGACTCCAGACCCGGGCGAAGCGGCTGAGAGGCAGAACATGGTTGAGCTTGAAAACGCACGCCCCGGCTCTTCTGAGCCAATTGACAGGTCTCGATCCATATCACGCCCATCTACATCCTCTATCTTGAAATCCCGTCCGCCGTCGTCCACTTTGAGCACACACCGCAGCTGCGCATCATACACATCAGCGACTAGTCCATATCCATGTGAAACTCCCCAGACGCCTTCTGAACCTGAAATCCCTGCACGTCTGCCTACCAAAATCCGCACCAAACGGACGTGGGAGCCCATATCTCTCACTGCCGCCGCTGAAACCAAGAAGACAGTGATCCCCACTATGCTCCTCCGACTACCATCAACACTGAAGGCAGCGCATTGCGACGAAAAGCGCTTGCTAATGCAAGTGCACCTATGGGCTCCACTTGGTAACTGTGCTCCAAGTGTGGAAGAGGGCACCCCACCGCAGGCCTTACCGAACGTCCTTCGATTTTGGAGCCCGCAATGATCAATTGTAATGTAGAGGCGATGATAGGGCACAGGCAGACAGAAATAAACCAATCGAACTGCATACCACTTGAGCCAACCAATGAATCGACAGTAGGTGAAACCTGCTACTATTATATGTCTTTGTGCAAAATGGGTTTCCCATCTCTTCCATGATATTTTTGTGATAGTGTAGAGGTGATTGAAAATGGCACTAGAACTCATTATTATCTGGATTATTCTGGTTAATCATATCGCATAATCAGCACCCCCTCGATCGCTCAGATCGGTGTGGCATGCATGTCATGTTTTTGCGTGTGTAATTGGGCCTAGTGGTAGTTGGTTGGTTGTAAGGAGGGAATTACTTGGCTTTTCCGAACCAGTTATCGCTGGTTTATTCCCTGGTGTAGTAGCTAGTGCCATTTTCTGTCACCTCTACACTAATTTGAGCTTGATGCAACGCCAGCCATCCTTGAGGGCTTCCCGTTTGTGTCAAAAAAAGGTTACGAATTAAGTCTACCTGTCAATCGAGGACCCTCGGATGATCTCGATCTGTAGAAAGCAGTGCTGCGGATAGGTGAAAATAGCGTTCATCACCGGTCGCGACTTCGTCTTCTTCATACTGTATGGGGTGGCCCCATGTCCATGGCTTTTCGCTTCCCCACCTGTCACCTTATGAAGGTGGTTTGTAGCCCCTTCCTTGCATGGATATATGTATATACGACTTCATTCCCTTGCCATACAGCAAAATTCGTATTCGTATGCATTCAGTGTTGTGTGATTGATATGGTCAGATTACAATACATTATGTTTCTGTGCACTACATTGAGAATAATAATTAATCAGTCTTCGTCCTCGTCATCTTCATCGTCGTCTTCCTCTTCTGCCTCCTGCAGCCATTGTACAAGTGCCTGTGCCTAAAGTCACAATTGCAGTCATGATCCATCCACAATAGATGCACCATATTGCAGTACGTTACATACCGCTTCTCGAATTTTTGACTTTGGTTCGGGGGCAGACTTCAAGCTTTGATGCCACTTGATTATCGCGTCTTCGCTTAAAACATCCAAATCGTACAGCCCATGCAGAATTCGTGACACGAATTTGACATAATTCTCGTGGATAACGCAAAAGTCCTGAACACTTGTCAGCCGTTGGCATTTCTGAAATCAGCTGGGGTTCAGATAACTCACCTCTAATATCCTTAAACAATCGATCTGATCCTCTTCGTTATGGCTGAACTTCAAAAGCAATTTGCCCCAGCGCTTCAAAACCTTTCGCAGAATGACGGTCATTTTTCAAAAACGGAGTGTCAGCACAATCGAGAGAGCTAAATACCTGGTCCAGACTTTGCGGTATTTTGCTCAAATCGATCAACTTGAGAATGGATGGTATGGAAATCTTTCGGAGATCATGGAATGAGATATTCATTGCCATCTTCAGGGTGTTCAACTCCAGAGCAGCAATATCGATGGAATGGCCTTCATTGAAGGCTCGCTCCAAGGTCGCTTCGGCTTCCCGTTTCCAATCTGTTCATGCATAAGGAATTTGAGCGTTCCACAACACTGTCATGTCGTAGACAACTCAGAAGCACACCATTTTCGTCCTCAGTTTCGCCGGCATCACTGGCATCCGACTCATCAGACTCGGAATTAACGTCGCATTCAACATCCGAGTCAAAGGTCCATTCTTCGCCTGATTTTCCTATTAGTCATATAGACCGCCCTGAAATCTTCTTTTGTGACGTACCAATGAATCCAAGAGCTACATTTCTAGCATCAACCTCCTCATCGTCGCTATCTTCACTCTCCTCAATCTGAAGAGGGCGGCCATCTGCATTGGATCAATGGCCGGCTGTTCAGCACAGTTCCACGAACGGTACAAAGCAGATCAAACATACCTTCATCTCCGTAAATCTTGCTGTTTCTTGCAATGGTTATATCTGGACCAATAACAACCTGACGCACAAAGTTTAAGTACGATATGAGGATTTCATCGGTTTCCTGGATCTTACCTTTTGCGCTATTAGGCTCCCGGACTCCACTTTGACCTTCGCCTTTATGTGAACATTGCAGTCGATGATGCATTTAGAAATAATGCAGTCATCTTCAATTATGGTACCGTCCCAGATGTAGGCGTCTTGGATTACTACACGTGCCCCTGTCGAAGAATATGATACCTTTTAGATTGTTGGGCGCAATATGAACAAACTCAGCTCGAACGAACCTATTCGACAATTACGCCCTATAACGGAGTTTAGAATTCGCGAGTTATCACCTACGATCGTATCTTTTCCAATTGCAACGTTTTCTTCCAGATCGGCCGTTCTGCGGGCCAATTGATATCGGGTTCAGGAGACCATACAGAGGGCTATAACGTATATCACACCTCACATGGCCAATTTCACTCCGTTTTCCTTGTAAATGTGAGGTCGCGAGTATTTGTACGTATGATCTACAAGCATGTTGCTTTCCGGAACCATGGGATACGACCATCGGGCGAGCACATCTTTGCTGCAAAATGGACAAGGCATGAGCGATGGCCATTGTGGCAACAAAAGTGTACAACAGAAGCTTACCTAACCGCATCATACATGTGCGGGGTTGCCACACGAGCAGCGTAATGAGACTTCAGAAGATGACAGTATATCGTCTTCCCAAGCAGTTCTGACTCTAGCACTCCTTTTAGAAAATCGCGCCTCAGCTCTTGCCAGTCGAAGTTTTCAGTAAATAAGGCTGGCACCTTGCAGCGGAAAATGGAATTAGAACCTGGCATGAAATTATGTTTTGGTTGGCACGAGCAAACTCACATCCACGCTGCAAATATCGATCTGACAGTCAATTAGATCATTAAATACAGCGATTTCCTTCCGATTTCCGATGCGCTCAGTATCAAGGCTCGCAAATCCTTTCGGTGGAAATGGAGTCATACTCTCCCAATGAATGCATTCGTTTGTTGACCCGTCAAGCATGAACACAGATTCTTCTCCACGGGCTCTGCGGCAAGGGTAATGAGTACATAAGAGAGAAAGTTCTTTAATTCAACGCTATACCTCGACCGGTGATTAACAGATGCCTGTCTTAGAACCTATCATCCCCAGGTCTTGGTTAAGAACTTCCGAAACTTAAAGATTACACTGTTTGACATGTACCATAGTCATGATCGCATCTTTATCTGTTTCCTTTCTCCTCCTTCTGTGTCATGAGGGGTATTAATAGATTGTATGATACGATATTCAAACCAAGTTCTTTCGAAAATCCCTACCGATGCTCCTGTATTGTGCTGGACAAATCGACATTTGATACCACATCCCCGCTCACAAGGACAAAATCTGATTGCAGTAGCTGCTTTGAATCAATCTCTCGCAGTGCGTCCCCAACACTCAGTAATTCCTGCGACACCACGATCTTGACCCGTGGAAGGATGCTGTTTTGCCAGCGTGATTTTCTGAAAATGGCGTCTTGCACCGTCAGCCTGCTTCAACAAGCCAGTAAACTAGACTTCTAGAAATTACTTGATGTAATCCTTGATCGCTTCCGAATGTGCACAGCAGACTACAAAGACTTCTTCCACCCCAGACGTAGCCAAAAACTCAAGAGTGTATTCGATAAGTGGCACATTGAGTAAGGGAAGGAGGCACTAACGAGTGAAGTATCGTTACTCTCCACTCCAACACGCAAGCAGCAACGGGCTTCTATGAAGGAAGAACTACACACTCGTGGCCTGTTTGCAGTAAGAGGCTTGAACCGCTCGTTAAAACTGTCTGCAATGACGACGGCTTGAAGGACCTAGTGAACGAGAGAGTAAACCTGTCAAGAACCCATCAACTCACTGACACGGTAACCAATTCAACGCAAACCTCCTCCTGCTCAGAACGTGGTGCCATCGTCCAAGCTCTCCCAAACTCTTCTCAAGTTCAGATATATTTGACGGACATCAACCAGGAATATGCATTGCTTGTTGCCATGCCGAACCATGACTCATACACGGGCTTTAATTTGAAAACTTGATGATAAATGTCTATACGTAATTAGGAGGAGGACTGCTTGAAAGCAGCCGCGTGTCTACCCACAACTTTCAATCCAACGCGCATTCCATCCACGACAGATTCCTCTAGCATCACTACCTGCAGTCGCTTGTACTTAGGCCCTTGATAGGCAACACGTAACATACATCGCTACTGATAGTTGAACAATATGCCTCCAAAAGCAGATTGGGAGAAATGTACGATCCTCCAGCTACATATCCGCAAAGTCAATGCTAACTTTTCCTGTGTCCATGCCTTTAGACGAAAAACCTCTTGATGATAAGGAGGACGAGAAGATCAAAGGTGCTTCTGGTGGAATGATGGAAATATCGGGGTGGCACTGGCTGGTTGTGATTGGGAGCTAATACGGTGACCGTGATTTGCAGTACTTGATGAAGGAGACATTGCTCTGCTGAAGACCTACGTAAGGCAATTGCAAGGCATCCTCAGTGCGTAGCCAGGCCTGATATAAGCTCGCTGGTTGTTTAGGGTCAAGGTCCCTATGCAAAGGAGTTGAAACTGATAGAGGTGGATATCAAAGATATCCAGAAGCGGGTCAACGAGAAGATGGGTGTGTACAACATGGTGTTATCCATAGTTGCGGCAAAGAGTCCTTCAACTTCATTATTGCAGGTGTGAAGGAGACAGATACAGGACTGGCCCCGCCAAACCTTTGGGACATACCCGCAGATAAGCAACGGATGTCCGAGGAGCAACCGCTTCAGGTACGACGCCATTCCTTGCAGTTCAGATACCGCGGCTGCTTAAGCGTCTATGCTATCGTGATTAGGTGGCGCGCTGTACCAAGATCATTCAAGCTGGGGAGGGGGAGGATGCGAAGTATGTGATCAATGTAAAGCAAATCGCAAAGTTCGTGGTTGGACTAGGCGAACGAGTGGCTCCTACAGATGTTGAGGAGGGAATGAGGGTTGGGTGAGTATCTTGGAACTTTGGAAGGGTCCCGCTGACGCTTACGGGTGTGAAATTCAGAGTCGACCGGAATAAATACCAAATCCAAATTCCATTACCGCCCAAAATCGATCCTTCAGTTACCATGATGCAAGTGGAAGAGAAGCCGGATATTACATATACCGATGTGGGTGGTTGCAAAGAGCAACTCGACAAGCTGAAAGAGGTTGTCGAGATGCCACTTTTGGAGGTAGGGCCAGTAATGAGTCTCAGCTAGGGCTATATTTCCTATTGACATTTCCTTCCATAGCCCGAGAGATTTGTAAATCTCGGTATCGACCCGCCAAAGGGCGTATTGCTGTATGGTCCTCCCGGAACTGGTAAAACACTGTCCGCGCGTGCCGTTGCCAATCGTACGGACGCTACATTTATTCGCGTAATCGGATCGGAGCTAGTTCAAAAGTAAGGCGGTTACGTACTGTTGTGACAAGCTATTTTGCAGACTCTAATTTGGAGAGTAGATACGTTGGTGAGGGTGCCCGAATGGTTCGAGAGCTCTTTGAAATGGCACGAACAAAGAAGGCATGCATCATCTTCTTTGATGAAGTAGATGCAATTGGAGGTGGGTAGTATGAAGCACTTAACGGCGAGGCCTTTGCCTTTAATGCGACTTGTGATATTGAAATTGGTAAACAGGTGCCCGGTTCGATGACGGAGCTGGTGGGGACAACGAGGTTCAAAGAACAATGTTGGAACTGATTAATCAGTTGGACGGGTTTGACCCCCGTGGCAACATCAAAGTTCTTATGGCCACCAATAGGTGAGATGCACACTACCGTCAGCGAACTGGTCCGTGCCATGCTCACAATAGTACCTAGGCCGGACACGTTAGACCCTGCCCTCATGCGACCAGGTCGATTGGACCGTAAAGTAGAGTTCAACCTGCCCGACTTGGAGGGAAGGGCGCACATTTTGAAGATCCATGCGCGTAGCATGAGCGTTGAGCGTGATATTCGTTACGAGCTCATCGCGCGTCTCTGCCCCAATGCCACAGGTGCGCGCTTACGTGATGTAACTAATGAGGCTGTAGATACTCAACAAGAGCTTTCTCACTCCAACGTAGGCGCTGAGTTGCGAAGCGTGTGCACAGAGGCTGGAATGTTCGCCATTCGAGGACGACGGAAGGTAAGATGCCTGTACATTGAACCCCCAATCTAACCGAACTAACGGAGTACTTTTGCACGTAGGTGGCGACAGAGAAGGACTTCTTGGAGGCGGTAAACAAGGTTATCAAAGGATACCAAAAGTTCTCAGCCACTCCGAAATACTTGCTAGCTATGTAGACTTCTCGCTCGGAGGTCCTGTAATATAAATAAGATCTGGCGGGTAGTTATCATGGTCTAATGCGAAGGACAAGGCTTCGAATTGGTATATCGCCACAATGCGCGTTGTAACAGACCCAAAGGCTACGAACTACGCTGCTCTCGCTCTATGCGCAAAGTTGCAGGTCCTACAAACTCCCCGAAGCTAGAACTTCTTGATTGCCTGGCAAGCCACGATGGCATTTGCACAGCTCGTTATAGCATCACACAGTACTCGGGACTCATCCGGGTTTGTCACGCCCTCCAGTATACCACGCAAATCTTCCAAGCGTTTGCTGAGTGCCACAATGGTGAGGGCAGCCTGCTCGGCAGCTCCTGTAGCGCTGGCAACCCCCGATCTGGGAATATTTTCGGGCCTAGTGGTTAATTTTCTTCTCTTTGACACATCTTCTCGCTACATGATGATAGCCGTGTAAGCAAAAGCGAGACCATACACCTTACAGCAGTGCGACTGGTATAACAGACCTCTTCATCGCTTCGGGGTGTTTTTTCCGGTACCGGAATAGGAGACGGACGACCCTCTTCCAATCTCGACACAGGTGTGGAGGGCCCTGGCTCGTTCGTAAGTTCTTTAGCTGCGGAAGGCTGAGGAGCGGGCGGACTATTCGGCGGGTTTCTAACAACTTCTTGTCCATCCACGTAGCTACGCTCACAGATAACACAGTAATTCTGCTTTTGCCGGTTTCGCACAAGGGGTACCTGTAGCGGAATCAAATTAGGGTTTTAATTGATATAATTTCGCACACACACACGGACCCCGTAGCATGTGCCATTGGGACAATTCTCATCGAGAAGCGTCCAACCAGCTAGCATCTTCTGTCCCAGCAGTCTGCTGGCTTTGTTTCCTTGCTCTCTTCTAATTCGTGCAAACTCCTGATCTTGAGTTTCGCCGACTTGATTGGACGGCGTTGTTCGGTCTGTAACCTCATCTGGTCAGTGACGACAAGGGCGTCGGTGGAGAACTGGTCATACGGAACCTTCTTCTGCTAAAATATTCGCCAATTCCTCCTCTTCCTCCTCCGTAATCTCATTTACAACGGATGTCGTTTCTACATTGCTCTCAGGCTTTGCACTCGGCGGTGGATGAGGGTGCTCCGGGTCGTCACAGAGGACACATAGTTTCCTTGCACGATCTTTACTTCTGACCAGCGGGATCTGAAAGAAATACTAGATGTCAGGCTTGCAACGACGTTCACGTCATATCAGATGTTAAGTACATACGTTGCAACCAGGAACGGGACACGGCTCGTCAGTAAGAACCTGCAGGACACCCGGTCAACGTTGCGACCGCTGTACTACACAAGTGCAAATCATACCCAGCCTTGTAGCATGTACGTCCCCAACCGCGAGCTGCCCTTGTCTTGACGGACCTCACTTTCTGCTTTTGTCATTTTGGTTTGTCTTTGGGAAATGGAACGTTAAAATAACAGATTGGCATTTGTCCAGCAATTTCTGCAATCCAACCATGTTTAACCATATTCTATTATTACAAACAAAGCCCAACCGTGGAGGCACAAAATAATCAGGACTCTCACATCCCTGTTACACTTTGCAATTGTCCTTTAGCACAGGGCTGCTCGCCTCGATACCTATCTCGCACGTAATTCATGCCAGAGCCAACAGGATTTGTGATGCAAGATGCAAAGACAACCACATAACCTAACTCGATGATTGTGTAGCTTCCCGTTCCCCAGGATTCGCAACTCCTTCATCTCGGGGTTGCTTTCCGGTGATCTACGATCAGCAGCACAACCAGGTCCAATACGATTCACCGAGATGCAAAAGCCCGTAACATCTGCCAAATGTTGAGGTGTGTAACATTCCCGAACCAAATTGCTCATTTGTAGCATGGGTTGGAACCGGCGAGAATCCAAGACTCCGTAACAAGTTGCGTTTTGCCCTTCTCAACCTTTCCATCGCCAGATCGCATATACAAAAGCAGCGTGAAGTCCCCAATTTCTGTGATTCAAAGGGTGCACTCGGAGCGCTATGCGATTCTGTCGCATTTTGACGTCACTGTTCCTGTCAATTGTAGTTGACTGTGTGGTATCGGCAGGTTCTGCCCACACAACGCCGGATGGTGTTTGGTCGCCCGATGTAGCCCTTCGAGGAGTTCATCCAACCAGTAAGACCAGCTACTATGTTGAGAGTAAATGATATAATACTCACATGCAACTTGGTTATGTAAAGAGCTCGGGTTATACACAGCTACAAAAAGCACGCAATCCTTTCAGTGCCTTGATAGGTCCAAACGCATTCCTTTCTCCGCTGTCAACGACGACTATTGTGATTGTCAGGACGGATCTGATGAGCCTGGTACGAAGACAAGAACTTGAATAGCAGCATTTCGTCAGCGTACGAACTTAGTAGGTAACCCAATGCAGGAACGTCGGCCTGTAGTAATGGCACTTTCCACTGCAAGAATAAGGGGCATATTGGAGCAGATATTTTGAGTTCACGGGTGAATGATGGGGTTTGCGGTTAGTTCAATGAAGTCATTCAGCTCACTTGCTCTGCTAGTCGATCCTTGTCAAGCGCGCTCTAATCAGCCTCACTTTCAGACCCGGAATGTTGCGATGGGTCAGATGAATATTTGGGCCTAATTAATTGTCCAGACAAGTGTAAGGAAGTTGGGACGGCTTATAAGAAGCACATTGAGGAGCAGCGACGCATCTTGGCCGAGGTACTAGTTAACTGTCCTTTGCTCTTGACTGTGTGACTAACGAAAAATCGTAGGGAGAGAGGCTGGCTCGAGAATATGCTGCATATGGTGCTAAACAGCAGACAGACCGAACTACGCAAATAGCTAAGCTGGAGACGCAGATCTCGGTACTGGATGGGCGAATCAAGAAATTAGCAGGTACCGATGAAGCCAGTACCATTATCTGACGACTTATTGCTGATTTTTCTATCTAGAGATAAAGGCTGCGGCTGAGGCTTATGAGGAGAAACGTAAAGCAAAGGGTCAGACCGTTGAATCAGCTGAGCAGGAGGAAGAGTCAACCCGACTTAAGGGCAAATGCTGCCCAACGCTCGAGAAGTGTAGGGAAATGCTGGACGAACAAATTGGTCATAATCTTCTGCTAGACGAAAGAATCGAGTACCTGCAGGAGGGAGCATGGAATCTTGATAGCGTAGAGGAGGCGACCAGGGAAGACGATCATGCCGTTAGTAATGCTGTCGACGGGTGGGAAGGGTACAAACTGATGTATTACTTCTTCGACGAAGAAACTGTTGACGAAGAGCTAGACACTGCTGACGAGCAGCCAGCGAATGAGATGCCCATTACAGGGAACGATGATGAACAGCAGCCAAAGCCGAAGCCGAAGCCGGACTGCTGCACGAGACTGAAGAAATGCAAGCGGGAAGTTGATGATGAACAAGAGAAGCATCTGCACCTCCAGGATAGGCTGGAGGCACTGCTGAAAGTGTTCTACCATCTTAATGATGTGAAGGTCAAATCAAAACGAGATGATGAAGCGGTTGGGAGGGCTTATGAGAAGTTCAACGATTACAGGCTCATGTTCCGGGGTGAGAAGATACCTCCCATGCCCGATATTGAAGAATTGGATGTGCGGAAAGAAGCTTCGGAAGTACCAAGAACCACGGAAGTACCAAGAACAAAAAATGCGACAGAAGACTGTAATCGTCCAGATGCGCCGCTAGTTAGCTGCTTGCGGCAGAGACTACAAAGCTACAGCAAGTCCCTATGGAAGCAAATGTTGGCTTTGGTCCGAACCCCGACAGCAGCAGAGGAAGCCGCAATGCTACGGGTCGATCCTATCAAAGCCAAAGCAAAATTCAACTTGGCGGAAACCCAGCGTTTCGACCTCCAGGAAAAGCTCAATCACTTAAAAAAGCTCAAAGATGTAGACTTCGGACCAGCAGGCGTGTGGGAAAAGCTTTTTGAACAATGCTTTGAGTATGATGCCGCAGAGTAAGTTTATATATCTGGATGATGTTGCTGCATTTCTGCGATGACTAATTACGGAAGGGGTTTTACACAGATATAAATATTACATCTGTCTTTTGCAGAAGGCGGAACAAAAGCCTAAAAGTGGAACAGCCGGAACCAACCTCGGGTAAGACTTGATGCAGTACGTCGCGGCCTGTGGTGCGGAAGGGGCTGACACCTATTATCCAGAACCTTCACGAGATGGGGACGCCGCGATGACAAGCTGACCACCGCGGCAAATCGCTACAAATATATGATGTACGAGAACGGTGACCAGTGCTGGAATGGGCCAGCGCGCTCTGTTGAGGTAAGAACTATGAACTTGGGCAAGGCTGGTGTTCCGTGAACTATATGCCGATCAATTTCTTCTTTGTAGGTGGCTCTCGAGTGCGGTGCAGATACGAAGGTTCTTTCGGTCGTCGAAATGAGCAAGTGTGAATATACTGCGCGCCTGCGATCTCCTGCAGCTTGCGACCTTGCAATCCCAGAGCAAGAGATTGAAAAAGAGGCGGCATCGGCGGCTGCAACACAGTCGACCTCGTCCTCGAACAGAGATGAACTTTGAAGTATCACGACAGTATATCATGTACAGTACAACTACCCATGCTGAACAAGAAGGGGGGAACCCAACAGATGCCATTTTAGAAATTCTGACACATCACGACAATCTATCATCTGTCCTTTAGTCTGTAGGACGTCTGTCACAGCTCTACTCATATCTGCCTTCATAATCCGATGTAAAGGACCTCACCTTTATGCCGCTCGCTCCACTCGTAGATCTGTCCAGCATGAAAAGATGCAGGTAACGAGTGGGGTATTATATGTACCAAATCATTGTTTGGTGCCTGATAGGCAGCCAACCCTCTTCAGAAATCTGAAACATTGGAGGAGCTAGTAAGATGGACTCCACACGGAGTCGTGTCACACCGCATGCAACGTCAAAAAGTTTGTTTATTATATAAATCTTGGAACTTTGGAGGTACAAACCCATAAAAAAATGCAATCGCATCAAGGCTGAAGGTCCCACCGAGATTCGAACTCGAGTCGCAGGATTCAAAGTCCTGAGTGCTAACCACTACACCATGGAACCTTTAAGAAATTCAGTTGGAGAAGAAATATCTGATGTGTTATAACTCATCTAATCGACAGGGTTGTTCTCGTCAAAGGTGTCAGATGAGTTTCCATGATGCCAGCTAAACGGTGTGTGGCCGACGATCCTCGTGCGTCTATTGTGGCTGCCCGAGGAGGATTCCACTACTTTCACTTGGTCGGGTTGCTGTCAAGGAACCAAGGTCCTGCTGACAGTTTGGTCTTACAAAGAGTCAACGATCTTCGAACACTGTGAAGCATGCAACCTCCTCAAATCAGTCTTTCGTGGCCTGTCTGCTCACATGATGTTCTCAAATCGATCGTTAATGCGAAACTAGATGATATCGTGGAGGCAGATGTTACCAGCCCATTTGATGAATCGCATTTCCTTGAAGCACATCGACCGCCAGCGAACACCGAGTCACCCGAGCTTACACTCCAGTTTCCTGAGCGTGGTGTTGGCATTGCCGGGTTAGAAGTCCATAGCAATGCAAGATTTCTCGAGCTTTACGCAGACGAAGAGTACTGCGGCTCTTTTGAAGGATCTTCAATATCTGAAAGGTAGTTCGAAAGCAAACAGACATCCCCCACAACAGGAATTTGAATAGTAAGTGTTACATATGAGATATGCAAACAGAATAGCTTTGGAGCAACCGGTCCCGACTTGCACCCTCCGAATAAAAGTATGTGGCCAGTGCGTAACGGACGAGTTGGAATATATTAAGGCTGATGCTTTGTAGTTCTGTTCGCTTCCTCGCGACAGCAAGGACTTGTTGTGGATCAAAAAGATAACTGTAAATTGCGTTCTTTGCCCACCAACCCAACCGCCTCTAGGGGAGGCACAGGTAGCGACATCTGCACTGGGCCAGAAATTGTATCTGTCTGACGCTGATAAACTCCACAGATGAGCTTCGATATGTTGCAAGTTCGACAAATGGTGGATGCGATGAACCTTTCCATCCCTCCTTCGGCGCAAAGTCTTTTGCAATTCCTTGAACTATCGCAAATATCAAACCGCCAAGTGCTGAACCCACAGAACCTGTCCCTCCCGCGGTCGCCACACTTCCCGAGCCATCACGAATCGTTAAATGGGAATCTCAGCGTGTCGTCTCTTGCAGATAGTCTCGCCCAAATCCAATTACAAACCTTATCTCCCACCCCTTTGCCGCAGAGCGCTGAACTGAGTTCATTGCAATCAACCCGGACAGTCCGTTCAACAGACTGCCCACCTGAGTCAAGGTTTGATCTATTTCATATCATCGCTACACGATCGAATATCTTCCGCTTAATATTGCTTGGTGCTCTAGGACGCTTCTTGATCCGGCGCCTCTGGATCCATATACGCGCATCATGCAGCAGATCGACGCCAAATTTGAAGTAATGAAGAGGCATTTTGATGCACGATTTGACGCACTGGAGAATCACTTGACTCAGCTGGTTCAGATATTGAGCAATGAGAATGCGTGATGGAGGACTGATCGTTGCGATATTTGTTACGCTGACGATCTTTCACGGGTATTCCGCAGGACAGAGCGGTTGGACGACCAGCTGTGAGTTCTATGCGACAGTAAATCGAGAATTAATGCCTCCCCGCCATTGCATTACCGTGGCTGGTGGTCCCCGATTGCTACTCAGTGCTGATATCACAGCTAAAGGGCTTGATTATGTAAATAGATAAATATCTGACCTATAGAGTGACTACGCTATTGTTATAATATCGACCCAGCTCTCATATTGTCTGTTTTGTTTCGTTGACTGTATCCGTATGGGACACTGTTCGCTTGAAGAAAAGCCTCACTACAATATTGACCAAGGAGGCATGAAGTCAGACGTGGCGCACAAAATGAAAATACAGCATGACCCACATGTCTCTTTTTGCTTCCTCTGGGGTGGGACTTTCAATTTCAATCTCATAGGCTTCGCCGAACGTATACTTTTGTAGACCGTGAAATCACCCATAGTTAATCATTGGCAGTGGCCAAGCTAAACGCACACTTGTTCTGTACCACAGTAGCGTCAACCTCCACTTTCCACCTTTTCCACTCGAACACTTCTCTTAGTGTGCTATATGATCCGATAATACGGGCGTCGGACGGGTGCTTTAGCTTTGCCGCAAGCTTACCAAGGAGAGGATGGCTGTGATATGACTTATGCTCAGCATCGCCCCTCTCATCTACGCCACGTTATATTCACAGGGGGACCTACTCTTGCGACATCGACCCAAGGTCTGACGGAGATCTAAGCAATCTTTCTGCGAGCTCTGTCGATATTGAACGTTCTTCCTGAATGATAAGCGAATGTGAATAAGAGAGAGTTGTTGATATTAAAAAAAGACTCCCTTTCTATATATGTACCTCTGCTACTCGAGATATTCCGTCAGTGAGGAGAGCGTTCCCTTTGATAGTTGCAGTGAACGTAACAAGCGGTTGCTCGGTGCCATCATTTGAACCTTCATTCATTACTGAGCGATCATTGATGTCCGCCCGCCGTATTCGAAATACTGATTTGTCGCTCTGCCTATCGAAATATGTTAAGCATTCGCGACATACAGAATCCGTAAATAACTAAGGGTTACGAACAATTCAGCCCCGCAGCCATCTAAGAACCAGTTTTCTTGGCGCTCAGTGCGACAGTGTAAACCCTGAATTTTGAACAAAGCTACGACTTGCTCATAGGTCTCTCTTGATGGTAAGCGTATTTTGATCTCCACTTCCATTTTACGTGTGTACAACTGGAGCAAGCTACTGCCAACGGGAGAAGCGATCGCTGACCTCAGCAATATGTCCGAAATTCGGACACCGCGAGGTCACCAGCAAGAACTGTATTGGCTCACCGTTTCGTCAACGCAGCGTTCGCCGTGGTGTTCGGAGCGAAAGCCATGCGCTAACGAGATATTCTATCCCAGCCTTCTCGATACCTTCAGCACCTCGTCAGTCACAACACAACTTTGCAGATCACACCATTCCTGCGGTAGCGCAATGAGTGACCTTTTCAACTTGCATGAAGAGCTCGTGCATTTGCAGGAGAATAATGTACAAATAGACAATGAACTGGATATAACTAATTTATCGCCTGACTCTGTCAGTGAAAAGCTTGATGGTAGGGCAGTATGGCTCTACGTTAGATATGCCCGGTACGCTTGATATAACTAACAATTGGTGTAGAATTGGTCGAGGCTTTGCAAGGTGACCCCACGCATATCATTGTACCAGAAACCTTTGACACTACTCGCAGCTTTATTCGGTGCGTGAACCTCTGAATCCGCCTTTTCAACGAGAAGTCAATTCATTGCTGTTTTCCTCAGACACTTCGACGCGCTAAGTCTGGAGACCACCCATAAGTTCGTCGATTTGCTGCTATCCGGTATGGTCACTGTACAGCTGGAGCAGGAATTGCATGTTAGTAATGTACTACGTTATAGTGTTTGCGGATCAGATGAGAAGCGTTGAAACTGACATTGAAGAGAATGCTCAACATAACTTCGAACAAGACAAAAGTACTCTGCTGATGTACACATTTTGCTGGCATTGGCTTCTGGAAATGGCTGAAAATCGTTGGAAGAGCATCAAGAAGCAGAATGATAAGGCAGCAACTCTTACTGGAAAGCCGAAGGTTGCATGATTTATTTGATAAAAACTTCAATGTGAACGGATTATTGACGCACCATATGCTCATATCAGGGGAGAACCGCCAAGGGCAAGCGCGAAGATGCAGGTGGTTGGGATTGGGGGTCCCAAAAGCTGCATGCTTTGCAGAACGCTATGAAGCTCCTCGATCTGGATCTCAACAGGATCATCATTGCATTGTCCGATAGGGAAAGCCTTATTAAGTATGGCCAGAATACTTAGTCTAAGAAAGGGTTTGCTTGAAACTTAACCCCTACGCCAACCCCGTTTCTTAGCATGATCAACAAGTCCGTATCCCTGATTTTGGAAGATCCCGAGGCAGTTAAAGAGGATGCGATGAAGTCCTGCTGTATTGACATCTTAGCCCTTTGCGTCACGCGATACGATCGAGGAATGGGTCAAGGTGAGAAATCTCTATGCAGTTCCTCAATGAAATCCGATGATGATCAACAATTGGAACCAGGTCTTCAAACGAGAGTCGTCGATCAGTATCTCCGTGAGGAGCATTTAGCAGATTTTGTCGCCGATTGGATGCACACCTTGGTCGTCAAATACTCAGATACGACTTTGATAGAGAGCGTTTTACGGTAGGTTACGTCAATTCGGGTACAGTGGATGCTATTTTTCTCACTTATACCCTTCCTCCAAACAGACGATGTATGAACAAAGAGTTCAGCGACAAAGACTTGAAAGTTGCAAAGGCCTTTTCAAAATTCCTTGTCCGCCTCTCTGAACTTGCACCCAAGGAGGTGCTGAAACAGATGGTGCATCTGCAAGTGCATTTTGACTCAGAGGTATGAGTGTGGAATCCATGCAGACATGCCCACCACGAGCATAATTTCTCAACTATCCAAAACTTTTAGTCGTATACTATTCGTCTTGGGATGATAGAGGTGATCGGGAACCTGATCCACAATCTGTTAGCCCTGGATAGTTCTGAGAGTGCGGCGAAATCCCTACATGCATATTACGAGATTCTTCAAGAGCGCTTTCGCGATGTAAACGCATACGTGAGGGTGAAAGTGCTGCAAGTCTTGATAAAACTTACAGAGTAAGAGTATCGTTGAACCTATTGCCACGGCAGGTCCTGAACAGCATTTGATGCATTAGGCGCCGAGAAGATTCTGGTCTTACCGATATTCCCCTTGCGACGCGGCCACTTTTGATAAATCTGACAGCCGGAAGACTGCAAGATAAAGCGAGCAATGTCCGCAAAAATGCCATCAAATTGCTGACTAAATTCATCTCAACATCGCCATTCTTTGTCATCGCACAAGATGAAGGAAGGCTCTCACTCAAGTGGTTTGAGGAAAAGAAACACAATTTGGAAGAGGTTATCAAGGTTGGAAAGCTGTCTGAGATAAGCTTCATGAACCAAAATTAATCTACAATTGTAGCTGAAATTTCCTAAAGAAGAGCTTCCTGGTGTTGCGGACGACGAAGAAAAGCCGGAAGATGGCGATGAGAAAACTGGTAGTTCTGAAGATGGTGTACCTGATGAGGAAGATGTAGACAGAAGCCAAAAGGAAGACGTGCCAGGAGATGGTGCAAATGATGAACCATCTGTCGAAGAAACCGCATCATCAACTCTCATCCCCGGCGAGCAGGAACTACGCAATCTGCGAGGGTTGTTGAAGTATTATCGGGATGGCATTCGGTTCATTCGGCAGATTGAAGCGGTGGTTCCCACTATGTGCGAGCTGTTGGCTTCCAACACAAAAGGAGAAGTCATCGAGGCGATGAACTTTTTTGTAACTGCACACAGATACGAGATGGAATGCGCAACGGTAAGAAGCTTTGTGCATGTTTGAATTTCTGAGAGGTTAAACACAAGTGCTTTTCAAGATGGGTGTAAGAAAGATGGTGCATAAAGTGTGGGATAAAGACACGGGTGAATCGGAACGACTCAGCGTTAGAGACCACTTGATCAAGAGCTACTTCGCTCTGTATTTTGAGCCTCCACCATCCAGAAGAGACCCTGCCGAGGCTATCGCCGACAATCTCATAACGTGTGTACATGATGTTACTGCCATGTCAGGCATGCGTGGCTCAACCGCACATTCTCCTGTAGGTTGACGCATACCATGACTTTGGCGGAGTTGACATCTTTGGAACAGTTGCTCAGTCTCATGGTTGCAAGCAATATGGTTGACGAATCTGTGTTGCCGGTATTGTGGGGCGTCTTCGGTAATGAACGATGGAGTGATTCCGCGCCTCTTCAGATGCGTACTAATCTACCCTAAAGCTTCAAAGAAGCAGGCAGCCCAGAGACGCCGAGGAGCTATTATCATTCTAGGTATGTTAGGCAAGGCGAAAAAAGAGGTTATTGCAGAAAATCTTGAGATACTGCTCCGAGTGGGACTTGGCGAGTTTGCCAAGGTGGGTATAGATATCTGACGCTTGCGTCTGAGGTTTATTTATAACATGGGGTTTCAGAGAGATCTCCTTTTGGCCCGTTATTCTTGTGTTGCATTGCAACAGCTTGGAACCGTGAGGCGTCAGAAAGGTATATTATGGGAAAGGAAGCACATTCTCGACATTTTCTCATTTCTTATGATTTGCAGGTTCATTGTCTCCTGGTTATACACGCCTACCTGCCAACCATCCTATTTTCATGAGGCTACGAGATTTGATGATTGAACCAGCCGGGTCGTTGGAATGGTATGCTACATCCGGATCAGCGTGCAAAGGGAATAGTCCGTAAACATCACATTATTAGGTTCGGATTTGCTGAGCAAGCAATCAATGCGATCTACCTGCTGAGTGAGCACCCAGACATCACTTGCGGCGACGTTGTAAAAAACATTGCGAGTAGTGTGCTGAACTTACCGAAGTCAGTCGATTCTGATGTGGACCAGGTGGCTGCCCAGCTCTCTGAGACACTTCATATTGATGACAAAGGAGAAGACGCGGCTATGGAGTCGCAGAAGGATGATGCACTCATCGATTCGTGCGATCCTCTGGATCTAAGCAAGCTGTGCTTCGTCGTAGGCCATGTGGCCATCAAGCAAATTGTGCATCTCGAGGCGGTTGAGGCCGAATGGAAGCGGAGGAAGCACGCTGGTACATTGCGAGTTTCTCTGGTTTCGCGCTGCTTTCTCTAACATGTTCCTTTGCACAGAGGAGGCAATCAAAACTCCTCGTAAGCAGGGTGGCGATGAACTGGATCAAGTGACCGGTACAGCAGAGGACGAGTTCACCGAAGCTATTGCGCATATTCGAGAGCGGGAGCTTCTGTTCGGGGATCGCTCGTTGTTAGGCTCCTTTGGACCGCTCATTGCTTACATTTGCCTTCATAACGCAGCGTTCAATGTGAGTTTGTTTGAAGACAACGTAGCAGTCGTCATATGTGCTGAATGTGATTATTGCAGCATCCCATTCTGCAAATTATGGCCGTTCTTGCTCTGTGCAAATTCATGTGTGTCAGCTCGGACTTCTGCGACGCGCATCTGCAATTGCTATTCACAATTCTCGAGAAAGCGGAGGACCCTATCATCCGTAGCAACACTGTGATTGGTTTGGGGGATATGACCGTATGCTTCAATTCGCTGATCGATCAAAACATTTCGTACCTTTACAACCGTCTCAACGATAAAGATCTGAACGTCAAGAAGAACACATTAATGGTTCTCACTTTCTTGATCTTGAACGGAATGGTAAAAGTTAAAGGACAAATCTCCGAAATGGCAAAATGCCTACAGGACGAAGATCAGAGGATCAGCGATCTGGCCAAACTGTTCTTTACCGAGCTTTCCACCAAAGATAACGCCGTGTACAACAATCTGCCGGACATCATCAGTAATTTATCTCATCCTGAGACCGGTGTTGCTGAAGACACCTTCAAGGATATCATGAAATTCCTATTGGACTTCATTAAGAAGGTTCGTAACGCGGCTTTTAATTAACATCAGCTACATATTAACTGAAGCGATTTTTCAGGACAAACAAACAGAGAACATTGTCGAAAAGCTCTGCCTACGATTTCGCAATGCCGATGGCCCTCGTCAATGGCGGGATATATCTTTCTGTCTCTCATTGTTGTCGTTTGCTTCGGATAAGAGCGTCAAAAAACTGGTGGAGCACCTGCCCCATTTTCAAGACAAATTGCATGAACCTGTCTTGTACAAGCACTTCCAAGATATACTTGGCAAGGTAAATTTCTGAGCGAAACCTCGTAGCGTAACATGTTCATAGCTGAGACGTCTGCCAATTTAGGCCAAGAAGGTTGCCAAGCCCGAGACGAAGACTCTAATCGAGGACTTTGAAGTCAAACTTCAAGAGCTTCATGAAAAGTGCGTCGAGAATGAGCAGGCCGTGTCAGCTGCCAGCCAGGAGCAACAAAAGGCGAACAAAGGAGGAAAGGTGAAACGGGAACCAGACATGGATGGAGTATCAGATGCGCTTGATGCATTATCATTGGTAAGTGTGGCTGCCGCGAGATACTGTTAGATACTTGAAGGTCGTAGCTGAGGAATTGATTCAATAGGAAGCCAATGCCCCAAATCGAAAGCGACGGCAAAATAACGCGGCGATTGACGACGACGTCGATATCAATGACCTTTTTGATGCTTAAAATTTTGCTTCCAATCAGGAAAGTCATAATATTGTATATAATCAATATATCTTATATGTGTTCATGTAAATCAAGAGCCGTAGATATTTGCATGATCTTCCTGCTGATCACTGGATTGCATAATCACCAAGCCCAAGGGTCTGTGATATACTCTAGTAATAAGCCCGTCTCCACTTTTAACAGCTTTCTGATGACGTAACAGAAACCCTTCAGGATATTCTCCGAGACATGCTCGGGCTATTATTGTCATCATGGGGAGCAGGAAGAGGGGCTGTCGAACAGCTTGATTTCCTTAGATCATCAGATATTCACACTTTGTAGAAATTGGTTCCCAAACATGTCAACATTTATTAAGCAGGAACCTGCTAGCGATACTGGTATACTTGAGCATTCTCAGTCAACTCAGCTGCATGCGTTGCGAGCCCTTGTCGCTTTACAAGATGGTTTGACGGGGACAATGGTGGATCTCCAGCAAATCGTCCAATGGTTCCAGCAAACAACGCCTGTCTCATCTGATAGTGTCGATATCACACCTTCTGTTATTCAGGAGACGTTGGAACAACTGGCCAAAACCGGAGTTGTTCGATGCCAAACTATGGCAGTTCCGTTTGAGAGAAGGGCCAAAGTTGCAAGTGATGAGGAAAGCAAAGTGAACAAAGGGCAGAAATATATGCCCGAATACGGTTTTGCATTGAGTGAACCTATTCGCGGTAAGTTGATTGCTTATTTGAGCGGATTGGGATGTCTGGCATCTGTTTGACAGGCTAACGTCGTGACCTGTCTCAGGTCGAATCCGTGCAGCGCGGCGGAAGAAGCAAGGAGGTGAAGAGGCTGTTATTAGCATCCTTAAGGACATCCTTTGCAACACTGATCATCCTGATGCTGAAAACGGAACTGGACGACCAAAGCGGACTAGAATCAAGAAAGAGCGACCAGACTTTGAAGTTATTGTACCTGCGAAACATTCCCGTAGTCGCGGACGTCCCACCATCAAGACAGAAGCTCTTGATCAAAGCGAGCCGTTACCCAAAAAGGTCAACACACCGAGAACTGCTAAAATAACGACACCTGCCAAGAAGGCAACCACGTCAAAAAAAGTAGCATCTCCCAAAAGAACAACAATTGCAAAGAAAGCCGCAACCAAGAGGAAAGCCGAAGCTACAAAGGAAGCTGCCGATCGACCCATTAAAACCCCAACATCCGCGCGTGCTCGTCGAGCCGCAGATACACGCCTAGCATCTAGCTCAAGCTCCATGCCAAGCATTACTGGCAAACGTCGTCGAGCACCTTCACCATTACCCACACCGTCGCCGTCTCCCACCAAAAGGCCAACCAAGCGTACCAGAACGCGTGTGCCGGTTGAGAAGACCGTTAAAGCCATCAAACCGACTCCTTCGCGATCTACTCCCAGAACTGTGAAGGAGCCACGGCGAACATCGCCCAGGGGCCGCTCTGCGAAAAACACTGTGTCAGAGGAGAAGGTGTCTGAGACAACGCGGATGGACATTGACGAAGTGATTTATCAGGAGGAAGAACCAGTCAAAGAGGGATTCCGATCTTTCATTACTCAGAATTGTACCATCATGTAAAACAGGTTGTGTAAAGCGCTGAACAGCGATATACAATTGCTGTGAAATGCTAAAGAAATAATCGAGTTGCATTTTTGAAAAACCATTCTGGACGTGATCTACATTCGCCCGTTTATAGTCTCCCTGGAGCCGTAAGAACCAGCCCATTTCAAGCCTAACTCAATCCAAGGCTGTACAAGGTCCTAACACAAAATGCATTCATCATCCATTGCTAAAATTAGGACATGCAACTGTTATCTTCATCCATCTCATCCATCGTCCATCTCACGTCACCGTCAGTACACGATCAATGCCCGCCCGCTTACGTAAACGGTTTATAATCCATCTAAATCGTCGGATACCATGGCAATATCGACATTTATCGCCCATCGCAATCACATCAAAAAGAGCAGTTATCACCCCATATGACCGACTGCGCCACGCAATAAACCGCATGTCTTTGCCCTATAGGAGGGCAGCTGGCAATTATTGTTGGGAACTGCCCTCACTCTGCTTTTTGCTTCCACCACCTTCATCGCGCAACAGAAAAAAACTACAGACAATCAAGGCATCGCCGTCTTCCTTTTTTTTTAAACACTTTTAAGCACAATCCTCCCTACCTTTTACCAATGGCCCTTAAACGCATTAACAAGGTACATAAACGCTTCGTAGCTGCGCTTTTATCATTTGCAACTGGTTCCCTGTGCGTGATTTGTCTGAGAATCTTGCTGGATTCCGGCCCATGGGAGACATTGGTTGCCAGAGTCCTTGGCATTAGGTTAAGAAGCCACCCAGTTTGCGCTTCCTGATTCCGGCATTGGTTCATGTTGCGCACCAATTCTTCCAACATGAACGCGATTCCCACGATTGACCAACGCATGCATCTTATTGACCTCATTTTTCAACGCACGCAGGAATTGCAAGACCTCGGACGGGACCCCCCCTCATCCTGCAGTGCTGGACCCGTAGGGGAGGACCTTTTCGTAAGTATTGCGCCTTTCCCTCATTTCCAGTACCGTCGATTTAAGTAGAAACGTTTGTTGTACTGAAGCACTGGCAAGCGACCATCATGGGACCGGTAAGTTATGTTATTGCATATGTAAAAATTATCCTTACGATTCTGACATTCCCTTGGAAAGTCGGACAGTCCTTTTCAAGGTGGTGTATTCTTCCTTTCGATTCACTTCCCAACGGACTACCCATTCAAGCCACCGAAGGTACCCACGACGTGGTGCGCGTACAAGGTCTATCGAATTCTTATTGTTATCATTTTACTCATTAGGTGAACTTCACCACGAGAATTTATCACCCTAACATCAACAGCAATGGCAGCATATGTTTGGATATTTTGAGGGATCAATGGTCGCCAGCGCTGACAATCTCCAAAGGTATATTTTCCTATCGTCCGCTCCTTTTGCTACTGCCATGGGTTAATTCGCTTGTTGCTAGTGCTGCTATCAATCTGTTCGATGTTGACTGACCCGAACCCAGATGATCCCTTGGTGCCCGAGATTGCCCATGTTTATAAGACTGACAGAGCACGCTATGAGGCAACTGCCCGGGAATGGACTCGGAAGGTGTGTGGAACATATGGCTGTTTTGATTGAAATCAGACCGAACCTCAATAACTGACTTACTGCTTTCGTTTAGTATGCTATGTAGCACTGATTGCCATGGTTGGGTGTTGGTTGCGTGATGTATAGTAGTTGAAGAGATTTGCAACTTTTTCTTCATTATTTGCATAACATGACTACATCCGACTTCGCCTATATTTGGGAAAGTTCTTTATGCAAAGGACACTAATGAGCAGCATCGAAAGATGGATTCATGATACAAGGACTAGATTTACTGGATAGAGGCCGACAATAATGAAATAAAAAACCAATATGGCTACCCTACAGGTCCACTACAGCCGCAGATAGTCAGCAGGTTGAAACCAAGCTTGTTCAGAGCGCTAGTAAACTGAGATTTCCCCTAAATTAACCTCATATGACCTCCGTCATTCCATACAGGTCGTGTGAGGTAACTGACATAGTTTGGAAAACCCTCCGTAGGGGTTCTTAAATCAACTTCGGCAAGGGTTTCTCTTCAACAGGCTGTCAGAAGCAATAAGGGAAATGATTAGATACTGCTGAAGCTCCAAGAGAATATGGGCACTATCCTCTCTCTTCAGCTCCACAGCAACGCTCTTGCGCTCATCCTCACCTTGTCGTCAAGTTCTCGTGATTTCGACGCCTTATTTGCTCGGTACACAATGTTCACAACCATGCTCGTTGCATTGAGCCCCAACAGGACGGTGGCTCCAATCAGAAAGCCTCCAACGGCTTTATGAGCTATGTTCGCTGCGCGGGTGGCTGTTTGGGTCATTATCGTTGGATTTTGTTGGAAGCTGACATTTCGCATGAGTGGAGAAGCTGGTTGTCCTTGTTGCCATGGATGGAGATTACGTAACGCGCACCCATCTCAACTGCATTTACCACGCTCCATCTGCAGGCCCAGATGCCACCTATACAAAAAGTATACCTATTCCACCTTCAATCCATAAGAGTCTACCACACTTGCTACATCCTTGACGAGTACGCTTGGTGCCAATCTGCCTTCCACATCATAGTAGTCGCCAAAAGTCTTTTTAAGTTTGATTGGTGACGGTGCTCTTCCTCTCACCCCCTTCGCCATTCCATCTTTCTCATCTCCAAATTCAAAAGTGACCGTGTAGTTTGGAGTAAACCGCTTATAGTTTGCGCGTACTGTGATCTTCTTATCGGGTTCCTGCAGCAATCGCAGTGAGCCCCAAATACAAGATAGACGAGACAGGACCATACGCAATAAACATTTACCAGCCCCAAAGAATCCTTTTTGACACCTTGAAAGATGATATCTTTCTCAATATATGTCGCGTACAGCATCATGGCGCCGTTCAGGATGAAATACGCGACGACACACACGAGAAGGACGGGTTTGCAGTCGGGGAAAGGGACAATGTAAGAGTATGCGGATGCATATGCTGCAAAGGCACATGCGGCGTAGCCCAAAAGGAGACGGCGGTCGGTGTGCGTGTGGATCTCCTTAAACTTGTAGTCGAGGACGAGGATCTAGGTATGGTGCGTGGTAAGCTTACATGGGCCAAGTCTCTCTACTTGGCAAATACTCTATACTCACTCTTCTGACACAGTCATCTAATGTGTGCTTCAGTTCTGAGCCGTTATTGTTTGGGAGAACAATGGACGACTTTGCTGCGAAAACGTGGAACGAACGAGAGTTAACCTTGAGCAGTGTACGCTAAATGCAACAAGCGACCTACCAACTTCAGCGCAGAATGGCGATGGAGCTGGTTCGAGCAATGGCTCTGTTTCTTGTTCAGGGATGATTGTTGACATGGCTGGCCGAGAACGCCAACTAGCTGGATGTGAGCTCTCTTGTAGCGCGGCTTCTGTTGCCATAGTCAGGTACTGTGCCACATGAGGTCCTCTCCCAGCGCACGAACTTCCCGTCGAGCATACATGTGAGATCATCTCAATGGTAGACGTTGACCCGCTTCCTTGCATCCTTTCTACAGCGCAGTACAATACACAAGAAATCCTACTTCCGAAGGTATGGATGCAACGTCAGAATGTTCGCTGCGGTATGTTGGTCCGTGTGGCACATGCCCAGGGGATTTGTCAAGATGAGGCAATTCTGTGTGCGATACCATACGACCCAGAGGAACATATGCTCGATAACATAAATCAATGCATTGTAAACGATGCTGTTCAACCTGCGATTATCCCAAAGTGGCTAGGTGCTCATTGGTCACCAGAAAGCGAAAACGTCCAAGTGGATTCGTTGTGGGGACGTATCTCCGTCATGGGAGTGAGTGGAAACCCTGCGACTGCACCATTAGCGTCTGCCATTACTTTGCGTAAAATTAGCAGTGAACCGTGGGTGCCCACCAGTCTTGGTCTGGAAAAAATGCGAACAGATATGCAGATGAACTCGCCGCTGGAGTGCATAGATTTTCTGGCGGCCGTTGCAAGAGGATTGGATGGGATGATGGTAGGTAGCCGGCCGTGCGGGCTGAGCTGATCATAACTTGGAATGAGGATGACTAGCCCTAATCTGCCAAAAGGTAGGAGTACAAAACATCGTTGGGGTCCCATTGTTGGGGCGAACGGCGGTATTTCGCATCGAGCGTCTCCAAGGAGGTCATGTCGATCGCCAATCGTCTCAAACACACAGCCTATATAGTGTGTCTTTAGATAAAACACGAGTAGAGCTTTTATCCCCATTGATACGACCTCTCGATGCGCCCAAACCGCAACCTCAATTTAGCGGATACCAGGACCAAGCTGATGAGCTGGCAAGGCTTATCGGTATGCATGGCTTCAAAGGCGCCTATTTGTATTATTTTTATAAATATACGTCAATAAATGGTCTTATATTCTTCTTTTTTCCTTCTTTCTCTTGCAACTTTGTTGGCATACGTCTGACCAGACACGGCATTTTATCACAATGAGGCTCATGAACGGCTACAGATTTCTCCTGTCCGAGCGATTTTACTGGCTGGACCACCTGGGGCAGGAAAGTCCTTCTTAATTGAGTGAGTTCACTATACGTACACGCATGAACTGCGTCTGGGTTATTATTTAACCAGCGTGCATCTCAAGCCATGTTGTCACCAATCGATTGCAGGTTCCAAGCTTTTACTTTCGAGTCACAGAGAAAATCGTTGCGGATCGCTCTGCTGAACGGGACGGAATACCAGCTGCGAATTTGGTGACTCCTCTCCGCCGGTGCATCGAGAAAGCGAGATTGACTTGCCCAGCTGTTGTTGTAATAGAAGGGATGGAGATACTGAATGAAGGCAGGTATTTGCTACGATGACTGACAATTCAATTGGTATGACCAACCTTGTGATGTTACATCAGAGTTCAAACCGGCAAATCTCGATCGTAACGAAGTTGCGTCATATATAGCCAGCGAAATCAAAAGACTTGGACCGTCCTCTGGCGTTTGTGTTCTCGCATCTGCAGCTGAACCAGAGAAACTGCCAGGCATCCTGAAGCGTGGTGAAGTTGGTGCTGGGGGATTTGATAGGGTTATTGAGATTGGAGTGCCGACCAGGTGAGTCGGGAATACATTACATTGCTTGAACCCAGCCACGATTCGTCCAATTGAAGCCGCCTTCTAGAGAGCAGCGGCAAGCAATAGCTTGTGGACAGCTCGCAAATATTCCATTATTGAATGACCCGCAAGTGGAGACACAGTTTGGCAATACAGTTGTGGAGCGCTATTCTTATAAAATTAGTCAGGTGTGTAGGCTACATTCGAACAATCTGTACAGATACGGACATTGGCATTGAAATAGGTGTTTTGGAAAGCACACGGCAGGTTTCGTCGCCAAAGACCTTCACCTTCTCGTGTCGCGGGCAGTTCAGCACGCTATTTCACGCCTTGCAATGCCAAAGACACAAGAACAACCCGCTCATGAGCTTGCAGACACATTTGCAGCTCTTTCAATCACAGAGCCGTACCAGGGATCTGCATTCGGTGTAAATTGGGCTCAGGACTTTGCGTACGCTCTTAAGATTACCGGACCAGTTCGTGTGGGATTCGAGACAACGAAACCGAATGTCCGGTGGGACAGTGTGGGAGGGTGAGTATCCGATTGGCCTCCTCAATTCGAGTTATTCTGAACTTGTTTATGCATCATTATAGATACATACAGTTAAAGCAGAGACTCCGCCAGCTAGCCACCTGGCCCTTTGAACGCGCGCACGTCTACGAAAAGCTTGGAGTTCGACCTCCGGCGGGTGTTTTATTGTATGGACCCTCTGGTACGTGGCCTGATGCATAAATTGTCGTGAGCATCGTGCTTGAATTCAATATTGCTGATGCTAGGCTGTGGCAAGACAATGCTGGTACATGCGCTTGCTGCTAGTTCGCCAATGAACTTTATATCGGTGAAGGGGTAAGCATGTGATCTGATATTGGTTAATTAGACCGCTGTCAGATTAACTCCCATACGCTTTTAGGAGTAATATTTTCTCAAAATATCTTGGGGAATCCGAGGGGATGATCCGAAGGCTGTTTGCGTCAGCAAGAAGACTAGCGCCTTGTTTGTTGTTCATGGACGAAATGGAGGCGATAGGGACAAAGAGAGGTGTTCCCCACAGTTCTCAAGCACCGTAACTTGCCTTGAACTGCCCCTAACCTCTAGTTGCGCACAGAATGGAGCGATGAAGGTGGAACTGGAGTTAATGAACGTGTCCTGTCCACGTTGTTAAACGAAATGGACGGCGTGCAGGAAAGAAAGGGCGTATTAGTGGTTGCGTGTACCACTCGCCCGGACTTGATTGATGATGCCTTACTTCGACCTGGTAAGTCAAGATGGAGTATCACCTTTGTGGAGGAAGAATATTAAGTAGGTTTGGTAAAGGTCGACTCGATCATCACCTCTATATACCACTGCCAACCCGTCAAGACCGTCTTGATATTCTGGAAACTATTTCACAGACAGAACTTCAGGCAGTACTGGAGGATGATGTCAATCTGGAAGAATTAGCGGATAAGACCGAAGGTTTTACCGGCGCTGATTTAAATGTGCTTATTCGGTAGGTTCATTCGTGCACCATCATTTCAGCTGCAGTCTTTAATTCGTCTCTACCAGGGAGAGTGGTATCCAGGCCTTGCGCGTCTCCCCTACCGCAGCAACAATATCTTGGAACGACATACAAAGCGCCTTGACTTCGGTAATAACAAATGGCGACACATCAGACCCATTCGCTTCAGTAAACATCGCAGAGGACGAGGAGGCGGATGTTGGAAGCACCGGAAAGCAAGCTGGATGGTGGCGACCTAAGTGGATTGGACCTGATGAAGTGGCGAGGTTTGAAAAATTCAGGCATGGTAGGCAAGAGACTGCATAGTTAGGAAAAAAACACGAGGTTGAAGCTTCATTTTCGTGGACAATTCTGAAATTAAAATGTTTATTGCGCTTTTCCACCTGGTTTTGCTAAAGCCCCGATATTGCATAAAGACAATGTTGGAGCATGTTGGAGCTTTCATCAGTCCCTTAGCGCTTTATCTTTCTACCTAGTCGTAAGTTGCATTATTTTTGTGCCGTCAACCGTGAGGTAAGCCATAATCGTATTTTATTTGCTTACATGGATAGTGAACAGCATCAGAATGCTCCAATCCAATGTGGTTCAAATCACCTTGTCGTGGATATTTGTGTCGCGATCGAAACTGAACCTATCCCATAATCACGATGTCAGCTCGGAAAGCCAAAACTCTCAAACGTTTGTCAGCCGGATCGAGCGAACGTACTGGACCTCTACCTCTTCCTCCAGAAGTCCTGGACATTGTCTTTCAGAATCTTAACTCGCCGCAATCACTACTGGCATGCGCGCTGAGTTGCTCCGCGTTCGAAACTGGTGCAATTCGACAGTTATGGAAGGCTATCGCGCCAAAGAGCTGGGACGAAGTCTCACTAATCAGCTCCATTTTGGAGAAGTCGATGAGATCCTCTGGTACACCACAGAAGCCTTTGACTACCGCCGATGCGAGAGGACCACAAGCTACCAGCACTCAAGCGACTACATGTAGAAGAAGTAGTCTGCGATTGGCGAAAAGGGTCAAGAGGCAGATAAAAGACGCATGTGTCCTTGGAATTGAATCGATAGATACGGAAGCCGACAGAGCGGCGATCATCCTAGCGGCCATACTCTCTGAAACCCCTTCTAACTACATGCACTGGCCCCCGTCTCTTACGCTCCCAAAGAAAGTCAGAGAGCTTCTCGATGTTATACAAACGCACGGAGTAGAGAGGGTCTTTTCTGATGAGCTCTTGGAGCAGTTGGCTCCGTTTCGAGCTTCCGCTTGGCTTTCAAATAACGGGCAAACAGCTGATATTGTATCGCCTGCCCGCAAGAACTCTGCCGAGAGTCATGCGGAAGAGATGGTGGGGATGGAGTCTTGCGGGCCACTAGGTAGAAAAAGGTTGACTAGGTGGCCCTATCACCGATTTGTACACGCCCTGGATTTTGATAATTTAACTGTTCTTGGTCAACCGGTCAGTTTTACTCACATTAAGGTTTATGTCGAGTTCCTCATCCATTTCCATACTTAGTGTACAAATCCGGTTCACTCGGGCTTTTACTTTGATTTGACGTTATCCTCCTTATTTTCAAGTTGTATTGAGCTGCAAAGTATAAAGTGTGTTTCTAAGGAGGGTGTTTTCTGCCTCTAGACAGGTTGCTAACTGCTTGGCACGCACCGTCTCGTAGGATGTTTGACTTTCCCTTGGGGCCAAAAGCTGTCCAATGTATGTGATGACCTGCGATTGTCCTCATCTGTCCAATGCTGATTGTCGCGTCCATTTACACTACAATGTGGTAATGAAGGTCTCCTCTCGTCCTGTCGTAAGCTGAAATACGTGCACCTTCCGCTATGCCATTTAACCGATGACACCCTGCGGAGACTCTTGACCTATTTGGTACCTCAACTTGAACGATTGGACGTCGAACAGCCGATTTTAGACGATTCAGAAATAATGGACGACACTCTGGGCCTTCTCATCAATAGATGTAGCAGGATGAATAGCCTTGGTCTTGCTGGGTGTAGGAGGGTCAAGGAAGACACCTTGTTGAAGATAATTGAGTCCATGGATGCCCTGCGTTCGTTCGATGCTGGAGCTCTGATTATCAGTGATCAACTGCTGAAGGCTATTGCAAATAAGCATGGGCGTACTCTGGTCAATCTTTGTTTGAGAAAGACAAAGGGTCTGACATCGCACGGGTTTCAGCTCATTGCCGAAAGTTGCCCAGCATTAAGACAATTGGTGAATAATTAAAACCAAATTCGGGTACTTGCATAGTTTTCTAATCTTTTTTATCCCACCTACAGGACTTAACTGACACGTTATTCTATACGGACGATGACATCAAAATGTTTGCAAGATCTTGCCCCCTTCTCACGCACCTCCATTTAGGCGCGGACGACTTACTAATTAGTCGGATCACCGATGAATCATTGAGCGCCATTTCCTCTCTTCCCCATCTCGTTATCGTCCAGCTTCTCGGCCAGTACTGCATTTCAGATACTGGCATCTATGAGCTAGCAGCGCATGGGCGAGGTCTTGAAGAGTTCACAGTCAGCTGCGGCGATTCCGTGACAGAACGCAGCTTGGTTCCCTTGATTCGTAAAAGTGGCAAAAAACTCCGAAATATGTTTTTGTTCGAAGGATCGTACGTTACTTCCAGAGTGCTCAAAGTACTGGAAGAGTCTTGTCCTGAGCTTGAGACATTATGGATTTTTTCGTGTCCAGTAGGTGAACTGTACGCAATGTAGTCTGTGTTCCCTGCCCAGCTGCTGATCCTGGAAATCTTCTTGTGCAGCAAATCTCCAAACGTAGTCTCAAGATGTGGCTGCAACGCAATGCCAATACCAAGAATCTTCAGAAGTTCAGTCGTATTGGCTGTGACTACCGGTTTACCGAGAGGGAGAGGCGACAGCTACAAGATTTATATCACAACTTGAAGTTTGATAACTAATCCGTTTACAAGAACTTTGTTTCTGTAGCGTGTCAATTGTACATATACCTATATCCGCTATATATCACGTATGGATCTGCGCTTTGTTGTTATTACTGTTGTTGTAGCTATTGCATTCTCCGACCGTCGGCTCTCCTCAACAGCCTCCACCCCATTTACCAGCCTTGTCGGAGCTGCATACTCCCCCTGTGATGGTGTGAACGTGATAACTGTTCTGATGGTATACATCATGTGAAACAGCCAGGCGCAATACAGGGATATATCTGTAGGGGCACAAAACGAGTTCGTTCAATTGCGTCGAGTGAAGATGAGCATTGGCATTATACTTACAAAAAGTACAAAGGCCATCCAAGAGAATACTGTAGGGAAAAGCAGATATTATACCCAGTACAATGGCACCAGGAACCGCTATCGACGCTGCGAGGATCGCCTTCTTGAGCGTACCCTCAAGAAACTTGACAGCCTCGAGTCCGGTTCGTCCCGCGTTTCGAAGACTCACGTCCGCTTTCACATTCACGACCAACCGGATTACGAGCAGCGACAAGGCAGCGGCCGACACCGCAGCATACAGTCCCCATGCTGCAAACAGCCACTTGTGTATTTCCTTGGTCGGATCCAGTATTTGTTGGGCAGCAGTAGCGGCAATAATCCCCGAAAGGACAAAGGAAAATAGAGCTAATGTCCATCCTCGTACAGCTTTGTTCCACGACGCATTATATCCCATGTGAATCTGAACCACTGGTAAATAGGTTTCAGCAATACGCAGCAGCATGAACGACCCAGCGACGAGGAACAATTCGGATAGGTACACGCCATATTGGTACTTTGAGTATTCTCCCCTCGCATAATGTACAGCGTTTACGGTTGATATCACGTAGGAGACGAGCATAATAAATTGGGACGCGGTGGAAAAGTAAGCGATCGTTCTGTGACCCGGACTGAGAACCCTTCTAATGGTATGCAAAACGTTCAGCAAGCCGATAGCTAAACTGAGAGCATATAATAACATGCTAGGTATGACGGTTGTTGTGCTCACGACGAGCATATTTGGCTGGTTAAAGGAAGAACACCTTAAAGAGTGATCGTTCCATATAGAAACTGAGCGCAAACTTTAAATGCTTACGGAGAATAAGCGGGCGGCTCATTGATAACACCCCTGTTGGTAGTAAGCAGCCATTGTTTTCAGATCCTCAACAGATCCTTTCAAATCGCTCTCACTCTTCAACAGTGTTTTGACTTTTGGCAATGTCCTAAATATAGTATCCTATTGTGCCAAAGAGCTATAATTAGTTCCAACCGTACGGTAACTGCATTGACAACTTGGGCATTCCCAAAATAGTGTCCGATTTATCGAAGCACTTAGGAAAAGCTAACATTCCAGGGAAACAAAAACATGGAAGTTTCGATCTTGTCTCCCTTACGGGTTGCCACTGCGCAAGAGAAAGGTCAACATGTATCCCTCGCTTGGAGACGTGTACACTATAAATTCGTGCTGTCGCAACCGCTGTGCAAACTGTTTCATGTAACAAACTGCAGTGTGCGCGGCTGAATGATCGCGTTCAACAGTTCAGTTGAAGTTGCTCCCCGCAATCTCGAATCCGCAACTGACAGCAGTACAGAGGTATGTATGAGAAGGCGCTGTGCAGGTTTCGTTTCGAATCCGTGGATATGTGAGATATTTAATTATATTTAATGTTGCACACCCCATGTCTCATAGACTGCTCAAAGAAATCCAGCAGCACGTTGAGAAGCTTGGCAAGCGCACGCTCCTAGAGCAAGTCATCCGGCATGAGGATATATCGGTTCAACTCACAGTATTTGGCGTGGAATTGACGCAGCTAGCCGGTGATCTGCAGTTGGCGCTCGCTGTTGACGAAAGAGTGGATCGGGAGGCTCGACAAGGAGATCAAGCAACCTTCCATTTCTATTGGAGAGCCTTCTGACTGCCAATCAGAATCTGATTTTAAACGCGATCAAGGTTCATCGCAAAGAAATGCGGGAAGCTCTGCAAGCCTTGGCGAAGAAGAAGAACACGGTGGATGTGTCAGGAAAATTTGCGAATGCAGCTTACGAAGCGCTCTTGAGCGTGTCTTAACTCACGGATCGCAACGAAATCAAGGTGCACAAATGGACGCTGACGCATTACGAAATTGAGACGGGAGACTTGATCAGCGAGGGCGGTTTCGGGCGGATGTACCATGGTCTCATGGACGGGAACACAAAAATAGCGGTAAAGCAGTTGAAAGACGAGCTGGAAGACGATATGGACCGGCGAAACTTTGAACATGAGGTGAAAATCTGGTATTCTTTGCGACACCCACACATTCTGCCATTGATCGGAGCCAGCGTCACCGCTCAACCCCCTTTCATGGTATGTCCCTACATGCCGAACGGGACCCTCCGGCAATACGTTCGCACCCATCCAGAGACCAAACTGCGGCTCCTTTACGAAGTCGCCCAGGCACTCGCCTTCATGCACAAGAAGAATATCGTGCACGATGATATCAAGGCTGCCAATGCCCTCATCGACGGATCGGGTCACGTTCAGCTCGCGGATTTTGGATTTGCAGGCATACGGGCTCTCTCATCTTCCAAGGGATGCAAGGCTTATCAAAAAGGTCCGGGAACGGCACGCTGGGCCGCACCAGAACGGCTCAGAGGACATGCTTCTTCAAAGTCGAGCGACGTTTATTCCTTTGGAGTGACGATGTGGGAAGTCATCGCAGATGGCAAAGTACCTTTTGAACACGTTTTGGACAACGATACGGTCAGAGCCATTGTGCTGGACGGGATCCGTCCGGAACGTCCCAAAGGATGTGAGGTTGCCATATAGGTTCTCATGGAAAGGGCATGGCAGCAGGATCCGGCGGCAAGACCTAGTATGGCGGAAATTGTGAGTGCGCTGCAGCCATGGGCGGGGAAGACGACAATGAAGCAATTGCGTGAAGCTCCGTTGAACGTTGATTCCGGTTATCAATCATAGCCTGTTGCCATAGCAGCACCATTGACGGCGACTCAAAAGGAAGCAGTCACAAAGGCGGTGATAGCCGAGCAACCTTCTCGGATTGCGCCTCCTTCGACGGCATCAGCAGCAACTAAGAGATGCAATTTCTGTGCTGGCGCCGGCAACGTGCTGTGCCTTCCTTTCTGTCTCCCCTGTCACACGGTTGAAGACTGTTCGAGCGGTTGTTTGCGCTCCTGGATTATGTTTCGTCGGCGTCTTTACGGTAACGATGATTCCATTTGGCATATTGGTTAGCCCTCTCTTCTGCTGTATAAACGGTTGTCAAAACGAGTGCAAGAAATGCAAAGGGTCCGGCAGGCTAGCCAAATGAAGCCCAAATTCCTGGATCTAAGGGGCATTAAAGCACGATCACGAATCTGCTGTGAACCACGAGTCAACGAGTCAGCAAAGGATTCCCGGGTGAGAAACTGAATCTCCTATAAACTTTTCATTCTATTGTTATATGAATATTTATAATTGGACAGGTCTCTATCTTGGATAAAAAGATAGTGTGTGTATGGTCGAAAGTTTGCAGCCCTAACATCTAGTCTATGTACGTAGCGAGCATCGGTGTAGTTTTGTATACAATTGACAGATTTCCCCCAAAGCAAAAACAGAACCGTCCGTTTTATTCAAAAGATTACCATTAAGGAAAAAGTTATTGTTCTGACTATGTTAAAAGTGACCATATCAATGAAGCGCCTCTGTTGCGTCCGGAAAGGGGCAACGGAGGAATAAAGAAGTATATTGAATGGTCAATATTGCATGATCATCAATTCCATCCTGCAATGATTACTTTCATAACACTTTCTATCATCGTTAGTGGTTAGGTCAGCCATGTTTCTGCGCTGACCTCATCAGCGTACTGGGCCACTGCATCACATGATAGCCATGACGACGACCGCAAAACGGAACAAAACGATGCAATTATTGGATATCGGGAGTTTTCGCTACAGGACGAGCTCAATCACGAATTTCTAGCGACATCATGTCCCGCCAATTCCGTTTCTTCAACCTCGCCGCTCGCCAAACCATCTCCCGTCGTGGAGTCTCCACACCAAGTGTGGACCCCGCGGCCGTCCGAAAGAATGTTGAGGGAGTTGCTGGCAAGCTTACAGGTGGGTATTTGCAGTATGCAGTCTGGCTTTGACATCGCGAGGTGCCAGCAAGATTAGCAACTCGTACGCTTCGTGCACCTCAATGACTCTACCTGTGAGCAGGCTTTGCGGAACCCATCATCTACTACTCTCGCGTCGGTCTCGAATTCTTGCGCTCGGTCGCCGTCCACCAAAAGCTTGCTATCCCAAACGTTGAGAATGGAATGAGCGGTCTTACTAACTTTTACAGCGCCTTCAAGAATGGCGCCTGGAAGAAGGTCACGCTCCGTCAAACGGGTCAGCTCGCCGCTGAGGGTATCAAGATCTCTGGGTTCTTCCTTGTTGGTGAGATGATTGGAAAGGGAAGCGTTATTGGATACCAAATCGAAGGGTCAGTTCATTTTCCTTTTTGTCGAATCGATGAGCGGGAGTATTTAATGCTTCTTCCCTCCTTTGATAGTACGGAGCATCACGCCGAGGGACACTAAACGCAGCCGCGGTAGATCGGCAAATAATCTTAGATGTAGTCTTGCGGGACACCCAAACCCTTAAGAATAAAAAATAAGCCCTCTTTGTTCCGTTCCTCCTAATCATAATCTTGTACCTCATCGATCAATCTGACGAGTGCTTTCGAGAGGTCTTGGTCCTAATGTATGTCGTGTGGGAAACAAATGGGAAATGCCATGAATAAGAATGGCCGTCCGTCTCAATGTCTGTCATGTGAGGAAAGAAATGGGGAATGCCATGAATGAAAGTTACCGTCGATCCCAGGCTCTGCGGGCTGCATTCTCATGACGCACCCGAATTCCTCGACAAATGGTAGTGCGCAAGAGGTTTAGGGAAGTCCCTGAGTAATTCAAAAAAAAGCAAAGATTAGAGAGGAGGAGGACACAGTCGCTTGCAGTCCGGATGAAGACAGTTTGCCGATGTCATGTTGAGCCAAGGGCTCGACCATTAGATTGACCGCTCCAGTAACCATCTAGTGAACATCTTGGTCGTATCCCCACATACAACCAACTTAGGCATCATATCGCATCTAACGGGGCTTTTGCATTCCCCACTTGTCCTTATTGGCAACCATTAGATACGAAATACCGTGCAAAATGTTCATCAGGCATCATGAAAAGCCCGGCGCAAAGAATGAAGAGCTGAACGGAAACCAAGCTTTGATACTTCAGGAATATAATTAACAAAAAAATAAAAGAAAAAAAAAATATCATACAAAAATAAAACGCCCATCTATCCCATCTATATTTTTTTTTCTTTTTGATTTTTTGATTTTTTTTGGTTTTTTATTTTTTTTAGAGATCATAAAGATCTTGTTGGAGGGGGCGGGTGACGGAGAAGGAGGGACCGGCCCCGAGTCCCTCTAGAAGCAAGGGACTTCTAGAGAAGCCCTTGTGATGAGCTCCTCCACCAGGAGGACTCGGGACTCGGGACCAGTCCGCTCCTTCTCCGCCAGTTGCTGCCACCATCCCCCCGGCAGCTCCGCCCTCGCCCCCTCCAACAAGATCTTTATGATCTCGTATGCTTCACCTCGGCGAACCGAGGTGGGCGCATAGATCAGGATCTGTAGAAAAAGAGATGAGCAAGATGAGCAAGATGATCGATGATGTGAACAGTTCACAACATAGATACTTACGCGCCCCAGGTGCTCCAGCATCCTGTGTTTTTCCTCCTCATCGACCGGCTTGGCCCCGAGGTCGATGGCATCCCGGAGGACCTCGAGGCCAAGCCGGTCGTAGTACCCCACCTCGAACATCTCCAGCACCTTCGTGAGCAAGGTGCTGGGCGCTATGTGTTCGAGGAGCACCTCGGCCGCCTTATCCCTCGCCCAGTGGATGGCCGTTCGCAAATTGTCGTAGCGGCAGTACTGTAACGCAGTGAAGAAGAAGAGTTAGGGCCATCAATCAAGGCGAAAAGACTGATCAATGGCAAAGACTCACGTCGTGGAAAACGAACTTGTCGACAAGGAATCCTTCGGGAGGCACATCTGATTCCTGCCCAACAGCTTGTATTGCTTCGGGAAATGACCGTCTCATCGCTGCATCAATCACTTGAATCGATCGGAGAACTTGAGATCCAGGAGACTAGAGATGAAAAGAGAGCAAGTCAGCTTCCGCATACAGGTGAGAACATTCACTCGCATACATACTTCAAGATCATTGAGGACGCGCGTCGCAGTCCCTACGCCATGGTTAAACCACTCCTTGTTTTCTGTCTGGCCTATCTTTTTCAGAACTGAAGCGAGGCGTTGGCCGGTGTAAATAGCGGTTGTCGCTTCACGGATGCTGTAGATCTCTCCTGTCTCATTCCATCGAGGTTTTGTAGAGGTACTTGGCGACACAGATGGCGACGATGCTTTTGACGAGGCCGGTGCCGTTGACTTCTGCGGGGTGGCGGGACCTTTAGCGGTTGGAGATTTCTGGGTGGGACTTTGCTGCGTCTTCGGCGGCTCGGATGGCGAGATTGGCTTGAGCGATGCCGGTGCTCTTGCCTTCTCCGTTGTGGCGAGACCTTTGGCGGCTGGGGATTTCTTGGTGGGACTCTGCTGCGTGTTTGGCAGTTTGGATGGCGAGGATGTCTTGAGCGACGCCGGTGTTGTTGACTTCTGCGGCGTGGCGGGATCTTTAGGTGTTGGAGATTGCTTGGTGGGACTTTGATGCGTCTTTGGCGGCATTGCTGGCGAGGATGCCTTGGACGACGCAGGTACCACTGATTTTGGTGGCGTGATAGGTTCTTTAACGGCTGGAGATATCTTGATGGGACTTGACTGCTGTACTGTCCTTGTCGCGATCCGTGTCTTTGGGATGGCAGATGATTTCGCGTCAGACTTGCTGGGCGAAGGTGCTACTTTTGTCTTTTCTGGCGTTGGCGTGAGCTTTGGAATCGCGGATTTCTTAACTAATGCTGACCGTTGTGCAGGTTTCGGCTGAGAATGCTGCGTGGATGTCACGGGTATTGTTTTTTGAATGGCTGGTCGACCTAGATCGTTCGGCTTGCGCGCCGCAAGCACCGTCTTTGGAACTCGCTGGGCACCTCCACCTGCTTCTTTCAAGCTTCGGGAAGGCTTTCCAAGCCGCGCTTGGTCGGGCACTAGCACCCTGGCTGCTTTATCGAGCACGCGTTGAGCGCCACCAGAGGACGCATTGCTAACGACATCGTGTTCCGCCGCTCGGGCAACGTTGGGTACTAGCTCGGGCTTCATACGCTCCCTCAGGGTCGCTATGGAGTGTCGCGGGGGTCGGGAACGCGGTTTTGGTGTGCTTATCTTGAGGTACTTCTTTGCCGTCTCTGGTAATGCATCAACAAATCTGGTAGTCAAAGGGTTAGTACAGGTTCATGTGTGCGCTCAGTGAATCCGATGACCAAACTCACAATTCCACTCTGGAGGGATATACCCGCTTGTAGGCTTCGAATGCTTGTCTCGCCCAGTCTCTGACCGTTGGGACAGGGTCCAGGATTCCTGCGCCGATAGCGGTCTCGATGGCGTCAACTTGGGTTTGTAACCTTATTGCTGGGTTATGATTCAGTGAAACAACGATGCACTGCATTGCCGTTTCTCGCAAAGTCTTGCTGGGTGATCCTTGTGCTTCGGAGAGCGTCGGAATGAAGTTGGTCAACCCCGCGGCTTTGATGCTGGTAATCACCGTGTCACGAGCGGTTTGGACGACTACCCGGTTGGCCCTGCTAGCCAACTTCAGAACTGGCTTGAGAGTAAGATCGGTCAGTCCTTCGAATCTTTCGTGGAGCGTCTCTGCGAGGTCGCCAACTACACGCATCGCCGTTCGAATTAATTTTGTCCTTTCGGTTGCAAGCTGAGAAAACAAAGAAAGATCAGCTGCTAGACCTTGATCATATTGAAGCAAATAAGGAGATGCTTACCGCAGACTCAAATGGTCCTTTGAGGTACTGCTTGGCGATAGTCAAAAAGCTGGGGAGAGCTCCAGATCCTTTAGCAATCGCGCTGATCTTCATCAGGGCAGTTTCACGGGCGGTCCAGTTGTCTTCCGTCTCTTTGCCTTGAAAGGTGTCGTGGATAACGCGGAGCTCATGGTCAAGGGCGGCATCGCTGGGGAGCTAGAAAGATGCCAGTAAATTAGAACCTTATCACACCGCGACAACAGCTGGACAACGTACCGCAATGGGTTCGACGTTCAAGGTAGAGGAAGAGGCAGTAGTACTAGTAGTCGTAGTAGAAGTAGTGGTAGTAGTAATTGATGTAAGCATCTTGGGTATACAGGCGAAATAGATGCCGGGGGGGAACGGGGGAGGGCCCGACTTTTAAGCACAAAAGCCAGGACGGGGGGAATGAGCCAGCGGGTGCGCGTCCGATGTGCTGTACAGTACAGTTGTATAACCATATAACCATCATTGGAACCAGATTAGGTGATCATTAACTCCGACCCCCAAATCGCCCCTAATACATCTCCCGATATACTGCTCTGGGAAAGATGCCGTTTTTTGCAAATTATAGCGGAGCTTCCGTTCCACATTTCTTTTTAATAGACCTAGCATAAAGCGCACCCTTTTACTATGGCATATCTTTGTCTTTAGGAGTGAAATGACCAAGTCCGCTTGGGACAACTTGGCCCAAAGTTTTTGTCCTAACCACACTCTCCCATTGAAAACAGTGGTTTGAATGCAGAGCTTTCGGGCCCCAGGTCGACACTCGCCGGGCCAGGAAAACCAAACAGCCACTGCTCACCAGATGCAAACCCTGAGCGTCGCCGGGCCTGAGCCAGTTGAACCATTTCATACCGACGTAAGGATCACCCCAGGGATCATACGGATCAGAAGAGGGCAGTCCGCGGTACGAAATTGGATTATAAATAGAAACAAGCGTGACGGGAATACGGATACCGTACCAGAAATCCAATGATGACCCTCATTTCAGGATCAAGGGTTGACCGTTTGTTTATACTCTGCATGATATTTCGAACTAGATTACTGCAAAACTAGCCCGAGTGGAAGGGATTGCTTTCGACACAGACAATGCTAAACTAGCCCGAATCGGCCTGAGAGAGTTTTTCTTGAGGCCCGACATGGCGATATGTAACCGGTTAACGAACCATATCCTTGAGCCCGAGCTGGAATGAGAGAATTTCTATAGTAAATGCTTGCTTAGAAATGACAACAAAGTGTGGTCATCTGGCAGGAGGACGGTAGTAGGAAATCAGCTGACGTTGAGCGCAAGCCTGGCCCGGTGCGCTCAAAGCAGCAATGAACTGGACAGACCGATTGCAAGTTGAGTCTTTGAAATAAACATGCAAAAATAATATCCAGAATATGAGTAAAAGGCTGCATTGGCCATCATGAAAAAAGCAACGTAAAGCGAAATGCGCGACGTGTTATGACAAGGACGAGATTTTCCCACGTTATGGAATTTCTTTCCCACGCACACGTCACCAGCCACACTAGCGCAGTGGCCCCCCTTGTTTTTTCCCACGCTGTCCCAACGACGACGACGACGATTTGCTGCTTTGCCAGCAGTTGTTTTCATCCTTGACTACCTTTCCATAACATGGCAGCTCCATATTCGACAGTTTGTGTTGAAGGTCCTATCTAAACAAATGGCTTTTTTTCCTTCTCGGGCCAGCACAACCATTCCAACAGCTATCCCTACGCAAAGACGTCAGTTTACCCACTCCAACCACTCGCTCATTCTCCACTGGCCCGCACAGTTCACAATATCATCGTCGTCATTCGGCCCGTGCCCAGCCTGCGTGTTCATCCACTATCCCTTGGCCCGCGCGTTCACAGTCTGCCTGTTGCTTTCGTCACTTTGGCGTCTGGGCGCGGTCTGGCTCGAGGCGCTTTCTGGCAAACTTGGACAAAAAACGCTGGAAGAACCGTATTTCGGTAGGGAAAACCAGAGCTTCCAGCTCTCAGTTTCCATTGAGAGGACGTAAAAATAAACAAGGAACTAGCATCAAAGGTGAAAACAGGCCACTGCACGGATGTTCTGAACGCACTATAACTGGAGCACACAGCGTTAAACGGCTCACAGCACTACCACACACTATTCAGAATACACATACCATATATTTATGAGAACGGTAGCAGTACAATATATGACAAGTAGAAATAGAGATAACGAGGCACTCAAGCAGGAAACACAATTATGTACGTAATTCATTCACACCCTGTTCTTCCCATTGCCTCTCTGGCCGCCTTCAAGTGCTGGAGAACCTAATACACGCCAAAATGTACGACCGTCAAAAACCACGCACGTAATAGTCCAGAAACACAACCAACCCACCTTCTCCTGCACCGAAATCTGCCCATCCAACCAATCTTTCACGTAACGCTCCCATTCAACCTTCTTCTCCTCATGCAGCCGTTCCACTTCAGCTTGTGCAACCATGCACACGGTAGTTAGCCGGCGTTTCATGCCGGTGATGCTTTCGTGGGCTGCACCGGACGTGTGTGGATGTTGGTCCAAAAGCTCTTCATACCGTGTTTCAGCAACGTCGTTGAGTTGGGAGAGTGCCTAAGAAGGGATGATGAGGATAACCTATTATTTGGAAAAAGAACCTTGACGTACTTGGTAGCTGTTGACGAGCGTTTGGTAGTCTCGAACACGTTCATTGAACATGGCCAGATCCGTCCTGGCCTGTGAACAGTCCGTTAGTTAACGGTTAGTCGGCAGACAATTATTCACACCTCAACGTACATGCAAATCATAAAGCTCCGCAATACCATGCAACTGCTTCGACACACTCAAGATGGAAGCCGAAAACTCATGGCATTCTAATGTATTCGCGCTCAGTATCAAAAGCACCCATCACTTTGCAAGCATCCGTTGTTGCAACATACCCAAGCACCCTCGTTTCCAACACCATGAAAGATTCCTTAGCAACCGGCCCTCTTCGCTCCCTCCACGGGCAAGAACCTCCAAAGAATTTGCAATGGTTTCGTAATGTTTGGGTATATCTATGAGCCAAAACGTATTCATAATAGTCAACATCCCAGGTTCTGCTCCCGCTAGGGTGATGATACTCACCTCCAACCAAGCATTGATGCTTCTGCGATGAATCGATTAGGGGCTCTAGGTGTGTGTCGACAAGTTCCAAGTGAGCTGAAAAGCGGTCCATCATGTTTGGGTACCTAGTAAGCACGAGCAGTGAGTTAAATTACAAAGAATGCTTTAAAGACCAAGGCAGGGATGTCACACATACCCGCCCTCTGATGGATGCAATTGCTGAACCCTTGTAAAAAAATTGGCGGGGCCCGCATTATGCAGTTGGCTATGTTCAGCATCGTATTGCTTCATTCCATTCGTCCATTCCTGCATAGAGGCAAGAGAAGGAGTCAGAAAATCGGTCAATCACCTCCTAAAAACCACGATGCATGCCGCAAGACACACCTCATCTTCAACCACAACTGCTGGCTCAGCTCCGTCGCCATACCTTTCCCCACCCTCAATAGCTCTCGCCATATCCTCTCGATCAAGACCACTCGCAAACTCTCCGCCACAGCTCAAAAATAACATGACAACCTCCTCTGACCTTAGAACAGGATGTCGGGCAAGATGATTCAAATACATTTCCAAACCCCTTCGTCGGCGCTCCACGTGATCAACGTCAAAACGTTTTGTTAGGTGGAGTTGTTTCCTCGGCAGTTGCGGCAGAACAACCACGGGTGGAGGGAAGCGGAAGAGGAGACGCTCGTGAAGCCATTCAAAATCGGTAAATCGGCGGTCGACCGTGACAATGGAATATGTGCTTGAGGGGATGGGATAGACACTGGAGGTGTTCATTACATCGTCAGGAAACTACAGGACGATGTCAAAAAGGGTCAGTCAATCAAGACTAGATCCCAATGTAAACCACTTGCATACCCATGTAACAATTCGGTAGGAGACAAATTCATCCACGATCGTGTTAGTGCCACTGTACGAATGATCAATAGACACCTTTCTCCGTCGTTGAGGTGCTTGCATTGTGACGGTGAAAGCCGGATTGTTGCCAGCCCAACATGGACCTGGCTAGTATGTGACAATACCATAACAATCTTCAGTATGCAGCTAACCTTCCTCAGGACACCATAAACTCACCTTGATATAATGCTTGTCATGCATTCGAAAACCATGAGTCGCGCTAGCAGTCGAAATCCTCCTTCCCGACTCATCATCCGACTCTGTAAACGAGAGATTTCTCTCATCCTCAACCCTCCCATCAGGCGAGCCACTTCCTCCTTTCACAATGAAATCTTGGACGCTATTACCAGAGAACCATGAGGTCAAGAGCCGCTTCAAAGATTTTCGCACTTTTGACGTGATGAAGGCTGTGGTTGACGTAATGGTTGACATTGCGGACGGATAGGACAGGTTATCGGTTCCGATGCTGGCGATACTAGGTTCACGGAGGCCGTTGAGAAATTGTTCGACTATCCGATGGGATGGACGAACGCCTTTAGTTTCATCGAAACTTGGTTGGTGACGGAGGACTGGTATATAGTCGCTAGGTTGAAACCCTGCTGTATCAGGTGCGGCATCTGCTACTGCCAATTCCACTTCTTGCTGAGTCTCCAAGGGGGTTGTGTCTGACGAGAACTGTATGCAAAACTTTTGGTAAACTAGTATGCACAATATAACAGGCAATGGACGTACCATCAAGTACGAGACGGGCGCAAACCCTGTAGCGGCATTCTCCAATTCGACTTGACACCATCCATCTGCGACCTCAACCTCCTTTGCACAATCCCAATCTTCCATGAAATCAGGACTAGACAGAACAGTATTCCGCACATTTCTTTTGCCGTACACAACCACTCGTTCACCAGCCTTGAGAGGAACCATATCCGTATATCCTTCGTCTGGCTCAAAATCGTATAACGCGATAGCGCTATAGACAGGTACAACTTCCATCTCATCATCTTCAAGCAAGGTTTCGGCAATTTCTGGACTTAGACTGCCTCCAAAGACATTACTCAAAATAGCCTCTTCGCCCGTCATCTTTGGGCTGCCATTAGGAGAGACTCCGGAGCGACGAAACAGAGACGATCTCCAGGATGTTGGATGCGATGATAAACGTCTAAGAAGATGGACAGGGCGCGAAGGCGATGTTCTTGGCGTGGAAGCTTCGGATCGCGGGGGTGGCGAAAGAGGTTTTGAAGTAAAGTAGTCTGATCGAAGGAGTGTATCGGGGGTTGGTTTGGGTGTGGGCGTTTGTGAAGGTGAATCTGCTGGTAAATCTATCAGTTTTCCATCTTGTTCGTCCGGGTTCTTGGTCTCATACACACCGGGAGTGAGCACCGTTACAAGACCACCAACTGGTGTACCATTCCCATTCTGCTTTCCAGCAATCTCGGCTTCTGCCCTGTCCACCTCACTACGGGGTGACATTGGTGGTGGTAGCACTACATCCTCAGGTTGCGATTTCCAGTCAATCCCCGATAGGATCGAACGCGTACGCGAGGTGCTCGATGCGACTGAAAGACGAGCACGTTGACGTATATTGCGCTTAGCAAGACTAGGCGGCCTGGGGGGTACGGGTGGAGGGGGCCGCTTGGTTGACGTCGGAGGGGAGGATGGCATGTTCGTAGGCGGAAATGCAGGCGAGGTCGGAGGAGAAGTCGTTATAGATGTTGTCGAAGGCATCTCGGCGTCGCTCATGTGTGAGAAAATAGCACTAGCCCGCGAAACCTGTTCACCTTAGTCACAGTACAGCAAGTTTCTTTGCCCAGACTCTGCCACGTACATGAAATGAGGTTCTGGGATACACGGTCTCACGCGATGATTATATGCAGATCCGCATCCAAAACACCCGTTCTTGTTCGGCCGCTGCAATAGGCAGCCGCTTCTCCTCCAACACTCACCCGCAAGTTAAAAAAACGAAAAGGTTAGAAAACCGTCCGAGCCTGAGTACCTGTCGAATTAAAGCTTGCAGGGGTGGGAAAGGACACCAAAGTGATCGCATTGTGCAAATGACGTGGTTTTCATGATTCCATACATGGTTAAATTGCCATGGGGCGCATGTGGCGAATTCGATCACCCTAACATGGGTCCTTGTTCACTCTCCTCCAAGTTGAGGCGAACTCAATCAGGGTCTGCAGACAAGAATCGCAGTATTTTAACATAATTATTGTGAATAACTGATTTCCTAAATACGCTGCCGGTAGTCCTGACTACTTATTGTATTAGGTATTGAGATTATGGAACGTGGTCTTTTGGACAGTCCACATCGACTCTCACTCCAACATAACTGGGAAACCTTGGGACGCCGTCTGGCGTCAACTCTTGGAACCGATAAGTAACAATTGCACCGACAGGAGGTGGATTGCGTCGTTCCTGATCGGACAAACCTGTGCCGATCTTGAAGAGCTTGCCTGATTCCATGATGCACTGGATCATAAAATAGATTGTACGTGAGTACCTGGAAAAGGGGCTGACAAAACCACTTCCCTCTACCTTCAAAGCCCCGGTACTCCCTTTGTGTTTTCCTTTCCCAGGTTCATAACCGAGGACTTTAGCCTCGGCATCAAAAAACGTCTTTACCTTCAACAATGTAGCCGACCGTTTTCCTTCATAGAGACTGCCTGCTTTCCTCATCATCAGTCCTTCTCCACCTTGTGCTTCCACCTTTTTGAGCATGTCCATCAAATGTGCTCGATTATCGCATTTCACTTGTTCTACAATGCGCACAATCTTCTCTAGGGCGTTATGTTTTGAATTAACGTACGTTTTGATGGCGTCTATTCGTTCTTCAAACGGCTTTTGATGGAGGCTGGGAGTATCAAAGACGTGAAAGAGAACACGCGACCATTGTTTCGAATTTATAGTTTTCACTACTGAAATGGTTTGGGTAAACTGACCGCGACCGCAAAAGAGCTCGCCGTCCAAAGACATATCGTTTGGCAGGTCTTTAGGCAAATGTCATTGAACATATCGGCATACGCCAAGGCTATATCAATTACACACCTTTTGTGAACCAATCCGGCGCTGTAAACGGATTGCCTAATCGGGAGACAAACGTCTTCTGCTGAGGATCCCAGAGAGCTCGAACGCCATCCAGTTTTTCCGACAACCACCATCCAGTTGGATCAGGCCCTGAATTAGAGATATTAGAGTGCTGAAGACAATAGATGCTTCCACAATTGTTGTATACCGGTAGCAATATTCCAAGGATTAGCGAGCAGTAATTTAGGCGGAACCGCCTTGGTCTTTTTTCCGGGTGGTCCCACTCCACCGTCACCAGCACGTTTACGCTTTCCGGCTGAGGTACCAGTACTTGGACCTCCATTTGCACTATATCTTGCCAATTCGTACTCCTCGCCCAAGAGTTCTTTCAAGTGTTTACATGTCCTGGCTGGAGTAGTTTTAGCTTACGATATCCCGATAAGTGCTGGTTTGATGGAGACATGTACCACCATACCGTTAAGAGGCACGGCCCCCTGATTTCTCCAAGCCGGACAAGTGCCTAGCATAGCAAGTCCAGTTACGTGAGAACCGCGGTCAGGGTGAAACTACAACTCTGAGACTTACAGTAATAATGGTCCGCAGTCCGTTTTATGGTATAAGTTGCCGAGCTCGTTTTGCTTGACACCTCCGTGGTTTCACCATCTTGAAGGATTTTCAATGGGCGAATGCCATCTATGCACGCCAGCCCGTCCTCTGCAGGCAATTCCTCGATAAGATCCTCAGGGGCAGTATCGCCATCAAGAACGACCAGAGGCGCGTCGTCTTTGGCAATAGAAAGCTCATCTTGGTCGCTTTCCTCTTCTGTTTCTGATTCGACCAAGAAGTTCGGGGTTTTGGTGCGTTCGGGAGAAATGGCTGTCGTGGTTGAGAGTACCGTTTGACCTACGGAGGGATCAGCGTTGGAGTGGCCGTGTGGGTCGTGATTTTGGGGGTGCCGAAATTTGGCCAAGTGCTGGGGATTCTTCTGGTAGCAATTGTCCCAGTACTTGCATTTTGGTGTGATGTCCATCTAAAGTTGGCGAGTGGAGATGGTTGAGGAAAGGGCGTTGTGGCCGCGAAAGTCGTCTGCTTAGCTGCCCGTCCTCACGGATCACGTGCGTCCTCCTGACACCAGCCCTTGGTCCTGTTCATCAGAAAGCGAAGAATACTTTCTTACCATGTGGACACATGTGAGGAGATACTTGATTGCAAGACGATCTTACGCCACCTGTCTACGAGGTTTGAAAGAACCCAATTACTTGAAATGCAGGAATAATCAATCATCAAAAGGTTTGATTCTTATGCAACATTTTGCACACTGATCGTATTATAGATGGGTGAACTCCCGCGAATGCAACCTTTTCGTAGGATGCACATAGAGATAATAAGTGAGGCAGCAAAGGGGAATGAAATCCTTCCGGCTAAGATTTGAACGCCCACGGAGGAAGAAAACGCTGAATATCCGCTGATCACTTCCTTCGAGCCGCAGAAAGTGTCACATCATGGTGACATGCGGCAGTTAACCAAGCGCAATGCCAATGGAGCGTTCTCCCCTCATAGGAAGCTGGAAGGTCTAGCAGAGTTGCATCAGCGTGTCTCAGCTGATACATGGTCCACTTGTACTCTGCACGCCATGAATAACTATCTGCTACCAAGGCCCAGGTTTCCAAGCATCCGTTTTCCACCTGTCAATTCACAACCATTCGGGGACCCAATTCAGCACCATGAATGCCATTAACCTTTTGAGCGGATATCCATTTGTTGCAGATCTCGAAATTTCTGTATTCGAAAATGGGATGGATCCCAAGGGTAAACCCGCGAACGCGGGTCTGATTTCAATTTAAGGTTAACCTTTGATGATGTTTTTTAAAGCTCCGAATCCCCGAATCCCTAGTTCTCTTCGAACCGTCCAGTGTGGATAAAATGGGTAATTTCTGAACTGATGAAATAAACTCGTCCTTCAAAAGAGATCTAGAGACCCTTGAACATTTTCCTGATCGAATATTATTACACTGGCAGCCCAACCAAAATGACACCGCATACCCGTGCATTGGGTGATAATCAAAAGTCTATCGAGTGACACGAGGCATCAATTGGCCGGCTGTGCCTGGGCTCGCTGCATCATTTTGAGAGTGCTTATTATCCAATGTCCTCCAACAAAACACCACGCAAAGAACACTTGATTGCCCTGTACTTGTTAAAAACATCGATAACAAGAGCACAGCAACGTAAGCCTTTGCTAATATCTGCATAGCCACGCGTCATATTCCCTAATAAAGCAAAAATGACGAAGAAAGGCAATAGAAGGCAAAAGAACAAATTGGAACTTCTCCATCCATCTCGCACATTCCCCACCCATCGTTTTCCTATAGTAGTGGTAGTGGCACAGTCATACAAGCACCTATTTCACACGGTTTTTTCTTTTTCACACGCGTTGGGCATATAAAGAGGGCGAGGGTTCGCTTTTCCCCCCTCCTTCCCCCCCGTCTGTCTTGGCCTTACTTGTTCCCCCCCATTTTTTATTATTGAAACAAGACAAGCATCATGACTTCCAAGGCTGTTGGTATCGATTTGGGTACCACCTACTCGTAAGTAGTACTTGTTGTAGCGTGGGAGAGCGATGCGAGAGAGCTTGATTGCGCGGAAGGGAATTGCAGGGATTGTGTCTTGTGAACTTGTTTACTGATGTTCTTTTTTCATTCTAGTTGTGTCGGTGTATGGCAAAACGACCGTGTCGAAATCATTGCCAACGACCAGGGTAACCGTACCACTCCCTCTTACGTTGGTTTCACCGACAGCGAGCGTTTGATCGGTGATGCCGCCAAGAACCAAGTCGCCATGAACCCCATCAACACCGTCTTCGACGCCAAGCGTTTGATTGGGCGACGATTTGCGGACGCCGAGGTGCAATCTGACATGAAGCACTGGCCCTTCAAGGTTGTCGACAAGGGTGGAAAGCCCTTCATCCAGGTCGAGTTCAAGGGTGAGACCAAGACCTTCACCCCCGAAGAGATTTCTTCCATGGTCCTCCTTAAGATGAAGGAGACCGCCGAGGCCTACCTCGGTGCTACCGTCAAGGATGCCGTCGTCACCGTCCCCGCCTACTTCAACGACTCACAACGTCAGGCCACCAAGGACGCTGGTACCATTTCTGGTTTGAACGTCCTCCGAATCATCAACGAACCTACTGCTGCCGCCATTGCCTACGGTTTGGACAAGAAGACTTCGGGCGAGAAGAACGTCCTCATCTTTGATTTGGGTGGTGGTACATTCGATGTCTCTCTCCTTACCATTGAGGATGGTATCTTTGAGGTTAAGGCTACCGCTGGTGACACACACTTGGGTGGTGAGGATTTCGACAACCGTCTCGTGTCCCACTTCAGCGAGGAGTTCAAGCGCAAGTTCAAGAAGGATCTGACATCCAACCCCCGTGCCCTTCGTCGTCTCAGGACCGCTTGTGAGCGTGCCAAGCGTACCCTCTCCTCTGCCGCCCAGACCTCCATCGAAATCGACTCTCTCTTCGAGGGTATCGACTTCTACACCTCCATCACCCGTGCCCGTTTCGAGGAGCTCTGCCAAGACCTCTTCCGTTCCACCATCGAGCCTGTCGAGAAGGTCCTCCGTGACTCCAAGATTGACAAATCTTCAGTCGATGAGGTCGTCCTTGTCGGAGGTTCTACTCGTATTCCCAAGGTGCAGAAGCTCATTACAGACTTCTTCAACGGCAAGGAGCCCAACAAGTCTATCAACCCCGATGAGGCCGTTGCGTACGGTGCCGCTGTCCAAGCCGCCATTCTCACTGGTGACACGTCCGAGAAGACCCAAGACCTTCTCTTGCTCGATGTTGCTCCCCTCTCCCTCGGTATCGAGACCGCTGGTGGTGTCATGACTGCTCTCATCAAGCGTAACACCACTGTTCCCACCAAAAAGTCCGAGACCTTCTCCACCTACGCGGACAACCAGCCCGGTGTGTTGATTCAGGTGTACGAGGGTGAACGTGCTCGCACCAAGGACAACAACTTGCTCGGCAAGTTCGAGCTTACCGGTATTCCCCCCGCTCCCCGTGGTGTCCCTCAAATTGAGGTCACCTTTGACGTTGACGCCAACGGTATCTTGAACGTCACCGCTGTCGACAAGACCACTGGTCGTTCCAACAAGATCACCATTACCAACGACAAGGGTCGTCTTTCCAAGGAGGAGATTGAGCGCATGGTTTCCGAGGCTGAGAAGTACAAGGCTGAGGATGAGGCTGCCGCTGAGCGTATCCAAGCAAAGAACGGACTCGAGTCATACGCCTACAACCTCCGCAACACTCTTCAGGATGAGAAGATTGCCGGCAAGCTCGAGGCTGCTGACAAGACCAAGCTCGAGGCTGCCATCGATGAGGCCATCAAGTGGTTGGACAGCAACCTTGAGGCTTCCAAGGAGGAGTACGAGCACAAGCAAAAAGACCTTGAGGGAGTTGCTAACCCCATCATGATGAAGATGTACGGTGCTGCGGGTGCACCAGGTGGTGCTGGTGGCTTCCCTGGCGGTGCTGCTCCAGGTGGATTCCCAGGTGCCGGTGGTGATGCTGGCCCCACAGTCGAGGAGGTCGACTAAACACATATATGCCAACATAGTCTATAAGGGGTTGGGTTACGGTGTTATTTGTGCGAAGAGCTAATTTAGACGTTGTATGGGCGAGAACGCATTTGTTAATGCTGGTGCTTTTATGGCCCAGACTCGTCCAAACTGCGGGCTTTGATGATGCCCTTCGGATAGTTTGCTTTATTCATTTTGCTTTTAGATGGGGTGTTTGTGAAGGGGTTGGGTGGGGATGCTTTTTGCATTGGCACTCTTCGTGTACTTTACAGTTGGACAAACAGAAAGGAATATGTATATATAACCCTCAACGAATTGGATTTGGTTTAAGGCACTTTTTATTTACATTGGAAATGGGATGTGGCATTTGATGACTGCTCTCCCCATACATACCATCAAGATATTTTATGTGCAAGAAAGAGAAACACTGGTCACTACTTATTGTCCTCCTTCACTGCCAACCTAACTATACAGTTCTTTGAACAACGAGATGACAACTTTTTTACAACACCCTACACGACTGCACACACATTCGCTTCAAATTGGCAGACCGGTCCTTGTAAATGTTGGGGGGACGTTCCTCGTCTGGGTAAATCTTTTCTACATATGACGACGGGATGAGCGGATCATGCAGTAGCATCGACTGTGAGCACTTGACAAGACTATATAGTATCCAAGCAAAACAAAAAATGAGAGTTTATACTTTTGACATGTGTGTGTTCTGGTTACATTTACAAAAGGTGCGTCCGTTGTGCGTACCTTGAACTTGCTTCCGACACAGGGACACTCTCCAAAGCAAGTTGCTCTTGCAATTTCTCCAAATACTTTTCCAACCGCACCAGACGTGATTCCTGTTCTACTGGTGTAGGAGTCTTTGGGGGTGGAGTTTTGGGCGGTGGTAGCATATGTGGAAGGGTAAACATTCTCCCTAAAATGTGTTTCTTGATGGGGGTAATTAATGGGGATGGGGGGGAAGATGAGAGTTTTGCAGGTTGGAGAAGGGCGGGACGTAAACAAAATTGGATGCCGAGTCGCTTCTGCAAGCCCCGTTCAGACCAGAGGACGTAATGCTGTTATGTAGAGTTTTGTCACAGTCTGTAAAAACCTTCCGATTCCCAAGACTGGCTATGGCACAGAAAAACATACAATAAAGAAAAAACGAGAGCCATTTGTTCTACTTGAGTCCCCATGAAGTCACTTTCAAGAAGGAGGATTAGCTCACAAAAAACTGCCAACTTGCGCCATATTCCTTTTTGTTTTTCCTATCTTTTTTAGAACTGCTCCAGAACGTGAGTGGTTTTGGGATGAGCTCTTGTGCCCCTTCCACGTCACGACAGGGGATAAAGTGTGCGTAGCGCTCTTGTTGAGTTAGCGCGTGTTGAGGGCCTGCTGGGGAGGGGGTTCCGATATTTGGGATTTTCGGGTTTTCGGCTGTTGGATTTAGTTTTAGTTTATGGGGCTTTTTTTTTTTTTAAAAAATGCCCTTGAAAGTTGTCGGAAGAATGTGGTCATTCAACACGAACGGGTATGCTGCAAAAGTTCTTTTAGCAAACAGGTTCAAGCCTTTGACGTTTAACGGTTATGGAACGGTGACGAACTTTTCGAATTTTTTTTTTATTATTTTAGAGAGAGGACAGGACGACCAAGGCCATAAAAAGTTGGGTTTGATTCTTGCTTCCATTTGAAGAGAGTTTCCATGGACCTGTCGCAGATAAAAAAAAACAGGCTGTTGATCTTTTGAGATAACGCAGTGGACTGTTCAGCTGTTGGTCCTATTTTCACGCTGTGCCCCATGACGTCCAGTTGACCTGGTCAGCTACGTGATGGATAGGATATGGCCTTTTTGCACAGCATATACACACACATGATACTAGTATAGATTTAGAGAGATACCCATGTAATAAGCTCTTCACAGCCCATTGAGTCTGCTTGCTATTGAGCGAGAAAAGTTGCTGGCTGAGACGCTGACAATGTGGAATTCGCACGGGATGCACGCCATCAGTAGGCAACGTACGGCGGAGAATGAGTATCAGCATCCTCTAACAAAAGGAACAAGTCAAGGTCCATCAACCACAATTGCCGGAGAAGGTACAATGCAATGAAAGGACAGCTCCAACCCGCGGTGTAGCCACCTGCTGCACATGCTTTTCGGGAGTACTGTAAAGCAGTTCATCTGATCTCTGCATTGTATATTCTTTATGCGGAAAAATAACACGACTGAACAAAATGGGAGGTGAAAGCGGCCACGGGCGGATGCCACGGCGGTCAATAAATTATAATCCACAGCTTGTACTGGACAACACCGTAGGTATAGACGAATACAAAAGAATATCACAAGACTGCATAGCTGCAGCATCATTAAGAAACCACTTTTCTAAATGTCAAATTAATTCTTTCCCCAACTTTCCGACTTGTTTTTGGAACGGCATGTTTCCAGTACTTTTGCATCATTCCTTTCATAATCACTAACGATCCATCAGCTAATACGAGTTCCAATTTGCCCGCCTCACGAGCTGGACCCCCCGGATTGGGCTTTACAACAAACTTTCTCGAAGCGCCAAACGATACACTCGCAATAGTAGGTGCCGGTCCAAGCGATTTTTCATTATCGCTATGGAACCCAATGTAATCGCTCCCATTCCGATATAGATTGCACAATACGCTGTTAAATTTCTCTCCTACTACCTCCTCTACCTTCTCTTTAATCTCTTTGAGAGCATCGGGCCAGTCCGGGAGCATCGTACCCATTTTACCACTGCCGGAATATGCGTAATAGGTATTATTGTCGGCTATGAAACAGACTTGACGTGGTTGGTCAATCTGCCGACCGAAAATAGTTATGGGTATCGTTTTCCAGGGGAGTACTGTGCGGAGAGACGTGAAAAGCGTGGGAGAGGCGGTGGGGGAAAAGAACGATGGGTAGTGAATCAGGTGGCCAGTGGCATGTGACAGAGTGTATTGCATGGAAGCGGGTGTTATAGAGGGTGGAATGGTTCGAGGCCGCTTTGTGGTCGCATTGGTGTCATTCGTCGTCGCTGACAATCGTTTCGGCATTCGTTATCAAATCTGTGATCTCGAAAGCAGGTGAAATGCAAGTCCCATTCCTTGACTGCAACACGTGCTTTGCAATCGCTTACGACATCCAGTGAGGTTATTCTCCGATCGTGACCCAAAACCTTATTTTTGGCCGATATAATTCTACGGATTCTTCGAATCACGTTAACAAGTTATAGGGATACCGCGGTTTAATAGACAATCACTGCATGGCGTACGTTTGACATCGTCGCCAACATTTTATATCATCGTTTTACGTTGTGGGCACTCCAAGAATACAATGAGCCATCATTCTCTCCTGTCCAATGCGGCCGAGGTTCCAACCACCGAAGACGTTGACACAGGCCTAACATCCTCAATTGGCCGCCGAGCCTCATCCCATCTTATCCAACGTAACAAATCCAAAACTGAGGTCGAGGTCGGTGAAGATGATTCCATTCTCAAAACGGCCCCATTGCTCCAACAGGATACGACTAGTGTGAGAGGCTACACTTTGAAAACAGTGCACCTCGGCGCTGCATTCTGCTTGTTGTTTACAGCTTTGTAGGTGTTTTTTGAAATCGATCCTGCTTGCATTCTTTGGCTAATGGCTTTTGTTTTAGTAATGTAGCTCAGGCATACATCACCCTTCTCTTCCCGTCTATTGGTACATTGGTACTCGGCGTCATCTACGGGTTCTTTGCAATAGGGTCCCTGGGGGCTCCTCGAGTAGGGGAGCTATTGGGAGCGAAATGGGCAATGTGTGCGGCGTCCTTGCTGTTTGTGGCATTCATTGGAAGTCTGAATAGTGGAATGGTATGTCTTCACCTCCGATGCTACATGATTCCTGTGATAACAATATCTGCTCGATTTCGGGTAGAGCCGACTGGTACTTTTCTGTTCTCTGCTAGTTGGGCTGGGATCCGGGGTTTTGTGGATAAACCAGGGAATATGGGTAAGTCGTTTGAGCGATCGAACGGGGGGAACGTTGGCAGGTGAGCTGTCGCTTGACTTTATCAGACACTAGATCATTACTGATGAGTCTACCCCTTTGCCACATAGGATACTTTACCGGGCTCTTTTTCACTATTTGCAATCTAAACGGCGTCTTTGGCAACCTCCTCGCTATCGCGCTACTCCAAGCCGGCCTCGGAATCAACATTATGATCTGGGGAATGTTCGTGGCAGGCGCTCTAGGATCAGTTTTGCTCATCTTTGCGGACCCCATGAAGCCGACCACCAAACCAGAACCAGTACCGATTTCAGAGCAGGTCACTGCGGTATGGAACGTGGCCAAAATGAAGAAAAGTGCGGTTCTTGTGCCGTGTATTTGGTTGCAGGGATGTAATTTGGCGTTTGTGTTTGGGAGGTTGCCAGAGTTGCTTCCTACTGGGTCGAGTGGGATTGCAGTAGCTGAGGTGTTCTTATGTTATGGCAAGTGAAAGCCCGTTATTGTTGCCTATGCATCCTTCAGGTAGTTTACATTTCTTTTTCAAATGTAGGGCTCATCCAATGCATTTTCTCATATGTGAACGGCATTATCTACGACAAGTTCGGCTATAAGCCGCTTCTCCGCTCCTTCCTAGGCACTGGTCTTAGCGCTTACCTTATCCTCCTCTCCCTTCTCCCCACTCTCGAAAACAGTCTACACCAAAAGATCACATCACTATTAGAGCCCTACCTTCTAGTCGGTGGTATGCTTGGCCACCTGGACACCACCCTAAATACAACCATCAACTTGGCACTTTCACGATCTTACAAACCAGGATCCGAAACCGCTGCCGCATTCGGATTCTACAGAGTGGGCTTTTGCGCGGCCATGAGTGCTGTTAGCCTTTGTTCGGGCGGCTTCAGCGTTGGATGGGTCATTGTGTGGAATTTGACATGGACTCTCATTGCTGGAGTCGTTTATTTTAGATTTGCGGGTGAAGTACAAGGGGGTAGTGCAACTGTTGAGCAAGTGTTACCGACGATGCAAGAACCGTTGGCATCTGAGAAGGAGACTGTATGGAACAATGAGTGATTGAGAATGTTATGGTTTAAAGGAGAAAAGTTTGGAAGTGTTTGTTATACTACTTGAATAGTAAGAGAATGGTTAGAAAGATTTCATCATGATTGACTGGGGGAACAGGATCATCGATGAGCAGTGAGCGGTACCGGTCCAACATTCATGCTTTTATTTTTTATTGAGTCCAACCAGGCACATTTTGGACTCAATTTGGACATTGAACGACATATTCGTGCCTAACATCATCATCCGGGATCATCATCGCGACTTCCAACCATATCAAAATCCAAACGCCTCTTTTTCTGCATACTCTTTCAAATCCCACTCACTACCGACCCTGTCTCTACCTCCCCCACCAGAACCCCGTCTCCCCTTCTTCCCCTTCTTCTTCCCCTCATCAGCAAAAATGTCTCCATGGCTCAGTTCAACATCCCAAGCCTTCCCCTCATCGGCATCGTTCAAAAGCCTACGCAGCCCCGGCCCCTTATTCCACATTTGCGCTTCCTCCCTTCTGTACAACCACCGAATGACGAGTACGCAAAAGGCTGCAAAGGCAACGAGGCAGGCGCTTATGCCAGGGGCTAGAGCAGGTTGGGCGGGATCGAGGAGCGACGAGCCAGAGGAGGCGAGGGGTAAGCTGAATGCTTGGCCAAAGGAAAATGTGAGAGCTGCAACGATGGCTCGACTTGATTCTCCTTGAGCTTTGTCGAGGGCGTAGGAAAGCAGGCACGGAAACGCAGCAATCAGACCTGCACTAGCTGGAACGAGGCCGATAAAGTAGCGTAAAGGGCCCAATGAGCTGGGTATGATCGAAATCAAGGCAAAACCAGCCGAGGAAATAAGAAGAGGGATAGTGGTATGAAGGGCTCTATCGCCTGTTCGATCTGAATTCCATGCACACAGAAAGGCAACGATGCCACCAACGAGATGCGGTAGAGCTGCCACGATCCTCACATGCCGTGTGGTTTCATCTCCATCGCCCATGCCAAAAGCGGTTGCAGTGACCGTTGCTCCAACGGATACCAGCACATCGCCTGCAACAGATACCCCAAAAAACCCGACAGCAAACAACCAATTTCGCAAATCTGTCAAAGCTTCGGTTATTTGCCCAACATCAATTCGGATACGCGGCGGCTTGGGCTTTTGAAGGGATACAGACTGTCGACGGGGGCTACCTCCTTCATCATCGGACTCATGGGCACCACTTCCTTCGGTTCTGTCAGTGTCGTGACTACGGGCAATGGCAAGGACTCGATCAGCAGGAGTCAAAAATGTGCATGTTTCCGGATAATTTGGAAGAAGGAGATAGGTCACTACTGCCAGCGCAATGCTCAAGAGACCGTCCGAAACACACATCCTTGCAACCAAAAAAGACATGATCAATACGATCCACTTTTTGCAGCATACACAACATTAGCAAATGTACTTACCATCGCCATGTCTGTAACCCATGCACCCCATCAAATCGAGTACCCCAATCAGCAAAGATTCCAAAAAACGACACAGCAACCGTCGCAGAAGAGACTATCCAAGATAATCTCGTAGCCCATTCCTCTCTCGTATAAAAGGACACAATGTAAACCATTAACCCCGGCAAAAACCTAAAATTTCCAACGTTTTAGTACACAAACGCTGCATTCATCTAAACATCCAACAAAAAAAGGGGATGGCAGAACATTACCCAGCTTGTAATACCCCGACCAAAACCCTCGTCACAATCCACCCACTCACATCTCTAACCGCCGCAGAACACGCACTCACTAAACCCCATCCACCAACCATACCAGCAAACCACCGTGCGGGACCGTATTTACGGAAGAGAAGGGTAGATGGTGCAGCGACGGACACGGATGCAAGTGCATATCCGATCTGGGAGAGGATGTACGTATGGGGTGTTGTGGGAAGAGATATGGGGATGTCCGCGCCGGTGTGGAATTGTGTAGAGCGGTTCTAAGCATGACGGGAATGTTTCAGAGAGTTGCATGGTGTTTGTTTTTTTTTCTTTTTTAGGTCGGTTTACCGTTCAACGTAGGTTTACATACCACAACATAACATAGATAAAGCCCAGTAACAATCGGCACCAACCGACCATCTAATCGTCGAACCAGTTGCTGTTCCTGAGGATCGTATTCCGGCATCGTTTTTTCAAAAAAAAAATGGAACTGAACCCGAAAATCCCATGCAATAAATGTGAGAGAAAAGACGAGCTAGCTGGTGAATCACCCAGATAAGAGATCCATGTTATTTCGAAAAATGAACACTATTCCCCCCAAAAGTGCAATGAGGGCCATGTTGCTATTTTTGAATATCATGATCAATCCAAGGTAAGGGAATGGTTTTTTGACGAATTGCGGCGTTTCATAGATACTGATTTTCCTATTGTTGCTCTGGTAGATCTTGTTTTTGATCTACTATTAAAGTTATTTTGCTGACAAGGTGAGCCGTCAACTGGAAGATCCCAAAAGATGTCTGCCATCATCCAGTGTACTGGCCACAGTGAATGTCTATACTGTTTGTGCAGCGTTTTATCAAACTCCCAATGCAAGGACAAACAACGTTTCCCAAAAGAATGATTGGCCTTTCAAAACTAACTGTCACAGAAGATTGAAAACCTATATTAAAGAGTGGGAAAGAACCTAAAAAATAACCCCCAAGTTCATACATGCAAAACAAGGCAAATCATAAAGAAAAAAAAAAACACAGGCTACAAGAAGAAGAAAGACACTAATCGAACGGTATTACCCAGACTTCCACATCACACTCCATCGATTCTTCATCTTTGAACCCATAGATATCGATCTGGACCGCCCTTGCGTTTCCTCCTCCGTTGGGATTGGGGTCGGATTAGGATCTCCATAGTCATCAGGGTTTGGTAACGATTTCAGAGAGTGTTGTGAAGATACGGATCGATTGCTCAGGGATTCTTCGGATGGGCGGGGGCCCCGGACACGGGTGGGTGGTATGGGAAGGGCTGGTGGGCGTCGAGCTGAGTCGGGTTGAAGAAGGGCGGAGGATGAAGGGCCGGTTGAGCGGGAAAGGGGATGCGGAGGTGGAGGGTCAGCAGAACTGAGGGGGTCTTCTGAGCCCCGGCGGGAGTTGGGCCAGGACGTGTCCAAGGAATTCGATGAGTTTAGGGAGGAGGAACTTCGGAAGCGACGACGGCCTGATGCTGAGGCGGGGTCCGTCAATCCGTTATTGTTGCTGCTGCTGCTGCTGTTGCCGTTGTTGCTGTTGATATTAGTGTTGTTGTTGTTACTGTTATTGTTACTACTGCCAACACCCATCAGGGTTTTGATAAAACTCCGGCCTCCTCCGCTCTTTTTTCGTGTATGTGTTCGCGGTGAAGGCGGATCTCCAAAATAGTCACTTCTTTCACTTTTCGGCGTTGAGGCCTCCGTCGAGCGGGATCCGTGTCGCGGAGGTGGAACGGGCATTAAATTGGGAGATGGTGGTGAACGAAGCCCAATGTCAACATGTCCATTCACCAAGTCCTCATCCTTCGCAAACAAAGATCCATAGTAACTCAACCCTTCTTCACCTAGTGAATGTAGAATGGTTTGCAAGTCATCAAAGGAGCCACTTGGTTCCGTCCGTTCAGTTCCTCTTGCTCCGTTTTCTACGCCAGGGAACATGGGCAAATCGATCTGTGGAGGCCGCTCGGCAACGATTCGCGCTGGGCCGCTTACATCGCCTCCATTATCCCGCGGCTGATTGACAGTGATATTGGGTATTAGGCCTCGACCTTCCTCGCCGCGCAAAACGGCAAATGCCTCCGCAGTGCTATTCAGGGATGACTGTGAGGATGCCACTGAGGCAACCACAAATTCCGAATGAGCATTCTCCAAGATCCGCAACTCGCGCACGGTATCATCGACGATCGCGCACATTTGTGCAGACGGATGGTCGACCACAGCGTCAAGATTTTGCATGAAAAATTGATACAAATGTTCCGCATCTCGCCGGGCAACCCGTGCAGGACGCTTAGAAGGCGGCGAACGTACTGACCCACTCCCAGAGATAGTGGATATCCCATCAATGAAGGACTTCATGGCATCGATATTTGCCTCAATGAAAGAATTGCATTCTGCCATGTACGGTTCCTTGGATCCAAAGTCCGTCAAATTGGCCAAATTCTGCAGAATCTTTGCAATGAGGGTAAATGTCCGTGCCGTGGTCGCATCAGGAAAGTCAGGCATGAGCCCGAACAGTTTGGGGTTCAGAATTGCAGGACAAAAGAATCGCAAAAATATGAACCCGCTGATTGCTGCATAATGCACCGGCTGCTGTCCGCTCTCCCTGCTTTCATCGTTTTTCCATTTTTGGATAGTAGATTGCCGAATGTGAGCAAATATCTCAACAAGTTCTCGGGGACATTTCCGTACAGATCCCGAAATAGAATCCCAGAATCCTCCAACGACAGTCCGTAGTCGCTTCCAGTTCCGTGAGAGCAGCTCCGGCTGTTCCACACGAGTTGGATCTACCTCACATGATTCCTTCGATGCATATACTTGTCGGACAAGGAGGCCGATTGTATCGGACAGGTACTCCATGCCCACCATCTTCATGTACTGGTCAACAGCTTTAGTCGCAATCGTATTCCCCCTAAAGATAATGTTTGGGTTTTCGGTGCTTTGGATTTCCCCATCCAGGAACGTCTTGAGTCCCTGCATTTCCTCTTCCCTCGTTTTGAGGATGTTCATAAATACTTTGGCGACGGCTTCACGCTGCATGCCGCAAACGTTTCCTAAGATTCGAAGGCAGGTCAGGGATGGCTCCGTAACGTGCTCTATAAAGCGGTGATACTGTGATGCAGGGAGTAGTTCCTGAACGTTGAGACAAAATCCCACTCGGATTGACCCCCTCCATGCACCGTCCTCGGCATTCGGCCTAGGCAACTGTTTGATGGGGTACCATTGCTCGACACGAGTGCCAGGTTTCGCAGCGTTAAGGTTGATACTGATATAGCCCAAATCTCCATCTCGCTGCAATCGACTGTGGTTGAAGATGACCATACGCAACCTGGTAAAGTGTGAGCAAAGGTCGTCAAACTCGTACTCGTCACCCCAAAATGGGGCATCACCGCTCTTTGTCGTTGTCCTTGCTTGTTTGACGTCATCAAATAGGACAATGCAGTATGGATTGAGTCCTCCTAAACCCGGGGTGGACGGAAGTTCCTTGGCCTCCAGGACAGATAGTTGGAATGATCTTACAGTTAGATATCCTTCCTCGTCGCTGGCGGATGGAGCCGATGGGATCAATCGTTTTTCTCGTGCCATCATGCCTCGTACACAACAGAACGCAAACTTGCCCAATGCGCTCATCCAGTCCTCCTTTTCGTTGGCTGACTCTGCAATGAGATTGTAGGTCTGTCGGCCTTTTGAAGAGACGCTGATGACTTGGAAGCAGTGGGGCCGGTTGAAGTAGCTGTCGTCGAGTCGATGCACTGCACTGTGTTTGACGGAGATGACCTCACGGGGTTTGAGGGCAGCCTCATTATCAAAACAGTAGAGTTCCTGCTCTTCTTCCATCAAGACAAAGTAGCTGGAAAGATCCCGTGCATCAGTGTCAATCCCATTCGCGATGCCGCAACAGTTCTATACTTACCGCGACTTCCATCCCGCAATGAAATCTCCTCTCTTCAACAACATTCTTCCCGCCTTCACAGGATTATGTAACATAGAAACCGAAACGTTATGCCCCTTCTTCCCGGGTTCATCCACCATATGCGTATCGACAAACTCTTCAATGTCCTCCTCCAAATCAATCTGTTGTAGTCGCTCGGTGACGGTCTCTACAGCAAGCATACGAGTATCTCCATAGGTTTTCTCCAGGTACATAGAATCGACAAGAACTTTTTTAACCGAGGCAGAACGTTCAAGTTCTTTGGTCCGGATCTCATCGTACAGGACAGGAAGAAGCTGGCCATAATATTGCTCTTGAGCGTTTTTGCAGATCTCGCCGCAAACTTGAAGGGCTTCATTAGCAGCTTCTGCTTTGTCGGCTGCTGCCGCGGCACGGTTCGCCAACTAAAGAACGCCGCCACCAGATACGTTAGGCTTTTCCCAAAATATGCACAGCTTGGCCTCCAGCGAAATGCGTACCTTGTCTAGCTCTCTTTCCTTTGCTCCCACATTCACTCTAGCCTTCATGTGATTATTCTGGCTTTCTATCGCTTGATTTTGGAGGACGTCATACTCTTCTTTTGCCTACATAACGAAGAAGATGTAAATCAGGACGCGTTTGACTTCAAATCTCTAGCACAGACGACTCTACCTTTTTCAAGCTGGCATAGGCATCCTGCAGGTTCTTCAGGTATTCTGCGCCCCTCTCCACTTGCTAGAGCAGAATGAGCTCATATCCTGACGAGATCCAGAATACAATCAATTACCATTTTCCGAACAACTTCCATGTCCTTTATCAGTACAGAAAACGGATCCAGTACGTTGTTCTGCATGCTAAGTGCAAGATTCCTCTGTATGGTATCAAGCATGAGGACGACACTCTTAGTTTTTGAGATTATAGAGTACAGCGACTCACATGGGATTCTGCGATTTTGGTTGTTTGATCCACATAATCGTAGAAGACTTGCCATACAGATCTGAAAGCAATGCGGAAACCAATTAGAAAGCTATTCTAGGTTCTAACATTTCAGGAGAACCAATGGACGGCTGTAAAACGCACGTTTTGACCAATTGTTGCCTGATAGCTTCATCGACAGCTCCTGACGGTACATTCGATGATCCTCCTCGAAACAGCGTGGGTCCCTCTGCGGTTGATGACTTGTTCGCATTCGAAGCCGTAGCTCTTTGAAACCCTTGGGAAAGTTTGACTGAAAACATACAAATGCGCGTGAGAACCAATGAATTCCTTTTTAAGGTAACATGCGGACTCTATCACAAAGGTAGTTTTGGCGTATGACAGCTCCAAAAGCCTCCATTTGCAAAATCCCTTGAGCGACTTACATAACCCCTTTGCATACTCCATTTCCACCTGTGCCCGCTTTTTCAAAAAGCTGGCAAGATCCTTGCATTGCCGCACCGACTCTTCTGTATACTGGAGTACATTCGTGTAGGTCATGCTGGTCAGACCAGCTTGGTCATATTATAAAGCGATGATCCAACCGGCAAACCCAGAACGACAAAATGCCCCGCAACAAAGAAACTTGTAGCAAAACAACCCAAACGCAACCGGCGGGAACCCCCCCCCCCCCAGCTGGTTGCACAATGGATAAGTCATGTGATTTATTAATTAACGTTATACACGTGATACATTGATGATTCATCAAACTGCTGTCCATCCAACGAGGAATATAGTGTGGAGGTGATTGAAAATGGCACTAGGACCCATTATTATCCGGATTAATCCGGTTAATCATATCGCATAATCAGCACCCCCTCTAACTCAAAAACGGTGTGGCATGCATGTAATGTCTTTTTATTAAACTGCGGTGAGGCGCATGCCAAAGGTCTATAAAAGGGGAGCCTTTGCTCTCTCTCCCCTTCCTCACCAGTTCCTCGACTCTCAAACCATCTGCGCAACCCTCATCGCGACTGTCGGTCGAATCATGAGAATACAGATGTGGTGGTGTCGAGGACCTCGACCACCCGACAGCAACCGTGATCAGAACCAGCGGCAACCAATCGGATCCGATAACAAAACCTACTATTATGCTGCCACATTAGTTGAGCTTGGTTGGTATGTATCGATGGCATTTCTTGCATTTCTTGTCATCGGGTCATCTTCTGACATGCAGTTTTTAGTCTCCAAGCCTTTGTTACTGAACATCCTCTGGCTTGTGACGCTGCCCAGTCGATTCGCTCCTGGATGCAAGAGTCTGGCTTCAATGCCATCAAGAGTTCCAGATCAAGGCCTAGTAGGGACCGTGTGTGGTGGTGGGCAATTATCCGGTTAGAACAACCGTTACGTATTGCGTGTATAATTGCCTAGTAGTAGCTTAGCTTTTCCGAACCGGTTGTCGCCGGTTTATTCCCTGGTGTAGTAGCTAGTGCCAGTTTCTGTCACCTCTACACTACAAGCAGATCACCCTTTTGTTTGCCCAGAGGTGCTTGCTGATTGTAAAATGTCGCACATTGAGCGGTTTTTAATTGTCATGCACTGCCTGATGTCGAGCTTTTGGACCAACACATGTAAACTGATGTGGATGGTCATGAAGGTATAGAGGAGAAAGACCCGCAGCAAGTCGGTTCTCTTTTGCAGAGTCCATGATCCATCAAGCCTTTTGGCTCATGCCGTACTTATCAGGATTGCCCATCAACCTCACCCATCAAGAGGAATCAAGCATTGGTTGGACGGCGCTTTGGCTCGTTGAACCATTTCCATTCATACCCTACTCAATCAATGAACAAACATGACCAAAAGCATCTGTTGTCAGTCTGTAGCTCATAGCCTGCCTTTAGCAATGAAGGCTCATCCAGTCTGGAATCACATCATAAAGTCGGAATCAGTCGGACGTGGCTTGCATGCCTACGTCACGCTCATTCTCACTTGTCATTGGCCGAGGAATAGGCCGGTACCTGCGCCACATGGACAATGGAGGGAGGATGATTGCTATGGAAAACTTCCAACGGTTTGTCCCCAGCGCGTTTTGTTGAGGACGACGAAACAAGCCAAATCGCAGAGGATCAAAAAGGACATCCCTCCCATCAGCTTCCCTCATCCTCTTATTTTATTATCCTCCTCCGCTTTCTTCCTCGGTTCTTGCGCTTGCGAGGTCGTTAGCAACTATTTCACATACCCACGGCATTTTTTTTGCATCCGTTCCCATTCTTAACGCACCCCATTTCAACGATACACAATGCTCTCATCCGCACGCGTAGTAACTCGTCCTCTTCTCCGCGCCCAAACCCGCTCATATGCGGTCCTAGCAGACGCTTACTCGGCCGTGGGGTACACCCGAAAGGGCGACCAACCCCTCCAGGCCCCCAAAGTCAATGCGACAGTGTCAAAGAGCGAGAGTGGCATCACTATTGCGAGTGTGGACCATTTGGGCCCTGTGTCGACTTTGGCGCTTGTTGTGAATGCTGGGAGTCGATTTGAGAGTCCGGATGCTCCCGGTGTTGCGCATTTCTGGAAGAACACGCTTGTCCGGGTGAGTGTGGGCTTTTACTGTAGGTGGACACGGCTCTTGGGTTTGTCTTCCATGCGAGACTGCCTGGGAGTTGCAATTGGCTCGCACAGCGCATGAGTTTGGTTTTATACGGATCAGAAATTTCTTTTTAACGCATATATGTGTCCTTAGAACATTGCTGGTGACAATATCGTGAGGACGGTCCGTGAGACAGAGCTTCGTGGTGACACCCTGTACACGGAGCACACCCGTGAACAGATTATCCTTGCCTCTGACTTTTTGAGGGACAACCTGTGAGTCTAGTATCACGCATCAATGTGTATGTTACCCCGACTAAACTCTTTCTGCGACGGTCCAGTGTCGATGCAGTGCCTCTGTTGATTGACAACTTGTTCAACAAGCAGTTTTACCCTTACGAGTTCCTTCAACACCGTCCTCAGGTCATTGAACAAGCGGCCGCCTCCCTCGCTGATCCTACAACCAAGGTCCTTGACTCTCTCCACCAAGCCGCTTTCCGGAACGGTCTTGGAAACTCGCTCTTTGCCAGCGCTCCCGCTGCCAAGGCGCTCAAACGTGCCCACTTGAACGAGTTTGCGTCCAAGTTCTTTACTGCGGACCGTATTGCCATTGTCGGACACGGTGTGTCGCACGACGATTTGAAACCTCTTGTTGAGGAGGCTCTTGCCAAGTACACTTTACCAAAGGGCTCTGCCACTGCGGCTCCTAGCAAGTTCCGTGGTGGTGAAGTGAGGATCGAGGCAGGACCCAAAGCTGAGAGCCACTATGCTGTCGCATTCCCTTCCCTTGCCTACACGGATGCTCAGTACCCAGCTGCGTTGGTGTTGCGCGCCCTTCTAGACGGATCCAAGCGCCTCAAGTGGGGCAACCCCTCTGGATCCGCTGGTTTGTTGGCGTCGGCTGCTACCCCCACGACCTCTGTGACTGCTTTTGAGGCTGGATACTCTGATGCTGGTTTGATTGGCTTTTACGTCCAAGGATCTGCCAACGATGTCAAGAACGTTGCCTCCAAGAGCGTTTCTGTGCTCAAGGGCGTAGCTAGCAACGTTCCCTCCGATGCTCTTGCACGGGCCAAAAAGGTGGCTGTTGTAGATGCCGAGTCTGCATTGTCCCGCGGTGTTGCTGTCCAAGAGATTGGTAAGCGGGTGTTGGCGAGTGGACAGTACCTCTCGACTAGCCAGCTTGCGGATGCCATTGCCAAGGTTTCTGCAGCGGATGTGCAAAAGGTGTGTTCTTGTGAGAATGGTATGTTGTATGGCTCTGTTCTAATGTTGTGTGTTTTGATAGGTTGCGAAAGCGGCGATTGCTGCCCGTCCTGCGGCTGTTGCGTATGGAAACCTTCTCAAGCTCCCCTATCTTGACGAATTGTGAATGCTATATATAAAAATACATGCATGAAATTTTTAAACTTGTGTGGGCGCTTGAATTCTGGGTTTTTGGTGGATGGAGTAGAATTGTCCTTTTAGCGATGGGGAAGCTATTTTTTAGTTCGCTTGTTTTCCTGTTTTTTTTTACAAACTGAAATGAACAAATGTGTGGGTGTGCTTTTCTGCTTGTTTCTATGCGATATGGAGAATTGGTTTTTGCAAGTTCATGCAAGTTTGAATTTGTTAAAGTAGGAAACGACATCCTGTGGTGTTGACCTTTACACTCGACACCAACAACTTTTATTCATACACCCCGCCCCTCCTCCAATGGTCCAATTAAAATTACAACTGTATTACTTCTTGTACTACTACAGCTTGTATTGCCGACCGCGCCCACGTGATGTATTAATTGTGGCAACTGACCTTTTGAACTCGGTTTCGCGCACCTGCGTTTTTCCCCCCATTGCAGCATTATCATCTCCATCTTTATTTGCAAACAATGCTCACCCGCCTTCTCCTCCTCCGCCGTCCCCCTCGGCCCTTCCATCACCTACAGCTAACACGCACATACTCCACACCCACCGAATCCGAATACAAACTCCACGAACCGCTTCTCCGCTCCTTGGGACTCAGTTACGAAAACCCTGGCGTCTATCACGGAAAATGGAGCGGAAACGGACCGACGATTGCGTCTGTGAACCCCGCTACGAATCGGACGATTGCGACGATTCGGACAGGGACTCCCGAAAATGTACGAGAAGCCTTGGACTCGTTATCTGACGCGCAAAGGATTTGGAAAGGAGTTCCTATGCCTAAACGGGGAGAAATTGTTCGACAAATGCGGGATGAATTGGAAAGAAACAAAACGGCGCTTGGGACGTTGGTTTCTTTGGAAATGGGAAAGATTTTACCAGAGGGGTTAGGTGAAGTTCAAGAATACATTGATGTATGTGATTATGCTGTTGGGTTGTCTCGTATGATTGGGGGTCAGGTTTTGCCTAGTGAGAGGGTAGGACATTTTATGAAAGAGGTTTGGAACCCCCTTGGTAATGTTGGTGTTATTTCGGCGTTTAATTTCCCGGTTGCTGTTTATGGGTGGAATAGTGCTATTTCACTTGTATGTGGTAATACTGTGTTATGGAAAGGAGCGCCGACCACCACGTTATGTTCGATTGCTGTGACGAGGATGTTGGAGAGGGTTTTGGAGGCGAATGGGTTACCCGGTGCCATTTGTTCGCTTGTTAGTGGGGATAAAGAGGTTGGTGAAGCTATTGTGAGGGATCGGAATGTGGATTTGGTGTCGTTTACTGGGAGTACTGCTGTGGGGAAATGGGTGGGTGGGGTTGTGCAAGAGAGGTTTGGAAAGTGTTTGTTGGAGTTGGGTGGGAATAATGCTATCATTGGTTTGTATTTTTGTTTGTCTTTCTCTTGTTTCTTTTCGTAACATTTTTTACAATTATTTCTATGTTAGTCATGCCAGATGCAGACCTAGACCTAGCTCTCCGCTCCGTCCTCTTTGCAGCCGTCGGAACCGCCGGACAACGCTGCACAACCACCCGTCGTCTCTTCCTCCATAAAGACATTCACGACGAGTTTGTAGAAAAATTAGTAAAAGCATACCAACAAGTCATTGTTGGGGATCCGTTGGATAGTAAAACGCTTTGTGGGCCTTTACATACCCGTCATGCTCTTACGCTGTATGAACAAGGGATTCGGGATGTTCAAGATCAGGCAAGTTTTTTTTTGTTTCTTGATTTCGGTGTGTAAACATGTATTTCTGATATTGTTCAAGGGAGGTAAAATCCTTTATGGAGGAACTGTACTCGACAGACCAGGAAACTTTGTCGTACCCACTATCACAAGTATCGATCCCTCTGCAAGTGTGACTAAAAATGAGATTTTCGTGCCCATTTTGCATACCATGAAATTCTCGACACTCCAAGAGGCAATTCATTACAATAATGATGTTCGACAGGGGCTGTCAAGTAGTCTTTTTACAAAGTCTTTGGAAAATGTGTTTGAGTGGACTGGACCGTTTGGGTCTGACTGTGGGATTGTTAATGTTAATATTCCAACGAATGGCGCTGAGATTGGTGGGGCGTTTGGGGGTGAGAAGGAGACAGGCGGTGGAAGGGGTGAGTTTCTTTTTGTTGTTGTTTTTGGAGAGTCATATGTTGACTTCTTTTTTTTTTTGATTGTTTAGAGAGTGGAAGCGATGCATGGAAACAGTACATGAGGCGTCAGACGTGGTATGTGTGCTGCTCGTGATTCATGCATGGTTGATTTTTGGATGCTGATAAAAAGCGATCTAGCACCATCAATTATTCGGGGGCATTGCCGTTGGCTCAAGGGATAAAGTTTGCCTAACTAGAAAAGAACTAGGAAAAAGATGTAAAACACAAATGTGTGTACTCGATATATTTTGATGTGCAAGGAAACCCAAAATGTCTCAATGTTTTGCAAAAGAGTACACGATAATCTTTTCACTTTTGTTTACCAACTACCGCTCATGCCATTGTTGGGTTGATCACTATCACCTTCCTCGTTAGTGTCCTCATGAGTGGAAACAGGGTCGGTGCTGTCAGCTTGTCCCCATTTGCCCCCGCCATCAACACCAGCGTTACCCCATGTAGCATCATCGTCATTGCCACTCGCGACTTGTTGTCCAAGCGGGGCGTACCCATCCGGAAGATCGCCCTCGAGATCCTCTTCTTTGAGTTCGTCCACAATGCCATTCTCGGGAGAGTCACTATCATCATGATGATTAATAGCCATCCGAGCTATGTCACTTGACAATACTGGTGGTACTTACGGTGTTTCCTCATAATCTGGGCGGTATTCATTCAAAAACTCTGGAACAGTCTGCTCGGTTTCTCGCAGGACGCGAACCAGGTCCGTTGCAATATCTGAATTGTTGTCATTAAAGAAGCTTGTTGCTGCTCCTTTGTTCCCAACGCGAGCAGTGCGTCCAATTCGGTGGATATAATCTATGCAAAAATGATAGGGTTGGTACAAGGGGACTCGATGTGACTCCAAGTATATGTCGGAACTGTACCATCAATATTTTTAGGCATGTCATAGTTGATGACATGAACGACGTTCGGAATACTAGAAAGGCAAAGCATGGGTGAAAAACGCATTGACCAGATGTTGTGCATCTTTTTACGTACTCTAATCCTCGCGCTGCAAGATCCGTCGCAATCATAATAGGTTTACGCGCAGCCCTAAAAGCACTCAGTGCATCTTCACGTTCAGCTTGATTCCTCCCGCTGTGGACAGAGGTTACCGGGAACGAGTTGCTAAAGATATCGAGTTTTGAGATTAAAGTGGTCATCGTAAACCCCATCTTGAGCCAATAAGACTCATTTTGCTCACTTGTGCAAATAGTCGTCCAAGGTATCCGTAGCACGGCAAGTGTTGACAAAGATGAGTGTTAATCCGGCTTCTTGCTCATAGAGGAGATCAAGCAGAGCTCGCCGCTTGTCAAAATCATCGACTTTGAGGATCTAGTTAGACATTCAAAAGCATGAGGGATCGGGCAATGAGAGCCTACAAAAAATGTACTTTATACCGTCTGGGTAATATCGGTGGGCACTGTTCCCACTCTTCCGACAGTAACAAGTAGGCAATCGCCCAAAAATTCTCGAGCAATTCTGCGAACCTGTGCGAGTCGTGATGAGCATCGATACACACTGGATCAACCAAGTAAAATCAGCTAAATCTTACATTTTTCGGAAAGGTGGCGGAAAACAAGGCCGTTTGACGAGACTCCAAGTCGGCCGACATGTGCTGTTGGACGATCCGACGAATTTCCTGTTCAAAACCCAGCTCGAGAAGACTGGTCACAGAAAAGAGTCAGTCTCAACACAACACACAAGATACGTAAACGCCAAGAACATTACCGATCCGCCTCGTCAATCACCAGCCATCTGGCAAACCAAGTAATGAATACGTGCACACACGACACAAACCCTGAAAATCTTACTTGACATATTGCAAAGAAACTCTGTTTCTATCAATCATGTCCAGGAGCTTGCCCGGAGTAGCAGCCAGGATGTGGCATCCACGCTCCACATTTTGCATGAGCGAACGCGTGTTGGCGCCCCCATAGAGTACGGCAGGTTTGATCCAGGACTTGTAACTACCGAGACAAACGATATGTATGTATGTGAGATATGTGGGTCGTAGGCAAGTATTTGAGTGAAATGAGGTTTCATGTACGCGACCCAACGACATACAGACGAGGCAAACGGAATGCATCTGATACGTACCTAAACTTGCGACACTCATCAAAAATCTGACAGGCCAACTCACGAGTTGGGGAAATAATCAATACCAAAGGTTCTGAAAACAAAAATAAGAATAATCAAAAAATATTCTTTGCACGTAATTAACAATGAAAATGAAAACATACTTGCATGACGATCAAACATGGACGTGGGTTTGGGACAGAGCTTTTCTTTACCCAACAAGAGCATTCGGTTGATTATAGGAATCAGATAGGCTGCCGTCTTTCCACTTCCTAAAATAAAGGTGAATTAATGAAAATGTTAAATCCCGATCTGCTTACGCGTCGCGATCATGTCGGATTACCATACCTGTCTGAGCGCAGGCCATCAAGTCACGGCGACTCGCCAGAATGGGAATAGCCGCCTTTTGAATCGGAGTAGGCTTGTTATATTTCATCAAACTTGTAATATTGTACTTGAGTCCCTCGTGCAGCTTAATGTCGTCAAACTTTAAAAAAAAAAAAGTTGAGCCTGGCGGTGGTGAAAAGAGGATTGCACATGGGCGAATACTTGCGCTTTCAAGCAACGGGGGAACGTCTTCTCCAGCAACTTTAATGGGGACATGACCCAACTGTTCAAAGTTGATTCCCGTATTGACCTTGTTTTTCTCATACAACTAGAAAAAGTTTAGAGACTTGTGAGTAAGTGATTTGCTAGAATGATAAAAGAGAGAAAGATGGCAACCGCCGCAGTCGCCCTACTGGATGGGGCAGCACACAAGAATGTACACTTTAACATTTGCAGTCAGTAAGAACATACCTCTTGCTCTAGGGTCTCGTCCACTTCGCCTTCTTCCCACCGCCTGGCAGTACCAAACCAGACTCGTGCCTCTTCATCCACAGGCGGAAGATCAGAGCCTGAGCCAAACTTGTGCGTGCGCGTTTCTGCCGCGGGAGCGACAGGCTCTTGGTCAGGTTCCTCGGTGTGTCCATTTTCCAATCCGTTTTGCATATCGCTAGCAGGTCCCCATCCTTCAGTGCCATTGGTCTCCGTAGAACCTGGCTGGTCCCATCCATTTTTGTATGACATTTTGTTCTGCGTTGTTGAGCAGTCTTTTGAGTAGGATACAAACGTTGAGCGAGGATAGTTGAGCAGAGGGATACAAACGTCAAAAAAAAAAAAAGAAAACCTACTCGTAGCTAAAAAGAAGGCAAGAAGAACAAGACGCAAAATGGCTGGGAATAAAAAGCAAGCAAGAGGCTTCAAGAAGGGGCGCAGTTGATGAGCAGTTTAAAAAACAAGCGTGTGCGTGGGAAAATAAAGAGAGAGAATAACAAGAGGGCGTGGGAATATCCAATATATGATTACATAATTTGACAGATCACATGACGACACGTGAGAGGAAGAGAAGGCGATTTGAGGGAGTGTTTGTGGAATGGGTTCCCTCGTCAAGAGCAATAGACATGAGGGAGAGTGCAATGATTGCATTTGAATATATCTCATACATATGCATATGGAATATCTCATGTGCATATGGGCATTTGCATATGGACAATTGCATATGGGCATTTGCATATGGAACGATTGCATATGGACAGTTGCATATGGAAGACTATGATTACATCGATATGATTATAAAAGTCATGTTGCTAAAGCATCTCCCACTCTTCAAATCTCTCGCAGTCCAAGTGTTGGATCACGTGTCAATCTGATTTGCCGTGTTAATTAAGAGAGGCTATGGGAGAGGGCTAAATTGTCTTGAATAAGTTACTGACATTTGTGGGAATACAATCATCCCATGTCCATTTATACTTATCTTTAGCCATGCATGCATGTATAGCATGTATGTGCATATGTCCAATGCGTACATGTCCATGTGTGTGTGTGTTAGTGTGATAAAGAAGGCAATCGATGACTCTATAAATCGATGTCCGCTTGAACGCTTGAACGCGTGTTTTTACTGCGCATTTCACACTTGTTGTACATCCACACATCATATAGGATTTGGAACACTTCTAACGGATAAAGTGTTCAATTGCTCACGTTGTGGAAAAAAGGACAACTGATATTTATGCAAATACGAGTTTATTGTGTTTTTTATCCTTGTATCGATTGTAAAAGCCACAGGAACGATTCGGGATTGGATAGTTGGTTGTTCATGGGTTTATTAGTTGAACCCGACACACAGTACAACAAAAGAATATAAAAAAGCTCTAGACCTTTTTGTTCCCCCAACTGTTTTTGTTTCTTGCTTTGGCGTAGTTGCTTCCTGTGTTTTCTTTCCTTGCAACTGTCTTTTGCTTGACGTTCAACTCGCTGTTTTGTTGGACAGCCATCTTTTTTAGATATTATATCTCTCATCCGCGGATATATGGATAGATACCTTGTTTGATATTCTCTATTATACATTGGAAAGAGTGCCCGCATCCTAGACGCTACCGCTTGTAACGAACAGCTCTTCTCTTTTTTTTACATATTCCGATCATCAAAAGCATCATGTCGTCGCTGTCTACCTTTCACCCTCTCTCGATGGAAACAGCGGCTTCCGCTGCCGCTGCTGCTACAACGGCTGCAGGACATGCTACTCGGCCGCTCGTCATGACACAGCACACCACCAAAGTCGCCATTCCCGTCCCGCTACCTCTCTGGCCTATTGCTGAAAACCTAAAGGAAACCTTTCCGACTCGTGACGCTCCAGAAACAACCGAACTCGAGCTCTTGAGTGACATTCTTGAATTTGCACTTGGAAAGGCATCGAATCAGGATACCTTTGAGGCTCTGCCGCTTGTAGCTGTCATCTTTCGCCATCTACAGGCTCGTCTCTTGAAGCAAAATGACATTCATGCTGTCACCCGGGATCTGGCCCCAGAGACTCGCGCAGCTATATTGAAAACATACTACCTCGCTCTCGTCGCTCTCAAACGTCACGGTTTGGTCTCTTCGGCAGAAATCAAACCTCCCGCATCCGCCTTGTTTGCGGCTGCAGAAGCGGGTCGCGCAAACCTCTTGGCCGTTTTCGGCGGACAGGGAAATGTCGAGGAATATTTCAGCGAACTCGTGTCCTTGTACACAACCTACGAGGCCTTTGCCCGGCCCTTTATCTACCAGGCGGCCCTCACCCTTGCAAACATTTCCAACTCCCCAGAAGCCCAGGCAGAGCATTCGGCTAAAATGGATGTGATTAGCTGGTTGGAAAAGCCAGAGACTCGTCCCAGTACCGAGAGTCTCTTGGCTACTCACCAGTCGCTCCCATTGATTGGATTGACGCAATTGACGAATTACTACATCACGTTCAAAGTTCTCGACAAGACGCCTGGAGAGCTTCGGAGTCTTTTGGCTGGAACAACGGGTCACAGCCAAGGCATTGTTTCTTCGGTCGTTGTTTCGTCCTCAGAGACGGAAAAGGAATTTGTCGAAAATACGCAAAAGGCCCTAGTGCTCTTGTACTGGTTGGGATTGCGCTCCCAGCGGGCATGCCCTGCTACGACCTTGGATCCCAACATTTTGCAGGATTCACTGGCCAACAATGAAGGAGTTCCTACGCCCATGTTGGCTGTGACGGGTATGTTTACATGTTTTGCCACTATTAAAAAGTTACCTCGAAGAAAACCTCACACACTTCTCTCTGCAAGGTCTGCGCAACAGCGATGTCCAACAACACGCCGATACGACAAACTCTTTCCTTCCCCCGGACCGTCGGGTCCACCTCTCTCTCATCAACGGACCTCGCTCCACCATCTTTACCGGTCCCCCACAATCCCTGTACGGCCTCAACGTCTCTCTCCGCAAGCTCAAAGCCCAAACCGGCCAAGACCAATCCCGCATTCCCTTTTCGCAACGCAAAGTCCGGTTTTCATCCCGCTTTTTACCAGTCGCTGTCCCCTTTCACAGCGAATACCTCAAACACGTCCCCAACGCCCTTCAATCCGATATCGAATTGCACAACCTTGCATTTGATGCTAAAAAGATGCGGATACCCGTTTATCATACCCATACCGGAGAGGACCTTCGTAACACGACGGATCTGACAATGTCCCTCGTCAACCAGATTTGCGTCCAACCCGTTCATTGGGAAAAAGCCACCAACACCCAATCCATTTCCCATGTCCTTGATTTTGGACCAGGGGGTGCATCTGGGGTTGGATTCCTGACGCATCGTAACAAGGAGGGTACGGGTGTTCAGGTTGTGTTGGCGGGGTCGTTGGAGAGTGGAATGAGCGAGTTGTTGGATCGGTCGTATTTGTTTGATGAAGATGTTCATGCGGTAAAGTTTGCTCCTAATTGGGCCGAAAAGGTGAGCAGTCTGTCTGCCTTTGTGTGTGTGAGTTTTTATTAAATCCGGTCATTAGTACCGTCCCAAACTCATTCGCATCGCGAGTACCGGCGAAATTCACGTCGACACGCCTTTTAGCCGTCTCCTCGGCAAGGCCCCCCTCATGGTCGCCGGCATGACACCTTGCACCTCCAACGAACATTTTGTCGCAGCTTGCATCAATGCTGGTTTTCACGTTGAACTCGCGGGGGGTGGTCAACACACCGAACCCTACCTCCGCGACCGTGTCCAAAAGATCATGGAAAAAATTGAACCCGGTGAAGGCATTACTCTCAATATCCTCTTTCTCAACCCGCGTCTCTGGGGATTCCAGTACCCAGCCGTGCAAGCCATGCGGAGGGAGGGTATCCCCATGGAAGGCGTCTGCGTCGCAGCGGGTGTCCCATCCCTAGACGTTGCAGACCAAATCATTAAAAACCTCAAAGCAGCCGGACTCCGTCACGTTGCTTTCAAACCCGGGAGTGTCGAAACCATTCGTCGTGTCATTTCCATTGCAAGGACCAACCCCGATATGCCCATCATTCTGCAATGGACAGGAGGACGAGGGGGTGGACACCACTCTTTTGAAGATTTCCATCAACCCATGTTGGAGACCTATGGCGCCATTCGACGGGAACCCAACTTGATTTTGGTCGTTGGAAGCGGGTTTGGTGATGCCGTTGAGACATTACCTTACCTAACCGGTGAATGGAGTCAAAAGTTTGATCACCCACCCATGCCCTTTGATGGTCTTTTATTTGGCTCGCGTGTCATGGTCGCTAAAGAAGCCCTTACCTCTCCCGCTGTCAAGGAACTCATTGTCAAGGCACCAGGGATCCAAGATGAGACCCTCTGGGAACGTACTTACAAGGGCGACATTGGAGGGATCTTGACCGTGAAATCCGAATTGGGAGAACCCATCCACAAGATTGCCAACCGCGGCGTCAAATTCTGGAAAGAAATGGATGATACCTTTTTTTCACTTTCCCGCGAAAAACGTCTACCAGCCCTCCTCAAAAAGAAGGACTACATTATCGAGCGTTTGAATGCTGATTTCCAGAAACCCTGGTTTGGCCAATCTGATGGTCGACCTTGCGATCTCCATGAAATGACGTACACTCAAGTCATTCGCCGATTGTTTGAGCTCTTGTGGGTTCCTTCCCGGTGGATTGATTCAACCCTCCGAGACACATTTGGTGATTTCTTGCGACGGGTTGAAGAACGATTCGTCAAGGGCGAAACCTTGTCCATGCTTCAATCGTATAGTACACTCGATCACGACCCCGCATCCTTTATAGAAGCCTTTTTGGAAACCTTTCCGGAAGCCTCTCATCAAACCCTTACCCAAGAGGACGTGTTTTATTTCCTGACGATTTGCTCGTACCCCTTTCGTAAACCCGTTCCGTTCATCCCCATCATTGACGAAAAGTTTGAGTTTTGGTTCAAAAAGGATTCGCTTTGGCAAGCTGAGGATGTTGATGCTGTTGTTGGGCGCGATGCAGGTCGAGTGGCCATTTTACAAGGGCCTGTTGCCGTCCGTCATTGCACAAAGGTTGATCAACCCGTCAAGGAAATCCTGGGAGATATTTACGCTGCCCACATTGATGCGCTACGTAAATTGTATTATGGTGACAGCAATGTCGCGATTCCTGTTGTAGAGTACTTGGGTGCCCGACCAGCTCCCCCCACTCACACCCTCGATGGCATCCGTGTCACAGAACTCAACGAAGGATCCATCATGTACGAAATCACTCGTAACGCCCAAGCCATGCCCTCCACTCCCGACTTTATGCAATTCATCTCGGGACCGGATCATACCTGGCTTCGAGCCCTCCTTACCTCGGAAGCCATCGTCCAAGGTAAACACCTGGTCCCAAACCCAGTCACAAAGATCCTCCGCGCCCGTCCTGCGCAGACCTTGTTTGTGAAATATGATGCGAGACGTCAACCAGTGCTTTTGACGCTGCATGATCGGGATGTGGATCGTATTACTCCTGATCGACACCCGGCGGTGGTCATAACTGCTGAAGGAGATCGTATCAAAGTCGAATTGTTTGTCAAACGGGACAAGGAGTTTGTGGCATTAGAGTTGTTGTTCCGGTACAAGCCTTGGCAAGGTCATAATCCCATTCATGAGATTATGGAGGTATGTGTTCTATTGGTCTGTTTACATTAGTGCAAGTGTATCTAATCTCGGGTATCATTTATAGGGCCGTAACCAGCGCATCAAGGATTTCTACAGCAAGCTCTGGCATGTTGATCCCTCCGATTCCCATCTAACACCCAAAGACACGTTCCGATCCGTCTACAAGGTCCAATCCACCAGCGTACTCGATTTCGCTCAAGTGATTGGCAATCAGGCGGAACTGTACGTGACTGGCAAGGACCCCAACACACCCGCTCCCATGGACTTTGCCATCGTGGCTGGATGGCGATCTCTTGTTTCCGCCATCCTCCCCAAGGAAATCGATGGGGATCTCCTCCGACTCGTTCATCTTTCCAACCAGTTCCGTATGTTGGATCCCCATGATACTCTTCGTGCCGGGGACGAAATCACTACGGAAGCCGTGATCGAGTCCGTGATTATTACTGAAGCCGGCAAAGCTGTTGAAGTCAAGGCGACGCTCATCAAGAACCAACGGCCACTCATGGAGATTGTGAGCACGTTTTTGTATCGGGGTACTTTTACTGATTATGAAAACACCTTTCGGCGAACGACTGAAAAGCCTGTGCAGGTGGTCTTGTCGTCCAACAAGGATATCCAAGTCCTTCAATCCAAAACATGGATTAAATGGAATACGGATGCCCCACAGTTGACACCAGGAGCTATTTTGATTTTCAGATTGGAGACTTTTGCCCAAAATGCCGATGCGACTGTCTATGCCCATGTCCAGACGACTGGATCAGTGTTTTTGAAAACGACACGGGAAACGATTCAAGTTGGTCGTGTTGATTATCATGCTACCCATGTCCACGGCAATATTGTACTGGACTACCTTACCCGCCACGGCTCCTCCATTGAACAACCCGTTTTCTTCAAATCGGGGGGATACTCTATCCTTCCTGACCCCAAAGTCTTTCCTGCGACCGTCACCGTCCCACTTTCCAACGGTGCCTACGCCGTAGCATCCGGGGATTTGAATCCAATCCATACCAACCCTTACTTTGCTGACCTGGCCAACCTTCCCGGAACCATTACTCACGGCATGTGGACATCGGCTTCTACACGCAAATTCGTTGAAATCTTTGCGGCCAATAATCGACCTGAGCGGGTCAAAGAATACAATGTCGTGTTCCTGAACATGGTTCTCCCTGGCGACCAACTTGAAACCAAATTATACCACGTTGGTATGAGTAACGGCAAGAAACTCATCAAGGTCATTACCCTCAACTCAAAGGGCGTCAAAGTCCTTGAAGGAAGTGCCGAAGTCGAACAACCCGCTACTTCCTACGTGTTTACTGGACAAGGATCCCAAGAAGTCGGCATGGGAATGGATCTATACGAAACCTCTGCGATTGCCAGAGAAATCTGGGACAGAGCCGACGCACACATGCTCCAAACTTACGGTGTCTCCATCCTCTCCATCGTCCGAACAAACCCCACATCCCAAACAATCCACTTTGGTGGACAAAAAGGTGCATCCATTCGTCGGAATTTCATGTCCATGACGTATGATGTTGTTCAAGATGGGTTGTTGAAGAGTTTACCTCTCTTCCCCGGTATCACGGACCAAACGCCTTCCTATACGTTTTCGCATCCGAATGGGTTACTCTCTGCCACGCAGTTTACTCAACCCGCGCTCACCTTGATGGAAATTGCGTCGTTTCAGGATATGAGAGCTAATGGACTCGTGCAGCAGGATTGTCCCTTTGCTGGACACAGGTATGTTGGTTAGAGAATAAGACGTCCACAAGCGCTGCTTGTTTAATGTTTTTTTTGTTGTCTAGTTTGGGCGAATACGCTGGACTCGCATCCGTTGGACAGGTCCTTTCAGTCGAATCCCTCGTCGACGTTGTCTTTTACCGTGGCATGACCATGCAAGTCGCCGTCCAACGCGATGACCAAGGACGATCCAATTACGGCATGTGTGCCGTGAATCCCATCCGGGTTGGATCAACCTTTTCCGAGCAAGCCCTCGTGTTCATTGTAGAAGCCATTGCACGCCGCTCGGGTGATTTATTGGAGATTGTGAATTACAATGTAGAGAATTTCCAGTACGTCCTAGCGGGTGAATTGACCAACCTCGAGACTCTCCGAGTGGTCTTGAATAAGGTCAAGGGGTTAAATGTCAATTTCATTGAATTGGGGAAAACGAAATCGGTGGAAGAGATTCAAGGGGTTTTGGATGGGATTGTCGAAGATGGGTTAGCATCTGCTCGCAAGAAACGTGCTGCATCGAACGGAATTCTCTCTCAAGAACGCGGGGTTGCGACTATTCCCCTCGCAGGCATCGACGTCCCCTTCCACTCTAGTTTCCTCTTGAACGGCGTCGTCCCCTTCCGCGAAATCCTTCGCAAAAAACTAGAAGCAAAATTCATCAACGTGGCCCTCCTCGTTGGGAAATACATTCCAAATTTAACAGCCGAACCCTTTAGTCTCTCCAAAGACTACTTTCAAACCGTCTACGACCTCACCCACTCGTCCCTCCTTCAGCAAGTCCTATCCGATTGGGACGAAACCCTAAACACCACAGCGGCCCAACAACAACAACTGGGATACATCCTCCTCATTGAACTCTTGGCCCATCAATTCGCGAGTCCCGTTCGCTGGATCGAAACCCAAGATCAATTGTTCCGGGCCTTCAAAGTGGAAAGGTTGATTGAAGTGGGACCTTCACCCGTTCTTTGCAGTATGGCCGGACGAACACTTAAAATCAAATACGAGGCATATGATGATGCTGTTACGCATCGTCGTGTGCAATTGTGTACCACCAAGGATCGTAAAGAGATTTACTATGATTTTAGAGATGAGGTTGTGGATGTCGTCGAAGAGGATAAGGCGGCTGTGGAGCAAGTGCCAGTCAAGAGTGCGGCTCCTGCGCCGGTGGTACCTGCTCCAGCTGCTAGGACCGCCGCTGCTGTGACGTGAGTGGTTTTGTTATTATTGTTGTTTTTAATCTTTGTTGTTGGTGTTGTGAGTCTTATTACTCACTCTTGTTTTGTTCTAGTGATGAACCGATCACAGCTCAAGAAATCCTCTTGGTGCTCATTGCTCAAAAACTCAAAAAACCCCTCTCTGACGTCCCACTCTCAAAATGCATCAAAGATCTCGTGGGTGGCAAGTCTACCCTCCAGAATGAGATCCTCGGAGATCTTGCCGCAGAATTTGGCAACGTTCTCGCTGATAAGGCGGAGGAGCTCCCTCTTTCTGAGGTCTCAATGGCACTCCAGGATGCACATGGAGGCGCTTTGGGCAAGACCAGTAATGGACTGGTGAACAAGATGGTCGGATCAAAGATGCCGGGTGGGTTTGGTATGGGACAGGTCAAGGCGTACCTTACTAGTGCCTATGGGTTGGGACCCAAGAGAAGTCAGGGCGTGCTGTTGCATGGGTTGCTATCGGAACCTGCGTCACGGTTGGCTAACGAGACGGATGCAAAGGCGTGGATTGACACTGTCGTCAAGAGTTATGCCGATAAAGTGGGTATAACCCTCGGTGGAACAACGGAAGGTCCATCTCAAACTTCGGGCACGGTCGTAACCATTGATAGCAAAGAATTTGATAAACACAAACTAGCCCTCGACCTCCTCGTCCGACAGCAACTTGAAACATTTGCTAAATACCTTGACTTGGACCTCCTCGCCGAAGCCCGTACAGCTGCTACCGAACGCGACGCCCGCGACGCCCTCCAAGCCCAACTCGACCATTGGATCGCTGAACACGGTGACGTTTATGCCGAGGGGATTAAACCCTCTTTTGATCGTCTCAAAGCCCGAGTATTCGATTCCCATTGGAACTGGGCAAGACAGGATGCACTCCAACTCTACTATGACATGATCTTTGGTCGTATCTCGAGCGTTGATAGGGAATTGATGAACCAGTGTATTCATTTGATGAACCGCGCTGAAGATGCAGAGAGTTTGGTCACTTTTATGGAATATTACCTGGAGAATTGCCCAGAGGCTCGTGGAGAAAACTTTGTGCGCGCCAAGGCTCTTAGCAAGATTTTGTTGGAGAATTGTAGGGAGGCTCTCAAAGCCGATCCTGTATACAAAAACCGTAAGTTTCCGTGTGTTAATGGTAAAATGTGGGAATGCGAAACTCACCGTCTTGTTTTGCACAGTGGCCTACCGCCCAACCCGTCCTAAAACCCACATCAAAGAAAATGGCGAACTGGTCTACAATGAAGAGCGCCGTAAAGCAAGCAACATGAAGGACTATGTTGAGGAAATGCGCGCAGGAAGTGACCTGACACGGATCCCCGATAGTCAAATCCTGGTTTCCAAATTCGAGCAACTGGCTGCGTTAATGAAATCAGCACCAGAACTGAATGGAGCGACGAAATCCCAAGTGGATGCCATCTTTGCCGAGATTCAACAGAATCTGCCTCCACGGTCTGGATTCCAGGGTCGTCTCCCGTTCGTGTTCCTCAAGCGACGAAATCCTGTGGATCCCAGTCAATGGGAACCAGATGCGGATCTGAGCACAATTTACCTCGATACTTTGGCCAAAATGGCTAACGAGGGAATATCCTTCAAGGGTCGACACGCATTGATTACAGGGTGCGGAAAGGAGTCGATTGGCGTGGATGTCCTCAAGGCTCTCCTTTCGGGTGGTGCCAGGGTCATTGTGACAACCTCCCGATTCAGCAAATCCTCTACAGAATTCTACCGCTCCATCTACGAACGCCATGGCTCAAAAGGTTCCCGTCTCGTCGTGGTCCCCTTTAACGGCGCATCCTTCCAAGACACAGTTGCCCTCGTCGAATACATTTACGATACAAAAGGGGGTCTGGGATGGGATTTGGACTTTATCATCCCTTTTGCGGCTATCCCTGAACAAGGCCGCGAAATCGACGGGATTGATTCTAAATCTGAGTTGGCGCATCGTATCATGCTCACCAATTTGTTGAGATTGATGGGACAAGTCAAGGCTAAGAAACAGGTCATGAAGTACGATACGCGGCCTGCAGTGGTTGTTTTGCCATTGTCGCCTAATCATGGTACATTTGGGAATGGTAATTTCTTGTGACTACTAAATCAGTCGTAAGATGGATATTGATTGAATTGAACCTATTGTTGTAGATGGGTTGTACAGTGAATCGAAAATCGGACTTGAGACATTGTTCAACAGGTTCCATTCTGAGAGTTGGAGCAGCTATCTGACCATTGTTGGTGCCGTCATTGGGTAAGCTTACTACTCTGCAAGCTGCTGACCATTCTGCACCGTCACTCACTTACTCTACTTTTCAGATGGACCCGCGGCACGGGTCTCATGTCCGCCAACAACATTGTTGCTGAAGGCATAGAATGGCTTGGAGCTCGCACCTTCTCCACCCACGAGATGGCCTTCAACCTCATTGGTCTCCTCCATCCAGATATTGTCAAACTATCCGGGGTAGACCCCATCTGGGCGGACCTGAACGGTGGTCTACACTTTGTTGCAGACTTGAACCGGATTTCATCCCAGTTGCGTCGTGACTTATTGGAAACATCCGAGATTCGCCGGGCGGTGGCTCGAGAAGCCGCCATTGATCGTCAGGTCATGAATGGCCCCGTTAAACATGAACAAGTTCTCGTGACCCCTCGTGCGAATATGAAGTTCAAGTTCCCAAGCTTGGATGCGCAAAAGTTGACCCATTTGCGCGGAATGTTGGATCTGGAGAAAGTTGTTGTCGTGACTGGCTTTGGAGAGGTGGGGCCATTTGGAGGGTCTCGTACTCGTTGGGAGTTGGTAAGTGCCAGCATCTTCATCAGTTTATCAAACACAATTCTGAACCATAATCTTCTTTTATAGGAGGCTTACGGCGAGTTGTCCCTCGAAGGATCAATTGAGATGGCTTGGATGATGGGATTCATCAAATTCCATACCGGCCCGCTAAAGAAGCTCGCAACCTATTCTGGTTGGATTGACGCTCAGACGCAGGAACCTGTCAAAGATCACGAAGTGAAAGCAAAATACGAGAAAAAGATCTTGGAGCATAGTGGTATTCGATTGATTGGTATGCATTGTACAATACCCTTGGGGGCCTTTTACGCCGTGAAATAACCAGGCTCCCTTCAATAGAACCCGCTCTCTTTAATGGTTACGACCCAGAAAAGAAAATGTTCCTCCAAGAGATTGCTGTTACATCCGACATGGCACCCATTGAAGTCAGTAAGGAAGAAGCTGAAGCCATGAAACGACAACATGGTGCCGCTGCCGTGGTCGAGCAACGGGGCGAACAATACTTTGTTCGCTTGCAAAAGGGTGCGACCTTGTATGTTCCCAAAGCTTTGCGATTCGATCGTCTTGTAGCTGGACAGGTACGACAATGGGCTACAGCCTAAAGCAGAACATGTTCAAAGTTTACTCATTGGGATGGTTTCTTGAAACTAGATTCCTACTGGATGGGATGCAAAGCGGTACGGAGTGCCAGATGATATTGTCTCACAGGTGGATCCGATCACGCTCTATACATTGGTGTCCACTGTGGAAGCACTGGTCACTTCGGGGGTTACTGACCCGTACGAGTTTTACCAATATGTCCATGTGAGCGAAGTTGGCAACACGTCTGGTGGTGGTATGGGCGGTATGCGTGCCATGCAGAGGATCTTTAGGGTAAGTTCGTCCTAATGGGTGGGATTTTGAAACAGACCGGGTTTTGATGAATCTTCTTTCGTATAGGAACGTTTCCTGGAGAAGCCGGTGCAAGCGGATATTCTTCAAGAAAGTTTCATCAACACCATGCCCGCTTGGATCAACATGTTACTCCTCTCCTCATCAGGGCCGATCAAAACGCCCGTAGGAGCTTGCGCAACGGCAGCAGAATCCGTCGAAGTCGCCGTCGACACCATTCTCTCTGGTAAAGCCAAAGTGGTTCTTTGCGGTGGATATGACGACTTCCAAGAAGAAGGATCCCATGAATTCGCCAACATGAGGGCCACGTCCAATTCTGTTGAAGAATTTGCTCGAGGTCGTGAACCCCGGGACATGTGCCGTCCTGCAACGGACACTCGAGCAGGATTCATGGAAGCTCAAGGTGCTGGTATCCAGGTCCTCATGACCGCTGATCTAGCCATCAAGATGGGTGTACCTATTCGGGGTATCATTGCTTGTACCAATACCGCTACTGACAAGAATGGACGATCGGTTCCCGCACCTGGTCAGGGTATCTTAACCACCGCCCGTGAAGCTCCCGGAAAGCACCGCTCGCCACTTTTGAACTTTGAATACCGTGCTAAACAGCTGCGGAGGGAGCGAGAACACATCAAACAATGGGTTGCAAAAGAGTATGAAGCATTGGCTGACGAAGTTGAGGAAATTAAAAAGAGCGGCGAGGAAGTCGATCAGGACTTTGTCAACGAGCGAACAGCCTTTATTGAGAAAGAAGGAAAACGTAGAGAAAACGTTGCTTTGTCCACATGGAGTCATGATTGGTGGAAGAATGATCCAGCGATTTCACCCCTCCGCGGGGCTCTTGCCACCTTTGGTTTAACCATTGACGACATTGGTGAGTCGTGTCAGGACGATAAACTTCGTATTGGATGTAAAAAGCTTACACTCTGTCAATGATCATAGGTGTCGCTTCCTTCCACGGAACAGGCACAAAAGCCAACGACTACAACGAATCCTCTGCCCTCAACCAGCAATTAACACATCTCGGTCGTAGCCGTGGCAATCTCATCCCTGCCGTCTTCCAAAAGCACCTGACTGGCCATCCCAAGGGTGCAGCCGCGGCATGGATGCTCAACGGTGTACTCCAAGTCCTCGAAACGGGCATCGTTCCCGGCAATAGAAACTTGGACAATGTAGAGGACCGCCTCCGTCAATTCAAATACATTCTCTATCCCAGTCGATCCATCAAAACCGACGGTATCCGGGCCGGTTTATTGAAAAGTTTTGGATTCGGACAGGCTGGTGGTGAAATCCTGGTCATCCACCCCGACTACCTCTTCGCGGCGCTAGAGGAACCAGAGTTCAATGACTACCTTGCCCGTAGACAAAAGCGCGAGACAGCATCGTACCGCTACTTCCACGAGATGCTAACGGGTGCTGCACCGTTTGTCCGTGTCAAATCAGCTGCGCCCTACACAAATGAACAGCAGTCGGGAGTCTACTTGAACCCGCTTTCCCGTGCTGCATATGACAAGTCTTCTGGGTCTTGGAACTTTAATGCTCAAAGTAAAGCGCTTGCCAAGCCCGATGTGTCGGTGACCAAAGCTTTGATCGAGGCATCAGCGCAGTTGGGCGAAGCTGCCAATGGACGTGGACTTGGCATAGGTAATTGCCTTGAATGTATTTGATGTTCGGCATATCGATCACATTTCTCATTTGTCTCTCCTATGTATCACCCAGATGTTCAATTGTGCTCTGAAGTCCCGGCAGACAACGAAACATTCCTTGCTCGTAACTTTACTGAGCAAGAGCGCGCATACTGTTCCAATGGCAGCTGTCCTCAGTCCAGCTTTGCGGGTCGGTGGGCAGCCAAAGAAGCGGTCATTAAGGCTGTCAGCAGCGCTGCAGGAACCGTGGTATGGACCAAGGGCGCAGGAGCTCCCCTGAATGAGATTGAAGTTCTTCGAGAGGATGGCATGGCTCCTGTTGTCGTCTTCCATGGTGAGGCCAAAGACGCCGTGGAGAAAGCGGGCGTCAAGGAAGTCAAGGTGACCATTAGTCATAGTGGCTCGTATGCTGTGGCCATGGCGGTCACCCAGTAAGATGTAAATGGAACTGGTGCGCTAGAAAAAGATCCCTCTTTTGTAAATAAAATAAATATGATTTTGTTAAACGTATTCTTTACTCGCAAAACCTCCTCAATGGTAGACTTCAGACTCTAAATGGGCAAGGCAAAAACATAGGGTGGGGACCTTCAATCAATGTCATTTGTGCATTAACCAAGACAAACATGGGAATTCAAAGTGAAAACATAAAACTAGTCTAACAAATGAGAAATAAAAAAATAACAGCGACAATCTAGAGCAAACGGTAAGTCGGCTGCCCGGGAACAGCATTATCAGCCTTCTTTGCATCTTCTGCGTCGTAAGGTGGCGCTGCGGCCGCCTTTTGATCTACCAGTTCCACCGACGTGACTTTCAAGACAGCCAATTCCCGTCGGATGTAGTCTAGGTTGAGTTGGAGGGTCTCCAATTCGTTGAAGCTCAATTTTCGGTCAAAGGCGACCGGTCCTTGAGCTTCCACGGCTTGCTTTATGCTTGCAACGAAAGGCATAACTGCCTTGTTCTTCATCAAGCCCTTGGCAATGAGAGCTTGCTTCTCATTGCCCTGGAATTTGCCAGTTGACTAACAAGCAACGTGGTAAGTATTCCCTTCAAGGCAGCACATCCCCACCACGCCCCAGCTTACCTCATCCCAAGTCTCCTTCAGAACTGCCACAGCTTCATCCTGCCATGCAGGGAAGCTTGAAGCTACGTACAAACGGAGTTTGCCAATCTTTTCCACCTTGTCCACTGCGCCTTTCTTTTGCTTCTTACGAGCGGCTTGGTCTTCCGCTGATCGGACCTTTGAGGCCATGCCGCGGATGTAGGCAGCAGCGGCAAGCAAAGACTCATTGGGTTCCGCAGTTTGCTTAGGCCATAAAGCCTTCTTGATGGACTCGGGCTACAACATAAGATGTATACTATCAGCGACGCGCTGACTCCTTCAGGAACAGGGCATGTTACGTACCTTCTTGAGCAACGTGCTCCAGATGTACTCACTCCAGTGCGGTGTTATCGGCGCCAACATGAGGGCTTGAACCTCAATGTACCGCACAATGAGATCCTCGTGCATTCCCTCATACGTTTCACCCTCGAGGGCCATGGATCCGACTCCCTGTCCAGTCGTCGCTTTTCGGTACTCTGACCGGGCATTGCTTAACTCGTAGAAGGCCAACTTCAAGGCATCACGGTACAGCATACTGGTGTACGCCTTTTCAACTTCCCCAATAAACTTGTTGATCTCAGCCTCGAACACCGTGTCGTTCCACGAGTAGGCACCTTTGCGCATCTTTCCCTCTGCGACTTGAGTAAGGACTTCCTCAACCCATTCCCTTTCGGTGAAGAGCTTAAGGATCGCGTCATCTGCAGTTTTCTCGAGGAAATTGGCGTCTTCGACACCATCCCCAGCATCGGCTAAGGCAAAGCGAGTTGCGTCTGCGCCATAGACCTTCAGAGCATCACGCAGGGTCATAAAGTTACCGGTCGACTTGGACATCTTCTCGTTATTCAACAGCAAGTGTCCATTGGCCCGGACTCCCTTCGGCCATGACTCCTTGGGGAAAATCGCGGTATGGTTGTAGATGAAGAAGGACAAATGGTTGTTGACCAGGTCCTTTCCTGACACACGCAGGTCTAGCGGATAGAAATACTTGAACTCCCGCCGCATGCGATCCAATGTTTCCTGAGGAACGGTAGTGTCCGCGGGTTTGGGCCCGTCTAGCAAGATGTAGTCCCAGACGTTATCTGTCATCTGTTCTGCCTTGACGTTGGCCGCTCCTGGCTTTGAGCCGTCCAACGTACCGCCTATGCACACGATGAGTATACATATCCCAAGTTCTATGAAACCTTCCAAATACGAAATACGTGATGTGACATACCGTGCAGGAGGTGGGATACCGTGTAATACGCCATATATATAGTTGAGTCGCTCAACGACTCAATCAGATACTGGGGATCCCATGGCAAGCGACTTCCGAGACCGAAGCTCCGGGAGCATGCCCACTGACCGAGCCAATCCAAGGTCTTTTCAAATTGATTACGAGTCTCAGTGCTAAAAGTCTCCATGTTGGCCAAGCATCTATGCAAAAGAATAATAATCAGAACTCGCTGTTGCTACATGTTCGTACTGTCAAAGGACTTACTCCTCAGCCAACTTCTTCCAACTCTCTTCACCATAGTCCATGTACCACTGTGGAGCAAGTGTGACGACGCACTCATCACCGCTTCGACTTACGACCAGTCCCTCTGGTTCACAATAAGGGAAAGCAACTCCCTGCTCGATGAGCTGTGCGCGAATGAGTGTTTTCGCCTCTTGAACGGACCTTGCAAATTGAGGTAAACAGATGAGATTGATGCTCGAATCTAGTGCATAGCTCTTCCAAGCTCATGTGTCCAGACAATTCATACATGACCGGTCATGATTACTTACTTTCCGGCAAAGTCTCCAACAATCATGGTCCCTTGGTAGAAACCTTCCTTGTAAACCTCCGCTTTGGCCTCTGCCAGCTGGACTTTGTCCTTTTGGCTATTGATCTTGAGTTTCTTGACAGCTGCTTCAGCAGCTCGGTCTCCATAGTTCGGTGTGCGAATGATGGAAGGAAAGCTGTCAAAGAATGGTTCCACCCACTTTGGCTGCACGTTGTAGTATGCAGCTTTCTTCTTCAAGTCTTGAAGGGTGATATAATCGTCGGGGGAGTCGGAGGGGACTGAAGTAACGACACCGGTACCCTGGACAAAAGTAAGAATCACCCAGGACAAACATCCTACAGAGACTACGCTTTACCTTCGTCACTAGCACACCTTCCATGGGAAGGGTGTACACCTTCTCATATTTGGACAAAGGAGCATTCAGCGGTACGCCGATCAGATCAGACCCCTTCAGCTCGCCAAGCTTTTTGATAACACCAACTTCTTGGAACAACTTTTGGAAGGCCATGTTTCGGGCTGACCGCTCTGTGCAAACCCAGGCCTCCGAGTCGTTAACCGCGTATATGCCGTACGTGATGTCGACACCAACATAACAGTTGGTTTGGCCATACATGGTTTCCGGTCGGAGAGTGGCAGCGACAAGGTACAGTTTCCTGTTGCCAAGAGCCTCCAGGATCTGTGGCGAGGTCAACGCTTTGCCAACTGGTACTCCCTTTACTTCATCGCGCTCCGCCTCAGGAGTATCAATCAGGTCCTTCAGTAACACTTGCAACTTGATTCCCGTGTACTCTTGCACCCCAACACCTTCTCCTGTCGCCCGATCGTGGTCCATGCAAGGCTGACCATCAAGGGGTGAGTAGATGGTATATCTCTCTCCAAATTTGACTTTCGCCGGGTTGGAACTGCGAAGTTTGTTGAATTGCCAGCGAACAAATGAGTCGAAGTATGGATTGATATCAGTTGTGAAGAAAGAACGACGCCAATCGACAGAGAGACCGAAGGCCTTCAGATCTTCAATGGCCATTGGCGGGAAGTAGTAAAGCCAATGCTTACTATCGGCAAAGTTCTTTATTTCTTCATTTGGTATGCCCATGGAGCGCATGATTTGGAATTGGTATTTCAGACCAGTTGATTTGGCGTTCGCTTTTCCATGCTTCTTGGTGATCTTGGTCGGGTCCGTCGGGGCGGCCGCCGCCACCACGGGTTTGGCCTCCTCCTTAGCCTCATCTTCCTCTTTGAATCCCTCAAAATCCGGTCCAAACATATCAATCTCCTTCTTCAGCTTATCCGCACATGCTTTGATAGGCATTCCCGTCACGTGAAATCCGAATGGGAACAAGACTCGCTTGCCCTTCAAACGTTCGTAGCCTGACGCAAATTCAAGCTTTGAGAGGGAAAAGGAATGTCCCAAGTGCAACATGCCATTCATATATGGGAAAGGAAACGTGCCCATGAACTTGGGCGGTACAGGTTCGCCTGGTGCAGGGGCATTCACTTCGAATGGTCTTTCAGAATCCCATTTTTGCTGTGCCCACTCCTCAGCCTTTTGCAGGGCCTCCAGCTTTGCGGTACCCTATATAGCCGATTCAAGCATGTCAGTCTTCCCAGCCGTATAAGAGCGAACCTAACTAGACATTCCAAACCTTTCTCTCTTCCGCGACCGTTACATGACTGGTCGTAGAAGTGACCGTCACTGGGGTCGTATTTGGGGCCATTTTACAATTGATTTGAGCAGCGGTTGCAAGAAAACGTCTGCCTGTGGGTGGCAGGTCGCTCTTAAATGTACGAAGGCAACGGCCAAAAGTGGTTAGCCGGTACAAAACGGCAGAACGTTCGGGCGTGTCGTAGATGCCCAAAAATGTAACTGATCAGCAGCAAGTGGGGACAGCTCTACTCCGTGAGGATTCCGAATTAAAGGCAAGCGAAGACTGGAATCTCAAGGAAGATCACACTGTCATTGGACGAGCTCCTACAATTACCAGCTGCTTTTGGGAAAATCCCATCTTCGACTGCTGTTGCCGTGGTAGCAAGTGACTCATGTCTCGCATGTCTCAGTCACTCAAATGCAGCATTCATTTTGTCCTTTTCGGGATGTAATTGAGGGATGGTCATTTTGGTCTATTGAGATAATGCGTACGATTTACATTGGCAATCCCCGCTACCCATTAATCTAAAACTCAGCAAGCATTTTATGCACTTGTTCGTAATATGCAGGTTGCAAATATTCTTTCAGCTCTTGCTTCGTTAGCCAAGCGAAATCTTGGGCAAACCGCTTGTTGGGTTCGATCTTGCCCGAAAGTATATGTGCTTTCATATAAAATGTCTGCAAAGGATAATGCTGTAAGAGCAGGTTCTCGAGTGGAAATTAAGGTACAACATACCTTCTTGTCTTGTGCAGCGATGTGTCCGACTGGTGTACGTCCGACGACCCAGGTCTCGAGACTGCTCCCTACCTCGCTGTGTAGATGTCGTGTTGCCCCCTGTACCGGGATGACGTTAGCACCTCTACCAAGGGCGCATTCTTGACCAAAGAGGGCCACTGAACAATAAGTGAACAATAACACACCTCATGCAAAACCTCTTCGCCTTCTAAAGGTCCAGCCGGGAATTCCCAACTCCCGTTGTCCGCCTTCTTCACCACCAAATACAAAGTTCGTTCTAATGCTCGGTCCAATGATTTAACATCTCCTCCTTTATCCGCCTCTGTCACCCGTTCCGCCGTTTCCAGGCCTGCTAACTCCTCGTCTCTTGGTTGTACCAACGGCGTTCGCCCACCTTCTAACCGTTCGGCAGCAGCTGCTGCTGCATCTTGGGCATCCAACCACCGCTGCTCAGCAGTACTTCCCTTTTTGAAGTAGAACTCGCGGTGGAAAGGACGAGATTCGGCTTGCTCAAGTGACTCTCGGTATGTGTAGTAGGCATGTTCGAATTCGGTGAGTTTGCGGAGGATGACTGGGTTGCGTTTTAGGAGAATCCCCACATGAATTTTGGACGGTGCTGCAGTAGCAAGGTACCGCTTAGCAAAGTTACATGTTCTTGAGAACGTTTGTCGTGCTTGTATGTGGAGCATTGTGGATTGGAGCATGTGCTGACAACGGAGATCTTACAGTTTCTGCACTTGCCCAAGAGGGTTGTTAGGGTGTTCTTTGACTGTGCCGCTCATTCATGACAACCAGCGTGAGCTGCTGCTGACGAAATCCGATCAGCGGAAAGCCACGCGGTTGACCAACCATGTCATCACCAAAGCTGTTGAAGCCAGAGGATATCGCCACAGCTGTGAGATGGACTCCCCAAGTGTCCTTCGCTCCTTTATCTCAGCCGCGGTGGTTGGGTCTTGCTGAGGCTTCATTTGACGATCCAAGCGGACAGTCACGGAAATGGGAGGTTTGCGAGCGAATACATAAAGGTCCCATTACGGGCAAGGCGAAAGATGTGGATGGTAAATAGCCGGAGGGTCCTTTTCAGCTTGATTTACATGTCTTGAGTCTTTACCTTCTGGGAAATTGTATGAAAGCTGTTGATGTGGTTGCCACAATACGTGCCAGTGCCTCCCAGCAGACGAATGGTTTTCCGACCGAGGATACCATTCTCTTGGTATTGCAATTCAGACCTCCTACCGGCGGCTGGACGTTGGAGTTTCCGTCAGGTGGGGACCACTTTAAATAGCACTCTAGCGGAGCTGGTTGTTGTCTACACGCTGCCGATGTTGATCCTGAGACATGCGGATGCAGGCCTGTTAGATAACGGCGAAACGCCGGAAACGGCCGCGCTCCGAGAACTTCAAGAGGAAACTGGATACACGGGTACTGTAGTGGCTGTTGGTCCGTCTATTACCTATGAGCCGGGGATCACCAGTAGTTGCTCAAAAATGGTAACCGTTGAGGTAACAATCAACAGCTGCGGTCAGTCCCCAGTGTATTTAGATACTAATATCGTTGGGGCAGGTCAACCCGGAAGACCCACTTAACGCAAAGCCTGTTATACGTCGCGATGCAGACGAATGGAGTTTGAACCCAGTCGCACTGCCCGTTAACAAACTTCTTCAGACACTACATAGTAAGAGTCAAGCTTTCTTCATCATCGGGCTTGGATATTAAGTCTATAGTGTCCAGAATTGCAAGAGAGCTGCCCTAATCTTCGTATCGACTCGCGGCTGTACTGTTTTGCAGCTGGATTGCATTTTGCTGGGAGGACTCGATAGCTGCCAATGTGGTCTCCAGAACAGCATGTCCGCTATTCTTATAGTCTGATAAGATCGGCGGAAGAAGTGTTTCCGGAAGTTTCTGCTTGATCGTTTGAATAGAGCTGCATTGGAAGACCGCCATGCGCGGTCAGCGGATATAGATCACAGAAAGGCTGGAAGATAGCGCCGAAAGTGGTTGGCCAAGCATACATCGCTATATAAAGTCGAAAATAACAATGTTATATGTGCATTCCTGTCTTGAAAAGATAACCGATTACAATACCGCCTGTCCTCCTACCCTCTTGGATGGTTTCCTTGCAGTTATCTATCTGCTTATGTAAGATCTCGTCCACGTGCGACTGCTCCCCGGCCTTTCGCCATCTTGTTTCAACATCACGGTGTCTTTTGTAGAGGAACTTGCTTCGATCACCGAGCGCAATCTCTGGTCGAACTCTGGAGAGCTTGTAGACGAATATCAGATAGAATATATATTTCATTCTCGTGCATAAGAATTAGATATGGCTGATAACGGTCGTCAACCTCTCCTGGGGTTCAACCGCCGCATTGACGAAGAAAGCAACATATCCAGTGATAAAGATCGTCGTAGAAAGATCATATTTGGAGTATTTGGTGTATCTTTGATTCTCTTGATTGGCTTTACCTTGGGAGCCACGATTTATGCACGACATGGTTCAAGTGAGTGTACCCGCCGTTTTAGGCCAAGGCCAAGGGCTATTTTTTATCGTTGACCTATTTCTAGGAAATCCAAGCGGAAAGCGCAATGTTATTCTCATGATATCTGATGGTGCGTATACTTGATGCTCGATGCCATCGTATGCCTTTTTTTGATTTCTCCTTGGTTAGGTTTCGGCCCTGCTTCGGAAACTCTAGCCCGTAATTATCATCAATATACCAATAATCTTCCTGTTGGTACACAACTACCGCTGGATACTATTCTTGGTGAGTGATGTCCTTTCTATTTCAAAGAGTACTGGCTGACCTCCTCTGCTCCTATCAGTCGGTTCGTCGCGGACGCGTAGTTCCAATAGTTTGGTCACAGACTCGGCAGCTGGCGCGACAGCGTTTGCGTGTGGATTGAAAACTTATAACGGCGCCATCGCTGTGGTAAGAGGCGTTGCACATAAAATGTCGCCTCAGTCGGATTTTCATACTTTCAACTGTGTAGGATCCTGAATCCAAACCATGTGGTACCGTTCTCGAGGCTGCAAAAGAACAGGGCTATCTAACGGGCTTGGTCGTGACCTCCCGAATTACACATGGTATATTTGTGAATACCTGGGGGAATTCTCTTGCAACCCTGGGACTTGACATTTTGTATAATTTTAGCTACCCCAGCTTGCTTCGCTGCACATGTCGGTAGCAGGGCATCGGAGGTAAGCATTATTTATCTTGACGCATATGCTCTGGGCGTGTTATTCATGATAATCCATGAGAACAGAATGACATTGCTCTTCAAGAAATCGGAAATTACGCACTTGGTCGCAGGGTGGACCTCATGTTTGGAGGCGGCAATTGTCAGTTCAGGCCCAATTCCGATCCTAAAAGCTGTCGCGCGGATGGACTTGATGTATTCTCAATGGCAAAGAATGCTGGATGGAGTGTGCTGGATGATCATCAACATTTTCAGTCATTGAAAGCATCGGACGCTAGGTAAACATTGTGTCCAAATTGTCGCGTCGTTTGAGCATGAATCTGACGTATAGTGAACATTGCAGACTTCCATTAATGAGCTTGTTGGCGGTGGATCACATGCGTATGTTGAAACGTATTGGATTCTCACGCAATTTGTGCTGAGGTTGATTGACTGTCTATAGCCTATGAGATTGATCGCGACCCTGAGAACACGCCGTCGTTGAAAGAAATGGCCGTCAAGGCTTTGGATATCCTTACTCACGCATCTGATAAAGATGCGAAGGGCTTTTTCCTTATGATTGAGGGCAGTCGAATTGACATGGCGGGACACAAGTAGGAACCTTTTTTGCATTTTTTATGATATGCGAGTAAACATATATTGACACATCTCGTATCGCCTTTCTTTAGCAATGATCCAGCTACTCATGTTCGTGAGATCCTTGCATATAATGAGGCCATCGCGGCAGTCAAGGCATACGTGGATGAACACCCTGACACTGTCATGATATCAGTTTCCGACCACGAAACAGGCGGTTTGTCGGTCGGACGACAAGGTGATCCGCGCAAGTATCCCGAATACGCTTGGAAGCCTGACGCTCTGACCGGAGTTAAGAAATCTACCGAAGTGTAAGCAGCAACTACCTGTCCCTGCCTGTCATCATGTTTAGTCATTGGTGACTTGCTGATTTATATTTTGTGCTGTTCTATAGCATCGCTCCAGCAATTGTGGCGAAACAAAATGACACTTCTTTCATAACTGAGACCGTACTGAAAAACTGGATGAACGTGACTGACGCTACTACGGACGAAATCGAAAATCTCACGAAGACCACCTCTGTCGGTGACCTTACCAATGCCCTCGGGGACATTCTGAGCAAAAGGGCCCAGTTGGGATGGTATGTAGAACGGCGATCGGGTTCATATTTGATCTATAGTTTTGCTGATGAACGTTACGATTAGGGCTACCCATGGACATTCTGCCGTTGACGTTAACCTGGTAAGCTCACAGCAGAAAGAACCAATTATATCCTCGCGGTTCTAAAGGCGAGGTTAATTCCTACAGTATGCCTACGGTTTAAATGCGGCTAGACTCGCCGGCAATCATGAGAATACAGAGATCAGCGATTTCATTGTCAGGCAATTGGGTCTAAATCTTGAGGCCATCACCATCAAATTGAGAAGGTATTGTGCAGTATGCCTCGCTCCCTCCCTATCGCATGCTAATGCCGCTTGTTTTCGGAAGCCAAAACATTGGACAAGCATCTGTACGGCATGAAACGGGACCCTTGAAGATTAGACATTATCATACGGACTGAAGCTTGTAGATGACCAAGTTAGATTATCTTTCACATCGGACTTGTAGCTTACTCATCATAATATATTTTAAAGACGCATGAAACAGGATGTAGCCAACGTGTGGCCAATAAATATGATCTAATTACAAATGACATTCCCTCACGCAGGAGGGAAGTTTGGTGGAGGTTCGGTTCGCAGCTGCGAGAAATATTGTATAAAATCAGGGCCAATCAAAGCAGTAGCATTTTCAGTGGACGGACGTTCGTACCTCCCAAACGGCCCGTGACGGTCTCTCATTTATCTTTTTATCATACTTTGTTTCTTCCCTTTCTCGGATCAAGCGCTATCAAAAGACCACTGGAATTCAGCACCGCACTAGCTAAATCCCTGACCAAGTGTCCTACCTCTGCCTCCTTTCGGTTCTTTCCCTTCATTCGCAAACAGAAATTGAATTCCTCTCGCGCTTCAGAGCAGTCTCTCCAACTTCCATATCTGTAATAGTGCTTGACCTGAGGTAGTACGGCTATAAACGAAGGTGTGATTGGTATACACTCCCATTCCAGCGTACAGAAAATCAACGACTCTTACTATAACACAACTGCATCTTATCAAAGGCAGCCCAAACGCTGCAAGTATATTTCTTTGACTCATCGGCCTGAACAGTCGTCGAGTCAACGGAAGTGGCGCTTGAAGCCGGCGAGTCGATCTGGGTCGTCATTTGTGATTTGCGAATTGAACTCGTCGTTCTGGTGAAGTTTTGGGCAGAGGTGACTCACTCCTGCTGAGCACGTGACTTTCCAAGTTTTGGAGGAACTTGGACTCGCTTTCATTCATTTGAACTATGGGTCGCAAGCAAACAACACAGCATGTCCTTGAGGAATTGCCTGTACCAGGCGATGGACAATGCGTAGCCAAAGTTGTAGAAAACAGAGGAGGTGGCAACTACGTAGTTCAAGTACCGGCGGAAGTGAATTGGACGGATGAACCCACATTGTTAGTCTCACTACCGTCGAAATTCAGAAAGCTGATCTGGGTCAAACGAGGTAAGGCCCTTAGGTTTGAAGCAGTTAGGGAGACCGGCAATTATGAATACATGCTAACAAATCTATTCTAGGCAGTTTTGTCATAATACAAAGGGAGGAAGGCAAGACAAAGATTGCGGGAGAAATTGTCCATGTCCTATTTCTTGATCATATAAAACACCTGAAAGCCCAAGGAATATGGTACTGTTCCAAGTGTAGAGCGCTTTTGGGAAATTTAGTAAGCTTCCTATAATTTAACTTGAATATTGTCGCTCCTTAGGCCTGCCGAATTTGAACCGAATCCTCCGAGTGCCAAAGATGGGGAGAGTGATGAGAGCCAATCCGATGATGAGGAAAATGATGATGATCTGTTTGTGAATCCAAACCGACAGTATGATGAAGATGACGATGATGACGATGACGAGTAAAGGATGGATTGGAGTTTTCTGGACTTGTTAAAACGACAGCGTCCCCCACAACCCATATCGACCACCCTGCAGTAGCATTACTCGGGACGGAGAAGTACAATGGGGCTGGTGCCATCTGAACGCGGTCGCATGTAAAGGATAAAGGATAGATTCAGGCCTGTTCCTACGGATGTTGCCTATTAGATGACTTGAGGTCATTAACGCATATAGTAATTTATTATCCCTTCAATGATATTGCATAATTGCATACTTTCACGTTCAGGTTACTCAGTGGACATTGACTTTGACAATGATGGAGCCTGCCATTGAGTACGACAGTCAGTCTCTCACTAACCAAATATGGACGCAGCTAATGTCAAGAAAGGATTGGCACTTGTCAACAGGCAGCCGCACTTTCCAATAGCTGGTCGCTAAATTTCGAAAATTTCAACCAGTTGGCAAAAAAGAGGGCCGTCACAAACCTACAAATTTAAACTTTAAAGAACATACATCGAGTCGTGGAATGTGCACAACAAGACTGGGCAAGAGTGACCGTCCATATACCAAGCAGTCTGTAGATTAGAAGTCTAGCAAAAGTTGAACAATTCGCCCATATAGGCATGAATGATGGAACCTGCGATGACGGTATATAACATGCTTTCAGGAAGCACAGTACCGTTTCATAGCATGCACTTCGCACCAAAGACCACATACACTTTTGGTAAGCGTAAAGTTCTGAGACTCAAAAGCCCCAAACGAACGAGAGCAGGGAAAGGTTTAACTTGCACTTGGTCTTAGCCACGTCGCGTTGGCAATCCAAACTATGCATTAGCCTCTCAACAGCCCACTGTACTAAAAATCACCATCACATTTGCACTAGGACTACCAACATCGTCTGCAGGATCTGTACCTTCCTAGTAGTGGGCTGGGCGGAACAGATAGACACATTGCTCGGTGTGATAACGTGCAATTCAAGCGACCAGAAAAGCCTTTCCAAATAGTGTTGAATCTGGGTCGTACTTTCTGTGCAAGTCGTCCGCGCACCGTCAACATACTCTGCCTTGCCCATGGCTCGACTAACTTCCTCGACAGGAGAAATATCGCTCTCCACGTTTGACCCTGTTGATAAAGCCAGAGTGCTGGTTGTTGGGGACCCTGGTGGGTGTTCCTTTCAAGCATTCGCGCCAACTGCCTCTCTCGGCTGACGAAGGCAAAACCTGACAAGGCGTGGGGAAAACTAGCTTGGTACACCTTATCTGTCACGGAACACCGCTTCGCTCACCAGTACACACTGTAGGATGCTCCGTGGATGTGAAGGTGCGAGTGTGTGCATGTAGACGAGGACTTTTGGTGTATGGCTGACGCAAGATGGGTATGCCAGATCCCAAGAGTATTCTCGCACCAACCGAAGCTATTTCATTGAGTTTGTGGATGTTGCGGGGTCTTCAAAACAACGCAGCTCACGATCAATATTTTATGCAAACGTGAATGGCATTATCTTGGTGCACGATTCATCCAACCGCAAATCGTACCAGAACTTGTGGAAGTGGATTGCTGAAGTCTTCAATACAGGATCCTTCAAGGGATCAACCAGCTCGCCGATAGGGAGAGACCCGCCAAGTCTTGGACGCAGCACAGGTATGCAGGCACACGCATTGTACGGCTATCGGTGATTTTGACACTGGGTTATCGGTTGATGCTCTAGAGTTCGACGTGGATGTGAGAGTGGGAGAGGCGAGACCGAGCATACCAATTCTTGTGGTGGGAACAAAGGCAGATTTGGTTAGCGATGCAACACACAAGCGGCGTAGCAGTATTGCAGAAGAATATGGAGGGGATTGCATTGTGCTGGTAAGTGATCTGAGCATGTCTGATGCGCGATTGCCGACAACCTGTTCTTCTAACGCCATTAACATGATCCGCGCCATCAGTCAGCAAATCAACCTTTGGCGTTCTCCGCAACTGCTGACCGTATCGATGCGTTCCTTACAAATGTCATTGAAACCAAGCTGACCACATCGACTCCCTTATCTGGAGGTCATTCGATGGGAAGCCTTAATAGCCTATCCGTCCAAGGATCAAACGGTGGATTCAGTGGGGGAGGGAACCAACTTGGTCCGGGGTTGGGGTTTCCGAGTACTATCTCACCAGAAATGCAGCGACGACGCATACCGCAATCAGGACTGTTTGGTGGACGACCAACCAGCCCAAACCGAACGTCGATTAGCGGCGGATCACAGTTGGGTGGTTATAACGATATTTGGCGGTCAAAGAGTTGGGGGGAGAATATTGGAAGAGGAAGAGGCAGCCGATAATGTGCTGGATCTTTTTGTCAAATATTGATTGCAGAACAAGTATGTTAGATCATGGTCCTTATGATAGCTCTCAGAACATGAAGTCTCGCTTCTTATGGAGGGAAGAACGTCGCAAGATTCCGTGGTGCGCTACTACCGCATCGATGAACTAGATGGCTTTCAGAGGCAAGCGCCTGGCGTATACCACAATACTGGTCCATTTTTCGAGTCCATGATTGGAATCGCTGCCAGTTTATAATCAGCCTGGGTGGCTTGATGGGCAGCGACCAGTTTCCGTCCTTGGGTCATCAAAGTTGTACGAGAGTATAAGGATTATCCAGACATCGACTATACAGTTTTCCTTTACGATGTCCTTTAGTTTCAATCTGTTTGACCCATTTTTATCGACAATCTTTCGTGGCGACCAAGCACCTAGGTGCGTTTCTCATGCTGACCTGCAAGTTCCCTCGCCGCAGATGGTGGCGAGGTGTTTCACTAAGGGGAGACCCTCAGATATTCCCAAAGGCTCGTTGCGCTTGCGAGTCAGCCCCGGCCACATAGTTAGTATGTAAAGTATGTCACCAAAAATTAGGGTTGACCTGTTGAGGGCTGATTATTCCATGTCTACAAATTAGGCTTCACACTATTTTAAAGTTGTTGCTTGTCCGAACTTGTGCTTACCAAGCGCATGTACACTTTTATAGTCACATGAACAAAACTAGTTTCGTAGGTGCAAGCTGTTAGCACCAATCACAACCTGGAAGGATTGGGCGAAAAGCCAGTACCGGCATGAAGCAGTTTCCATCAACTTGAAGGTTGTTGTGATTGGCTGACGCTAGTAAAGGTCAACAAAGATTGGATGGTTCAATCAAAGGGAGAAACAATTTTCATTGCAGTATCACATATCACACGATGCTGTGAAATCGGATGTAACGAAAAAGGTTTGGTCACTTTCAAAGGAAGGAATGAACCGCACAGGAAAAGATGACAAGGTGAAAACCACAAAATATGACAATGGAAAACGGCATTGTGTGCTTCACGGAAACCCAAAGCGTTACCTCTCGCGGATTCCCCAGCAGTGACGCCTAGCTAAGCCACCATGTGATGCGAAAAAAGCGGTCCAAAGTTGCTGCAATGGTCACCTTTTGTTGAAAAAGGTTGAACAGCAACCAACCGTAGATCGGTCTTTGTCAGGAGAGAAGGGGCGGGGTTTGCTTTCCTTTTTGCCTTTTGCCTTCTTCTCCGCAGACGGCAGTATACTTACTCTGGTCAACGGGCGGGGAGATGGAAATTGACTTTCTGTCCAAAAAGTGTGCCATTTTCCATAAAGAGCTTTTCGCCCGCATGTTCGCGTGAAATCTTGCCAGACTTGCAATCTTTTTGTCTTTTCCGCCTGTTAGCAGAGTCCTTTATGAGCGTTGGGCGACTATTCATGGGGGAAAGCTATTCTCTGTAAACAACAAATGCAGCTTTATACCTTCTTGCTAAACCAAAGAAAATAACCAGAGTCCTTTTTCAGGCTGCGCAATACAGCGAGGTATCAACTGCAAAAAGTTTTTTCAGATGCCAGATTTCCATCATGTCTAGGAAACGTCATATAAAATGGCCTCTCCTCCTGCACCCTTGTTGCTGGCGAGAACCTCCCCGCTACCCCTCCCACTCATAGACTTATAATAATAGACTTTATAATAGACATTAATTGACCTCTCTATTTTTCATAATGAAATTCCTTAGCCTCCTCGTAGGAGCGCTGGCACTCGGCCAAGTGTCCGCTGCTCCCGCGCACATCAAACGGGCCCAACCTACGGATCTTGCCGAAGCTCCTGTAGCCAACCCAATCCCATTCGCAAATCTTCCTTATGCTTTCGGCAAGCAGCCTCCCGTACCGCGCCCCACATACCCATCGGGCAAACCGGTCCCCGTTCCGACAAAACCTGTCCCTTCTCCAACCAAAACTAGTACTCCACCTACAACTACTTCCGTAATTACCAAGCCTACCGAAAGTCCCCAGGCATGCAAGGCCAAACTCGAGCTGTTGTTCAAGGTAATAAACCGTTACCTTGTCTTGAAACAGATTCATGGTACTAATCATGCTGTAGGAGGAACACTCTTTGAGCCTTGACATTAAGCTTCGCATTGTCGACTTCATCAAGGCTGTCAAGGCGATCAAGATCGATTTTGAGTTTGAGGTAGATTACTAAATGTCTGACTCTGAACACCTCTTCCCTATTCTAATTTACCATACCTCAGAAATTCTTCGAGCTTATCGTCAAGAAGGAATTCAAGGGAGACGAAACCGACATTGACGTGGTTCTCAGGTAAATCGGGTAACCCACCATGTACGCGCTAGGATTCAGATTTCTCAACTGTATCACCATAGCATCTTCAAGGAACTCAAGGTTGAAATCGACCTTCCCCAAGCCAAGAAGCTCCTTGGCATCCTTGTCGTCAGCGCCGACATCAAAAAGCAACTGCACGTCCTTTTCGAGATCCGCCAGACTCTCATCTCTTGCGGTATTCAAACTGGTTGGAAGTTTATCTTGGATATTTACAAGAAGGTTATCTTTGATCTCGAACTCGCTATCGAGGTGTGTATTCACATGCGTCTCATTGGCACATTTGACTGTGAAACTGACCTCCCATATATCAAAGTGGTTCCACAACGAATGTAGCAAATTCAACAAACTCTTTGCTATCGACATTGAAGCTTTTTTCAAACTTGTCTTGGAGATCAAAGCAGGTATGTATCTCGCTGAGCTTGAAAGATTGCCAGACATCCGAGACTCACTAGACTTTTGAATCCAGACTTCAACTTTCATGATTTCTTCGCGCGCCTCATTGTCAAAAAGGAAATCACATTTGCCATCATTATTGAAACTTTTAAAGAATGCGGCATCACACAGGAACTGCACGTTCGCCAGATTCTCATCAAATTTGCCGGCGATGTAGAGTTGGCTGTCAGCATTTTTGGAAAGCTCGTTGCAGTAAGTCACGTTGTTTTGTAGTCAACATGGGGATTCCGATTAAAGTGCTGTCTGTCTTTAAAAGTCGATCAAGGCGGTTGGCGTTGATGTCTTTCTGAAGATTTCCCAGCGCTTTGCCTTCAAACTTCAAGTTGCTGTAAAGGAGGTCGTGCAATGGTTCCACAGCATCCACTCTGGTATCCAGTTGCAAGCATTCATTGTCGTAAGTGGGCATGTATATTCTTACCATTAGCGGTGCGAACGTAGTCTAATCTTGCCTTTTGTGCAGTACTGCCAATCTCTCAAATTTGACTTTGATGTCAAGCTCTTCCTTGAAAAGATGCTGCAACACAAGGGCGTCTTTGATGAAGCCGCTCTTTTGAAGATTTTTGTCGAGCTTGGCATCCAGATTGACGTCAGCATTCTGCGAAAGATTGTAGTCGTTTTGAACAAGGGACAGTTTGATCTCGACATTTTCGGAAAGTGGGTATTCATCTTCAACTGGATCGACAAGGTTGACGACTTTTTCGGCGTCTGGGTCAGCGGCATCGAAAAGTTCGTCCTCAAGGTTGGAACTTTGGTCGACGTGACCGTCGACAACTTCAAGTCTATTCTGGTAGAGCTCCCGCTTGCGCTCTCTATCCAGTTGAAGAAGTGGCATTTCGCCGAATTTGTTCTTGAGATCCGCAAACTTCACCCTGGCTTTGACTTGCGCATCTTTTTTGAAAACTGGAAGAAGATTGAGCACCGATTCGATTTTGGAGCTTTCCACAATTTGTTGAAAGTCACACTTGGAATTGATATTGACATCAACGTTTCCGTGCGATTGTTCGAGGTGTTGTGCGGTGGCAAGAACTATGATATCAAGAGTGCTGTAGCCAACTTTGAACTGATCCGCAAGGGCTTGAACAAACCGCTCAACAAAAACTACAGTACGTATTGACGATTCACTTTTGTCTTTTTTCCCTCGTGCTGATCCCGTTGTTTCCTTTGTAGACTTTGCCAAACAGTTGGGCTTCTAGATGCTTGTGTGTGTGTGTGTGTGTTGTGTTTGCTGTGTAGTTCGAATATACTTCTATGCTCCTTTTCTTGTTGTTGCTGTGGTGTGTTTTTGTTTTTTGGGTTTTGAAGGGTCAATAATATAAAGATAGCGTTAAGGTTCATTCCGTTTTGCTGAGGGTTTATTTTGGGCTGAATTTCATCTGTCGATTAAGGCATGTGGCACATGAAAGGGGCTTTCTCGCTTCTCTTGAACGTGGCCCGCATTCTTTAAACTACGCACCCCCTCGGGTTTTCCCCCATTTTTAAACCCAAATTCCTTCTTGTCCTTTAGCAAACTTACTCTCAAATGGTCAAGCAACAGTTGATGTTTACGGTCGAAGTTCCGGGCTCACCGGAAGTGGCAGGCGAGGGCAAGGTATGGGCATATTCATCACGCTTTTGTATTAGCATCTGAACGTGGATTGCGGGCAATGTGTAGCCGCGTCGACATTTTCTTCACGCAGACAAACCGTTCGTTGGATGCCCTCCCGAAGCTAGCAACCTCCACGAGAACCTGTTGAGAGGCGTCAAGCTAAGCGGTAGTCTTGTTGGACCTCCTTTACCGATTGGCAATGCAGCCATTTTAAAGCACCGTGTTGCTCTACAGGTGACTCGCCTTATTTGGGCAGCCGGCCAGTGACAAATGGCGTTCCGGGCCCTTACGTTTGGTATGCAATGCCGTGGTTTCGCCCTCCAAATGCGTCCTGATCACTCTCTATGACAGGCAAACATACAATGAAGTACTCAAGCGAGTCAAGAATCTCGGGTGCGTGTGAGCAAATATGCTCTCTACAGACCTTATGTACTCATGTACCTTTTGTCACTCACCCAGGTCCGGCTTTGCCCATCGCGATCTAGGAGTGGATTCCGCCGTGGGTCTGTTTTCGATTAACCGTCCAGAATGGGTGTGTACAGTCGATTGGCAATACGAAAATGGGATTTTTGCTAATGTTCCTATCAAGATCATTGCCGAACACGCCTGCTTCCTCCACAGCTGCATAACCGTCCCCCTCTACGATACCTTGGGCGCTGACGCCATTGAATTCATTGTGAATCAAAGCGAACTTGGACTTGTTGTTGCAACAAAAGACAAAGCAAAGATCCTTCTCGACATCAAAGAACGTCTCCCGACCTTGAAACATCTCGTTATTATGGACACACCCGACGAGGAGCTCATCGCTAAGGGCAAGGGTTTGGACGTTGAGGTTATTTCTATCATTGATCTGGAGCGGGAGGGAGCCGAGAAGCCAAAAGAGGGAACACTACCGACTAAAGATACTATCGCGACGATTTGCTACACCAGTGGTACTACCGGTCTGCCCAAAGGTGTAATGCTGTCGCACGAAAACCTGCTATCTTTCACCGCCGCGACACGAAGCCTAGTCGACAGCAACAGTGTGTGCAACTACAATAAAGATGATTGCTATATTTCATACCTTCCCTTGGCACACGTCTTCGAACGTATTGTGCAAGTTTGCCTCACTTGGGCTGGGGCGCGCATTGGATTCTACCAAGGCGACACCTTGAAGCTTTTGGACGACGTGGCTGAACTGAAGCCGACCATCTTTGCCTCCGTTCCTCGTCTGTACAACCGAATCTACGATAAAGTTCTACAGGGGGTGAAAGCAAAAGGAGGCATTGGTGCAATGCTTTTCAAAAAGGCGTTTGCGGCCAAGAAGGCTTACCTTGCTTCAGGCCACACGAATCACATGCTTTGGGACAATCTGGTATTCAGTAAAGTGCGGGCCAGGCTTGGTGGCAGGGTGAGGCTCATGCTCACCGGTGCTGCGCCCATCTCCGCCGACGTCATGGACTTTTTGCGTATTTGCTTTTCTGCGATGGTGATTGAAGGTTACGGTCAAACTGAAACCAGTGGTCAGTATATGATCAATATACGGTCAACATATGCACGTAGCACTAACTTTTGACATATTACAGGAGGTGCTTCAGTGACTGATGGACGTGACTTGTCATCTGGCCACATTGGGGGTCCCGCACCCCATTGCGAAATCAAGCTCATCGATGTACCTGAAATGGGTTACACCTCAAAGGATGAGCCTCACCCACGTGGGGAGATCTGTATTCGGGGTACAAACGTCTTCAAGGGGTATGTGATGCTCTTTGAACCGCGTCGAAGCAAAGGCCTAATCAATTGGAAACCTCCGTATCAACAGCTACTACAAGAATCCGGAAAAGACTGGTAAGCAGTGATGTCATGCGTTGTCACTCGTTCGACACTGAGACTCCTTGTACTATAGCGGAGACATTGGACAAGGACGGATGGTGCCATACTGGAGATGTTGGCCGATGGGATAGTCAGGGAAGACTGCAAATCATTGATCGCGTCAAAAAGTAAGACCAAGGCCGGAATTATTGGTTGGATTTCAAGCACATCTGATGCAATTGCTTGCAGCATTTTCAAACTCGCTCAAGGAGAATACATTGCACCTGAAAAGTATTTATCGCAGTTGATGGAATAGATTATACTTACATTCTCACTAACCGTGTTTTGGGGTTGTTCTTTACTCAGGATTGAATTGGTGGTATGTGCAGCAACATATTGTTCTCCAGTTTCTTGATCGATATTCACTGTCCTTTCGCCCCCGATTCAGTACCAGAAGCACGAAATTGTTGCGCAGTCGTTCGTATATGGTGACAGTTTGCAGGCGACATTAGTGGCCATCATTGGTAAATTTACAGTGGTTTCCACAACTTCTCAGTTCCCACTGTATCTTAATGGTCTGATTATAGTGCCTGACGAAGACGTGATCAAACAGTGGGTCATTTCAAAGGGGCTTCCGAGCAAGCCACTCGCCGAGTTGTGCCAAGACCAGGCCGTTCGAAAAGCTGTGCTGAAAGAACTGGAAGACTACGGCCGTGCCGAAGGTCTGAAAGGATTTGAAAATGTCAAGAATATATATCTGGAGCCCAATCAGTTCACACCTGAGAGTGGGTTAATGACTCCAACGTTCAAGCTTAAGGTAAATGAGGGTCACATCAGTCCATCACAATTTTATGCTTATGGAAATCCTTCCGTTACCTATAACCATAGCGTCATGAGGCCAAGGTTTGTTCACATTGTATAGGCAGCATTCCAATATGATTACAATGCTGACTTTGACTCCCTCTCTAGAAATACTACCAAAAGCAGATTGACGAAATGTACGCGGCGATAAGCTCCTAGATACGGAAAAAGTTAATTCTCCTGGGGTAGAATCTATATATATATGGGCTCTGGGGTTTGGAGGATCCAAGATTATTTTTTCGAAGAAGTTGAAGTTATTCTGTGTTGATTTATCTGTACGAAAAGACTAGGGTTTTCAAAGAATATGAGTGTGGTTTCCTAATTTCCAACTATCACGTGTGAAAATAATGGAGCTGCACAGCCACCTAATGCAAGCAAATGGTGGTAACACTTGTTCGCCTTGCATGTTGAAAAACAATCTACTGGCAATCACGTTGTCACAATGGTTTTCAAATACATTGTAGAGCACATGGAACCAGAGCTGGACGAGTGGTCAGAGGTGCGTATCTTTTTTTTGTTTGCATTTGCTTTTTGTCAATCTTTATCAAATTACGCCTTTCCAGCTCGAATATGCAAACATTCTCCAAAAAGTTGGTCAAAACCGTCTCTACCTCACCCATGTCCATCCCGACCTCCTTGCCCGCCTTCCCGAGCGCATCGGTCCAAATTCAGGAATCATTAGCACAACCAAAGCCGTTTTGGAATTGGATGAGGTGGATCCTGCCAAAGTGATCTTGTTGGATCCGTCAGCGACCCAGCCTTTAGAACCAAGTGATGGAGAAAACTTTAAGTGGCTATTGTTTGGTGGGATTTTGGTATGTGTAATTTAAAGTTTCGTATTCTCGTATTGGTGGGGTCTTATTGCTTGGGTGTTAGGGTGACGACCCACCACAAGACCGAACCAAAGAACTCCGTAAACTCGGGTTTACGACCCGTCATCTGGGCCCTGTGCAAATGACAACTGATACGGCCGTCATCGTCGCCAAGCACGTCATTGAAGGCAAGACTCCGTTGGACAAGTTGGAATATGTCGATCGTCCAGAGATACGATTGGGGAAGAAGGAGACGGTCGAGTTGCCGTTTCGGTATTTGGTCAAGGAGGGGAAGCCGCAGTTGCCCAATGGGTTGCTAGAGTTGCTGAAAAAAAGCAACGAGATCTCGTTGGTGTGAGACGTCCAGCACGTTTCAACGTACGAGGTGGACACCCATATTTAAAACCCCATCAATTATAGACTTTTACACACATCATTACTTTTTATATTGAGGGTGATTATTTACATCTTGTCAATCAACTCAGTATCATCTGCCAAATACCAGTGCTGCTATGTCTTGATCCAAATAAATGAAAGTATTTCCAAAAAAAAACAAAAAACATGGAAGAAATTTGACGACCGCAAGAGAACGCGAGGGATCTCTCATCACGATCACCATTCGCTCTCTTCTTCAAAGGCAGATCGTAGTACTCGAATCAATGGCTCACGAGCAGCATTTTGTTCGTAGGAAGCAGGTAGATCCAAACGTGCGGGCGACGAGAGTGGAAGATGATCACTTTGCGATGGGTGGGTATGACCGCGGGAATATGTACTTATCGCCGGCGGAAATCTTTGTTCGTGAGGAATGTAAGTGCGTATATCAGGAAGCACAAGATGACGGGGTTTCTGGGGAATCGGAGCGTTGGGCGGAGAGTATGGCGGTGATTGATATGTAACTGACCCAGTCAGCATGCTGTTACGGGACGGGGTAGGAGAAGGTGCATTCCACCGAGGTGAACGTGCATGTAGTCGTGGTGAGCTATCGTGACGAGATTTGTAAGATGAGCGACCGTATGGATGAAAATGACGTGGTGATGATTGAAGATGGGAATAATGGCCAGTACTGCGGCGATATCCCAGTGTATCTCCTGTTGAGCACACTGAGGCACTGGACGAATGCCAAGATGCGCCGCGTTTCATGGATATGCAGGCGGACAGAGGGGGAGGCGAAAAACTATCGCGAAAGTCAAACGGCAAAGATGAAGACAGGGGCTCGGCAATGTAACGGGGTTCGAGACAAGGTGGCGGAGATGAAAAGTGTTGTTCGGGGAATGCAGGACCCACCCGTTGCTGACTATACTCAGACTCACGGGGCGCAAACTCGTACGGGACGTTAGGGGCCAGAGGATGGCCGCGGGGAAGGGCGACTGAATAAACATTCTCCGCAGGAGGAGGAACAATGCCTTTTCCAGGCACATGATGGGGACCACTCATGCTCCGGTCAGTATGAACACTGTCCGCATTCTTTGGTCTGTCAGGCGTTGTTGGAAATACTGACGATTGCGAATGCTGACCCGGTCTCGGTGGACTGGGGCGTGTGTCATCTCTACGGTCGCCAGGAACCGATGAGTTTTGCCGGTCAATGAGGATGCGATCAACGGTGTCCGGAGAGTTCACAACCTCTAATAGTCGATCGCCACAGTACTGGAGTTCCTCGATGCCGACGCTCAAATTGAAGTCGTTCAACATCAAGAATTCCACTTCCAGTTGATTCAGCTCGTGAACGGGAAGGCCGCCGACCCCTACGATACAAAGAGAGATTAGCTCCTTGAACTCAAGTCCCTTCAATACTCAAGTCCTATTCTTACGTGACATGTGCAGGTTCGTGAAGAAAACATCACTCAGAAACTTCACAGCAACCATAATTCCAGCAATCATGAGCCTATGCACATTGTACGAGTCAACGACCACGACATCCATGGGTGGGACAGGTCGCCTTCTCTGTTCTTCCGCAATCTTTTCTTCACATATTGAGCGACCACGAAACCCGGCAGTCAGAATTCGACGCGACGGGTCTCCCATCCGCTCCAGGTATATCAGCACCGCCAGGAAGCATTCGTTCCCACACGGAGCATACTTGAGAATCCGAGAGGCATATCCAAGGATGTCGATGCTAGGAATCGTGCGAGCGTGGAACCGGGTGAGATGTTGCCTTCCTGGAACTCCATCGTTTGCTGTGGCCAACCGGCTGAGGTGAGTAGAAACTAGACGGACAGTTTCTTGCACCGGGGTGTTTAGTAAATCAAACGGCGGCATGCTTCCGCTCAGGCCCACTTTGACAAAGGGGAAGAGCCGGTTTTCAACCGTGTGTTATTCTGCGTAGGAAGAGCTGTCCTGAACAGAAAGCAGCGGGGGGTTCACGGGGGGGGGAGCGTGATGGAAAGTTGGGGGGATGAGCGCGGGAAGAAAGCTTCGTTCGCAAGTGTGATTTTCCCTTCTGGCCCAAACCCTCAAAAGGCCCGTGATATTTTTGTCTTTCAAACAAGGCAAAAGGCTGTGCGGGTCATCCCCATGGCATAGTCATGTTAAGCAGTGGCATGGTCATGTAAACAGAGGCACAGCCATACTTGACACCCCAATACAAAACCTTGAGTCAAAAAGGGAATTGGAAGCATCTGGAAATCATTTCTCTCCCAACGATTTCAGGCATGATCGCGCGCATACAACGAGGAGGGTCTGCCTCCCGGTTGAACACTCTCACACTCCGTCCTCCGTCGTCTCCGACGTTGTTTATATCACGATTACCACTCCGGCGCCTTGAAAGCACGGTATCAAATACCCCACCTTCCTACCCGGCACCCCTCCCTACCCACACACCAGCACCGCGCGCAACAGGCCTGCGACTAATTGCTCGTCGATCAAGAGAAGGGTTTGCGTTTGTTTTGCGATTCAAACGTACCCTATTGGAACTATTCCTTTGGATGATATGTGGGAGTTTGGCGTTGGAGTTGAAGTGGATGCGTAGAGATTTTGAAGAGTACAAAGAAACCGTAGGAGTGAAGCGGCGTAAATTGGAGGCTGAATTGCGGGAACTAAGGCGGGAGTGTGGACTGGTGGATGCAAGTGACGACAAGGTGACTGAGGTCACCAAAAGTGTAGCCCAGGATAAATCTTTACCTGTCCGAACGACGGAGGCACAAGCACCATCAAGAAGACCAGCAATCTATTGAGAAATACGCCAATTCAGACATCTTATTTATAATACATGATATATTTTGCATTTGACAAGGCACCACAGCATAAATCCGATGCACGGCCTTTGTAAGGATTGGTAATCTAAAGTTTACGTCGGAACGTGTGCTCATCCCAACACAGTGACCCAATGTGGCAAGTTGGGCATTTGAACATACGAAGCCGTCCCCTCCTTCACACCGGCACTCGCCACACCCTTTTTGTCCTCTGTACCGCTATGTGGTGGGTCGATGCTAATGTTCATCTGCCATCGGTTCACATTATATACTCCAGGTCGCCGAAAGCACGCGGTAAATGTCACGGACGTTTCTTCTTCGGGTTGCAAGCGCCCCTCCGAACAAGTTGCCCCAAGCCAGTAAAATCCTGGTGCGTCTAAAGCGGGGATATCCGTTTGGCCCACCACAGTCCTGATAATATCAAGGTTGTCAGGTCGCTGGCTCATGCCAAGATGTATATTGCATAGAGTGACTTACGTGTCGGGTATCGCGGTCTGAAGAGTGAAATTAGCCACATTGGCCCATGCCGTATTACGAATTGTAAGCGTAATTGGAACGGAGCATATCCTAAAGAAAGCAGACACGGAACATCAGTTCTTGATGTAGATCACGCCCTTGATCGGACAAACACACGCACTCCTGCTTTCCAAAATCATGCCTATATTCCAGCTCGCTCTTCAGAATAACCCTCAAAGGGCTGACATCTTTTCCTCTCGGCTTCAGGAGACTGGTGATCAAAGCCCTTTTCTCGCGCACTGTCGTCTCGAACAGTGCTCTACCAGCAGCGGCCTTAGCGGCTGCAGCGAGAGGTTCTAACCCAGCCTGTAACCCTTGCAAAGGCGCCTGAAGACCAAGGTTGATACCCATGATGTAATGGTGTCCACACTTTGTTCCGTCAGAGGTCTCCCAGATTAACGACAAGTCCACATCATCCGTAAAATATAATGTGAACAGGTGTCTGAGTTGTGAAAGTGTAAGGCCCGGATATTGAGCTAGGAGTTGGCTCACCCGCCATTGTAGACGGGAGTTCAACGACAATCCTCTGAAAGGAACGGTATCACATGATAATACATTATGAGTGGGTGACTAGAAAAGAGAGTAAGCGAAATGTTATTGGCGATCGAGATAGAAGCCAGATATTACTTTACCAGTGCCAAGTTGGACAATCGCAAGGTCAGGTCTGGGGCGTCGAGGTTTACTGGGGACTCTCCGAGAAGTAGACTTTCAATGGCGCGCATTGTGATCCTTTCCGGGACCTTGGCCAAGTTTGTTGGCTCTAGAGGCCCAGTAGCTTTCGTGAATCGAAGATACTTGAACCGGGTTTGCTGTGCCTGTAGCTTGGAGTCCTCTTCAACTGGTAACCTAAGCGTAGACTGGCATTTAAAAAGAGAGGAGATCCCATCGCGGAAATGACGATCAAACGAACCGGTCATCAATCGGCCGTATGATCCATGTGGGGCTCATGGATGTTATCTGCTTCAAAACCAGTTCGCCCTCCCCGTGCAGATTCTCAATCTAAGTTACGTGCCGACTGAGTGCCAAGTAGACCTAGCGCCTCTCTGAACAACACCAACCTCGACCCCCAGGATAAACTCATCCAAAACACGTCCACTCGGCCGCGTAAATGCATTCATGCGCACAGACGGCAGGATATTGGTTGCCATACTAATTCGCAAGGTTCGGCAGCCTACTTTGTCACTCTTATCCTGCACCAACATGGTCACAATCCTGAAATTGAAAAACTACAAAGTAGACATTATGGTACACACACCTCAGACTGATAACCAAAGAGGAATCTGAAATTTTGTTTGCCAACTTTGTCACCTCGAATCCACAATGGAATAATGGTTGTCGTTCCCGGTGCCAAAACCCCATCAATGTCTTGATCAGGGCGGTCGGAAGCAGGTAACTTGATGGGGATGGTACCCAAGTTGGACAAAAGATTCCGAATCTTTAGAGATTCACAAGTGTTGGTGCCATTATCGGTGGGTACTGCAAGATGACAGAACGGTTAGTATATGACGAGCTTCGTGCCTCACATTCAGCATACCATACGACGGACAATCCATAGCGTCACTTTCACCAACACAGAAAAAGGTTGGGTGGCTTGTTTTGAGTTGCAAGTTTCGGAGTCCGCGATTCCCTTTGTTGTTAATCTCGAGGACAGCGCGAACAACTTCGCCAGATAGCATGGAAATTGGAAACGAATGTAAGATCACATCAAGGACAGGCATTGGAGATGTGACGGTGAGAGTCAGCTGGGAAACGGGATCATTCTTTCCCGGACGTGATGCGGGGAATGTGTAGCAGGAGGGTACGACTCCGCACAAGGTGTAGCGCACCCCTGTGATTCGGACCTCTCCCTCACGCTTTGGAAAGATCTGCAATTGCACCTGAGTTTCTATTGTCAGCTAGGGATTCACCAGATCTTGCGAGAATCCATTGCATATTACCCTTTTACGTTCATTGCCGTCCAACTCGATTTCACTGGTATTCTGTACATCAAACTCTTCCAGTTCAATTGTCTCTGGTGCTTGTGTATCGGCATTCCATGTCAAGTCTATAGGTGCTGGGGGTTTGTCTCTATAGGCGCATTGCAGCGACACATTGTTGATTTGAACGGGTATGTTCATCGGGTTATGGATTTCAAAGGCAACGAAGACAGGTTCTACACAAAGTACCCTTCTTTAGACAAGTGGAGAGCTCTGAGAGAACATCTCTTGCAAAACGTACCTCCGACAGCGCATGTTGTTTTGCCTCGATTGTTAGCAGTCCGAAACGCTCTTGGTCCAACTTTACTATAGCCTTCCTCGAATAGCTCGTTTTCCATGGTATCCCATGCTTCGTCGCTATTTGCGACCTGCTTCGGTTGTCCTGAGTGAGATTCGATCATTGAGACAAGAATGCTTGAGAGATTGAATTCAGGCACTGGCAATGGTGGCAGATTGCGCAAATCATCTTTGGATGCTTTGGCTGCATATTGCTACAAAAGTAAGGAACCTTGAGTTAGTGCCAAGCAGATGAACACTCAGAATGATAGGCGAGGTATTACTTTGAATAGGTAGAGAAATTCGCGGAGGTATGAGCTCTGCTGTGCGGCGGTCTGTCGACTAGCACGGAGTAATTTGAGGAAGAATTTGACCGCTGCCTCAAACTCTCCGAGATGGAAGCATTGCCGGCCCAAAATAAAGTGTATGTGGTCTTCTACAAGGGACCAATCACGCTCTTCATAAACATCTAATGCAGACATGTAGCTACGGTACGCGTGCAATCGCTATTGCAAAGAAATGTAAATCCTCCATTGAATTTGCGACAATGCGTCCGATTCGCGTTTACCTGTCCGCATTTGGCGAAGCGATGCCCTGCCAGTATCATATGGAAAGCATATTTCCTAATCATTGGTGGATTAACTCGGAGGAAAGAGATTGCAGCTTGTTCCAGAAACAAGGCGCTTCGAACGTCAGAGTCCTGAGCGATAGAGTCAACATCATGCCTGGCAATAGACGACAACAAGCCATACTCGCCTCTCCCGTCATTCTGATGAGCAAGGGCGCTGCTTCCCTGAAGAGCCCGCGCTCACGGAGCATTTCATAATACAACATAGCAGCACGAGCGGCATACAATGGTACTTTGCTGTCTTGATACCCTGTCACGGCTGTTTCCAAGTAATTCTCGACAGATCCCCTTCCGATCCCATCGCCCATCAGCACAGTTAACCCCAACATTTCCTGGGAAGTGAAGCAAAGTTACAACCACCAGCCGTCACCGCAGGCTCAATTCTCAGATTTGTCGCATCCTGTTGTTACCTGGGTCCCGGCGTGAAACTTTACGAATCTCTCGTTGCCTTGAAAATCCTTCCGTATGGAATCATATGTGCCAAATGCTAGACGGTAATCTTCAAGCATGAAGGCAAAATCTGCTAGTCTTCTCATGATCATCTCAGGTGCATTATGCGGAAATCTGAAAACGACAACGTCAGACGTGCAACAGCAGTTTGCAATACTTGGTGGGCATACACGGTGACGCCTGATTTGTCTGTAACAGGAGCCGGCGTAGCAGCTTGGGATTTGGTGCCGCCACCAAAATATTTCAATCCAACTAGTCGATTTAACCGACCAGTCAGTCCTCTTCGATTGCTAGCTACCTAATGAAACGGTTAACATGGCGAAACGTCTTGGTTAGGCCATAGCGTAATAGACCTGTTCATTCCAGTGTTGAATACATGATTCCATGTGCTTTATGATCTTTTGTACAACCAAGTCCTTGACACACTCATCAATCCCAGCAAAATCGTCATTTGTCAAGTAGCATCCGTATGCAGGACTCTTCGTTTCCGTTGGTGAGTCTGCCGCAGCAGTGCTTGAAGCCCCAAGGGGATCCGCTGCCGGCTCTCCCTTCTCCTTGAACAGCGGAAAGCCTTCATCGATGATCGGCGAACTTATTGAATCTCGCGTGGAGGCTAAGGACGCTGTAGAGGTACTCTTTAGTGAAGCCGCAAGTTGTTCTAGTAAAGGAATAGTTTCCGATTGGATGGAAGTCCACACATCTGGTACTGTAGGTGAGGGGATTGTTTCTGGGTTGAAAGGATCTGAATTGGAAGGAGGCGAGTGGACAACGGAGTTGATTCTTAATAAATAAGTAGCTGGAAGGCTTTTTCGCATCTGAACTAAAGCTGCCTCAGGACTACAACATGTTAGAAAACAATAGCGTTCACAAAAGATGTCATCTAAGGTTAACGTACTCTACCCCCGGGGCAACATGGGCATCGTGAACTAGGATATAATATTTCGGGATGGCAGGATCTAGGAATGATTTTTCGGATAGGGTCGTGAACTGACTATCGGAGGTAAGATCTTGGGCAGCATCGGCTGGGTTCGGGTTTGAAGTCGATACCACGACCAAATCTAGACGTCAACGCAACATTAACCGGAATCATCAACAATGCACGACGTATATCTCTGTCACCAACTTACAAGCCACTGGATGATTGAATGTCTCGTGTTCGGAGAATCCCACATATTTGCAAACAGAATTACGATAATCCGAATACCAAGGTGTCAACTGATCATTATCGACTGTTGAACAAGCGGATTGTTGGCATTCCGGGAATAGAACAGCTCATCAAATGTGGAGACCTACTTTGACTATATGCTGATTGCACATCTTCTTTCGTTTTGATGGACGGGAACGTAGGTCTTCGCCTTCCATGTTTACCAAGGTGGTCAACGACAGTTTTATTGATAATCTGAGGATTGAATTGGTCCAATTGTCGCCAATCTCTAAACCGAACGGAAAAGCTTTCAAGGATTGAGGCATGCCCTTGCGAATCCTGTACATGAACTTGACGAGAGGATGGATCAAGGTAAAGGTTACATTATCGACGATTCTTTGAGACAGTCCCCAGGATCCACCAAAATATAAACCTCTATGAAGAATAGATAGAAGCAGGGAATTTTGGGCTGCCTACAAAGCCATTGAGGGATCATAGTTCCCCGGTCTTTTGTTTATGTTGGCTGACACAGCGGTCATCATGAGCAACCTGGACCGCGTTCAGCGGGCAATCTTCCACTGAACATCCCATGCAAGCTCTTCTGCTTGAGCATAATCGGCTCTCTTGCATACCCCGCCACTTGGTATGTAATAACACAAAGGAAATGCTATACCTTGCTTAATACGAGTTCCAAAAGGTTTTATAAAGTCCGCAAACGTAGGAAGGTTATTGAGCTTGGCCAACTCTTCGGCATCGGACGTAGCGACAACAGCCACCAGTGGTGAAAGAAGCCTGCATATAAAATCTCGGCCGTTTGCCATGTCCGTGTTATATAAAGATGGCAGTTTGGAAAGGAACTCGCGGTCAAGACGCAGCGCGCCCTACGACAAGTCATGTGACTAGACGGGCTGTTTGCGCTTTCCACACTAGTTGCAGGCAGCTCAAGTGCCGTGTCATGCATGTCTGCAAACAATACTACTCTGTTGCACGACAAGCAGACTGTGTACGCCTGCACACCACACATTCGTGAACATTAGGTCACTCTCTAAGATGCATCGTGAGACCTCCTAATGCCGGAATACCTGGAGATCTGGGGTTCCGTAATACGAATCTACAAATCGTACATTGACATACATTGTTGAGCACGGTGCTGCCCATACGAACACCCATTGCTTTCTCCAGAGTCGGAGAAGGTTGGTATGATGGCATCGCCCACAAGCAAAAATACAAAAAGTGCGACAGGTTGATTAGTCATATTGCCATGTCATCAGCCACGTGACGACGTCGCTTGTCAAGTGCTCCCGTCTCTTCCCCTCGCTCATCTCGTCCATCTCCAAGCCTTTTCCCCACTGCGTTCTGACACACGGCATTTACCCTAAACCGTTTTTACCTCGCTGAAAGAGTGTTTTCGCGTCTACCATGGCGGCGACACTGCAATCACCTCTTCTTCATGTTGCAACGAAGCGAACGGACGAGGTCGACTTCACCGGTCCCTTTCGCAACTACATTAGTACCGTGTATCAGGATGACCCTGACAAATACGCAACCGAAATTGCAACACTTCATAGGCTTCGCCAAGATACACGTGGTGCGGGGAAGGATCTTACCGGACGAGATATATTGTATCGATACTACGGTCAGTTAGAGCTGCTCGACTTACGGTTCCCCGTCGACGAGAAGCATGTCAAAGTCTTGTTTACATGGTATAGAATACTGGAGGCATAAGCTGACATAGAGTGTGAAGACGTGCCCTGACATCTTGTCAAACCTTTGTAGGTACGACGCGTTCAGCCAAAAGCCGATATCGCAGTACTCCATCGCTTATGAGAAAGCATGCACCATTTTCAATATTGCTGCCACCTGCTCGTCCATCGGTGCATTACAAAACCGATTTGAGGCGGCCGGACTCAAGATGGCATTCAATTATTTTCAAGCCGCTGCCGGTCTCTTTCTTTATATTAACGACAATTTCCTACACGCCCCATCCCTGGACTTGTCTCGGGACTCCATCAAAACTTTGGCCGATCTGATGCTGGCACAGGCCCAGGAATGTTTTATAGAAAAAGTAATCATGGAAAAGAAGAAAGGTGCCTTGGTTGCGAAGCTCGCAGCGCAGGCAGCCCATGTTTATCAGAACGTCGCTGATGGGCTCGCTAACGAAGCAATTCGCTCGCAGTTCGACAGGGCATGGATTGAACTGGTAAAGGTTTGTATCATCCCTGTGGCTGCTTCACATATCGCTTGTGCGAGCCTTACGCGTCTGACATCATCAGGTCAAAGCAAAGCATTTTCAAGCTGTTGCAATGTACCACAAGTCCATGCAATCAGAGAGTGAAACCAAATATGGAGAGATTGTGGGGTATTTGACAGCAGCCGAAAATATTGCCAAAGAAGCTAATAAATTGGCAACCGCTTTCTCGGGATCCTTCCCGTCGTTTACCACGTCTGCACAAACTGCGACATCATCGACCTCATCATCTGGGCATACTACGGCTGCCGCGGCAGCTCTATTAGAAGCCACGAAGACGAGCTTGAATCTGATTACTGATCGCAAGAATGTGGCGGTGAAGGACAATGATATGATCTATCACGACTCAGTTCCAAAAGTCGAAACGCTTCCCGCCATTGAAAAATTGAATGCGGTCAAACCGATAACTTTTGCCGATATCTGCGTAAATGGACAAGCGGATATACCAAAAATCATCGGACCGGACATTTTCCAAAGGCTCGTCCCGCTATCGGTTCACGAGTCTGCATCCTTGTATTCTGAGGAAAAGGCTAAATTACTTCGATCGCAGCAGGAGAGGGTAGAAGCTGCTAATGGCGAGCTTCAGGCCACATTGGACTCCATGAACCTAGTTGCTACCTTGGATAAGCTGAAACAACTGTCGAAGCGAGGACCTGGCGGACTTCATGATGGGGTCACCGTTCCCGAACAAGTTAAGCAGTGGAATGCGGCCGTCCGAGAAGCTGAGGAAAGTGGAACTCAAACGGATGAGGTCCTTGGGCTGCTGGAAGGATTTAAGAAGAAAGTGCGAGAGTTGCTGGATGAGATAGGATTGCTCTTGGACAAGGAGCAACATGAATGCGAAACGATGAGAGTGAGTAGCCATACCTTTTCTCCTCTGAAACCCAAAGCTCCGCTCATTGTTTGAGACTGCACTGGCGATACAGGTCAAGTTTGTAGAGCGTTGGACACAGGAGCCGTCCGCACAGCTAACCTCCAGAATACGAGAGGATGTCCGGCAACACCGTGATTCGTTTGAGAAAGCCTTGGCTACCGATGGTGCACTCATGGCTGGCCTCGAGGAATCTAGGATGAATATTGATATTTTGAAGCGACGGTCAGAAGATGTAGAGGCTATCTTTGTGGAGCGTCTCATAACAGCAGCACCTACGAAGAAAGACAATGTCGCTAACCTATTAGATGAAAACGTGGATGGCGGAGCTGGATTTGGGGTTCTGAATGAGCAAATTTTGATCGAGAAAATGGATGGGTTACTGAGCCGTTTGCGTACGCTAAAGAAGGAGAGGAATGACCTTATTGACGAATTGAAAGCTAAAGTAAGTACTCGGAAGAACGCGCGTGCTTTGACTCCTGTCGTCGGTGGATTTTGTTCTGATGGATGCATCGAACACTTAGCTTCATCAAGATGATATTTCTTCGTTACTTCTGCTCAACAAGAACAAGGAATCTCAAGTTTTCCAAACCGAGTTATCTAAATTCAAGCCTTTGCAAGGCCGCATAACTGCGAACTTGCAAGCCCACACGCAGTTTCTGCATGACTTGTCGTCTGATTTCACCAAGCTTGGCAGTTCGTCTGACAGCATAAAATCTCTCGAATCAATGGAAAAGCGCAAGGAGGCGTTGATAAAAGAGTGGGGTCGTTCATATGAGCAATGGAAGGAAGCGAAGGAAGGTCTGGCACGTGGTGTGGAATTTTACTCCAGCCTCTGTGAATTAGTTGAATCTCTGCGTACGACAGTGATTGATTTTACTCGTCGCCGTGCTGAAGAGCGTGATGGCTTGGCAAAAAAGCTGGGGGAAGAACAAGCCGAACAGCGACAAAGAACACTCCGGGAACAGCTACAGCGGCTTAGTATCAGCACGACATCCCAGGGGGCAGTAAACTCACCATCTGGGCCGGGACCAGCTCAAATGCAGTCATCACCAAGCGCTCCTGTAGATTCACCTTTGTATGCTGCACAACATCCCGTATCTCGGTCAGGAAGTCTGCACATTCATCAAGAACCTAGTACTGCGTTGGGTAGTCCATACCAATATGGACCCTTCTCAACGTTGGGAGGTGGACCTTCAATGCCACCCGCATCAACGAACCGGCCAGACGTGCAACCATTCGCTCCACCCCCACCATCCCCTTTAGCAATGCAAGCACCGCCCCAATTTACACAACAATTCTCTTCGGGATCTGACCGAGCCCAGTACAACTCTGTTCAACAGGGACAAGCGCCTCCGGTGCAGCCATCCTCACATCCCTCGTCTGTACCGCACAATCCGTATGCGGGATTAGGTACATCAGCTCCGTTTGGACAGGCCGTCCCAACGTCTGTTGCTCCACCAGAGGTTAGGCCTTCCACTGCAAGCCCGGCCGCGGGTCCGCAGCCCCCTGGTTCTGGGCCACTCCCTACAGTTGGCTCTCAAGGGGGGGATCACCGACAAAGCGGAGTGTATTATGGACATAACCAACCGCATCAGCAACAGCCACAGCAGACTCAGCCATTCTATCAACCACAGTCCGCGTCTTCTCAGCAAATGCCTCCACCGCATCAAACCGTACACACTCCTTATGCCCAGGGAGTGTTACCACCACCGTCCCTCTTCCAACAGCAGCAAGGGATCCCAGGGGTCATAGGCTATCAGCCTCAACAGCACTATACTCCGTCTTCGTCTGCGTACCAATCTCCGCAGGCATATGGTCAGAATGCGCATTTCCCAGGGCAAGCAGGAACCCCAGCGGTTTCCCAACAGCTTCCGAGTCATCAACAAGCCTATCAACCAGCTACGTCGATTTCAGCACATGGCGGATATGGACCAGCCAGTCTGCGACCACCTCCAAAGACAGGCTCTTCTTATGATGCTCCACCACTGCCGCCGAAAGCACTGTCACGGAACCCTTCGATAGATGGACAGCAGCAGCCATACCAACAAGCCAGCAATGGGACATACACAGCCGCTGGCCCACGAACTACCGCGTCCTATCCCTCGCATCCTGTGCCGGCTCCAGGTGGTTATCGGCCTGCACCTTCGACGACTCCCCACTCAGGACCACAACACTACTCTGGCGGACCAGTCCAACAACAGTACCAGGCTCAAAACCCTTCGGCGCAGCATCCTCTGCCGACGCAACCGTCTTATAGCCAACACCAGTATCGTCCGGCTGTGAACCAATCCCAGTACGGTCAGCCGGAGCCGAGCCACGCATTCAGCCAACCGCCGTATGGCCAGCAGCCGTCCGTCGCACAACCACAGTACGCTCAACATCAACAGCCACCGCCTGCATCTGGCCAACCGCAGTATGGCCAACATCCACAGCAACCTTCTCCGGCCCCTAATCAGCAGCCACCTGGTGTTCCTGGGAGTCAGCAATACGGTCAACCGACTGGTTATGGCCAGCCTATGTATCACCAGCCCCAGACCCAGCCGCAACAATACGGTGCTCCACCTCAGCAGCAAAATCCACACGGGCAACAGTCATTTGCACCTTATCAACAACCGTATTCGCAGCCGCAGCAGCCTGTGACGTACGCATCGCCACAGCAACAGGGATATAACACATCTGCTCCAACTGCTCAGTATGTCCAGCAGCAGCCTCCGCAAGGGGTTGCGAATCCCCCTCAACCACGTCCTCCCGGATACGGCGTACCTATGCAACCTGCACCTGCACCGGGGTCTCTACTCGATTGAACAGCCGATATGCCTTTTGATGGGTTACCAAATCAGAGGCTAGCTTGATTGCCTGCGAGTTTTCCCTTCTCTCGTTCGAGAATTATGTTTGCCTAAATGCATGGTATTGGTTTTATGATTTTAATACCTGTAGCGGTTTGGAGCCTTCTTGGGCTTTAGTTGCTAAGGTGAAAGTAATGAATGCAACAGGTTTTGAAATGAAATGGAGCATGTTTAAGGTATCTCTCCAATTAAATCTTTTTTGATAATAATACATGCAGTACCAGAATCCCTTCATCTCTGGTAGCCCCAGTTAAATACAAGGTTAAACTTTGCCCTTTGCCCCCTTCTTCTTTGCCTTTGGCCCTGTGAACCGCAGTGGAGCAATGACTGTGCCCAATTTTGTCTGCACTCTCGGTTTGATCATGCCACCATGAGCACTGGCTGCATTCCATTCTTTGCCTAAAGGAGCACGAATCGTTCGTTCGTACTGCTCTCTATTATCAAACCCATGGGGAACAGCTGGCGCCATGTACTTTACAGCCTATCGTTAAACAGGTGGATGAGAAATTCGATCATTCAATACAACCATCACAGGGTTTTTAAGAATAATACCTTCTTCATTCGCTTTTCATTTATGATTACGTGCTTCAGCTTCACATCCTGCCGCTTGGCTTCGTCAACACCTTGACCAGGTTTGGCAGGCTTCACAACAACACGCTTTTTAGGCTGCAATCCAATTCCACCCCAAGAACCCCATCCAGGAAGTGTTAGATCTTCTTCTTTGGGTTTTTCTTCATCTATTGCAAGCAGCTTTTCTTCTTCGAATTCCTATTTTGTTGCATTAGTTAGGAATGCTGTTTCCGGGTTCAATAAAGTAGTACTTACGGCAGCAAGGTCATCGTTGGCAAAGGCCATTTGCATGAGTTCTCGGTGAGAGAGATCTTTCATGTGTTTGAGAGAGGACGAGTGGATGATTTTCATTTGTCCATTGCCCTCGAAGTCGCTGTCCCCATCGGATTCTTCGAAAATTGGTGCAGTAGCAGTCACCGTCGAGGCTTTCAGCTTACTACTATCCCGTGCTTTGGTCGTTGAAGCGTGCGCAGGTAGTGCAGCTGGTATAGACTCACTTGGATCTATTTGAGCTACATCAAAGGCTTGATCAGTTAACAATTCTCTCACAAATGGATCTTTACGCATACTGTCTGCCACTCACAATCAAACGAGGATGCCGCTACCTCCATTGCCCGAACACCATCCAAATTGAGTTGCACATCTCCAATGGCTTTGGTCAACTCTGCCTGCCTGGTATGTTTTCGCTTCTGGGAGAGTTTCTCCAGCGCTTTCTCTGTTTTCCCACCTTTGGTGGAGGTAACAGTATGCGTGCTCTTCAGGACCGCTCTTGTATCATCAGCGGCCGCGAGCCATGGATTTATTGAATCTTCATCCTCATTCCTTGGATTGCTGCGACGGGTGACGGGAGTAACTTGCTCTTGTTCAGATTCGGAGTCGCTCGGTGGACTGTTCAGTGCGCGGTCGTCAGACGCCGGTGTCATCGGCAGATCTTGTGCATCAGGAGACAATGTGTGCTCTGTCTGTCGTATAGACTTCGACGTGCTAGTTGCGACATTTGTTCGGTTTACTGTCCCGGTGAAAACTGTATCGTGCACTTCCTCGATCTCGAAAGACTCAACTTGGAAGATCGGGGATTGAGCTGGGACCGTCGAGGCCATGTTCTGCTTACTGCCAATATTGATGGGCTGCGTCGCACGTACGCTATATCCATCGCCGTCTTCGAATGCCGAATCCTCGTCAACTCTTGAGTCAATTTGCCCGGGTCTTGTCTTTTTGGTATCAAACGACATGCGACCGGCATTACCAGCGATAGAGATTCCCCCTTCTTGGACTTCTTCCTTTGCATTTTGATCAGAATCGGAATCATCATTTCCAGAGTCGTCAACGTAATCATCACGAAGTCCATGGCGCGCTTGCTCAAGACTATCTCGCGCTTCTCGCTTCTGCTTATCAAGTGCCCGCTGCATGAACTTCATGGCAAAAACGCCAGTCTTGGGCGCATTTGTCTCGTCCTGGTCCATCTCCTCTTCAATCTTATCAAAAGAGGCAAGGGCTTTTCGACGTACACCCTCTTCGTCAACTTCCGAATTGCCATCATAGTTCTCCTCATCAGAACCATCGAAGTCCGATTCATCTGACTCGAACCCTTTTATTCGTCGTTTCAAGGCTTCATGTTTGTCCAACTGCTCCATTACCGCTCTGTGAGTTTCAGGGTCGCCGTCCTTTCGATTTAGCATTTGCTTGGCCCATTTTCCAGTATTTTTATGCTTCAATGTCATCCGCTCTCTCGCGCGCTCAGTTTCCAATCTATCCCTCTCTTGCTCAGCAAGTTGCGGGTCTAATCGCTTCAGTTCCTCCAGAGATAAGTCTTCCTTAATCTTGTCCTTCTTACGAAGTTTCCGATAGGCTTTACTTTTTATTTTGGCGATCTTCTTTTGCTTCTGTTCTTTGAAGAACAGCAGCGCTCGCATCTTTGCCAACTCCGCACGTCGCTCCATTAACTGCGATTTTATAAGATATCAATATATCCAGGAACGCCTCATTACCACCTAATAACGAATCACAGCGTACCTCTTCTTTGGATATCTTCTTGAGCTCGAGTTCTTCCATTTCCTTTTGTTTCTTCTCCAGGAGGTATGACTCTTCCAAGATCTTTTGGACCTCCGATTCAAGGCTGGTCGATGCCTAATGCACATTTGCACAAAGGGATGTAAGTACCACCCTCTGACTATTTAGACTAAAATCACGCCAAGACAGCAAACCTTAAACTTCCCAACCAAGGCCCCACTGGAATTATTAACGGCAGATAAGTCCGTCGTGGGAAGGGTCAAATGGTCCGCCTCCCTATTCTTCTTGACTAAAGGTGCCCACTTAGAAACCTCTTTTTTGGTTTCTTCATAGGCTGCCTGGCGATCGTATCGGTCTTGGACACGTTTCGGTAGCGGAGCGGCAATAGTGGCCATCTGTTTGCTGGTTGACTTTTCGAGCACTGCAAGCTGCTTCTTAAGGGTGGCGAACCCGGCCTCATCTCCAAGAGAGCCCATCAAATCCTCCAGACCTATCTTCCGTCGCGAGCTAGACCCACCTGCCGCAGTAGTATCATGTGCGGCCAAATTATACTCCGACTCCTCGCCTCCCTCTGTTTGACTCACAACACGCCTTCGTGTCCTTTCCTTCTTTCCATCCAAGGATTGAACAAAGGACGATAAGCGCTCAGCTAGGTCTTCCTCATCATTGCTGGCCCCTCCATCTACAATGTCTTCACCGTCCATTGTCTCGCCCTCGTCCTCTTCCTCATCTTCATCCCCCAAATCATCAAATGAACCATCCTCCTCGAATTCATCCTGATGACTCGGCAACAGAGTGTCAAAAGCTTGTTTTCTAGCGGGTACGTCGGACTTCGTGGCGGACTTCGTGTCCGATCCTAACATTTCCGAAAGATCCATGTACGCTTCAGGATCATCTTCCTCTTCGTCGTCCTCATCATCTTCGTCGCCATCATCATCGTTTTCATCCCCTTCAGACATAATGTTTGTTGCAGAGTGAGACTTCAAGGTAGATATGGCCCCCTAGATTCAAGATCTGTTCATCGGCAGGCGCGTGGATGGGTACTCAGGAACGAACTAACCTTATCCGCAAAAAAGCTCGCGTACTTTTCCTCGTCGCTTTCTCCAAAAGCTTCATCTTCGTCGATTTCTTCGTCATCTTCTTCGTCAATGGTGTCCACATGATACTCATAGTTTTCTACGTCATCCATTGTTCGTCCAACCGCACCTCCACCACCTCCTCGTCTGGCCAAAATGCGGCGTTCGTCCTCCTCGTCATCGGACGCCTCGTATACATCCAAATACGACCGCTTGCCCTTCACTTTCAGAGCTGGTGCTGACCCCGCTGCACTGCTGGAAACACCCCATGTACTCTGGCTTTTCGACTCACTCCTTGGACGCTTCGCTGAGGAGCTAGTTCCATTTGAGCTCACTCGCCGTTGCTTTGTTGGCCGCTGGTTTCTGTTATCTACCCCGCTCGGTCTACTTTGCCGTTTATTCACCATTTCTTATACTCGCAAATGGTCAAGCTGCTGCTGGACGTAAATGTCAAAAAGAAAAAACAAATGATCGAGCTGCTGAAAGCAATGCTTAGTCAGTGACACGTGATATGCACTGGAATGGACTGGAATGCATCATGACGGGAGTCGGGATTTCGAGCACCGAGTAGAGCATTCGCGAGAAGCATGCGGAAACCGATTTTTGGCAGCAGCAAAATGACGGATACTTCAGTACCATAAGTTTTTCTGTGTTTACAATTGTACATAATTTCAAATATGTCGAACGTTACTACTGATGCTGGTGAACCGCACGATGCATTTGAAGATGAAAATTCGGAAACCTCTTCCAGTCCTCCAAATCCTCCCATCCAAAGCCATCCACCACTGAAGCGGTCAGCTTCCGTCGTCTTCTTCAATCTGGACGTGAAAGCAGAATTGGAAGACCACTTTGTGATTGCCGCCCTGCGGGATGAGAAAAAAACCGGCGAGCTTCGTGACCTTCTCAGTCATGGGAAGGCCACTCTCTTCCTTCCCATCTCGGCGTCGTTAGTGCATGTAGCTGACAAGATATCTCCAGTATTTTTTGAGCATCATGGTCGGTAGTACATTAAGAAGCTTACTGTCGAAAGGCCTGACCATAACGTTAACCTTTCTGTATAAAGTCTTCATTCCCAACCCAGAAAATATGCGTCAGGTTATGTCTCTCGGCGGCATTCGTGGTAAGGTCCTTTGAATTTTTGACTCACACATCTGCTGGTAATTGAATTATTCCCTGCCTACCGTCGGTACACATCAGCTCTCGTCAAAGGGTAAGTCGATTGACGTTCGCGGCCAGTTTCATGCGTCTGACGCCCCAACTTAGATCGCGCCTGATTGTCATCGGGCCTCGACCAACGGAACAGGAGCTTCTATCCATATACTCAAGAGACACGGGGACCGATGATAAAACTCTATCAATCTGGGACACGATTGATACTGAAGCGACAACCATTGATCAATATCCCTCCATAGAGCTCTTGTCCGATTCACCGTTAGATTTCCGTTTAAGTGAAAATTCCACTATCAAGGTTGCTCTGATGAGTAGAGCTATCATGCAAGAGGATTTGACCCGTAACTTTGCTCCAAAACTTCCACCTCGCAAACCTCCGGCCTACAACACGAGCCTGATCACTCTTCCAGCGATCAATTTTGATATCAGATCTATCCCTTCAAATGTGTTTACCCAGATTGGCTCTCTCCCATATCTCTTCTCTAAACTCGATGTGCAAGCAGTGCTTGAGGAAGCTCCATGCTTGCAAAACGAACCATCTTATCAAGTCTTTATGGAACAAATGAAAGATCCACGATGTGCCCCTTTCGCAGCAGAGGTACAACGATATCTTGCTTCAATCACCGCCAATCGTCAGCCAGTATCATCCGAGACTCTTTCCACCTATCACCATCGATTCATCGACAGCATGCATAAGACCTTCACTTCGACTTTCTTTCCCCGTCAACAAGGTCCTGGCCACATCGAGTCCCTCACCGAAGGGCTTGACAATTATGTTCTTGCACAAGCATATGCCACGTAAGTGGACGCCTGTTTTGCTCATAGTATCATAAGCATCGACTGAATCTTTATTTTAGTTACTTTATATCGGTTCTCTCTGAGGAGCAAACCACTGACTTGCTCCTTCACCGAAAGATTTCACTTATGTCTGTCGCGGGCTTTAACTTGGATCAGCTGGGGATTCATATTGATTTGGACTCTGATGCTCTTAGAGAAACAGTCAAGTTGGCTGGTGTAGGTATGAAAAGCTCGTTGACCAAGGTCACGTGGATTTTTGGCTAAATTGTTATTATTCAAAGAACTCCTAATTGCCGATCGGACCACGACCCCACACCAAAAGCTCTCGGCGATTGTTGCGTCTCACCAACGGGTTGCCGAAAGAGTACCCTTGTGTTTTCCATCAGATGACGAGTCGTCTAGTGCGGATATGTTGCTACCATTACTTATATACGTTGTCGTAAAGACAAATCCTCCAAGGCTTGCATCATGCTTGAAATACATAAATAGATTCCGTGCGCATAACAAGATCGAAGGGTACTCGTCGTACTGTTTGACGAATTTGGTTAGTATTTTTGTGAGCTTCGTTTCGGACAAAGGACTATATGTAACCAAAAAATTTTCATGTTGAAGAGTGCGGTGCAATCCTTTGTGGAAACCTCGGATGTTCAAACGTTAGGTTTGTCACCGTACGTGGAAGCAAGCTTTAGACCCAAACCTGCCAATAGCAATTCAGAGAAGATCATTGTGCTACCGGGGGATATGATAGCTGCGCCCGATCCGCCATCCAAGCCAGTGACGGATACTATAGGAGCTCTTGCTAACATGTGAGTTCCTGCGCGATATTGAGTAAATGCGTAGTCTGACACGTTTTTCAGCCCTCACAGCGTTGGTCAACGGATTTCGGGACTTTGGCCATTTCGCAGAGGTGCGACTCCAGAAACCGTGGGCCACGTAGATGCCAATGCACCCAATGATTCCGAACGTTTATGGTCACGACTCAAACATGATGGGAAGAGAAGTTCGCGTTAATTTGACTCTGGGAATATTATATCCCCAGGGAGGGATGTCCTGTGAACCCGAAGCATCATGGCTTCTTGCAGTGCCGGCCGATTCATAGTTGATCCATCTCGACCAGGTAGCGGGAAGGTCAAAAAGAAACGATGGACTACAATATTACGTACTCCCGTCTCACTCCGTATCCAGCGATTAATTGTTCGAATCGACGCCAAGTTCGTGAACAACAGACCTTTTGGCCTTTCCTGTGTATCCCGGCTGTGAATATCGGATGCCCCGACACACGAGAAATGTCCACCTGCTGTCGAGGGAGACAACCTGGTTTCCACACTGGTCAAATTAGGAATCACGCTCCGTTTTTCAATGGGGGAGTACATATATACAGCTTTTGGAATGTAGCATGCACTGTGAAATGCCGATAAAGATGAAAAGATATTTGCGTCGTCCCGCGGGATCAAAATTCCAGTTGTCTGAAGTCAACGTGCTAGGTTGCATTGTCCTGCAATCACCTTCAATGTATGCTGCTGGAGATAACATTAAACCTTAACCGTGACACCTGAGCGGGGATCCTTCCGCGGATCCTCATCACCAACCTTGGTAACGAGTATCACAAACCTTTTCAATTCAATTGATATTCATTATTAGCTGCGCCCTCTTCAAGTTGACGATTTCAAACTTGGAGCACATGGAGGTATGGTTTATCGTCACGCACGTGGGTTTGGCCCACTAACTAGAAGATCTCTGGCGTTTTCGGAGGTGGGCGCTTGCCTTTCTCCCAATCGGATCAACTTGGCCCAATGTCGAACCAAATAATGCAATCGCAGATTGTTGAAAATGGACATATGATTTGAAGATTGCAGCCAAGGAAGTAATCTCAGTTGCGTTGACAATGGTCCAATGTTGCATTTGCCTAATGCCAAATTTGAAAATAAGGAATAGTCCGTCCTTGCCACTATCGCACACTTTGCAGTTATTCCTCGGTCACATTCATCCTTTTGCTGCGAAGATGTTCCAATTTCTTTCTGCGCTTGTCAGTTGCATTGTTTTGATTAGCATATGAGATCCTCTATCCAACCGTCATCCCACGGGTCGTCCACAGCAACATTGTTGACCAATGCCCCAGACAAAAGTCTAAACTCGTAATGCCACGTTTTGTCCAGCCCCTACATCCCATCAAAGCAATGCCTCCCCAACTTCCCTGCCTGGACTTTAACGCGCCCAGCCGATTAGTCCCTTGTAGCAGGGAGCTCAACACGTCCAGGCACGCCAAGGGTTTACTGCGTATAGCGCTGAATTGGATGGGGTGGGCCCAAAAAGCGGGGCCAGTACTTGCTGCGCAAATGTATTAGATCGGAATGTATTTCATTCCCCCCGGGTACTCCTTTGTGGCTGGATTAACTGCCAGTTCGGAGAATGACGGGGATAGTAAAGGAAATGCTTGTAAATTAACAAATATCTCTGTGGTTAGCGGATGGATTTGAACTTCGTCACCGCATTTTGAAGATGAGAAAATGCTTTTATTGCTGCTTTTGTGGACGACGATGTACCGGGATCCATCAGAGGTCTTGAATTGTGGAATTCAAAAGTTAAGGATTGACAATTAGTTAGCGTAGTGAGGCATGGTTTGTAAGCCTCTGCGCCGTTAAAAGCGCTAAAGCATCTGCATAGCTTTATCCTTGAACATGACACTGCAATCCAATCATTGATTCAAAGTTCCTTTTAAGCTTTGCATATGCTGACCTTTTACAAGCACAGCCTTGTCGGTTTCTCGTCGTCGATCGCCATCGCGTATTATGAATAGAGGACTATCCTATTTATAGCACATCGATGACGGTGTGGCAGCCAACATCGCAATAACTTACAGATTTGCCGAATGCATTTTTCTGGATGATGCTCTTGTTTCTTTCTTTGACAACCGATTTTACATTGACGTTTACTTAATACCAAAGTGCCAGATTTGGGCTCTTGGGATTTCATCTTGACGTTGTCTCAGCCTTGATTGCTCTCTTCATCTGTTTTACTCGTCTTCAACCCTGTTGATGGCTATGCTCACAGTCATGCCTGGCCACCCGACTACCGATCACCCCTTGGCCTTCTCCACCTCACCATCGTTCGACATGCTAGACCTGCACCCACATCTCAAAAACCGACGACGACGATGCTCTTCCGAGCCCGTCAAATCTCATGCACAAACTTTAGTATCTCCACCTAAAACACCAGCCCTTCCGTCCAAGCGTTATCACCAGGTCAAACCTGGGGACACACTGGAAGGTATATGCGTGCTGTACGGGGTCAGCGTCTCGGATATGAAGAGGATCAATAGAATTTGGAACCCCGGGGAATTGTTTCTGAGAAATGTATTGGAAATTCCCCTGTCGGGAGCACCGGTGGGCTCGGTTGCGGCTCTGCCAGCACATCCACCGCAAGATCAACAACAGACAACCATAACACCAGAAGCAGAACCAAAGACGATTACCCACCTCCTGACCCGAATCGACCAGGACGTCCAGCATGTTCTCACATACCTTCCCAAACCTTCGCCTCCGACGCCCAAAAGACTGTACCCACCTCCACAGCATTATAGTCTGAAATCTAAAACTCCGACCGCCTCACCTCGGGCATCACCAAAACAGGTGCGTGTCAAGGTGCGGTCGAATGTACCAGCGGCGGCTGTAAGCGATGTGGAGACGAAGAAGAAGGACAAGGAATCCGAAAAGGAACGGGACTCTGTTGAAGAGGTCAGAGAAATGCATCAGTGGGTTGATATGGTTGCGCTGGGAGCCTCGGCGGAAAACGCTGAGGCATTGTAGTTTACGATACCACCTGCATGTTAAAGTAGGTTTTTTGGTAAACAGATAGCAATGTAGGCCTGTTGCAGTTGATAAAGATGTGGACAGTGATGATGAATAGAGTAATGACGGCTGTGGCTACCTAGCTATGAGACAAGTGCTTTGGCACTATAGTTTGCTAGCGTGGGTTTCCTGTTGCACCGCCGAGCCTGTATGCCAAACAGTAAGCACTGATAGAGCAATCTCCACAAGAAGCAGAGTAAATAAATGAAACATTACACAATGTCTGACTTGGGTGGAGACGATTCATAAGACGACTCACGACTAGGATGTGGTTTCTTCCTTTTTTTGTTCAGAGGCTGGATGGAACGGTGGTAATATACTCATGCTACCCACGGCGGCTAACAGTGGCGACGGAACATAGCAGGGATGAATGCTCTTTGCGGCGGTCACCTCCACCTGCTATGGATTGCTGGCAGTTGATCTTCTTTTCTGGCCATGATGTACGCAACACATTCCCGCTTCCGAGCTGACATACTTGCCCGCCTTTGGTTCCCGCCGAGCGTCCTCCTGTGACGCGCTTGTGCAGTAACTTGTTGTGCGGGCTGAGGCATGGGCGCAGATCATGAGGAGGCAGGGGGACTTTAATATTGACCGTGGCAAGGGGCGGGCAAGCGGGACAATGACTGGGAGAGGAGGAGCCGAAGCCTGGATGTACTGGTTTCTGGCAAGCAAAGGGTGTTCTAAACTCTGTGTCCTTTGTCGCGAGATGGATGATCTGTCATGTCCGCATTTATAATCCTAGTTTCAGTCGTGACTGCCTACAAGGTCGACAAGCAGCAGTGCTGATGGAATTTGTTCAACCATCAATAGGAAATTGGCACCACCTCACGAATAGGTTGTATGTTCCTCAAGCTGGTCGACCTGGACCATTTGTCGTATCACTCCATATACCTGGTTCCACAACGCCGTTGCTTATGGTTCTTGTCAAAGGACTACAAACGCCCACGACGTTCGGAGGACGCCGGGTGGCGGGTGGCCCACACTGATCGTCATGGACACACCCATCACAAGGGTAAAGGATCAATCGTCTACAGTTCTCTCCATGCATCCAGACAATGGCTCATTGTCGCCGGGTAGACAACCTGACCTGCCCGGAAGCTAAAGTGGGTAACAAAACGTAATTCCTGTTAGTGATGGCCCTCCCTCATCACAATCATTCATCTTTAACAAGAGGTAGCCGTGGGCAGACAATCATCCCTTCTTCCTTTTCCTGTCCATACCCCGACACGATGGTAGTGCAACGGGCAATCTTCATTTTTTTGAGTTTGAATTCCTTGCCACAAACCGTTCTCCGTTCGGGCAAAAAGTGAAAAGGTTTGAACAACATAAAGTGCCATAGAATCCACGGTAGAAAAAGAATAAGGGTTGCCCCCAGGTGAGTAGACGCTAATTGCCCCGTGTTCAGGGCAGCGGGTGCCACGGCAGTGTGCAACGAGGTGTTCAAGTGTTCCTTACCATGGACGATTACCTGCATGCGTCATGTCCGAACGCATTTTATCGTCCGATCCAATCTGCCAATTTCAGGCAAGATTGGCAAGTAGCCGGTCGCACTGGTGTGCTTCTGCTGCCCGCCCCCAGGGCCCCGCCAAGCAGATCCTTTGTCCATTGTTGGCAGTTCTCCTCCCCTTTTTGCTCCCTGGATGTGTGCTTCCGTCTTTTGATTTCATTGTAACGGAAGGGATCGTCGCCTATTCCTCCTTTTTGTAACACTTTTTTTTTTGGACTGGCAATTCCCTCCTTTCATTTTCCCGCTGATTTACACCCCCTTTGTGATAAACGAGAGTCTAGTCTCCCCCGTTCTACAGGATCTGTTGGTCCCCCCATTTTTCCCCTTCCTCCGCTTCAAGGCCATAGGGGGGGAACACAGTAGAAGAAGAGAGCCTTTTGACGCGGCCAGTCCTTCACGCTGGTTTTATTTTTTTTTCCTATTGTGATTGCTCACAGTCCGGGAGAGCTCCTGGCTGGCCGATTGCCTGGAATGCGGCCGAACGAATGCTTCGATGAGCGTCTCCGCCCCCCTAATTGGCACCCACTTTCTTTTCCAGCCGGAACCTATATGATCGCAGTCTCTGGAAGGCCCCAGTCAGAACAAAGGCCCAGAACGCTTCTCTGCCGAGAATTCCTTCACCTCTTTGCAGAGTGAGCAAGAGTGACCAAGACGAATACTGCGAAAACTAGCAAAAGAGCCATGGCAGGCACACAATATCACAGGCATTCCGTACCGTCGTTGGTGGCTTCGGCGTCGTCAGCCCACGGCAACGACTTTCAAACACCGTAAGTAGCCTGCTCATTTTAGCAAAGGGCGCAAAAAAAAGACGCAAAAGACAGTTTGGACACGCAAAATCTGACGCCTTCTCGTCGGATAGGTATGGCCATGAGCGTTCGAATCGGTACTGGTGTCGACAGTATTCTCCCCCGGGCGAACGCAGGCTGCCGCCTCATGCGCATCCGTCCGTGGCGTATCGGCCAGAGCATCCCATTACGGCGGCTGTACAGCAGTCACATCCTGCTGCTTCTCCGGCTGCGGAAGTGCGTCCATTAGGCACCCATCGCTCTGTTTCGCCGACTTCCTTGTCACCTCCAGATCACAGGCTGACACCTCAACCAATAAGTTATTCGCCAGAAATTGGAGCTGATGCATCGTCGGATGGATCCTCTTCCGTCGATGGCACTGTAGACAGCGACAATGGTTCTGGGTATACGGGACGTATCCGCAAATATGTATGCTCGTTTGAAAATTGCGGCAAGTCCTTTACTACCAGGTATGGTAAACACACCCTTGCCAGATTGGTTTCAAAAAAGATTTACGAATCTGATTCCTTGCTCATCCATCAACTTTAGCGGCCATTTAACGAGACATATGCGTAGCCATGCTTCTGTAAAGCCTTTTGCCTGTGCCGTGCCAGGATGCACAAGCCGGTTCACACGACAAGATAATATGATGGCAGTATGTATATTATGCAATTTCACCTGTTTATCTGCCATCGCGTTAAAGCCATGCTTCAGCATTATCGCCAGCACATGCAAAAAATTTCTCAAGGAAATGAAGACAGTTTGAATGCCACGGATTCCACGTCGCCGCCAGCATCCACAGGCACCAAACGCCGTGATCGGCTCGAGCAGAGTAATCCTTATCCACGGATCTCTCCAAAAAGGACTCTAGCGCCGTCTTCAAGCCAAGTGGCCGCCCGACAGCAAGAAGACACACATTCATCATTGAAAGGTCCAGAAGAGCAAGCCAATCGTGATCAGGTGGCGACAACCAGCACGGCAGCTTCACATCCGTTGGAACAGGCTCCCCCCCTGTCGCCGGCGCCGCCGCCCCAACCACACCCACCCCCTGCTCCTTATCCGCCGTATCCATCTCCAGTAAGTTATGTAGCTTCAGGACCTCCGCATAGACACTGCGTATGCGGCGCGTATCCCAATCCGTATTACCCTCCCAATGTTACGCAATGGGATCCATCGTTACCGCCCGTCACATCAAACTATCCGCCGTCATGTCCGCCAGCAGCGATGCCTTATTCCGAACCACCCCCAGTGTCGCAGTCTTCAGGACCGCCTACGCAGACACCGGACTACTTTTCTTACCACCCCGAGCGTCCTTATATTTCAGGTCATGCACCTTATCCACAACCTGCTGGACAAGTTGCCTATCGACCAGCGCCAATGGCGGAGGAGAAAAGGTCTCAGTCACCAGCTGGTCAGCCCCCGTGTTCACCTGCAGATCCGTCAGCAATGCCGACACCTCCATTGGCATCCCGGCATGTACTTGTGCATCCTCCTGCTCCAGTTCGCCCTCCTCCACCTAACTGGGGCCCGTTCCCAGCACCACCCAATCCCGCAAAGCCACCCCATTCTGCAGAGTCCACCGGAGCGGTCGCCCCAGCTGGTCCTGCTCCGTATGGACCACCGGCGCATCCGCATGTGAAACCCCCTTTCCATCCATCTCCCTCTGGAAAAGATCAACAAGTGCAGCCCTTCTTGGCACCCAATCCTCCAACCGAGTACTACCCGTATTCTCAACCAGGATACCATCCGCATCCACCGCCCGTGTCAACCCATGACCCGAACCAGTCCTTTCCGGAGTACGCTGGTTACACCCACCCGCATTACGCATACTATCATGGTCACCACCCATATGGAGGTTATGCATATCCCACATACCCACCGCACCCTGGACACTATGCAAGATGGCAATCACCCCATTACTAGAGTTGGAATTATGTACATGTTGTGTTTATTTGTTGTCTTTTTGACTGGACGCGAAATATCAATAATTGTATTTAGATTCGAAGGAACTTTGCTTGGGAGTATAGGATGATATTTATTAGAGAAGGGTATTACGTCCTGTTTCTTCGTTTGTGGGTCGTTGCGTCTTGATCCGATGTAAACATTGACTGTAAAAATATCGAGTAATGACTTTGGATTTCTAATTGGCCTAGGTTGCGTGAGGTCCATCAGTTTCTTGTCAGCTGTGCGAATGTAAAACGTCCCGTACAGATGTGGAGGTGGTCTTGCTTTGTGTTGGTTCAGCGGACGGTGTTTTCCTTGCCGTGGATCCAGCAACTGCATCTGAGCGCGGTTCTTGGTAAGCCATGGCATAAGCAAGGGTCATATAACCATTTTCGGATTCGGACATCGAATGCGCTTGGTAAGGCCTCGCCAGCTGTTGAGGATTTGCAACGGTGGTCCATCGAACGGCTGGTTGCAAAACATTATCGGTATTCTTTCGCGCATAGACTTGTGAGAGCGTTTACGAGGTCCCCGTCCGCAATCATTTGGTGTCGTGCTTGCTTGGGTGCATAGTAATGGATCTCTCGTACTTGGAGGCAAGTGTTGTCCTTAGCGCAAGTGGAACCGACACATGTTTCGCGGCCTAAACTCGCTACAACGATACATTCCGACTTGTTTACCGACATGGACACAGGAGTACTTGGACAGTATGTGTGTGCTTGTGCAAGATTTCTTGTTATTTGGAACTTTAAGGTTTGACATTGGTCTCTCAGTCGTCGAGGATTTGTCGTTTGAGGCTGGACGTGGGTTGAGCAAGGTATGCATGCGGGCATTCGTTGGGGCATAGGTCTATTTCTGATAACGACGTTAATTTTTGGAACGTTTAGTTGAAGGAGGTTGATCGACCATGTACAGGTTTGTTCGTGCCATTCCACACTGGTGAGGGAACTTATCCATGAACTCATTTGAACGCAGATCAAAGAAAAACTCTCACAAGCGAGATGACGGATCTCCTAACAAACCTGCCTACACTACCCCATCAAGAACTTGTTTCCAAAATGCGGTATCTGACCACCCTCATGAGCGAACTACGTTCGCTAGTTGAGGAGCGTGTATTGTGTGCCATCGAGGTTGGGGACGAGGTTGAAGAACGGGTGAGGAGGTTAGAGGGTGTTTGTGAGGAGATGGGTGTTGGTATGTTCGTTTCATGGCTTTGCTTTCAAGATCTGTTTGTGTTGACTTTGACATTTTTCTTGGTATGGACAAGAGCCGGTTTTGGATAATAACAAGACCTACAAGTGTCCGTACGGTACGCCCACTCAGAGGCAGTTTACACCGTCTGCCATACATCGTGTACCAAAGCGAGATGGTCAACTCAAGCGATTGTTTGGTCCACCACGATCTCATCCCGATGAGGAAGTGTCATTAGGGCAGCCGCCGTGTCAGCGGATACCACCCAAATTCGTACCACACGACACTGTCCTGGAGGAGAAAAAGGAGGCTGCACGCGCTGCTGAACGGTGTGAACAGGAAGGGAAGGTCCCGACACGACCTAGGCGAACTGGATCTGGAACTGCCGTATCTGGGGAGGGTGAAGTGCGGGTTACAGCGAGTCCCGTCAAGGTAAAAGAAAAGGATCGAGACAAGAAGAGGGTGAACGGCGGTGAGGCGCCCATGGGAAAGCGGGTCAAAATAAAGAGGTATGTTACTAGGTTGTATGCTGCGATATCGTATGTCAATGTATGGTTGCCCTTAACCCCGAGATCAACAGATCCAAGCCGAGCGTATACTGCTTTTGTAAAGAAGATATCGGACCTGAGGCTCCCATGATTGGTATGGCCTCTTGTGATTGCACGGAAGACATGATACACTTTACTGACAGATCGTACACATATAGAATGCTCTACAGGATCGGTAGGAAACCATCACCGCTTCCTTTTTTTTTGGACCAACTTTGTTCATCTTTTTGATGTTAGGCATGTCCAGCGGGTCACTGGTTCCATTTTATATGTGTGGACGTTACCAAGGCCCCTCGAGGGAAATGGTGGTGTCCTGGATGTCGGGATCGGTGACGCTTGGCTTTGATGGGAAATTTGATTGCGATGGGGCCATTTTTATTTCACACCTTTTCGCAGACAATGCAAAATTAATCTAAGCATTCAAAGCAATTTACAGAAAGGTGTTACGGCTTGTAAACGAAGGGATTGGTTACGTTTTTTACTCTTTAATGCATCTACCAATCTCCATCCAGTAATCTTCCAGCTCTTGGTCCAGTTTGAATTTGACTTGTTTTCTGGTTAGTTTTTTGGACGTCCGTGTTGTGGTGCACGGTTCCCTCAAATCTTCAAGCATCCCTGTAGCTTGTTTACCATGGACAACGTCCTGAGGGTATCTTAGAATCGTGAGTTTTGCAATGTGCCATTTTATTAGTCTGGTAGCTATGGTTTTTGTCTTACCGGGTAGGGATAAGGGGCATATTGTCTTTGTAGAGGACTATATTCAGTGAAGTAGTCGCTGCCATGTACGTGAATGGGACAGTCGGAGTGGCCAGGAATACGAACCGCCGGCTTACCTTGGTTTTCGATGAGCTCGCATGTCCCAGCTTTCAAGTGGATGGTAATGTCGTATATGTGGGTTCACGTAGATTTTCGACGGACGGTAATGCCGATCATCCACAATCTCAGGGCGTCGAGGTGGACGGTAATATTGCATATCCGAATCGGTCATCCGTCTATTCATAAAATGAGAAATGAGGGAATGGAAACCTTACGTACTTGATTTCTTCAGGTTACCTCTTGTGCCCATTTTTCCTTCCCGGCCGACGGTGTCGATGATGATGGCTGCCAATCAATAACAATGGCGACGTAAGCAAGACATCATCAAGACAAGAGAATACGTTTACCTTTCATCATCCTTTGCCTTTCTTTGCTCTGGATGTGGTTGACTGTTCATAAGGGAAAGTGGTCAGATGGCCATTATCGTAAATTGCCAAAACATTGCAAATATTACAAGTTATTTCCTTTTCGATGGAGGTCACCTGTTCCTATCGTATCTTTTTCAAGAGCTGGATGCGGGGTGTATGTGCTCTTTAGAAACATGTGTTAGTTGCAAGATACGATTTTGTCTCTACGTGAAATTTGGATCAGTGATCGGAAGATGAGACATTTTACCTTGTCGACAAAGGAAAGCCACTTGGATGTAATGGATTTTTGGCTGTTTTGTGAGGTGCCGACTGACGGGATTTTCGGGTAGATGTCCACGGTAGTGGAAGGAGGAGGAGCGCGGGTATGTGGGGAAGGCATGTCCGCTATGGCGGCAGGGTCGGAGGTCGTTGAAGGACAGGATGCGCTACTACCTGATGAGGATACGTCTAACAGGGTAGCACTGACGATCCGTCCTGTAACCAGAAAGACAAGCATCATAAAGTTGACGAGGTAAACACTCGATGAAAGCAAAACACCAAAAAGCTGGAAAAACGAACCGTCAACAGTTCGCCCATCTAAATTGCGCACAGCTCTCTGTGCATCCTCCAAATGTCCAAACCCTACTGTAGCCGTTCTCGTGACGCAGCCAGAGGAGTCGGCGGCCAGCCGAACAGAATGGACTGGTGCATAGGAAGCAAAGTATGTCTGTCGGTTGGAACAAGACGGATCAACTTGTGAGATAGGTAAAATTCACGCAGAAGAATAGATGGAGGGTACTAGATACTTTCCTTTAAATCCTCTTGCGCAACGCGGATATCCAGCCCCTGTATTTGCATTAGAAAGCTACGATGCTCTTTCGAACGATGTTGAGACACAGTGGATGTAGGTGTGGGTGGAATATGAAGGGATTTGGGTTGCACCGGGTTCGGATCTTTGTGCTTGATCTATGAATTTGGGATGCTGAGTGGGGGTTTGGGTGAAGGTGGGAATCTGAATGCTTACCTCCGTTTTCTCTGGGCACTTTGGCCGTTCGCTCTAAACCGTTCAAGGATGGGATTACCCTTCATAGAGAATTATCAGGCAATCATGTTCCCATACCTTTCGACGCTCTTTCTCTCCAGCCGAGCATGCCAGGGATCCAATCGTATCCAACACGGGATTGGGTGCATGCATCCTACGGTGGACTCTATTCACTTCTGACGCTTCTGTCTACAAGTAAAAACAACCATGTACCGTTAACAAAGCACATAAGGGATTAGTGTCGAGCATTAAACACTTGATACCTTTTTACGGACAGTTTGGGAAGTAGATTTAGGTATCCATATCATGTTATGCGCTAATTGAATCCTGCGAGAATAGGTAAGACTGTGAAGCATACCTTGGCCATTTTCCGTTTCTCGACGGAGGATTCCAAATCTGCACTATCATTTCCAAGACGCTGTCAAATAATAACAATGTTGGACACGTTCAACTTTAACAAACACGAACCGACCACTAACCTCTCTGCCTTCGTGCCCGAGCACCCTCTGTTCCTTTCGCCCACACTGCATTGAGGTCTCGAGAAGGCCTTTCGACCTTGCTTGGGGCGAAACCGTTTTGGGTCTGCTCCTTTTGGATGGGGTATGGGACCGTGGCGACATGGTGGTTTTTTTGGGGAGACGATCAGCGAGATATCGGAAAAGGAAAAAGTTACTTGTGAATTAATAAAGTCTAGAACGGAGCAATGACAGGCTCCAAGGACAAAAGAAAAAAATAAGCTACCCCCCAACATCCACTGACAGATAACACGCGAATACCACTCACATGCTTGGCAGGCTTTCTCCCAATATCCTGTTACTGAAAGCTATGTCGTTTTATTTACATTTCCGCCTTCTTGCTGCTTAAATTCATTGCATCTTTTTTCTCATAATGACGAACATTGTAGCTTACATTGGCATCCATTTATACATGAGATATCTTTGTTTCTACAGCAGTGGGCAGGTCCAACAAGGTTCTGAATGTTGATAAAAACAGAGAAAGGTCGATAAGATCTATTATATTATCGACTTCCGCCTGAACGGGGAACCAACTCCCAACCAGATAGGTATGCAGGAATTTAAGGAGCCATGGAGGAAGGTCAGTAGGATTGCCAATGCATACCAGGCAGCTTATCGAATATGATGTCGTTGATGCCAAAGTGCAGGGCGCATTCAGCACTTTTATAACAATCCATTTGCCATGCGGTACACATTTGTCATACTCAGGTTGAGTAGGTCTGCTCTGTTTTGCTTATATCAATGCTTTGAAAGATTGATGAACGATGTTTCGTGTCCCGGGTGATTCTGACATGAGTTTTAGGAGACACATCAAGCTCTTGTGCAATTTCGATAAGCACCAGCTATGTCCTTCCTGACGCTCGTCTAGATCATGCTGTCATTTCAGGTTGGACCTCGAAAATGATCTCAGAGGTCTCAACGTGCATATTACACATTTTTAGTTTATTGCCATTGCTGCATTTGTGAACACTCTTTTGGAACCTCCAGTGCCTATAGATATGCTTGGGACTATGGGGTAAGACGTCGGTTGGATGAAAAGAATTCTTATTAGAGTGCCAGAGAAAAACGAGCAGATCACGGACACCCCCATATGAATGCACCTGTCGCGGGTATCTGATATTCGCACTTTTGAGCGGTGGAGCCCACGTACAAGTCCAAATCCGTGCCGAGCACACCCTAAAAGACGTTCAGTTAGAAAAGAAAAGGCCCGATTACAGGTAGGCAATGGAGCAGATATTTTACAGAAATCAAAAGCTAGCAATGTGCAAACAAAGATGCCGCCGAGAAACGAAAACTAGATACAAGAACAAATACAAAGCAAGCTCGCAGCCTCTTTCATGCAAGAATTATCCATAGGAGGTTTAGGGATAATAATAAGGTTTTCCACAAAAGAGCTAGGTATATGCACGGCGCACAGCGACCATCCCACGTGGAGCATATGCTTCAAGGACTCTTCCAATAATAGCCAGACGAATATGCGTACATGTCATGCACCTCCTGGTTATCGCACCTTCTTGCCTCTGGAGTAATATACTGAAAGGGTCGAGGGGGAAACAAGACTGTCGTAGATGGCGTCGGTGTCGGAGGAGGAGGAGGGGATCCAAGTGGCCGTTTCCTTTTGATGTTACTTGCGCGTGTTTTATAGTTTTTGTGGCCGGATCTTTTTCTTGAGTGCGTCTTCTGATGCTGTATAACAAATTAATGATTTGAAAGAAAAATTCAGTAAAGCAAAGAAATCAGCTCACCGCCCGCATATTATCCTGCCTCGTAAACGCCATTCCACAGCCATCCATAGGACAGATATATGGTCTTAAATTCAAATGAATGCGATTGTGTCTGGACAAATGTCCGCTGGTGGAAAACGTCTTTTCACAGCCTTCCCAGGTGCAAGCGTAGCGCTTCTTGGCGAGGGAAGCCAATACTTCGTCCCGAGTCGTGGGGGATGACCGTACAGGTGTTTCGGTATCTTTAGAATTTGAGCTTGAAGTTGAATTAGTGGGACTTGCAGACGCTATTGGTGCTGGTGGTGGTGATGAGCCTCTCATGTGAGGTGGAGAATCCGGATGCAATGGATATTCTTCTATAAATTCCCTCTCCTCAGGGGCGTCTTCAGAAGGATCCGCAACCTGGTCCCGCGGGACTTCCCTAGGGAGATTTCCACTGTAGCGTATATGAGTCGTAGAATCCGAATGGACAGAGTACTGTCCAGAGCACTCTTTCTTTACTTGTTCGCCGGGAGTCGCTTCCTCGTACTCTCCAACAGGATATCTTCCAAAGTACTCATTTTGGATTCGTTCCCCCGAAACCGTAGGCGGCACCCCGCCCCATCCAACACCAAGTGTTCTTGCACTTGAATAGACCGGCCACACAAGACTCTCTTGATGATGCGTGTCCTGAAACGAGGCAGACGTTTGATTCACAAACCTCCACTCAACATCCGTTCTCTGCATAGGAGCAAAAGGATATCCAGATCTCGGGGCGGATAAAGGGGGTACTGCAAATGTCGTTGAAATAGTGGGCAGAGAGTGAGAGCGCTTCAAGAAGGATGAAGAAGGCGGCGGTGCCGGCGGAGGATAAGCATAAACGTATGCTCGTGGAAGCATACTTCCTCCTGGCTGCTGTAGAAGCTGCTGTTGCTGCTGTTGCTGTGGTTGTTGTCGTTCATGACAGTATGCCTGTACGTGAGTCAATGTCCTCCTTCTTCCATCTTGCAATTCTTCCTGATGTTCCATCAATAATAACCGTTAAAAACAAAAAAAAGAGCAGTCTCTGCAAAAAACGGCCAGAACGAAATGCACGCGTAATCAGGTCAATGATGAATTTCCGATATAGATATATACATCACGTGAAATGGTAGCAGAGGCTTAAAAGGCTTTTTGAAGGAAAACATCGCAAGGAATCCATTTAACAAGAATAGGGAATTGGGGTAGAGATGGTCTTTGTGGAGGTGCAAAGAGTTTGGCAAAGGGTTGAGATCTTTTGCTTGCTTGCTTATTTGGAGGTGCGTAGATGAAGCAGCAAGGCCATGCATCTACGCACACACGATCCTCGTTCTTGTCTTCATTTTGGGTCTTGATCTTCCACAATAGTGACTATTGACACACTGGTGTGTTATTTTTCAGCGCATTAGTCTTACTCACATCTTTTGTGGGTGTTCATTGCGTATCTGTAAACATGCATACATGCATATACATCTATACGGACACGCTTGGAGGTGGAAAGGAAAACGAGGTGATCGCAAGGATAACATAACCTGTGTCACTTGGATTACATAATCATTCATCCCGACGTTTGACCAACATACTGCCAATGTGTCGATTCATTCACGTTCTAATATAAGCTTTCATGTGCAGCTCCCATGTCTGTGAGGCAGGAACCCAAATTTGTTCTCTCTTTACATCATTGTCGACTTTGTCTCTTGGTTGACGAATAACGATGTAGGAAAAACAGTGCCTCCCCATATTTCCGCACTCTCAGTCAGCAAGAATATGCCGTGTTATTCCAGATTGTCTCACTTTTCCATGCCTGAGAGCATCGGTTCTTGAAGACTTTCCCTGCAGATGACACTGCTCCATGTTTGGAAGAGGTTTGAATCTCCAAAGACCCCAATGATTCAAAGCAAGCGTGGTCAATTTTCTGGCAAGCATGTGAGATGCTTTCCTGTTTGATTACTGTCATGAGAAAGATTTGTTAGCAGAAGTTTCCAAAATTGTCATTATTCAGATCAAGTCACTGGCAATAAAGTACAGATACTATACGGAATTTATTCATAGACAAAAGCAAATGTACAAAGATGCAAAAGCATTTTCTAGTCAGAGCTCCACTGCTCTACTACCTCCCTACTCATCAGTTTCTTTCCGGTGTATTTTGATAGCAACTTTATGCCAAGCATTCACGAGCACACCCCTCACATTCCATATCCCCTGCATACCCTCCGGTTGAGAATTATAGCTCTCGTCGATGGCTTTACACACAATCTCCATTTTATCTCCCTTTTTTGGAACGGGGACGCGGGCTTCCCAGATTGTCCACGCCCATGATGCGGATGGAGACTGATTAGGGCGATGGAGGGTTGCATCTGTCCAGGTTCGGCCACCATCTCCAGAGACGTCCACGCGGACGATACCGCGTCCTCCGCCACTAACGGCGTACCCCGTCACAGGAACGACAGATGACGAGGCATCCACCACCTCGTTCTTTGCTGGTGAGACAATTGCGCTCTGCACAGGCAGTTCTTGGATCGACGTTGCCTTTTCATAGTCTTCTTCTGACACATTATTTTTCGACGGACTAAATCCCTTGTAATCCTTCCTCTGCCAATGTGATTCACTCTCTTCGTCGCTCAACGAAATCCTGTCTACCCATTTGACAGACCGCGCAGCAACGTGTCCAGGCACAACCACCCGCAACGGCGCCCCGTGATCAACCGGTAAGTCCTCCCCGTTCATCTCGTACGCTAAAATCACGTCTCCGGTCGCGGATACGGCTTTGTCAATCGGTATTGAGGCACCGTAACCCTCTGCTCCGTGAAATTGAACATGTTTGATTTCCTCAGAGGGTGCATATCCCATCTCTTTCAATACATCTCGTAGTCGAACACCACTCCATACTGCTGTACCGATGGCTCCTTGCTCCCACTGGAGGCCGTTAACAGGCTTGACCTCGTGCATCTCCTTGCGCCTGTTTCCGGCGCATTGAAGCGTCACTGCCACTGAAACCTTTTCAAACTTTTCTTTCAGATCCGGTAGACTAAGCGACAGTGATCCGCTGGGCCCGTCAACTGTGAGCCGGTACGCACCACTCTTGATGTCAGGTACAGGTAAATGGTTCCGTACAAAGAATTTTGGATTAGGGGTCGTTTGCTGGTCGAGTGCCGTGATTGGGGTTTCGGCATTACATGGAAACTCGGATCTCACCACCAACGCTGGATCCCTCACCGGCTCATTCGCAAACAACCCCTTCAATGCTTCCCCGTCATCTGTCACTTCCTGCCCGGGTACGTCTCTCAAATCTCCAATTCGGAACTGTTCCAGTAACTCTCGAGTCTCTTTTGTCTTGTGAATAGCAAAGACCGCCCAAAAAGGGTCAATGGAGCGGCCGGCTGCCATGAGGATCTTATCACCTCCAGGATGGACGGCTACAAACTCTGTAATGTCGTATACGCCTTGTTCGTGTATCACCCATATACCAGTTTCTTTTGATGTATGTTGAGACACTTGCTCTCTTGTGTACACTCGTCGTTCTTTGCGGCCAAGATTTCTATCATCGGTATCTACCTGATGTGGCTCATGAACCAATGGAAACCCCACCATTCGATCCATATCTCGCCTGAGAACAAGTGGTCCATCGGAATAGAGACTAGGGGCGTACCATACGCCCAAAGCGCTCGCTACACCGATTCCAAGGAAGAGAGGGGCATTAGACCCAGGAACGTTCTTCCACGGGCCTGTTGAGAAAGGTTTGATTGGCACGCCAGGTCCTCCACCTCCTGCCCCTCTCCGAACACCCTCCAATGCACACTTGAGCGCCCGTCTTGTATATCGTAAAAGCATGTCGAAAAGGTCTGCTAAAATCCAAGCTACGAAGCCTCAGAACCTGGCCTTTTTATCAAAAACCCAGCTGACCAAACATCACGCACTCATGTGGGGTAATTGTGGGGTAAGACGCATTCTGATTGGACGCCCCGATGTGGGGTAATGCTTAGTTAAATCACGTGTGCGCAAAAAGTATGACGTGGCCGATAACTGCGCGAACAGGTTCAATTGAAGACGATGTTTAACATTACATGAGAATAATGATATATTTCAAGAATGTAAAAATGCTCAAAAAGCAAAAATGTCTGTACAAAAAAAAAAGTACACCCCATCTCCAATCCAAAAAAGAAAAATACAAAAATAAGATACAATAAACGACCGAAAAACACTTTATCCAACTACAACCACCTGCTCAATGTCCTCTTCATCCCACCTGGTTTCATAGCCTTCCTCCTCCTGCTCCTCTTCAACCCAAACCCCACCGTCATCAGCGTCTTGTACAATATGTCCGTCATCCAGCTCATCTTCTACGTGTTCAACTTCACCCTCCTGATCTACATGTTGATCACCCGGTACAGTATCATTTCTTAAAATTCGTTGCGAAAACCGTCGAAAGAGTGTAACAGCTTCCTCTTTCTGCGCTTCGTAGGTTTGTCCCTCAACCTGCACAACAACCGATTCCTCTTTGCGCTTCTTCCAGCTCCTTTCTTCCACTTCCCGCCGCTTTCGCCGCGCCTCTTCCCTCTTCCTCCGCAGATTGTCAGCAACTGCATCCTCAAAAGCTCTGAAAAACAGTTCAAGCATGATGAAAACATGAGTAGGCTGTTTCTTTTCCCGTTGGCCTTCTGGAACTTTTTTGTATGGTTCCCCAAACTCCACGTAGGTGTCCAAGTCTTCGCCGAGATATTTGGCGGCTGTTTTCCAAGCAGTCTTAAATTCGGCAGTTTTGGAGGCCAGGGTTGCCATGAGAGCTGTCATCCGTGCGAAAAACGGTTGGAGTGAGCTTGTGACGTAGGCGGCCGTCGTGGGATCAGATGAAAATGTGTGCGATTGGAGACGGGCTAATGTAGATTCGAGCGACCGCATCTGTTGAACCATGTCGCGCATATCGTAGTGCCGAATTTGTTTGAGGAGAGAGAAGTCAGAGGGAAGGTCCAGAACCTATCGATCATAAAAGTGAGTCACTCTCAATAAATACAAACGTAAACCACAGCGCAACTTACATCCCCTCTCGACCTTTCAACCATATCCACCAAGAAACTCATCAAACTCCATTTTCCATCCGCGCTTTTGACATCCCTCAGCCTCGCCAACCCATCCACTTTAACACCCAGCGCTCGTGCTTCTTTGCCCATCCAAGGTCGGAAGCCCGCACCTCCCCTAGCTCCATTCGAGTATTCATAATTGGTCAAGTTTCCCAGTTCCAATACACTCCTTAGCAACACTTTGAGCTTTTCGCTCGTCTTAATCTCTTCGCATACCGTGATACATTTATCGAGTTTGGACACAATCTCCGTGACTTCGTGATCAGCTGAGGCGTTCAAAAGGGACGCTGTCACCATTTCAGTGATGTCGGGCGTCTGCATCATCTCAATCATGAACTGCTCCGCGGGTGCCAAAGGAGGTGCGTCGGGTTTGGGAGGTGAGGACAAGTGCGTATGGAGCATAAGACGTTCCTCTGGAGTCGGCAAAAGCTTTTGAACCATGGTGAGATCATCGGCTGAGAGCGTTTCGACGTCCATAGTGCGGACTGCCTGTACGATTTCGAGTGTCCCAAGACCCCGGCGGGTAAACCGGGAGAGACCGATAGAGACATTGTTAGCGCGTCGAAGGTCGAGAAGATTAGTGAATTGGGCTCTGGAAATAAATAACCGCATTATACACAACGTTTCATAAAATATACATGACACGTCAGTCAACGTACCTCTGGACCATTTTTGGTTTGGTCTTGGAAGGATTATCTCTATCCGTTCCCGGAACAATACAAAACAACTCTAAAAAAAATCTTGTCAGCGCGACCCACTCTAAAAAGTGTCTTGAACACTACAAACCTTCAAAACGTTGCACATCCAATTGAACTCCGTCCTCACCGACGCCCACAGCCGGTGCAAGTTCGTTCCAGACAGACCCTTCCACATCGCGGATTTCGTCCCAATGGACTCGAGCTCGGACACGCGGCTTGGAGGTTGATGGGCTTGATGGCGTAGACATGGGGAGCGCTCCTGACGCAGGTGGTGGTGGCGGGGGAGGAGGGGGAGGGGGAGGGGGTGGCGGCGGTGGTGGAGGAGGAGGGGGAGCGACAACAGGCTCAGATACCTCCTCAACATTCGGACTACCAATGGGAGGCGGCAGCAGATTTACCACGCCCGCCAATACAGGCCTCGTGGTTTCCGACATTGACGACTTTCGCACTGGAGCGGAGGGAGATCTCCTCTCTGCCTTCTCTGGCCGCTCCGCCAACCCTGGAGGTAACGGCCACGGCATCGGACTCTTTTTCTCCCTGTCTGGACTCCCAACCTCAGCGGCAATGGCCTTCAGCTCCCCCATTAATTCTAACAATCCCGCCTCGCTTGCCGTAGACCGCGCCCCACCGGCAGAACTCGAACTGGAAACCGACGCTCCGCGCATACTCTTCATTTGATCCAATACCTCTTTTAAGGATGACGTCGCGCCCAAATTCTTTCCATCGTCACCGCCATATCCGGATCTCGGAGACCCAAAACTTCGACTCCGCCGTCTATTTACACCTCGTTGGATTCCTGCCCGCTCTCCTCCCTCCAGTCCCACATCCGAACCTCGTCGCCCCTTCTCTTCGCTCGTTCGCTTCCGTCCTATGGCCTTTGCGGCCTGTTCCAACAACTCTTCCATCCTCTTAATAGCACGTCCCGTCTCCGTAGGACTAGTCGCCTCCTCATAGACTTTTGGGACTGGGGAAATAACGCCCATGCGTGCTTCGTGGACTCCAACCCCTTGCAATGGACCTGTTTGATCTACGTCCCGCGCGGTTTCGGGTGATTTACCCCGCCCACCTGATGAAGACCCAGATGAGCGAAGAGAGTCCGCGGCTGGTGATCCTGTAGATACCGAACTCGTCGATCTTCCCGAAGAGGCAGACGTGACATTTCGCGGCGCAGACGTAGACTTGGAATCTTCGCCGACGACGTGCCCCTGGTTGGGTAAGCCGGCGGTCGGCTGTTTTGCATCATCCAGTTGCCTGTTGGTTGGAAGTGGATCCCCCTCTCGAGGTGCCGCAGCGAGCGACTTACCAACCGAGCTAGACCCATTGGCACCTTCTTGGCCACGCAATTGCTGAATATACTTTGTCGCGGCCCGAAGGTCATTGTTTGTCCGTTGGAGCGCAAAACAGGCTGGTCATATCAATTGCGGTTAGTAAAAGACTAGGGTACATCAAGCGGGATGGAACTCACCCAAGATCCGAGAAGTTCCCATTCCCTCCAATACATTCAACGCCGACTCCTTCACTCTAACGCCATGTCCAGCAACCAGCCTAGCCAAGCATCTCGTCAAACCTCTGTCGAGCATCTGAACATACCCACCCCCCGTTTTCACTACCGCATTGCTACTTTCTGAAAACACCAAATAAACGCAAAACTGTTCCGTCACGTGTCGCAACTCTACTTCTCGTGGGGCAACTTCCAGATCCCGCTTAGCGACGCGAATGACGCCGGGTAGCATGAAGCCGGTATGAAAGGACAAGCTGGCGATGGTGGTCACTTGTGCCGAGTTTAATACTGGGTCAGGTATGTGGAACAACCGTACTTGGATATCCGAATCCAGAAACAGCTGTTGATCGGGTGATATGCGAAACACTGTTTTTCCCGTCACATCTACGTAAGCTGATGGTGTTGACCCGTTCACCACATCCTCACCGCTCGCATATTGTCTCGAGCGAATCAAAGACGAATACACCATCTTGCCGTTCTGGTATACTTCCACACTAGGTTCATTTACAGCCTGCATTCCTTCCACAATCACGCGATGAAGTTTCAGCACCTTGGGATTGGGTAAGCTTCCACCCAGCTCCACAATATGATTGAAATACCCAACGTATCGCCTCAGCGCAACCGTAGCCCACGCCGCCTCACCACGAGTTCGTCGCCGGATAAAGTATTCAAATGCCTCATTCGCATCCATAAAGGTCTCGCTGTATCGAAGGTAACAGGCAATCGCCACCCCCGTCCGTCCCAATCCCGTTGAACATTGAAAAACCGCAACGTGTCGCGGGTCAAGGGATAGCCAAGCGTGTACGGATCGGCAAATGTCAAATAGCGTACGCAAGCTCATGGCGTATGCCTTGGATAATCCAAATGAAACAACTTGGTTCCCAAAATGCGTGGTATCGTACGCTCCTGCCACAGTGTCGCCTATATGGAAACCCGCCATGTCAAAGTCGATTACGACAAAACGTGAACCCCCAAGCCAATGCACTACTCACCAGCCAAATTCCAAACCAGATATCTTCCCGGATACCTCGTATTCAAAAATCTCGCAACATCGTCCACATTGTTCCTTCGACTCCTTTTATCCGTCCGCTGCTTCCAGCACGCACCCATGGCAATCAATCGATCCGTTATGCGGGATATATCCAGTCGGTGTAACAGTTTGCGGAATTGGGGGTCGTCGGGGATTGGTGGTGGTGCAGTGCCTGGTGCGGGTGGGTCCAGAGGATGAGAGGTGGGGTAAAAGTCATCGTGGGTGAGGAGTGGCCGGACGTATGTGGCCCCTGCATGTTGTGTTAAACATCCGGTAAAGTTGACGTGACGGACGTGTACAAACCTGTGGAACCTGTGCCCCACACATCCTCGCTACCCCTCCGTTGACTCCCAGAAGTGACCTAGACGATCAAGCAAGACTCGTCAGCGACTTTGGGCTCTTTGGATCTTCAAATATCAGTAACTCACCTGTCCAAATGGCATACAAAATCTACTCGATACAATCTAGGGACAGCGCTACAAAGAGCGCACAGAGACAATCACGAACCCGTGCAGAAACCCCTACTACTATAACCACTTGTCTGTATCCCAATGTCTAACAAACCATCAATAGTTGCGTAATGGCAACAATCTACTCTGATCTCTAAAATGCTAATGTCAAATCCCGCCGCTCTCTCTCCAACCTTCAAGGGTGCAGCACCAGGGTACAATGTCACGTGATTAACAAGGGTCGAACTTCAAAAAAAGTTAATACGATGCCAAATAAATCTATTCCAATGTGTGAAATCCCTTCTACGCACTCCGAAAAACTAGCTACCCCCCAACTATATACACAAATAAATCATATAACGTTTATCAGATTGCAGAGCCTATGCTTCTACGACGACATCTCTCATGATTCGCTCTCCATTAGCACTCTGCATTTGAGCGCTTCTCGCCCCTCTGCTTAGGTTCCCGCTCAACGGTTGCCTCACCTCAAACGCACCCGTACCCCCTTTCACCACTTTGCCAAGTACGAGTCGCGCTGAAGGAGATTCCAAGGGATCAAAATCTCCAGTCCTAAAAATCAAGGTATGACAGTCAATAAATGCTCCTGAAAGAAAACCAAAACAAGATACATACAAGGTCGCCGTTGTCAAAAATGATGTAGTAGTTTCAAAACTCATCTGCGCAAACGGGCTAGGGTTTGATGCCATTCCCATACGGTTGAATGGTTTGTATCCTCCTTCAAAAGTCATGTAATCCGCAATCAAACTCAAATGCCGGTTGTCGACATTGATACCATAAACACCAAAGACGCTCGCGATTTCTTGCATAATAGCTGCTCGCGCGGCTTCAACACCGTAGGTGGACAGAACGGCCGCAATGTCGTTTGTGTAGATTTTGGTCACATCAATGAGATTGGCAAAGTCCCACATACCGCGCAGATTGACACCATCTGCACCAATGTTGACCGAGGTATCGTTTTCCGATTCATTGGGGAGAGGGTAGCTTCGTTGTATACCGCGGACTTCGTGAATGACGACTGAGTGGCATACTTGCTCCGCGAGAGCTACCATGAGCAACTTTTTGGTATTGGCCGCAAACTATGGAATTAATCCAAGGTTAGCATTCAGCTCTGTGACTGCGCAACCTAGTTGTGTGTCACTCACCTGCATTGTCAATTCGCACCATCGACCTCCCTGGTCCATCTTGTAGCCAACAACAAATTTGCTGCTCTCCTTGATTTTCTCCTCTCTTGTCTTCTCATCCGCATCCACGTTCTCCTCGGGCTCACCATCCTCGTCATCGCTCGCACCATCCTCCTGAGATATGGCCTCTTTAATGACCTCCTCATCTTCCTCATCTGGAGCATCATACGATGCATGCTGAACCCTATTCTTTGCTCGCTTTGCATTCGCAGCATCTCCATCCTCTCCATCAACATCGGATCCGGCATCCTCCTCATCATCTAACCCTCCCTCTTCCTGGTCCTTTTTACCTTTAGCCTTTGTATTGCTCACCCCATCTTCATCATTATCGTCCCCAGTGCTGCGGCGTACCTTGCCGCCACCCTCATCAAAACTGCCCAATCCGACCCCAATCTTCTCATCGTCCTCAGCATCATCAGATTTGCGTATCTTTGCTTTCAAATCTCTCACAATGGCCCTTTCCAAAGCCGGCACAAATCGCTTCTCAATCACGCGTCCAAGGTCTTCGACAGTGAGCCCATGTTCCTTCTCATAAGCCTTACGCGGCCAGAACTGGAGTCGAAGCGTCAAAATCTTCTTTCGAGTCAGATCATCCCCCTTGCCGCTCAACTGTTCTCGCACCGTTACACCTTCCATAACCTGACCAAGAACCAACCGACTGATTTGCTTGCAGAGCTTGTCGCCCTTGTCTTTGGCTCCCTCCAAAAGAGGTAGTCTCATCATCGGCGTTTTGATCGATGCGGAAGCCGTCATAATAATTTCACGCAGACGAGGGATACCAAGGGTCACGTTCTTGGCACCGAAACCGGCAAAATGGAAAGTGTTCAGTGTCATTTGGGTGGAGGGTTCTCCAATACTCTGCGCAGCGAGCAGTCCAACCGCCTCTCCAGGCTCCACAAGAGAGTTCATGTATTTTAGATTCATCAGCATTTTGAACCGGGCATCCGATACCGGTTCCCCAGACCATGCTGTGTGCTTGCCATCGGTCCCATTCTTGGCTGTACCTTTCTTCTTGGAAAGCAATAACCCCGCGGGATTCTTTTCAACATACGTGTCCAAGTCTTCCGCAAACTTTTCGCTGACGGCTCCCAGTACCCTACTAGGACTGAACCTCTCCAAAACGGGATCCGTGTTTGTCTCTTTTCCTTTACGTATCCTCTTTCGCACCCGATCAACACTATCAGTATCGATATTCGCCTTTGCAAGCCGCTTGGGGTCGTATCGCTTAACAAGTGCTCGGTAATTCATGGCGCAGAAATCAAACTTTGTCAAAGTCTTTTGCTTTGTCACGTCCAATGAATCCTCGCCGTAATGAAACTGGACCACAGACCCATCCGAATCCCGGACCGTGTGGTCGTAATGGACGCGTAAACCTTCCAGTGGTTTGATTAGACATCTTTGAAGATATCCAGACCGAGATGTCTTGACGGCAGTATCGATCAACCCCTCACGACCAGCCATGCAATGGAAAAAATACTCTTGTGGCTTGATGCCAGTCAAGAAACGTCCCGTGATAAATCCACCGGACCTTGCCGCCGTATCAAACGGTAGGAAACTAGGTAACGTTTTCCCAGAAATCATTGTGGGGACACGACGACCCTCCAACTCTTGTTGCCCCAAGAGGCACGAGATTTGCGACACGTTCACGTTGGAACCCTTAGCACCAGATACTGTCATCATCTGCATGTTATTCCTGGGGAAAGGTTTCAAGAGCTGATCCGGCACGGTGCTGGAAATGATATTCGAGGTCACGCGGTTGGTCTTGCTCTTCATTGCCGCATCCAATCCAGCCATCTTTTCATCGACTCTCAATACGCCTTCTAATTTTTGCTTCAGACGCAGCTCGCCTTCGGGTCCTTGAACAAGAGGCTTTCCATCCTTATCTTGTAATCCGACGTACTCCATTACAGCTTCACGGCCCATCGTCCGAGACTCTTGGATCAATTCTCGGCGTTTGTTATCGCCAGAGGGCGTTAAACGCAAATCGTCCATTCGACACGAGAATCCCACCATTTGGAGGTAGGAAGTGAACAAGCGTCCAAGGATTGACAACAGTTTTCCCGCATAGGGTGGACCGTAAATTTCGTAGACAGCATGAACCAGACCGTTCGCGCTGGCACCGAACTGCGATTTGTCCAGTACTCCGGTGAGGAGATGTCCGTCCATGAAAAGGACAGCTTGCTCTTCAGGTGCAGTGGGACCCCAAGCCTTTGCTGGAATTCTGGCTTTAGATTTGAGATTGAGTGGCTCAGATCCTGCAGTCAAGTTCAAGAGCACTGTAGTAATCTAGAATGACAGAAATACGAGTCAGTTAAAACACGCGACAGTATATCACGGAAATAGAAAGGTGCTGCTACTCACCACTTGTTTTCCCGTCCACAACATTCTCGGCCTGTAAAAGGTAGGCTCGATCGTGACAACTCGTCCACCATCCCCAATAATCAACTCTTGTTCAATGTTACCATTCCCAACTGTGTTTCCAGCCATTCCTTCCGGTCTCAAGCAAGAATAGACGAGTTGCATGTACTCCTCTCTGGTGAAAACAGTGTCTCGACTACACATATCCACACCTGCATCGACATGGTCCTGGATCAAACCACGTAGAACACCGCCGTCTGTAGGTACAAGGTACTGCTTGTCGGTACGTGCAATCAACATGGCCTCTGCTCTGCCGATTTCATTTTGAGGGAAATGAGCATTCATTTCGTCACCGTCGAAATCGGCATTGTACGTGTTGCAGTTGGCATAGTGCATTCTAATGGTTTTCTCTCCGGGCAAGACACGGGCAGTATGCGCCATGATAGAGGGCTTATGCAACGTAGGCTGACGGTTGAGTAGTAGGAAATCACCGTTGCGGAGATGACGAAGCACTTTTTTATTAATGTGAGACTGATGCTGAGCTGTAATGAACGAAATAGAATATTAAAACCGGATTTGCTTCAAAAACGTAAAAAATCAAATCTCATACCATCGCTCGTTGTGCCAGAAATGGTTGGGGTGAGCAACTGATTCGCAATTGCCGTCCGTCCACCTTCATCAAAGATGGCCAAGTTTACCATCGTGCCATCCTCGTTTTGAACATGGGTTGCGCCGGGCCATTTCAGCGGGCCATTGATTACTGCCCGTCGCAACTCTTTCACGTTATGATGGGTTACCGGTTCCGGGTACGTCAATTTTGTGGCAAAGACTGGTGGAATTCCAATTTCGCTCGTCTCTATATAAGGGTCAGGACTAATAACACTACGGGCCGCAAAATTGACACGCTTTCCCATCATGTGTTTACGGAATAATCCCTCCTTTTTCTCAAGCAGCTGTCGGATACCCAAGGGAGCCATCTTGCCCCCAGCAGTCAGGGGTGCTTTCGAACTGTCAATCAAGAAATTCACGCTCATTTGCAACTTGATCCATGCTTCCACAGTGCGCTTCAAAAACTCTGCTTTGCGGTCTCGGTATAGCTTGCTATCTTTGTCAGCAATAACCGCCAACGCCTCTCGTTCCTGGGCTCGCAAGTCCTGAATCATCAGATTTGCTTTGAGAACCTCGGTAAGATGTGTGTTCTGGGGATGCTCGTACAACATGTCGTTCATTTTAGAAACTGGACGGAACCGGGTGGGGGTGACGGACACAACATCCAAGAAAAACATGGTCCAGCTTGAGGTCCGCGCTCCGTTCTCTACAGACGTGGCACCGTATAAAAGATCGAATATCGTTTGTTCCCGCGCCCACAGTAGTTTAAAATGCTCTTGAACTTCCATGGGGGTTAAAAACTTGTCACGGTTTGCGACAACCTCAGTTTCCTCTTCCTCGTCGTCTTCCTCGACATCCGCAGCAGTATCTTGAGCGGATAATGACCTAATACTTTGTATACCCATTGAACGGGCATCATCAATGTCCATAGAGTCGGGCTTGGGGTAGGTCAAATTTTCTTCTTGGACTGCGTCGGATGCTGCAGCAGCAGCACCACCAAAGAGCTTCTCAAATTTGAGCCCTCGGGCATCCATAAGGGACTTTTGCTTAGTACTGAGCGATTTTTGAAATATCTTGTGTTCCCCTTCTTTTCTGAACTTTGGACTTTGTCCCCGGCAGTTGCTACAACTATTACTCGGTATGGCCCCAAGGAATTGTCGCTCCAATTTCCGAAGGTTTTCAGTGATCAATGTTGCTTTCCGTAACACACCACTTTCTGGCATGTTGGCCAAACATTGCTCCACATAGGCATCTATTCTCGCCAACGTTTCTTCTTCCGTTTTCGGCCCGGTACCAAGTTCCTCATCAATATCCATGCCATTCTCCTCCCCTTCCTCTTCCTCGCCTTCATCCTCATCTCCCTCCTCAGCTTCATCATCAATCAACTTTGTCTTTTTGTTTTCTTTCTTGGCCTTTTTGGACTTTGCGCCTCCGCCTATCCGAAGACCTTTCAGGGACACAGCTTCATCAAGGCCAGCGGCTTCCGTAATGAGACCAGCGTAGATCAGTTTAAGCTTTGCGCCAAAGTGGGCAATGACTATGCGGGAGGAACGAAGACGGTGGCAAAAGAAACAGAGGGATTGTAGGAGTTTGTACATGAGTCGAAAGGTGATGGGATTATAAACAGGGGCCGCGAGATCAATGTGACCGAAATGGCCAGGACACGAAAAGTAACCGAGGGAGCATGTCCCACAACTGCAAAAGAAGACAATCGTCAGAATGTACGTCAGATGTAACGCTCACAATACCACACGTACCTAGCACCCTTGTCATGCGGTCCCAAGCACGGGTCATAAAGACCGCCTTTAGTAGGATGGTTTAAGTTGTCAAACAAGAGGGGATTTGTGATTTGCTTCACCGAAAGTTTACGAATATCATTTGAAGTCAGGAATGAGAATGCCACTGACGTGACCTCTCTGGAGACGGGATTCGCAATGTTCATGGTGGATTTAGAGTCCACCCGCCGCCGGAAATGCCAGAGTTGGAGATGACCAAAATGCGCGTTTTGGCTTTGGCGGAAGCGGTGACCAAAGGACGACGGTACGGTGCGGATTCAGTAGTTGGGACTAAATGTAGTGTCCTTGGAGTTTATCTCTGTCAGAACTGACCCACACCTGCCCCACACTGCAGTGTATCGTAGTCGTCGTCCTCGTCGTCGACCGAGATCGGAGTTTCCTAAAGGAGTCATTCGCACGACAAAAATAAAAATACACGTGAGAGCTCTTGTTGCCATGTCAACTGAACTTTGGTCTTGCAATGACATCCTTGTGGCCTTGTGGATGAACTGGATGGTCGATGGGAGGTAGGCAATACGCACAGGAGAGTCAAGTATGGCGTAATGGAGGGGGAAGCCTCTCAAAAAAGGACCTTTCAGGAAATGGCTCTGGCCCAAGCACATGTTTGCCAAAGATACTTTTATTGCAATGTCATTGAATGTCCAAATTCATGAACATTTTCAGCTAGCTTGTAAATATTGATGGGAACATGCTGTTTGAACCCAATGCTCGTATGCAGACCTCAACATGTCTCTAACCTTGAATGGATAGAGTCTTTTCCCGAGTATGGACCCAATTGCAAAGACCTTTATGAACGGCTAAGCCTCTCACACTTTCCAATGATGACATCATCTCCCATTTCACACCTTTTTTGACTTTTAGCTTTCAAAGAGTTCATTCAAGAGAAATGACCTCACTGATTGGGGGGAAAAGCAAGGTAAGCAAGGTTTAAACGGGGGGGCTTTTGTTCAAAAGAGTTACTTTTTCCGCATTATTCCAGAGGAGCGATAAGTGTGTGCATAATGACATCAAAGCTACATTTATAAATAAAAAAGGGCAGCGTTTCCTCTTTTTTGGCTATCTCTACGTTATCTACAGAGTTTATTATATTTCTTTTTTTTTTTTGGAATAAACAATGCATGGCATTTTGAGCAGACTTGTTGGCGCATTCACGCCCTCCACAACTCCCGCGGATGCACCCACAAGAAGAAACGCAACCATAACCGTAGACCAACTCGTGGAAGAATGGCACGACATTCTCTCCGCGCGCTCAAAAGTGTCCTACGAAAATATATCCCATCGAGAACTCTTTTACCGTCTTATGAATATTGAACTGTACCCAGATGCTCTCTATGCAGCTCGCGACTTTCTTCAGTCAAGACTTGAACAAGCCCTCGACGCAGCTGAAAAAGATGCACGAAACGAGGATCCATCCTCTTCCTTGGCCGCCGCACTGAAGGATGGATATTGTCCCAATACCTTGGAAAAGTACATGTTGAAATCGCACCAAACGACCATGGACGCGTTTCATGCGTACCGAAGAGAATGGGATGAGAGGATGGGTGAAGGGGAGGGCATTGAGACTGCCAATAGAATGTTTCCCGACAGAGAGTTTGCTCGGTGGTGGCTAATTCAGAATGCTCCAACAAAGCTAGTCGATGGAAGTTGGTAAGCATATCGAACTACAATCAAGGTGGTTTTCATATTGCTGAATTGTATAATCTTGGTCAACAGGCTGCAAAATGTTCTCAGTCCAGAAACACCATCTGATCTACGCCGCTTCGCGCTGCCCTTGTATCAAACGTTTGCAGAAGAACTCGGGGAAGGACTTGCCGTACAGAATCACGTAAATGTTTACAATGTCTGTCTCTCCAGTGAAGGGTAAGTAGATTTCTTTTGTGCATTGGGGGCCCTTAACACGTAACGTTTCTGATATAAATTCGAACAGCATTCATCTTCCCGATGCAAGCACACGAGCATTCGCCTATCACCCAGACATCCTTGACTCTGCATATGAGCGAGGCGTGGTTCAAATGGCTCTCGGTCAGTTTGCAGGCAATGCCATGTTTCCTGAAGTGATGGGATACAATTTTGGGTGCGTCGATGCATTTCATGTCTCCCACCAGTATTATGTTGGCTAAAACGACCTTGCTCTCAGATATGAGCAGCTTCCGTTACACCTCCTAGTAACCACCCACGAATTCCGACAAATGGGTATTGACTACAATTACTTTCAGCTGCATGTAACCATTGATAATGCGGCAACTGGACATGCCCATATGGCGACAAAGGCTGTCATTGATTATCTAGATTATATCAAATGCACGCAGGGTGAAGAAGCGTAAGTAGCTGCACTGCAACTGTCTTGGGCCGTCTTTTGTCTAATGTTTTCAATCTAGCATGCACAATCATTGGCGACGAATTCTTGCAGGATACTACCTAAGTGAATCCAACCCTCTTAAAACGTCACTCGACACCCGTCGGGATGAACACCGTAAAAAGTACCAGCAACCCCAACCGCAAGATCAAACGTTCGAGACATATACGCAAGCCATGCGCGCCATCCTTGAACAGAAATCGCCCTTTGCACATAAGATTCACTCCCCAGAAATCTGTCTTGGTGCCCTTCCACTAAGCACTTGGCTTGACCCCAAACACATTTCCACCCGTTCGGCAGCGCTCGTCGAGGAGCTAGCCCGATCGCGGTGGGTGACACCAGGCAACCCTTCTGAAAGTGCTCTATTGAAAGACTTGTGCAGCTTTGGTGGAGGCATGTTTGGGGTTTTTACCAAGGAAGAAAGGAAGATTATCGAAGCTTGGATCAGAGGGCTCGCGGAACAGAGAGCTCAGGACGATGGAACCAAAACATGTCCGATATCAAACGCAACTAGCGTTACCTCGAATGCTACCTGCCCTTTTACATCAAAACAATTCACACAAGCTCAAAATCCCCCTCCGACCGACAAGGAAATCGACGAGTCACTGAAAGCTATGTTGACCCTCATCAAGACCAAAGCACCTCTTGCGCGCAAAAGGCACGGTTCCATATCACTCACCGACAGCAGCGGGCAAACCCGTCGGATTGACGACTGGTTCGACCATCCAGAAGGGCTCCTAGACGCCTTAAAGTCCAGCGGGTTTGTCTCGGGTGAAATCAGTCGATTAGAAATGTCCATCAAGAAGGGAAGTGGGCGAATGGGTAGTTATTTTACGGACAGCGAGAGAAAAGTTGTCGAGAGATGGGTTAGGGCCGGGGCTCCCCTACCCCGCTATTCTTCTTCTACACTCTCACAAGAGGAAGGTGAAAGTAGACCGCAGCCAACATCAGCGCAAATCGCACCGGCCGCCGAAGTTCCATCCACAGATCCGACGGCTATCACTCTCGCCACAACCGTCATCGCCCATCACACTCAACCCACATTCAACGTACCACCCAAACCAACACCGTTCCATCTTCCTCTCCCTCCTAAAAACCTCCTCCCTCCAGAGATTCTCTACAAACTCTTGAAAACCACCACCCCTCTCTCACACCATCTGTCCTACATGCTCCTCCAAACACCACCAACTCTTACCTCAACACCCAAAACACCCATGACAACCCTCCCCCTCCTCCTCCTCCTTCCAACGGCCCCGCTTTCAAAACTCTTTTCACCCAAATCGCATCCCAAACCCCTCCAAACTGCCCTTTTGAATCTACATACCAATCTCCAACCCCTCGCTAGCATTATCGAAACGACTCTCAAACTGCTGAATGTGTATGAGCCCTATGACCTCGATACGGGGTATACTCTCCTTGCAAATTACGTGCTCGCAGTGGGGAATGTCGGAAATGCGCGGATGGACGACGTTATTTCTTGTACTAGATTTATGGTGGAAGATGTTTTACCGGTTTTTGTAGGATTTGTACCCAATGTAGGAACTTTGAAGCAAATGCAGTGTGGAAATATTGTTGGGGAGATTAATGAGTCGTGGAGGGAAGTGAAGAGAGTCTGGGGAAAGGAAATCGCCAGAGGCGTGCTTGGAGAGGTTTGGAAGTCGAGTGGAGGTGCCTATCAGCACAAAAACTAAGTTACGGCAGCTGCACTATCTTGCTGCATCAAATGGAAAACATGGATATATCAATGTAATATATGTAATATCTTGGCTCATTGCCAGCAGAGTAGTAGCCTATACCCCGCAGTGCCCAAGATAGCAGACCTACTCTAATGATCCTACAACTCTATATACAACCCTATGCTGGCATCCCCACTAATCACCCTCTTCGCCGTCGTTACCCTCTTCCTCCCCGCTATCATTGCTACTATCATCCCCTTCACCGACACCCCCCAAAACACTCCCAACAACCCCAGCAGCCTCCGCAACGCCCTGCAATCCGCCCGGTAGGAACGGCGCCACATTACCCAAATGTCCAATAGCTTCGGCAGCCATAGAAATATAGTTTGTACTGGATGATAGGACATTAGAGAGATTCAATGCTGTTTTACAGCGGTCAGACGATGAGATGAGAGACATACGGTGGGGCAAAATTGACAATTGCAACATACCAACGCCAGATACCACCAAACTTCCTACTCCAGCGACCACACCTCCCTCCACAGCCGCCCCAAACCCCTGACTCAATGCCTTGACAGCTTTGTTCTCGGCAATGGCATCCCCTCCTAGAGCACCTGCAGCGGTCGAAAGAAGTTGGCCAGTTGTGTACTTGTTGAGCAGATCGGCAGTTGTTTCCACGCGCATTTGTGTCGTCCCTGTTTTTTATAATTTGGACACGGTGTCATATATCCGTAAAGGTTTACGACCGTGAAACGTCAAGCATGACACTTACGCCTTCCAAATTTCCCAACCAATCCACCACCAACCCCTCTCGCCACCGCTCCAGCTGTCGCCAACAGCCCAGCCATTTCGCCACCGCCCACAACCGCAACAGGTCCCGCAGCGACTTGTGCCGCATTTCCGAGATGCGAAATGGTTTCTCCAGCACGAGCAGCAAGTGTTTCGTAAAAAGAACGAGAAACGAGGAGAGTAGTCCTACGACGGGCAACTGCGCCCTTTTTGGGTTTTTTGGACCTCTTCTTGCCACTGGGTTTGAGCTTGGTGATGGTGCGTGCGGATTCATCGTCGGACCACTCATCTATCCAGAGGGTCTCGTCCGCATCGAGGAAAATATCAGTGTCGTCATCATTGTCAGAATCTGCAGTATTCAAGTCCCGCTAAAGAAAAAACGTAATGTGAGATCCTGCGAAAATGGAAACCGCTCTACTACTTACATGTGCGTCCTTCTCTACCTCCTCCTCCTGATTTTGCTGTAACACACTCAGATTTTGCTCTGCTCTCCGCGTAATAACCGTGCCTCTTCGCACATCAGTAGACACTCTCCTCAAAGTCATTTTCCTGTCAACACCATCAACGTGTTCCAAAGGCTTCCTCATAATAGTCGCTGACCGAACCACCCTGGTAATTTTCCGTTGAAGCAATGGGGCATTCCGTTCTGAAGGTTCCTCAAAAGTCGATAACCGTCGCGTGGTTTTACGCGTAATAGTCACTCCACGGGTTGCAAGTATACACGAACCCCTTCGTATCGTACTTTTTCGCCGCAAAACGTCAGGTCCTGTGGGAATTTGCAATTCTGTCGAATTGGAGTGCTCTTCATCGACCCATGCCTTATCATCAACGTCAAAAAACTCTTCGTCTTCGCTTTCCTCTGGGTTTTCCACCTTCCACCCTTCTCCAGTCTCATTTAACTGTCGACCTCCGTTCAATGCACGCATCAGCTCTTCCTCGTTCGTCACAACAAGTGTCTGTCGTCTAGATAGTGATGGTCTCGCGGGGAAGGCTGTGACGCTCCGGACGACCCTTCTGGACATTGGAGACGGACTACGTGAACCACTCGAGAAAGATTGCGGGGAGGACGGTGTCAAAAGCTCTCCCCCCTAGAATTGAGATAGTCAATCAACAGTTTTCAAGGTATCTTGCAACTTGTGGCGGCATACATACTAGTCGTCTTCCTCTTGTCCCATTTCGTGTCGGACGGGATCTCGGCAATTGAAAGTCCAAATCAAGTGCAACCATATCCTCCATCCCGGGTTTCTCCACACGACAATCGACCTGGTGAAAACGAACACTTTTGGAGCGCGGTAGAGAAGAAAAGGTCCTGTCGGCTGGCGTAAGGTTGATGGAAGGTACGGGGTTGTTGGGTATCTAATGCACCATTAAGTAAGCGCTGGTTTCCTGAAACCTAACCTCTCCATTTCCTCTCGGTACTGACCTGTACCTCCTCGATACGCTCTGCAGACTTTGACAAAACCTCGGGTTCCAGCCCAGACGCTACGTCTTCGTTCCCTCTCTCACCTAAACCAAAAAGCAAGGGCAAAGCACGTGGTCAACTAAAACCATAACAATACTAAATGAATTCAAAGTCATTGACAAGATGCTCACCTATGCCGTCCTTGAACCTCCTAACCACAGCGTGCGCCCTCGTCAGGCGCTTGAACGCATTACGCTGGAGGCCATTCGGTCCAGGTGATATATCCTCTAGTTCCTCTTCTTCAATGTCAGGTGGAGAATGAGAAGGATAGAGGGTTGGTTGTGTCATTGGGAAACACTAATGCCCCTGCTGTCGCGCAGGAAAGAAGGGGTGCGGAGGATCTTTGAAAGATTCAACGGGTTGCTGACGAAATTCGCTTGAGCCTCGGCACGTGATGTTCTATAGTGTCCGATTGAAGTGTTCTTTATTTTTACTTTGACATACAGTGCTGCAAAGCAAGAAATAAAAGGAAACCATCGTTCAGCATAGTTGCTTCATCCGTCAAAAATGACAGCCTCGTCCGTATGGCATTAATTGCAGAGTTTACACCACATTCCACAGCAAAAGATATCTCAACGTTCGCAGTAAACTACATCCGTATTCCCTCCTTTTAAGCATAGTAACTAGGTGAAATTAACAGATCCGACAGAACCCCACGTTGCTCCTCGGTAAATGCCAGCATGTCTTCATGCCAATTATCTTGATGGGTTCTCCGGAAATCCGAAAAGAGCTTTTGAACCGACACCTGTAACAGACAACTGTCAAGGACACGACAAACAAAATGCTCAAAGGAGAAACCAAATTTGTCTTACCCCAACAGGAGCTGGATCTCCCACACTTCTCGCGAGGAGAACAAGCACATCCGGCATCCACTTTGGGACTTCATACGGAAATGCCTGCACCAAGGCGGATAACCCAAGCACTGCCGCGTGTCTCTTTGCAAGCAACAGCTGTTGCTGCTGCTGTTGACCTGATGTCAAAGTAGGAGGTTCTTGTCCTCTACGCCGTCGGGGAAGGGAACTTGCAGAAAGTTGACCTTCAAATCGTGTCTGAAACAGGAAAATGATGAATTAGTTGGTCGAGGAACTGGACAAGCCAACAAAAATGTGGTCCGCACCTTCAATTCCAAAACCGCCTCCCTTTGCGAGCATCTAATCAATCCCGATAAAGTAACAGAAGCCAACTGCCTGACTTCCACTTGTGCATCCTCTAACAATCTCGATACACTTTCTACAACTCTTCTGACCACATCTCCATCCAGCAAGAATAAATGTCTAAAATAAAAGACCTGCAGTGTCGGTAGCACCCGCCAGCGGACCTGCCATCGTTTGGTCGCTGATTCTGATGGCGAGTCGCGACCAGTGACAGTCCCCTCGGTACCAGCTTTCAGTAGCATCTCCACAGTATTGGGTACCATTTCCTGCGGATGGGGTGTGTTGGCGTACATTTGGGCAACCGCTTTGGCGCTTGCCTGGAGGTCCTGATCGGCATGCACTTGCATTTGCAACAGTTCGGGAACCAGGTATGGAAGATAAGGATACAGTCCCGCAACACGCGATGTCATGATAGCATCCGACAGCCACGACATTACTAGTCAGAACGATCGAGTCAGCTATAATTGTACCAGTGGGACGATGAAAAAAACGACACACGAGATTCACGGTACTCACCCGTCATTCCCGCATTTTTATAGTCCACCGCATCTTCCTGCGCATTCTCCTCTGCTCTCAACTTCCTCAATTCCCCAACAACTCTCTCCATCAAAGCCTGGCCTTCGTCATCCACCTTTGTAGGTACCGCTGCAGAGCCGTCGATAACTCGGGCGACCACATCCTCAACCGATCGTGCACCAACGTACCACTTGATTTGCAACATGGAGTTTATACTTGCCCCCAAATTCTGTCTAACCTGCTCATAGGGATGGTGGATGGCTGAGAGGTATGTATCTAGCAGTGGATCAATAACTGGGGTAAGCCGCCAGTTGAAGATGGAGAACAGAGTTCGAATGTTGCTGAGTTTCTTGGATTCCGTGAAGAACGACTGCGAAGCAGGGTCAAAAGTCTGGGAAAAGATGATGTCGAGAAGAGGCCGTACGCGGCGAGGATCGCGGCCAGTCTGTAGAGCCCATAGCAATGAATACAATGCATCACGCGCAACCTTTAAAAACCAAACTTACACAAATGAATCTGATAGACGTGCTCCATAAGAGATAACTTTCCGGATTGGCGACTGCCAACCCACTTGCTATCACTTTGCCCACCCACTGCCAGAGCTTTTCTTGCTTGTTCCAGTCCCAATATTTTGCGCCCCGTACTATACCCCCAATCGCCTCGGCCACCGCCCTTTGTTTCGCTTTGTCTCCGCTTTCCTTTATCAAGTCCTCTAAAATGGGTTGCACGGATGCTACTGGTCGGTCTTCCAAGATTGTGAAAGCACACTGATAGAACATTGCTGCGTGAGGATTAAATCGCTCGGCGGGCGCGATACCCCGGGCGGCTTCAGAGGGATTGATGCGTGACGTTGCTTCCTCAGAACGATAGCGGAAGAAGGCGCGCCAAAATTCGGACGACGCAAGTTCTGACAAGAGCAGCTGCATGGTTTCTGGCGAATCAAGATCATTGTATGGTACAGTATCACTTGTCCGCGATGAAGCACCCTTGACGATCTTATACTTGGCTGGCCAGCAATACCATCCCACGTTTGAACTGTCCTGGAATTCGGTCGCGGTCCATGCGTCATCACCTTGAACCGTTTCTACACTCTTTCGCAAAAATTCTTGCGTATCCGCTGGACTAACACCCCCGGGGCCAGCCTTCACCCTTTTTCGGAACTCATTCGACGGAGTCTTGCCAACCTCTTTTGCTCTTCGCTTAATGATAACCAAAATCTTGCTCAACAATTTCAGGGAAATCTTTCTTATTGTGAGCTCTTCCGAATTCACACCGGTCAATGCTAACCGAGTGACTTCGACGGGGATAGGTTCATCCTCTCGTAGCGTCAGTTCAAGAAAGGTTACAGTCATTGTGCGATAGCTCACAGGAAGGCTTTCAGTTCTTAAAATATCAACCAACTCAGAGATCTAGGTGGTAGTCTGTCAGGTACGGCAATTTGCAGCTGACGACACCGCCGCTTCCTGGTATGTTAAATATACTTACCATACTCTTGTATTCCTCCCGATCACGATGTGATCGGTTTGACGCCTGCTTCTTTCTCTTTTCAACATCCGCTGCCACAGACTCCCTTCCAACTAGTTTCTTAGCCGCACTCTGAGCGTTCACCGATACATCCGTTCCAATTGCAATGTCTTGGAACTGGGTCAATATTTCTTTGGAAATAAGGGTCCACCTCTTCTGGATAGATGGCTGTGGGAAAGTATAATCATGTTAATGATCACAAATTCGAGTATCATCACCGCATATTCAATCGCGCACCTTGTCCGCAACATGCGTTCGCGTCAGAGCCAGCAACATTCCTCGCAAAAACTCATAGTTCCTCAATGACAAATCCAGCATAGCGGAGCTCTTCAAGACATAAAGCGCACCCTTCATCCTATCAGCATCCTCCTCCCCCTCCCCGCCATTACGGACATGTTTTTCGAGCTTTTGACTCAAGAATGCGTTCATCAGCTCCCACTTTCCTGCACTCTCCACCATTTTGACAGCCTCCCAAAACACTCTCTTCTTCAAGCCTCCTCCGAAACACCGAACGACAGGACTCAATACACGCTGCGCTTCCTTCCTGACCACGGCATATCTTCCGAAACACCAATAAACAATTTCCTCTACAGCCGCATCTGATATTTCGCTTCGCGTCTGCTGCGATGCATTGTAATGTAATCTAGCAACATGAATTGTACACGCTCTGGTGATTAAAGTGTACCGCGGTAGATGACCGCGAGCAAGGTCCTTGCTGCCTGCAATAGTAATCTTCATGTACTTGTACAATCTGACAAGATTCTCATAAGCATTTCGATTGGTGCCACGGTCGGTGAGGTAGATTTGTATGCAGCGCAAAAGCTGCTTTACACTTTCAGTGTCATCCTCTTGGTGAGTGCGGAAAAATACGGATGCGTCCCTCATAAATCGGCCAATGTCATCCCGTAGCCTTTGAACTGTTGAATATCTTGGATCGTCCGGATTAGAGAAACAGTATGCGGCTGCCAAGGGTCGCTTGCGTTGACGAGCGTCGTCCTCTTCGTACGCTTCAACAGCTGGCGCGTCGCCATCAACATCCATAGCGTCCACAATTCTGCCTTCACAGCTCGCAGGTGGCACCAGGCAAGTCATTCCCCTCAAGCAGTTCCTCAAGAGCGACAGCCATCTTTGAAACTCGGATGAAAACTCGCGTTGGTCTCTGTGATGTCCGGCAGCCTCCGCCTCCCGAATTAGTGTCGTCATTTTCTCGAGCGCAAGGGGAACAAACTCAGTGACGAGCTCCACCACGAATGCTAATTCCTCCTCGTCGGGAACATGCCAATCGATATCCAGGTTACGAGGATCCCCAGGCATTCCCCAATACTTGTGACTGTTGTTTATAAAATCTATCACGAAAGTAAATAAAGCGCATCAACCATAGCATAAGTCCCTCGTAGACTCACCAGGATCATTCCACGCGTGCTTCCCATGACTTCTCGCCTCGAGCGGGTATATCGTGCTCGCATTCAGCATCATAAACCTCACCAGTTTCCCGGCCCATTTGTATCCCCTCCGTGCACGCGTACGCGCTAGTGTCTCTCGCGCGATTTCCAACAGCGTATCCTTGTGTTGCAGCATGTCCTTTCCGCTCTTGATCAGTACACTGTACAAGATACATTGATACCAATGCAAACTGGCATCTGACATGGCAGCAAACCCAAACGGGTGTCCCGATGAGGAGTAAGCGGATGAAGGTTGAGAACCTGCCCCATGCTCCAGTTCAGTCAGAATGCGGTCACGGCAGAGTGGTACAAATGTGGCAAGACGGGTTGCTGGGGCGCCAGTTACAGAACAGAACATTCCTATCCGAATGATATTAAATGGCGGTTCATTCCAAACTCTTGTAAGGGATCACCTACCAATAGCTTTGGTAGCATTAGGAATGACATTTTCGGACACAAAATTGCTCACTTTGCGCAAGGCAATCGATTCAATATCCGGTGACATTTGTGTAAATAATAGCTCGCCAGTGAACTAAAAGATTCAGGTGTCGATTAGGTTCTTCCGCACATGTTAGCAAACGCAGTATGCCGTTGCCCCAGGTTTCACTTTGACTGCTTACCTGTACTATCAAAATCAGCGACGACTCTAGAGAGCCTTTGCTTTTGACATTGCCATGTTGTTGAGGCAAGTTTTCAAACTGATACCATGAGACAAGTATAAGTTGAATGGAAATGTGCTCACGGTAAGCAAGATTGACGCAACGCAATTTACCATGACAAAGACTCTCTCAAAGAATCGTCCAATCCAATCCTCGAAAACAGCAGTGCCCATTCGACACATCTCATCTTCCTCGTCCACGTCCACATCCATGCCACTAGTCTCAGCAAGATCAGCCCCCATATCCACCTCGATCATATTAACTGGGCGATCAGCTGGCTGGGTCTGTCCACCGGGCCCTCGGTTCCGCTTAGTCAAATCAATTAGTGGAGTACATGCAATCGCATGACGGATGAAAAGGAGTGTGACAGAGGTCTTGGTGGGATCATTTACATCAATGCCTGGGATAGCCAAATCCAGGAGAGCTGGGAGGTGTCGGCCTCCTTGGGGATAGTGCTTGCGATTAAAAAGTGGAAGGACCACATTGTACAAGGCTCCCAAGCAACTAATCGTGCGGTGATTCTAAGGCAATATATGGGCAAACTATAATTAACAATCATAATCATCATGTCAACATTGTCTATACCAGGCTCGTACCTCTGTTAACGTCTCCAATGCCGGATAGATCCTGTCTAGCAGCCCAGGAAGGATAGACTCTGGATGAATCCACGCCAAGTATTTTAGAGCACTATGGGTGCTATTTACAGATAACGGATCCTTCCCAAACATTGAGAGGTAGGCTACTGGTCGCAAAAGAACCACAAATTCCTTTCGCATGGCGGGGGTGATACGATAAGCCACGGGGGTCTTACAATCCGGTTCAGACTCTGTTAGGGCCACGACACAATTAAATAATCGACTTTATACATATCCTACAGAAACAGGTCATACCTTGCTTGAGCCTTTTCATGAACTGATAAGCCAACATTTGCAAGAGTCTCGTCAACATAAACGACCATCTTCCATAATTCGACGGGTGGAAGTAGCTTTCGATAGCCTGTATCATCTCCGCCAGATGCTGCATACTTTTGGTCTGAGGTGGAGGCGGCACGTTACCATCCCCTTCCGGACCATTCTCGGGAAACATGGTCCAAACAATGAATGCCGCAAACGGGTCCACACCCCCCTTTTGTCCAAAGATATCACCAGAGCCAGTCATGAGTAATGCTCCTAAGCTTGCAACACCGGGACTGCCCATATTTCCAGTAGATAGGCCATTCGTTCCGCTTCCCACTGGTAGATTCAAGTTTCCTAGTCCCGCGGAGAAGACCTGTCGAATTTGGTCCTGGGTCCAACCAACATTTGAGGGACAATGTATTTGTGCTTCCGCTAACCTCCCCAGGATATCAATAAATAGCGAGGCATCGCCTGATGATGGTCGCAACAGTGACCAGAGGTTAAAAATGGTCGGTACCCAATAAAATACTGGAGGGGCCGGATCAGTTGGCAGACCGGCCATCAACGGCGGAGGAGTATCGACAGGTAAGAAGATCGTCAACATGGCTTTCGTAATAGAGAACTGCATATTATCATGCACGTTAACTTGAGGAAGGAACTGTGGG